TAGCTCTGCCAAGGACTTGTGCAATATTGTTGTTATTGTTATTAGTTCACTAAACATGTTGAATAGGATATGGGATGCTTCCTTTGTGAGAAAAAGGTCTAACCTCTATGTACTCATATAAGCATACCCACTCTCTTCCCCCAAAGATTTCTGATGGCCTGAGTTATTTTCCACTCTTTGCTCCCAAACCATCTACCCTTCAGTTCCCTTTTATCTTATAATGTGTTTAGAACAATGTCATTTAGGAGTCTAACTTTATTGGGGTAATATCCTGTTTTTGCATGTCAGATTTATTTGAGGAGGTGGAAGGATTTGGCTTAGGGTTTTGGATAGAGGACCATTTGAGGTAAGAACCTCTTCTTTTCATTACATTCAATTCCATTTAAGGTGTGGATTATACTTTGGATTTTATGGTTTACGTTTTCTAATGGGTTTGTGCCATGCATGATATTAGTCTTTACATTGGTTTTTTCGTAACTATTTTCCTTTTATTTGTGGTAATTGATGATTTGATTTCTGTTATCATCACACAGTCGATATTGAGAGGTATGAAAAATAAATTCAAATTTTATTAAGTTGGTTTATTGAAGACAAGTAATCAGTTTTCTTATGTCGATCCAAACTCTTTTTTGATGACTTATTTAGTTAATATTGTGAATTTCAGCTTTGGTCTATATATATATATATATATATATATATATATTTTAATTTTCTTGGTTTTGGCATCTTCTTGACCATTGACATTTCCTTATTTTGTTTTCTTTTGTAAAGGAAGATGAGTGATGAATTTGAGAAGGTCAAACAAACAATTGGCAGTGTGTGGGAATTCCAGGATATTAGATCACAGCCCCTATCCAACGTGTTAAAGATCATGACTACAAAACTTGGGGATACAAAAGGCATAGTTTTTTTTTTTTTTTTTTTTTTTTTTTTTTTTGTTTTTCAAAATAGTATACAAGCTTGGTAACAGTCAAAGTGGAGAAATAATGACTGCCGAACTTGGGTTTACCAAGGGCAAGAATATACGGAGCTTGACCTCCAGTAAACTATTTTTGGATATGTTATGTGTACTTGAATGATTAGTATGCTTGTGTACTTTTGAATGGGAGAAACTTTTATTCGTGTCATTTTCTATTGATTTATTTACCTAAATTTATTCTTTTTCGAAATTTCAATATGTTAATGAACAAAAGGTTAATATTATCACAAAACAAAATATAAATGTAATAATTAAAAACGCCTAAAATATTAAAATATACATATTTTAGCAACCAACTAAGTAAGCTTTAGCGCCCAAATCTAGTAGTCACCAGAACCTATAGGAGACGAACCATTCTATTTGGTCGCCCAATCCTTCTTCAGTTCGTGGTAAATTTTGGTATTTTCACGGGAACCCTTCTTTATAGGCGACCAACTAATTGTTGTTAGGCGACGAAATCAATTGGTTGCATAAAGGTTTTGGCAACGAAAATTGCCTGACCACTGTAGAGACGAAATAAAATTATTTCGTTGCTAAAGTGTTTTGGCGACGAAATGTAACCTTTTAATGACCAAAGATGGTGTTCGCCAAACGGATTTTTCATTGTAGTAAGCTAATGTGGTTGGTAATGCTATTTAGACAAACAAAATTGACCACATTAGCTTACCACCTTATGTGATAGCTAATATGATCATGCCATGTCAATTAATGAATATTACTATGCGGATTTTATTTTTATTTCTTTCTTTTTTTATAATAATTATTAAAAACAAAAATTAAAGTGAAATTAAAAATATATATGTATAAAAATTTAATTTTAAAAAAAAACCCTAGCAACCCTGGACATTTTTTGCCTCCAACACTCCCTTCTTCCACCATCAAATTTACGTATCCCATCAAAACTGGAGAATAGATATAGATTTACTCAAGCACTCCCTTCTTCCTCATCAAATTTACCTATCCCATCAAAACAAGAGAAGAGATATAGACATACTAGAGGACATCAAATTCAAGAAAAACAATAAAATTACAAGAAGAGAGGAACCCTATCAAAACCAGGGGATTTTAATTCTGGAGACAAAGAGTCCAAGGATGCTAGGGTTTTTTATTTATTAATTCAATTTTATTTTTGTTTTTAATAATTTTAAAAAATAAAGAAATAAATAAAAATAAAATCCATATGACAATATTCATTAATTGACATGACATGATCATATCGACTGCCGCATAAGGTGGTCAACTAATATGGTAAATTTTGTGTGTCTAAATACCATTACTCAAAATTTATTAACGATCATGCGCTAAGAAGTCAGCTAATTTTTTGAATTGGATATTTTCAATTTTCTCAGTGTCCATTTTATCCCCAATAATATTCCCCTAGTGAACTTTTTAAACTTATTAATCGTAATAATTTAAGACCAAAGTTTTTTTTATTATTCATTTAAAAAACATTAATGAATATTTGAACGGTAATATAACAAAATAGACAAAATTGGCTAACGGAGTAAAACATAAAAGATCAAATTGACCAAATTGAAAACACTGGGACTAAATTAATAATATGATTACAATATTAATATACCAACGCTATTGAAATAAAGTCATTAATTAAACATATTAATAAAATAAGTTGCAGTCTGAACTGGGCAAAATATCAGTTAGTCATTCCAAATGAATGGCCAATGTAAAAGTTCAACGTAAATTATTAATTAAAGAAAATGTATTAATCGGCTCTTAAATTTCATCAAAGCAAACTCTCAATTTCAAAATACAATTGTTTACTGAATAATGTACACAACTGGAAATCACAAATTACATATGTAACTAAAATTTATAATGTCGGAATGTTAATAAAAATTTAGAGGAATAATATCATAATTATAAGAGTCACAATTTCAATGCATTAATTCAAAGTTTATAGCATCTATATGATATAAATCGGCCATATGCGTTTTTAATTTTTAAATTCTTTTTGGAAAAGGGGCTGAAACCCAAACGACAAAACAAACTGTGCAAAGTTTCAAATATACAAAATAAATTGTGCAATATATACCATGACAAAGATGCAACAAAACTAACAATTTTTCCTCAAAATTATACAAACCAATAATTCTGTTTCACCAACAAAAGGTTAAATTATACGTAAATATAGATATGCAATAGCAATAATTGTAAACTACAAAGAACAGTACGGAAAAGGGAACAAATTAAATGTCAACAAAGGCTTTAAATTGTTATAAAAAATATTTTTTTTTCTCTTTCTGTAAAGCCAAATACAAAAACCTTTATATTATAAATAACATATAAACAAATTGGAAAGCTTTTAAGGTACAATGAAATTGAAGAAAAACAAATTGATAGATAAGTAAAAGCAAAATAAATAATAAGTAAGAAGGTGAGTTTGGTACGGTGAATCACTTCAAAGATATTGTCCTAAAGCCTTTGTAGAATCCCTACATGCAGGTACTGGCTCTACAAGTCTCCAAGATACGACCCTTTGTACACAAACTCAAGATCCGCTATGAGCACGTTCATAGACAGATATAGGTATCCAAGTCACAAAACCATTGCCCAAAATAATAATACAAGTAAAGAAAGTATAAAAAGGTAGAAAATGAGAGAATCATATTGTGGTGGTGATTGTGGTATGTGATAGTCCGATGGTGTTGTGGTTTTTTAAATGTGAAGGATGAGTGACCTTTTATAGGCATCCAATAATATGTAACCTTCACCACATTTGTTTGTACCATATCTGACCCCCCACTCACGTCTTGACACATGGAATGTAAACACGGCCTGGACCAACCCAGTGAGCCATGCCGAAAAGTCGATCGGCATACTCCACCGATTCACATGTGGCCAAATCAGTAAAATACCTGCAACTGATGAAGACACCAACCTTTGACACACGATGCCGAGCGACCAGTCAGCGCTTTCGACAGATTCTGACAAGATCACCTCTAAACTCCAGCCAGAACCTGTCAGGGCAAGTGTCGACCGCCGAAGACACTCCCACGAGTCCCACATTGAAACTAAGTACTAAGAGCATCACAAATGCTCTCTATAAATAGAGCCCCTTGGCCCAGCCAAGAGGTAAGACTGTTTACTTGACTTGTGCTTTCACACTGTCAATAAAATTGCTCTTAGTTATTAACTTTGGTATCGGAGGGTCTTCGGCCGGCGCCACACCGGTGCCCTAGACTTCACCTGCCGTTCCTTTCTCCAGTTTCTCCAGGTCGAATCCGACAGTGAACCTCAAGGAAGGACATCGCGGACCGAGGGCTTCTCGGGTGCAAACCATCTCGGGCTTTATTTCTATCTGTTTAGTTTTAGCGCAAACAGATTGGCGCCGTCTGTGGAAACTTCGTTTGACAATCAGCCCATATCTCCTTTTTTCCACCTAACTATGAACCCACCTTCGCCCCTCGCGATCGACGGTCTGATCCTCGGTTAAATTTTTAAAACCTTTTTAAAATTCCAACACTCTCAAGCCTATGTACAATATAACAACCGTTTACTATAGTGAAAACAAGCATACAACTCAACGTAGACGTAATTTATTGCCCGTGTTCTTGGTGTGTTTCTGTGTGTTTTTGGGTCCTATCTCATTGACCCAATATTTGGCGTCAACAACTTTTATTATTTCCCACCGTCTTTCCATGAAAAAACTTGACTAATTACTTCTCACTCGGTGTTTTATTACCAGAGAATTAAACACAACACAACTGCCAACAGAGCACAAGTTTGGATTCTTAAGTGGGACCAAAACACAAGGCCGCCACACAAATTAACTCCAATGTCCCAAACCAGTAGCATCAAGTGGAAAGTTTGCCAATAGGAGTGAGGCAATCTCACCTTATCCACACTCCCACCACAATCGCTCCTTATCAAATATCCATACCCCAAAATTACAAACCCCTCTCACAATACCTACCACTTTCTTCTCTTCTTGTACAAGCCTTCGATTTCAGATTGTGAAATTTTCTCTTAGTACAAGTATTATTAGTGAGAAGAAGAAGAAATGGCAGCCATGATTAACTCTAGTGTGTTGGCATGCAACTATGCCATCTCTGGCACTGCAATGTCTGAGCTCAATGCAAAGATGCCTTCTTCTTTTGTGGCAGCAGCTGGTCAGAAAGCGGTGCCTGCAATCAGAGCTCAACAGGCTAGAGTTTCTGCTGATTCTCAAAAGAGTGAAGGAAGAAGGGCTGCTCTGCTATTCCTAGCAGCCACTGCTTTCACATCAGCTTCTGCTGCTGCATCCAATTCCTTTGCCAATGCTGGGGTCATTGATGATTACCTAGAAAAGAGCAAAGCCAACAAGGTAGCTTATTAATTAATTAAATTAATGTATATATTTTCTTTTAAAAAAAATTAATCATAAATTAAGCTTAGGCTTGATTGTAGTGATTGACTTTTGGGGTATATTGTTTGTACTTTAGGAACTGAATGACAAGAAGAGGCTGGCAACAAGTGGTGCAAACTTCGCAAGAGCATTCACAGTTCAATTTGGGACATGCAAGTTCCCTGAGAACTTTACAGGCTGCCAAGATCTTGCCAAGCAAAAGGTACAACACTCAAGTCATTAATAATTAATTAAATTAATTATGGGTTGGGTTGGGTTGGGTTGGGTTGAATTTTGTTTAATTTGATTAATTTGGTGGATGCAGAAAGTACCATTTATCTCTGATGATCTGAAATTGGAATGCGAAGGTAAGGACAAGTATAAGTGTGGTTCCAATGTATTCTGGAAATGGTAATCAAGAGAAAAGAAATGGTTCCAATCTCTTAATGTCCTCAGCAACCCTCAACATGTATGTAGCTAAATTTCTTCTTAATTCAAAAAACTTCAATCCTTTCATCTGTATCTTGTGATTTAATTATTGTTCCCTCCATGAGTATTCTCTTCTGTTCCGTTTCCTATTTCTGGTTGAAAGATGAACAACAACTCAGTTAAGTCAGATGGCCTCTTCAAGTTGGCAGTGAACTAAAATATACAAGAAGTTCTCTTGTAGATCCGTAACATAAATTCATCAATGAATGAATAAGTTCAGAAAAAAAGTTACACTTGTTGTGTATCAATTCTATACAAATTCAGCTTCATCTCTCCAGCTTTGAGGGTTACTATAATCTGTGTATTTTCTGAGTATGTATGTGTAGCACCACGGCAATGAACTGTTTGAAATAAACAATAAGTCTTGACGGAAATAATTAGTGCCCAAAATATGGTAACCCATTCAGTAGATTCTGGTGATCACCAAACAGATTTGTGCACAATGGATCCAATACACAAGAAAAATTCATCATTGTGCAAATTGAATAGATCACCAGACAGCAGTCATAGAAGATCTCCTTGAACACCAGCTACATACCTCACTTGCAAAGCCAAGCCTGAGCTGATCATGCCTGTCCCCGTAATATGCTTTGTGTTCGATTCCAAAAGAACACCCAACTGTGGAAGAGTAATTGAAGTCCAACCTCAAAACTCAGGCCTCATATTTCTGAAAAACACACAAACTAAAGGCATCCACAGATGCTCAACGTTGCAGACACCAGTCAAAAGCGTCCATATCCTGCAACTGAGGACATGCAGCTGGAAACACCCCATTGGCAAAACCTGAAACAAATTCACAATGCCACGCTGTAGATGGAGCAAGACCAAGTACTGTGACATTCTTAAAGCATATCCTTTCAAATGAAGCACCCTCAATGCCCTTCAATTCTGGGGCTTTTGTTGAATTCAAACTGAACACGTTGCTAATAAAAATCCCCTTTACTTGGGGAACAGCTTTGGGATCCCATCCTTTGTCCGGGTGGTCATTGGCCCCTCTACTAAACCTTATGGGTGCCTTCACTCTTTCCATCAGTACGTTACTTATACTAATATTTGCTATGTAGCCCCCTCTACCTTTGTCCGTTTTTATGCGCACCCCAGCTGCAGAGTCCCAAACATGCAAATCCTCAATGGTCACATTTGAAATCCCACCAGACATCTCACTACCTATTCCCACTCCAGAGCAAGTTGGAGTGGTGCCATGAACTCTTCTTACTATTATGTTTGAGCTTGGACGAGCCATTTTGATTCCATAGTGATCCCAACCACTTTTCACTGCTACAAGATCGTCGCCACTCTCAATGTAACAGTCCTCAATGCACACATTAGTGCTCGAATCTGAAACATAACATACAAAATTAAATTTGCAAAACAAATAAATTTCTTTATGCTAACTTCTTCGATTAGTTTAGATAAATCATTTTGCGTGATAGAAACAAGATTCATACAGAAGTTAAATACACATAAAATATACTTGAGTTTCTTAATGTTAACTTCTCAAAGTAATTTAGATGAATAGATGTTATGTTAAATTGACAGAAGAGGAGCATACCTGGGTCTATGCCATCAGTATTAGGAGCATTCAGAGGAGCCAAGATTGTCATGTCCTTGATAACAACGTTACTGAAACAAACACAGAACTATGAGCGAACGATTAATTATTATTTTTTAAGCATAGAACGAAGATAAATGAAATTGGGCTCAAAGTATGCCTCTGACAATAGCTGGGAAGATAGTTTATCAACCCTTAATTAAAAATAAAAAGGATCTAAAATCCTATGCAAACGAGCCCTTTTTTTCGTCTCCCATCAAGAGCTGTTTTATTGTAGTTTTCCAAATCAGAGAAAAAATAGATTAGAAGGTAGCTGGATCATTTGAAGACGACGAAAACAAACACAAACAACAATCCTAATCGTTTTTTTCCTGACTATAATGAAATCTCACTGTTTTAGCTCCAACTACAGTACAAATTAGCATTAACTTAAATTGATATGCAAACATGTACCCTCCAAAAAACAAACAGAAAGAACATATCAGGAAAAAGGCAGGGAATGTGCACCTGCAGTAAACAGGATGGATGGTCCAAAAAGGAGAATTGAGGAAAGTGAGGTTAGAGATGAGAATGTTTTGAGTGTTCATTAGCTCAAGCAGGTGACCTCTGGTATGCTCCAGTGTTCTGTTCCACCATAGTTCCCACCACATTTTCCCCTGCCCATCAATTGTCCCATTATTACCTGAAAGGCCCCAAATAATTATTGACTCAATGCCTCCAGAAAGATAAAAAAATTAAAGAATAATTCAGTCTTCTAGATCAGGGACATGGAGAGAGAACTGCATGTGAATATCATGTGCCCATTTAAAGAATAATAAAAGGCAGGTTTAAATCACATTCAAAGAATATAATATGCTCTGGTTATTGGTTAACCATTCATTAAATAAATGTACTTTTTTGGTCTCAGTCACTATGCACTTATTTGATATCCACCATTCATAACTTCAAAGGAGAGAAAATGAAAGCCATGGGGAGGAAAATGAATAATTTTGGTACCTGTAATGACAACATTTGTAAGACCATCCCCATGAATAAGGCTTATATGTCTTCCTCCTAACCTCTCTCTTCCTCTTCCATACGAAGGCAACGGCTCAATAATAGGCCATTGCTTCGGATCCTATAAACAAAGAGGCAAAAATCAACCTGATGAATCAAAAACTGAAAAACAAATTTGTATTTTATTAGGTGTTTTAAACAAGTCAGAATTGATCAAAGGTATTGAGATGGAAATATTATCTTTGGCATCCTATTTGATTGACACACAGAGACAGAGCCTGTGATAATTATTATATTTGCTCTTCACTTGAGACCATTCTTGTTAAAATCAACACATTCTTTTGTCTGGAAAAATAAAATAAAATCAACTCATCTCATTTGCCTGAAAGATGAATCAAGTAACAAAAGAAAGCAGAACCCCAGAAAAACCAAAGAAAGTACAAAAGAGGCAATATATTATATACACAACACAAGGGAAGAGAATCATGCCGTTGAACTTGAATTAAACATTTTTGGGTGGGTGGGTGGGTAGGGGCGTGGGGTCCCTCTAGACACCTGTGAACTTTCTCAATGCCTTCGTTAATAGAAGATGCTTCAAAAGTAATATGAACATGATAACCGTGACCTCCATCTGTAATGAGTAACAAAACCACTCCTAATCTATGCCATCATTACAACAGCAAACAAAGAAAAGTAAAATACCATTTCCACAGTAATTTTCTTTTTCCTTCTGTTTTGCTTACTTTCTTGGGTTGTTTTCATATAGGATTGAGTTTCAATTTTACCCATTTCAACCCATAATTAAAAAATTAACCTTTAAATAACTTACCCCTTTTTTTACACAAGTTATAATCTTACTGTAAATTAACCTAATTTACAATAAGGGAATTCGAACTTGTATGCAGGAGAGGGCTCATTGCCGTGACCGCCCGGCCTAACCCACATATGCTACCCATCTTTACAAACAACCAAACAAACAAGAAAACCATTTCCTAAATCTTAACGAAAATTAATCATTTTATAGGGAAAACAAACAAACAAACAAGAAAAAAGTATTGAATAAAGTAAAGAAAATAGAATAGATAGAATATTTTATTCACCTGGGAGCCCAGAATTACAGCGCCCTCTTCAAGAAAAAGCGTGAAATTACTGGTGAGGTTAAAACTGCCCGTCAACCACCTCCCCTTAGGAACGTTCAACTGGGCCCCACCACTCTCCCCGAAACGCTGCATGTGGAGAATCGCCCTCCGAAACGCTTCGGTGTTGGAGGTGGCCCCGTCGCCGACCCCGCCGAAGGCCTCGATCGACATCACCACCTTCCTCTTGGGGACGCCCCCGAAGAACCCGGAACAGGTGCTCGGGAGATGATCAGAACGGGTATCGGATCCTGCGGCGGGCCAAATCGACCCGACCCATGTGGGAAGACCCGCCGTGGTTGAGAATGTTTGGTAGGAAAGGACAAGCATGACGGTGAAGAGGAGGAGCAGAGATGCCCATGTGGGTTTGATGGAGCTACCCAGTATGCTGGGTTTTTCTGCATCCATTAATTACTGCTTTCTTACTACTTACGTGCATGAAAATTAAATACCCAGAAACAAAAAAATGGAAACTGGAATGAAGAAGAATTTTTTATTTTTTTGTTTTTTTTTTTCTGAAAAAGGGTGTGTTTGGACGATGAGAAAAAGAAGATGAAGGTGAGGGTTGGGGTTTAGAGGGAGGCAGCTGAGCTGGCTTTTACGTGAAGGTTGAGTGTGGAGAATAAGGAAGAAGGACGAAAGGGAGAGAGTTTGTTTGTGTGGGGTCCGATTCAGAAAGTTGAAGAAAAGCTCGATCCAATTTGTTCGGTGTGGGAAGGGTGAGGATCGGGTGGTAGGCAGTAGCCATGGGGTTTTCTGGTGATGTACGTGGCGGGATCTGATTGGGCGGTATGATTTACGTTAAAATTGGGTTGAATTAGAAGATTCGGGTTGAGGTGGGTGAGATGCGGATACGACTTTGGTTTGGTGGGTTTGTCTGGGCAGGCTTGTAATGTTGTGAATTGTAAAGTGCACGGAAGTAGGGCGGCGGTGCGCGTGAATGTGACCATGAGAGCAGAGAAGCCGCTCTTCACGGGAGTCTTTGAAAAATGTTTAATTCTAATTGCGTGTAAATTTAATGAGACTCTACTAATGTGAAGCCGAGCCTAATGTCAGTCTCCAAAATAAAAATACAAATATTTATAAATAATTTTAAGTGTTTTTAGGAGAAATAGTCCTTCAACTTACGTGGCGGGAGGGTGAAATTGGGTGAGGTGGGTGGTAGCCATGGGTTTTCTCATGATGTATGTGGCGGGATTTGATTGTGCGGTGTGATTTAATGCTAAAATATGGGGTATTTGTTATCAATAATGCTTAAGGATACCAAATTTGTGCACTAAATTTGAGTCACAGATGATGTGGCACCATATCAACTACTTTTATTTAATATAATCCAACATAGCTTGATTAACTCAATCTTAAATTAAGGTTAATATAAAATAACATAGTTTTAACCTATTTATGTGATTTTTTTTTGTCAGTTAAAACAAAATTATCTGAACTCAAATTCACAATTGTAACATAAAAGAAACAAACAATATATATTTTACACAACAATTTTTAAAAATTCTTCAAAACATCACTTAAAATAACACCACACATACAACAACAGTAATACTTGTGTCTTTATCTAAGTGGAATTTTCGAGTCTCTCTCTCGCTACGCAAGGAGAGCCGTGCGTCAACATTAGGGTTTCCCCACATTCTGCCATCATCGTTCTCCTTGATATGACAACGCGCATTGTGGTCGTCGTCCTCCCTTGCCATCCTGTTGCTGACTCAGTTGGCAACGATTCGTCTCTCTCTTTGGTCCTTCTGGTTGCTTTCCCTTATGTCCCGTCCTCTAATTTGTTTCAAGATTTGCGTTGGGATGGGGTTGATCTCTTTCGCCTGGCAGCTCACGATTATGGCTTCTACCCTCGTGTCCCCTTATTGTACCTGTCTCGTCGCTGCCTCGATGTCGTAATCAGAGGGAGATGGGTTAGGTTTGGCTATTGTCTTCGACGGGTTTGGGCTTTTTTTGCTTCACTTTGACGAATTAGGGATGGCGGCTAGAGTTCAAAATAAATAAATAAAAATAAACTTCAGTAGCAAGATTAATATGACTTATTAATCCTGAAACGTGCAGAGCATAAAATAAATGAGCACGCAGAGAATTATTTTACGTGGCAAAACCCCACCTTTAGAGAAAATCCACGGGACTCTTTAGTCCAAAATAAATCTACCATAGAACAATGATTACAAGAAGTACTTATACACTTATCCTAGACTGGGGGTGCGCACGGTCCGATTTGGACCGGTTTTTGCCTCAAATTATAATCGAATCCGATACTATTCATCCAATTTGGTTCGGTTTGGTTATAACAAAAAAATTTCAAAAATTGTTCAGTTCGGGTTGAACTAGTAGTTCAGTTCGATTTTGAACCGGATTATTAAAATTATTTTTTAATACAAATTTCAACTGAAATTTTATTTTTTGACTTGAAAATTAATAAATTATTTAATTTCATATAAAAATAAATATTAAAGCTAAAAAAGAGAGATGTTTTGAAATTGAACTTGGATAAATATTAGTTATGAGATTAAAAATATAGTCTTGAATATAAATAAATATTGAGATTATATATTTTTTTAATTTGACCAGTTCGATTCGGCCCGGTCCGATTTTTGAAGACAGAACCGGATCCAAAATCGGTCCAAACTAGCCCAATTTGATTTTTGACCGGTTGTTGACTTTTTGGTCAACTCAATTATTTTCCCCTTTGAATGCCCACCCTTATCCTAGACACACTCTAGATCATGTTTATTGACTTCTTCGTAACTCAACTTCTGTCACGAGATGATCTTTCGACTCTCTTTATGTTGAATGCAATATTGGTCACGATTGCTTCAAACTCATCGTAGAAAAACAGCCACCACGGTCTTGGTGCCCTCAACCGTATGAGTCACCGAACATGCAAATGAATGCAATATGAATTATGGAAGTATTTGATAAATCACCAAATAAACATGGAACACTTGATGACTTATCTCAAAGATATGAACAACAGCTTTTCTTAGAAATTTTGGATGCTCAGACCAAATATGAAAAGGTTGTGTGTGCAAAAGAGATGCCACAATATTTTATACAAAACCCGTTCTCCTATTTGATTTGGTCAATTTATGACTCACTTTAATCAATTGTTTATAGAAGGAAACAATATTAATCAATGAAACCAATTGGGTATTAATTAAAACATCCTCTCCAAGTCAAAGATGATGAAAACATAATATTTTAACTTAAATCAAAATAGGGGCTAACTAGGGAAGAATCTTAAGAGATAAAATCTAATCCTATTAAAAATAGGATTAACATAAAAGTACTTGAGTGAAAATAACTCCAGCTAGAAATCCTATAATGAATGCTTGATTATGTCATGATTGATCTAAAATCAAGTTCCTTATATCGATCAAGTCATACTTTGAAAATTCGGGATTGAATGTGTTAAGCCAAAACTTCCAGTAAAAGATATTTATACACTAATACCCAACCTATGCTAGAGTATAGGAAATACCAATATAATTTTCATACTAACAAACTATTTATCTAGAACAAAACCAAAAGCCTTATAATATTATGGATAAATAGTCAGTACTCACCGAAACAGATTAATACTATTTGACATAAATTAATCAGTACAATTCAACGTACCAAATAAGCCCTAACTCTTAAAGAGCATTTAATGTTCTTCCTAACTTGTGCTTTCAAGCTAAACCCATGTGAGACATGAAAGCATTTTGGGTAAATCCGTGGCGGGATCTGATTGTGCTTTCTAGCTAAACCCATTTGGACCCACTCCCACATGGCCAATTTTTGGCTCTATTGGGTATTTAACTTCGTAGAGCCCAACTCTTTTATTTTGAAGGTAAAGCTTCGGGCCCAATTTGCTACTTGTTTCCTTTGAAGGCATGGATTTACCCAAAGCCCATTTTGGCCCAAACAATACCTACATGAAAATCATAGTGAAAATATTCAATGGTAAAAATACGAATAAAATCGTGTATTATTATGCAAATTATTTATATATAAAAAAATGTCAAGAAATACGGCCATTATAATATTTTAATATTATTTACCTGAAAATTTGAAGTCTTTTTATTCAATATAATACGTTAATTTTATATCTACTATTCAAGAATTTGTAAAAACAAACATGTAGTAAAAGTAAAATACATACATACGTGTATAATATATGTATAATACATTTGATTTGTTTTATATAATACGCAAATTTAACTAAGCTGACATATTATCACCTAGTCGTTAAAATTCGTTTTTTCTTTTGGGTATGCCCAAAGACGGTCAATGTTTTTGGAGCCCTTTCAGAAGTCAAGCAAGGAGCTGCCTAATAAATAAATGTCCATGAAGCTAATGGTATTGAAGAGCACGCATATCTTGCAGCCTGTCAAAAAAATCAATGTCCATGAAGCAACTTACATGTAATTTTACTACTTCAAGCTTGAACAAAGTCCAAACCAAACCAAGAAAAGTTTATTACATGTTCTTCAATCAGATAAATCTAAATCCATTTTAGCCTTCATCTTATTCTCAGAAGCTCCATGGTCATTTCAGGTGACAAGCACCCTTCGGTGTCCACCTTCCAGTTGACAGCTCAACCTACCTTCCATCTGTAACTGTAACCACCATATCTACATCCTTCTAGTTGGCTATTTCAAGTGGATTCCACCCTTGAAATAGGGGTGACTACCTTCAGAATTTCTATACTACATGCATTTTCTACTCGGAAGGGTTCAATTCCCTCCATTGTAAACGTTTAAAAAAAAATAAAAAAATAAAAAGACGGGGAAAAAAAAGTAGGGGTGGAAGGCAGAGAATACTCACTGCTATGGTTGAACTACCATTGCAACTCTCAGTCATGTACATAGAGATTTCATGGTAGTTATACAGTTACCAGAAACAAGCATGTTTATCTAATAACAAAATTTATAAGACAGAAATTTGCCGCTAGCAAGTATTACAAAACTATTGCACATAATACATGATACATTAGATATAGATGGGACAGAGAAACCTTGTTCCAACAGCCAGAAGAAATGCGAAAAGCCATCAGAGGAGTCTCATCTCCCACATTTTTCAATTGTATCCAAAAGAAAAGACGGTTTTATCTGACAATATTGACCCTAATACTCACAATGATTACAATTATCACTGTCGCCCATTTCCAGGCGTAGACCATTGAGGCAGCACTCTTCCACCAGCATTCTGATTAGTTTTCATATCCGAAGCATTCACTTCAAAGTCATAGCAATATAAGTCTAGTTCATCATCTATCAATTGGGGGTAATCAGGCTCCGCATAACTATAGGCCTCAATAGTTTTGTTCTGCCTCTTTGGTGCCTTTTTCTTTGACCGATCTGTGCTTTTGGTGAAGTCGTCGTCATCAAAATTTTCATTCCCATTGTTGTTGCCATCTCTTTTCCTCTTCATATCATTACTGTCATTGCTACTGGTGCTGTTTTTATCTGTTTTGTAGTATTCCTTTATGGCAGCTTCAATTGTTTCAAGTATCCGATCTCCATACTTGGCCAACTTACCCCTGAATTGAGCCAAAAATGTTGAGTATATTTTTTGTTAGGTAGGCAGAAAATAATATTGTTACGGTATAACTTACTTGCCAATGCCATTTATTTCAAGGAGTTCCTCCTTCGTTCTAGGAATTCTGCTGCTCATGTTCTGCAGCGTGGTATTCCTGACTCAAAAAGAACAGCAACTTATCAGAAGATATCATCTAAAGATCAAAGAACAAGTAGACACTTATAAAGACCCCTCGTTATAAAATTCCAACTCCGAATGATTAGCAACTTTTCCCAAGTAGTTTCCTTCCTCTCCTCCAGAAACAAATTGGTATTAAATAGATTTATTCTATTAAGTCGCAAACAAAAATAAAAAAGAGTAAGAATCTTACGCAAATATGTGGTATGCCATGACCCCATCAGCAGATTCTCTAACGAGATTAGTTCGAAGCATTTTCAAAGAAGTAAATATTTTGGTAGATAGATCCTGTTATGGAATTTAAAAGAAATTAATTAATTGATAACACACACATATATATATATATATATAAAACATATGTATACACGTATCCATATATCATGTAACAGAGATCTGTTTTTGCTGGCTATAATGAATGATATTGACACATTATCAATTGCATATCAATAGGTCCATTCTTTAATAAACAATGGACGTCCATTCCATAGTCACACACTATATATATATATATATATATATATATATAAAGAATAGATGTCATGCATAGAGAATTTATGTTTATATATAATATACATAAATCTACTATCTATGAATATACCGAATTTGCTTTGGATTGAGGTTGTTCAGTGCGAATATGTGGAGGACTCTGCTTCCCAGATGTCAGTGAGACTTTAGCTGAAATCACTTCAGAGTTTTTCTGTTTAGAAGCTTTTACGGAAGAAGGGAATCTACAATGTATTTAAGATGTCAGTCTCAATAGTGTTGTGTGCATTTTTGTACAGCAGAAAATAAACAAAATTACAGACTTAGATTGAAATGCACAAGACTATAAACACTTTGGTCAAAAGAAGTGTTTCCCTCTTTGCAGACAACTAGGCTCAAACAAGAAGTATTTCGTAGCATGTGTAATAAGATTAAATACAAAGAATATATTGACACGATGTTTCCAACACAAACATAAACATCTCTCTCTACTGAAACACTACACACAAGCAAGCAAAATTCCATGTATTATTGTGTGGCTGGCAAGAATGTAGCTGCATCAATGAATCAATGATGAATATCAAACCATATATAATATCATGCAACCTTACAAAAGCTTTCTAATAACAAAGGATGAAAGCTAGGCTGATAATTAGTGGCTTCAAAATACCACAGATGGCATGTGTAAAAGTCTCAGCTGACTAATAGATATTTTACAAATTCAGTATTAGTCCCATTAATAACTTACAAGTCGTAATACCATATAATTGACATTATAACTAACTAAATATGACGCAAACAAGAATAAATTGGTCTTATGTGTTTCGTGAATGAAATGAAACTCTACTTTGTAAGTGGTACAAATTTTTTCAGTTATTTAAGATTAGCCAACAACACAAAAACTTAATCAAATAAGTTGTGCCCATGAAAGACATTTAGATAAGCCAGATCCTATCCAAGATGTTATTCATAGTTGTAAAAGACCTAATTATTCTACACAAGCAGGCATGTTCACCGCAGTCGAAGGGCCTATGGCAAACCTGACTAGAACCTAGCAACCAAAACACCACATAGAACACATCCAATGTCCCATCAGCTGCAAAGTATAATGATATTAGCATTGAAAAAACTACAAAACCTTCCCCAATATTGCATGCACCTCTAAGAAAATTGACCAACTTATGATATATAACCAACACTTGAGAAGGGTAAAAATTTAGTAAAAATGAAAGCAAAGAATGTGTCCTAACAGTTTTGCACTACACAGTTTAGGGGAGACCACTCAAGCTGAACAGGGCCTTCTGAATAAGGTGGATCTACCACTAGGCTGTTCCTATTTGATAGTAATAGTAGTGGACACTCCTGCACATGCACAGTTGATGGAGATAAAAAAAATTCCTTAAGGATCTAATACAAAAATCTTTCACATATTAATACAATACTCACATGGAACAAGTAAACAGAGTAGTGACAATAAAACAGAAAGACAAATGTCTAAAACGCAAAACCTTATTAGAATTGTCTTCCTGCCAGAGAAAAGTTCACACGCTTTCAATTCATTAACCTGAAAACAAATGAAAAATGACACATGTAATTTCTATGAATAAAAAGGAAAAACAGATGATGACAGCAAGTGGCAGTTTCTTGCATTTCTTTCTCTTTTCAAGCACTATCATCTTTAATGAAAAACTTAGCATGAGTGGTTTGAAGGAATTAGAAGTACCTTTAGTATTGATGATACAGATCCATAAACATCACTTTTCTTGACTTCCTCCGAAAGAAGGTCCTCGGTAACAAGATGACGTAATACACGGGAAGCTTCACCCTTGGCTAGATGTTTTCCCACTCCATGCAAGGTCACAGTCTGATGCCTGTGTTCTTGACCTAACATTACAAATATAACATCAAAGAAGATAATGACAAAAAGTGGAAAGGACAGTGCATGTCTTAAAGTTGAAGCATACAAATTGGCTAAAGGAGCCCCTGTAGACTTCAAGAATATGAGATGACGAAAACTGCTGCCCTGTTAACTTCACCAGTTCAACCTAAGCACAACATGTGGCAAAAGTGACTACCCGAACAATGCAAGGATTGCAAAATTTACAAGGAAATGATAGTCATAATATAAAATTTGACAAACATCTCCCAAAAGAAGCAACCGAAAAGTTATAAAAGTTTCAAACCAGTTGCTTTGCGATCCCTGTGACATCCTTCTCCATGAAACTTTTAATCTTCAAACAATTATCACATGTCTTTTTGCATGTTGTACAATCAAATTTTTCTCCAAGATGAATAAGCTGTAGAATTCGTCGGCAATCAACATCGTTTTCACAATAACTGACCTGAGAAAGTTCAAGTCATTTAATTTAGTACATATTTGTTAAAGAACAAGAAATATATAATAATAGAAGCCTCAAAAACTACACATGAAGCCTTAATCAAGTACCATGCGCAAAAGATTTTCAGTATTTGTTTCCAGTACTCTCCCAGAATTAGCTGTATTGCTACGATTGTATCCAGATGCCAATGGGCTTTGCTCTATAACTCCTTGGCTAATCATATGTTTAACTCGAATCTGCAAAAGAATTGTAGAGACAGACATGCAGAGACAAATGAAAAAGAATGAAAGAACACATTAATCTCTACTGTTTTAGCATGATCAAACAGTCGAATGCAAATTCTTCCTTTTTTTTCTTTCTGTTTTTTCATTTATTGCTTGACATATTGACTCAGCACCCCAAACAAGTCTTGAACTGGCCACATCACCCTCCCCCACATAACCATGGGGACAGGACATTATGAGAGGACATGTCATTTGACCTAGAGGCCATTCGGGTTCCAATGCATTGTCCAAATACAGAACTGACAAGAACCAAGTAGACATTAGTTTTACTACTGCAACTTACATAGTCACTGTAACTGTAATACAACACACAAGATGAACGCTGACCATCTCTACCAGCTCGACCACACTCCTGAAACATAGTGACACAATGAGCTAAAAGAAATCAGTAATCTAAGCTTTCATGCATAAAACATTACTAAGAAATAAGCTCTCAGAAGCATTAAGCTAAATTCCAAAAGTTCAAAGTTTCACATCTAGATTTTGCAATCTTAAATGAGCAATTTAATACAATCTGATACCTGATGGTAGCCTTCGATAGACTTTGGGAGAGAGTGATGAATTACAAAGCGTACATCTGGCTTGTTGATACCTGAATTCCAATTCCAATGTTGGTAATAGTGACCTTAATTAATCCAGACAGAAATCAGCAAAAATTTATGTACCCATTCCAAATGCCACTGTAGCACAGATAATGTTGATTTCATCTTTACTCCACTGCTTCTGGACAAAGGCACGCTGAGCAGGATCCATACTACCATGGTAAAATGCTGCTTTATGTCCACATTCCTGAACAGGTACACTCTCAAATGAAACTTAATTCTTAGAGAAATAAATCACAACATAATTTGTTTTTTTTAAATACTCATGATGCTAACATTTCTTTTTATCTTTAGCACACAACATGCACGCAATAAGTTTTCATATGAATTAAGAACTTTTTAAAATATTATGCATCACCTTTTACATCAGGAACATCAAACATACATTTTTAATGTTATTAATTAAGCAAATGATCAGTCCCCATGTCAAACTTGGAAAAATTGTTTGTATAATGAAAAAGAAAAAAGAAAATCTCTCCTCACAAAAAAGAGAAGAGTAAGGAACACAATTCCAAAATGATATTCATGCCAAAGAGGAGCTGATTTAACTTTAATTGTTGAACTTTCCCAGACATCAAGGGTTCTTAGACTATGTTCCCAAGTTTTCTCTACAGAACATAAATTTCTTAGACTATGGCCCACTCCTCAATCAATACAGATTTCTGTACAGAAATTTCGCCAGAACACCAAGTTGCTGAACAGAAAAATCAGCCCAAATTTTTCTCTGCAAAAGTTGCTAAAAGTTCCATAAACAGAACAGATGCAAGAAATTGTATTGGCGGTTACATGCAAATCATAGAAGCCTGGAGTTTCTAACCAAGCTTTCATATATAAACTTGAGTTGCTAAACCCATAACGACAAAAGAAAGGTATATCTCCATGTCCCTTTGGCAGCACGCATTTTAAACATCATTTTAGCAAAATAAGCAGAGAAAGTGAAAAAATATGTATATCAAAAGTCATAGATTACACAATTAACAAACAGTAGCTAAATTTTCATGAAGCTTAAAGCAATAACTGAATAAGCAACAATAAAGACTTTCTAGTATAAAATACAGAAACAAAAAATAATAAGATAACAAGATTCCATTCAGCTACAAAGAGATCATGATAAAATCAAACCTGCAATCTCTCAGCAACTTTTTCACAGTCCATTCTCGAGAGACAATAAATTATTCCACTTTCATCATAATGATTTTCTTTAATGAACTTATCGATGTCATCTAGACACTTCTTAGTCTTGGGAATAACAGAATACCTGTGACGAACAGAATGAATCATCATTTCAACTTTGTATGACAGTTTGGGAAAATTTATGACTTCAACATAGATCAAGAGTTTATCTTTGTCCAACACTTGCCATAAATTTGGGCGATTAAAACTTTGCCGGAAAACAATGCAGTTAACAAGACCAAGAGCTTGCACAACATCCTCTTTTACACTAGCAGTTGCAGTAGCTGTTAAAGCTAACACTGGAGTATTTGGGAACTTCTGTTTCAAGATACCAAGAGCCTGGACATTTTAAAGAATAGCTTGACATTAAATGGAAAACAATCAAGAAGAAAAATCCAATCATAACGAACTCGAAATTTTAATAAATCCCCTACCTGATAATCTGGTCTGAAATCATGCCCCCACTGACTCACACAATGAGCTTCATCAATAACGATCCTAGCTAGCAACTGACGAGCATTTAAATTCTCCAACTGCCGTAAAAGAACATCACTTCTGCAGAAAAATAAAAATAAAAAAAAGATTGGTATCTTAAAAAGTTATGCAGTATTAACTTACTTATCTTTTTATTTAAAAAAAAAAAAAAAAAAAAAAAAAAAAAAAAAAAAAAAAAAGGTAATACTTAAATTATGACATTCATTTCAATATGCAATTGCAACAGACAATATAATAAGGCTGGGAACAAATAACTGGATGGCCCAATTCGTTATTTCCTTAAGTATTAACAGTAATAGAGTTGGGTGATAAAGGGGAGAGGAACAAATAATTCAAAACTCAAGGTTGGCACATAATGAACTAGTTTTAAGGTTGACTTGCACACATACTATGTGTGTAGAAAATTGTGAATTTGTGACTGAAATTATAGACAATATAATTACTGAGAGGTAAAAATCACCTGAACTAACCAGTAAATATCACATTCACTGTGGACAAGAAGTAACAATCGTAATTTTTTAAAAGATAGTTGGGTAGGTGAATTACCTTTGTACTCAAGATTTCCTTCCAAATTATAGGATGGCTGAGTTCGCAGAGTAGGTGAGGTCAAGTGGATTAGAATTTTCGATTTTGAAGAAACTTAGGAGAAGAGGAGATTGAGGAGCCTACAGCTCTATTGACAGTTTTGGAGAATTTTCAGCTGTTAACACATAGGCCAGATGGGAGGAAGCAGAAACTGGATTCATCAGGTCTTCTCTTGTAAGAGTTTGAAATTTTCTGTCTAATAGGCAATCGCTGCCTGTGTTCCAGCCTGTTAAAATGATTTAGAAATCTAATGTTCCTATTAAGGTTCATGTTCATGTTTTGGGTTGGATCATAGCTTTTGGAAGAGTAAATACTTGCAATTTGGTACAAAGAAGAAGATTCAATGTTTGTATTTCTCCTCAAAGCTGCATTTGTGCAAAAAAGAGGCAGAATCTGGAACTCAATTGTTTTTACATTCTCCGTAACTTCATATGCATTGCAGCTGTGGTGGCGGTTAGTCAAGGAGGCAAAGGTTAATTGGTTTCAAACATGCTTTGTGAAAAGTACGTCTTTTGGTGGCGGAAGGAATGCAAGAATTCGTGGAATTGTGCTGTGTTAGCTGTCTTTTGGGTAATTTGGTTGGAGAGAATTAAAAGAAAATTCAAGAGCTATAGTGGAGATATAGAAGAGAATTCTAGGGAAAGAGTCAGGCTTTGGGCATCCTTACGGGCTTCTCTTTTTCCAGCTTTTAGGGATCTTTCACTTTCTGTAATTTTTTTAGATTGGGGAGCTGCTGTACAATAGTTTTTAGAGTTCTTTTAAAATGTAGGTGTATTTTGTATTTGCTTGTTAGAACTGTATCATTTTGATGGCGGACTTCTGGTTCACTAAGTTATGTATAGAGATTGTAGTCCTTTAATAAAATTTTGTCTCTCATAACTTTTTTTTTATATTGTTAAACAAATTTTGAGAGAGATAAACATTTTATTAATCTATGAAATACTAAGACTTCTAAAGAACTCCTAGTCTTATGGTGAGTGCTGAATATAATACCAGAAAATCCCTGATTCACTAGAAAACCAATTCTGATATTCTACAGTGTGCTATGATAGGCATAAATGCTACTTCACACTGCCCTTATTAGCATACAACAACTTACTTATTTCAGTTGTAAGATTATAATTATCATGTTCGACATACCTAAAGTGTTGCTGTTGAAGTAGCAGAGGACATACAAATAAAGTGTTTGCAAGTATTAGATAACAAAAACTCACTTCGCAACTTTCTCTGGGGTGACATATAACAGCTTGTATTTACAATATTCAGAATTAAGCTCTCTAAAGATTTCCTGTTGTTCAGTCCACTCCATATTGGCACTTAGGTAAGCAGCAGGAATGTTTGCCTAGGGTATGCCAAAAGAGAGGACATAAGTACGCACTGTTGGATAGCAGGAAGTAAAATAATCTAAATGAACTAAAGGCTGGAAAAAAAGAAAAAAAATAACATTACCTGCAATAAATGCATTATTTGATCTTGAATAAGTGACACCAGGGGAGAAATTACCAATGTTACTCCTGGACAAATTAGGGCAGGGAGCTGCAAGATACAGAAACCAAAGTAAACCCTATAAACTGTTTAATGTCTGTCTAGTTTCCTGCAAAGAGGGAACCAACTCTGCAGGAAACAAATAAAGGAGATGCAAGTTACTTGGCCTATACATTGTGGGAAAGGTAGAAAAGTTCAAGAGCTTGTGGCCAAGAAACTGAACCGATAAACTAAGCATGCCCACACAGTCAAACTAATTACAAACTTAAGATGACCAAACCATAGAACTGCTTCTAGTGAACGGTATATGTGGTAGGCCTTAAAATGAAAGGAACATAATTGGTAACGGCCTTGAAACAAATTCTTTTACCTGATATGTCAAGCTCTTACCCCCTCCAGTTGGCATTAGAACAAAAACATCATAGCCGCTCATCGTAGCATTAATGACCTCTCTTTGGTTGAGGCGAAAAGAGTGATTTCCAAACACTTTCTTGTTATTGGCCTGAAAGTGATAGCAGTGAAACAACAATTACAAATTACAATGACAGTTAATGCCAATATGAAATATGAGAACGATTTAGATGAGCACCTCCAGCTTTTTGGTCCATGGGAAATTATTACCACTCCACTTGTTGTCATTAGAACCTTCAATGTAGTTAACTTCAACAAACTTTGGGATGTATGGTTCCCTCTCGACAGGACAAGATGAGAAACCAAACCCATCCACAGAAGAGAATGAAACTGATGACGAATTACATCTTTCATAATCTCCTGGAACATTATGTGATTGAACCTGTGAATCAAATCTCACGGTATCAGTCCTGAATGCAGCTGCTTGAGGTGTTTCATATTGGAAAGGCCTGGGAGTTGCTGTGGATGCAGAAAAATGTGACTTCCGTCTTTCCTCATCCAATGAGTTGTTACAAAGATATCTCTCGAGCTGCTGAATCTTCTTATTAAGCTGTAACCTAACAATTGGAATACACTGTTTTCCTTCATCTATTTGTAAAATATGAAAAATTATAATTAATGTGAAACAACAAAACAAGAAAAATATTCTGAAGCTTTGTGAGCTCTATATGACTTGTAGAGAGTCTAGAGACCCATAATTTTTTTTTCTCCATCCCATTATTTTCCTTCACTGGTTTCTTTTTACGTACAATTCCCTCTGTATATCTAGCTTGACTCTAACAAAGAAATTCAAATAACAATGAAAGTGTGTAGTATACAAACCTATCTTGGCGAAGCTTCTCTATTCGCGTTGGACTGAGATCATTAACATCGTCAAGCAGTTCATTGGATATGGTAATTAGCGTGTCCTTCATTCCTGCAAATGACTTGCAGCTTCTGGGCAAAGTCCTATCTGTATTAGATTCAGGAATTAGGCACATCAAGCTGACCACAGAATTAGATAGAACCACAAAAAGCAAAATACAGATGATAAGCATACCTTAAACCCATGAATGCAGTTTGAGCACAAATCTGGAGGCAAACTAGTCACCTCTTGTCTTGCAATGTTATCTTTATCTATAGATGGAGTAATGGGTGGAAGCTTGGAGATCGATGGTTGAGGTGTGCAACTTGATTGGTACTGTTCCACTATCTGGTCAACATCAATATTCTGAAACCAGAGTAAATGCATGAGATAGATGAGTGCAAAGAAATCAGCACTTGCATAAATCAAGACACCATAAAATAAGACTTCAAGCAAATAGAAACATAACACCTCATTCACCAACATCCACACAAGTAGGCCAAATGATATTGAACAAGTAACATGGATTCACTAGATGTCCTTTAAGTCAATATCCAAAATAATGCATAATTAAAGGTGTAAGAATGACATACTGGTTAGAAACTTTTCATACTGATTTTACAATAGTAGCCATATTCAGCAGATATTTACAAAAACTGCCAACTTAATACACGACAATTAAACCACAATGATTTAAAATAGTTAAATGAAATTTATGAATTACCTCAAGTATTTCATCATCATCATCGATGTCATTAACCAAAACTTTTGCAGAGTGTTTTATTTGGCTGGTATGGACACTATTGTTGCTAAATGATCCTCCTGGAACCCAAGAATCAAAATTGTTGACCATTGATGCTCTGACCTGACTTTGCCCCCCCAAAACAATTTCCGACATCTGCAACATTAACATTACTTGACGGAAAACGATTACCCAAACAGGTTGCAGCTTCATTGTTCCTGGAATTGGTTCCATTAATGTATTGATGTGTTTGCATATGTGTGCGACTCTTATCAATGTCACATGAGCTTGGCGTAGCAGTTCTTCCAACATCACGACAATACCTGGAACTAGCATCCTTAACTAGAACAGTTTTTCCAGGTTTTGTGTAGTTCCTATGAGAAATCTGAAGATTGGAAAGGGCATGCCAAGCCTGCCAAAATTATCCCAACCAGAAGAAAAAAAACTCAGGGTAAGGTGGTAACAAGAGTTTGTTAACACCAAAAAGATAACACAGTATAAGGAATGGAACTTAGAATTTTTACCAAAAATATATAAAGAAACACCTAAGAACCAAGTTAAAATGAAAATGGGATTACTCCTCATCCAACATGTTTACCTTTTGAACTTGTGCACTTGGTAATCTTCCAATATTCTGAATTTGGCAAGCCATTGAGCTAAAAAGCATGAATGGAAGCATTCTTAGAAAATCAAAGTCCAAACGAACTCTGGAGATGTATCAAGTTAAATGCCTTGAGATAATAATACATTAATTATATAACCATCCATGTGTGTTACAAGTAATGGATATTTCTAAGAGAAAAATCCACAAGCTCAAGGAATACCAAAAACGAGGGGAATCCAGAGTCATGAATTAGTAAAATGGAGGAAAGCAGAAGAGTAGGGACTAACTCAAAATTAGCTGAAATAAACAACAAATCCTGTAATTAACTGAAACGCATGAGTTATTTATTTATTTATTATTATACCCCAACCAAATACCACAATCACCAAGTAATAAAATTGTTGTGCAGTTGTCACCAAATAACAAAGTAATGCTGAATGTGATAACAGTAAAACATACCTCATAGCCGTTGCCTCTTGCGCATGAGGTTTTTGTGTTGGTAAGGAAAAAAGGAAATTTGAGCTCAAAACATTAGGGCTTGAGAAATTATCAAGTGCTTTGACATGTTCCGACAAACTAACTTTAAACGGCGTCTGGGCAGAGTTGGAACCTTGACCCAATTCGGTACGACTGCACAGCACATACCCACAAAACAAAACTCACTCAGAATAATAAAAAAAGGGAATATAACGGCAAAGTAAATGGCTATTGTCTTGCTACTCTTACGCTTGCCTCATATGTGATTCCCTCCTATGCATTGGTTTTGGTCAACATATTTGCATCTTCAGGCGCAAAGCAGCGTCTTCATACAAAATCTTTTATGCAAAAACCTCCTCAATCATACATCTGGATTAATTAATTAATTAATTAATTAATAAAGGAATGTTCTTCACACACACACACACAAAAAAGAATTCAAGCGTAAGGAAAAATGTAGCAGATTTATGATGACAATTGAAGTTAGTGGAAGTGTTAATAAGAAGAAAGTTCATACCTTGAATTGCAACGATTCAAAGACGCCCTGATTACATGGATGAGTGAGAGTGCGATGTCCAATGGAACCCTAGAAATGATTCAAACAGGTCACCTTGATTTTGGGCGCGCGTGTGTGTTTGTGAAGGGAGGAAGAGGAAGGGGTTGAGAGAGAGAGAGAGTGAGTGAGCGCGCTTCAAAATAAAGCGCGGTGTGACAGTGGCGGGATATTTTTTGTTTTTTTTCAAGCCTTTTTGTGTGTGGGTAAAATGTGGGAAGGGTTAATGACCTAAATGGTCCCTCAACTATCGCTATATTATCATTTTGGTCCATCAACTAAAATTTTCAATTCAAACGAAATTTTCAATTCAAACGTTTAAGGACGTTTGAATTGAAAATTTTAGTTGATGGACCAAAATGATAATATAGCGATAGTTGAGGGACCATTTAGGTCATTAACCTAATGTGGGAACAAGCCCGAAACAATACTTGGTATTTGGGGTGGATGTGGTCTGGTTTGATTTAGTTTTTACCTCACAGTGGAACAGGAATCCGTACTATTCAATCGGTGTGATTCGGTCTAATTTTGAGGAAAAAAAATTTATAAAACCAACCGGTTATTGGTTTGACCTAAACTAATTTCAAGGTGATTTACGATTTTTCCAATTTTGGACTGGATTTTTTATTATATATTTTTCAAAATAGTTTTTTTATTTATAACAATTCTAACTTAAAAATTTATTTTTTAGACTTAAAAATTCACAAATGACCCAATTTCATGCAAAGAGATATAATTGGGCATAGAAAAGAGAGATGCTTTGAAGTTGGGCTTGGGGAAATATTCATGTTGCTTAAATAATTTTTTTAAAATAAATAAATAAAAACACACCCGGTCCAGTTTGGTTCGGTACTGGTTTGTTGACTTTTAGTCAACATGATTTTTTCCTGTTTTTCTGTTCGATGTGGCTCAATGTTTCGGTTTTCCAGTCTCGATGCCCACCCTTCTTGGTATCCTATCCAAGTATGGAACTCAAAATTTGTGATTTTCCTTAAAAACAAGGAGTTCTCAAATTCATTTTTTAAGATTCAAAAAGTTGTTTGCAATGTCTAAAATATTGGGAGTTTTGGAAATATCGATATCGGTAAAAATTGAATAACAACCACATAAATTATAAGAAAGACTTGGAAATTTTGATTGAAACTTTAGAGGATATTTATTTAGTCAATTAGCTATTGTTTTATCACCAAAAAAACAAATTGGAAGCAAATGCATTGCATGGTAGGTTTGACTCATTTAAGTTTATTATATATAGCACAAACATTGTGCGAGTGTAGAAAATATGTAGTAATTAATGAAAGAAGATTAAACACACCATAATCATTTATTTATAATGATTTAATACAATATTTTACACTTTATACATTGCACGGTAAGATACATGGGTGACTTAGTATCACATAGAGTTCCTATGAGATTCAAAATTTTCATTGTCTTCTTCATCGTATCTACGTATAGAGTAAGTGTACTGTGAAGAGTATTCATCAAATGATAAATCCCCAAAATAGTTTGCATATAATTGTTAACATGCAAAATCATTTGAGGTTTGAGTCTCGGATTCTTTCCCTGGGGTGCTTAATTCCATCCCAAAAAGCATCAAATCTCAATTCCATCCCTAAATTATTGATATTTATACAATAATTGCATGGATAGGTTTCAAAATATCCTCCTCCCAAAAAAATGATATTATCAATATTTTAGCACGTTCACAGTCGGATATAAGTCTCCAAGTGACAGAATCGTTGCCCAAAAATAATAATATAAGTAGAGAAAGTATACAGGTAGAAGAGGAGAGAATTAGATTGTGGTGTTGATTGTGGTGTTGATTGTGGTATGTGATATTCTGATAGTATATCAAATGTGAAGGAGTAGTGGCCTTTTATAGGCATCCAAGAACATGTAACATTTACCACATTAAACCAGAAAATTAAGGCATTAAATATAGAAATAGTATATGAAAAAGGCATTCCTAAGAATGAGACAACATAAGTTGAAAATGAATCCCAAAAAATGTGTTTTTGGAGTTCAAGTAGGAAATTTCTTGGGTTTCTTGGTCCACTAAAGGGGCATAGAGATTGACAAAATAAAGCAAAATCCATCATAGAAGCTCTACCACCCCGGAACAAGAAAAAACTACAGAGTCTCCTAGGAAAAATTAATTTTCTAAGGAGATTCATTTCCAATTTTGCAGGAAAAATCCAGCCCTTCTCCTCCTTGCTAAGGTTAAAACAGGAACAAACGTTTAAGTGGGAGGAATAGCATCAACAGGCTTTTGAGGAAATCAAACATTACCTCTCAAATCCGCCAGTTCAGTCCCCACCAAAGAGAGGCATACCACTTAAACTCTATGTTTTTGCATCAAAAGTGTCCATTGGAAATCTGTTAGTTCAAGATAACAAGAAGGGGAAGGAACATGCATCTACTATCTGAGCAGAACTCTGACAGAAGTAGAAATGAAATATTCTGCAATTGAAAGGCTTTGTCTAGCCTTATACTTCACTGTTGTAAAACTCAGACACTACATGCTGCCCTTCACCATCTACATCATTGTCAAGACAGACCTAATCAAGTACATGCTAACAAGGCCAATGTTGAGAGGCATAATTGGAAAATGGACTCTGGCTTTGACAGAATTTGCTTTCAGATATGTCCCTCAGAAAGCTGTCAAAAGACAAGCTGTGGCAGATTTCTTAGCAGATCATCCAGGGGAAGAGATTGAAAACATGGATTCTTTGGATATAGCAAATGCAGATATGTTAACTAGAGCTCATACTTGCCTTAACAATCCCATCTATTTAGTTCACCTTACACCTTGGAAGCTGTACTTTGATGGATCAAAAACTGATGTAACTTCTGGGGTAGGGATTGTTTTAGAGGAGCCATTAGGGATCAGACACTGTTATTCTTTCCAGCTAGATTTCTAGTGCACCAACAACAGGGCTGAATATGAGGCTTTAATCGTTGGCCTAGAAATGCTGGTAGAATTAGGGATCCAATATGTAGAAATCATGGGAGATTCTATGCTTGTGTTAAAACAGATTACTAGAGAATATAAGTGTTTAAATCCTTCTTTAGCGATCTAGTGGCAGCCAAAAACCTTCTGACAGAATTCAGAGAAGCTACTTGGGAACACATTCTGAGAGAAGAAAACTTTGCAGCCAATGAATTGGCTCAGGTAGCAACATGTATATAAATGCCTAAAGACTGTATGCAAAGGATCATCAAGGTAGGAAAGAAAAGCCTACCATTTGTTCTAACCAGAGGAATGGAGATAGATGTAAATTCTACCATAATCACTGAAGATGATTGGAGAAATCACATCATAAATTACTTACAGTATCCAACCCTGCCTTATAAGAAGAGAGTCAGAATCATGGCTTTGAATTACCTTATGTGGAATGAAGATTTGGTCCGAAAAAGCAAAGATGAGGTACTTCTGAGGTGCCTGGGAAAGAAAGAATACATGAAGGTCATGGGAGAAACTCATAAAGGAATTTGTGGAGCTCATCAAGGTGGAAGAAAAATGTCCTGGTTAATTAGGAGGTATGGCTACTTCTAGCCAACCATGATGAAGGATTGCATTGAGTATTCCAAGGGATGTAAGGCTTGTCAAAGGCATGGCCCAATCTAGCAGGCTCCTTCAGTTCCCATGAATCTAGTAGTAAAGTCATGGTCATTCAGAGGATGGGCAATGGATCTCATTGGCAAGATTTATCCAGCTAGTAGCAAGCAGCATTGTTTTATCATTGTAGCTATAGACTATTTCACCAAATGGGTGGAAGCCAAGACTGTTAAATCCACTACATCTCAAGAGATCATCACCTTCATAGAAGAACAGATTATACAAAGATTTGACATTCCAGAATCAATCACAACAAACAGGGGATCTTCTTTCATATCTGAAGAAATGCTAGATATGGCAGAAGCATTCAAATTTAAGCTACTTCAATCCACCCCTTACTATGCTCAAGCTAATGGATAGGCAGAATCAAGTAATAAGGTGATCATCAACATTATCAAAAAAATTCTTGAGAAAAATCCAAAGCAATGGCATGAGAAGTTATCAAAAACTCTATGGGCATATAGGACTTCAAAGAGAGAAGCAACTGGCGTGACCCCATATGCTCTAACTTATGGTCATGATGCAATTCTGCCTACGGAAATAGCAGTCCAGTCTCTCAGAATTGCTCATCAACACGGTTTGGTTGGAGAAGACTACTCTCAAGCCATACTGCTATAACTGAAAGGATTGAATGCAGGTAGGATTGATACCCTCAACAAACTCTTAGCAGGAAAACAGGCTGTATCAAGGGCTTACAACAGAAGAGTTAAAAACAAGAGTTTTGAAGAGGGAGAAATAGTCTGGAAAGCAGTTCTGCCCCTTGGAACACATATAGATGGATATGGAAAGTGGTCACCTATATGGGAAGGTCCTTTCATAATTAAGCAAATCCTTGGAATGGGGGCATACAGATTACAGGATCGAGATGGAGATGTTCATGCTGCACCAATTAATGGCAAGTGGTAGAAGAAATTTTATCCAACTATGTGGGATTCACAGGCTGCACAAACAGATCCTGGGATAGAGAAGGAACAAGATGAAACTGTTGTTTAAACTACTGTTCAGAATTTATTTTTGTTCTGATTTGTTAAGTTTATTTCCTTTTATTTTTCTGCTTTATTTTATTTTATCAAAAGAAATTGAAAAATCCAAAAATTTCAACAAATAAATAACTTTTATTAGATATAGTCATTTTATGACTAAGTTTATTACAATTTCATAATTTAAATTTAAAACCCTAATTTCCTAAGGGTTTCTTGCAAACTGGTCTTCTTGATCAAAAGTTCCTTTTGGAGTAGCACCCCCGGGTGGATTGAGGCTTCTGCAATCTCCAATGCTGGCTTGGAAGCTAACACTATATTCTGCACGAGGAAGGTCATCTTGGTCTTACTGCTCAGTCCAACCTCAAGCCTGGTTTGCTTGCCCCTCAAGCTAGCCAGCTGCTTCTGAAGTTCTTCAATGTGCCTTTGCAATTTATCAGCAGTAGTCTTGGTCTCCTTGTAATCAGCAACCATCATATCCAATTCATGAGTAGCTTTGCAGAATTCAGATGCTTTAAAAGAAGGCTTGGGATCTTCATAGCGATTATGGAGATTAAGCACATCTCTCGCCAAGCCTAGGCTGATTTCAAGGATGGGCCTAGGAGCCATGTTTTCTCTATGCAGCAAGTCCAGGTCCTTCATCAGTTGGTCAACAGCTTCTTGGTTTTCATCCAAATCCAATTCAGTGGATTACCAGATCTTCACTCTATCCATTGCCTCATTCACTGCCTTGGATTTTTTCTTGCCTGGAGTGGAGCTAAGCTTCACCAGTTTGTCTAGTTGGGCATCTAGGTCCATAGCTTCAAACTCTACCAATTCTGGATTAGCAAAGGAGGCCGTGGTGGATGAACCTGGAAGAGAATGGATGGGCATCTACAAAATAAATTCAAGTCAGTTTTTTAGATAAAGTTAGAATAGGAAAAGAAAGAAAGACTAGGGTACAAAAATACTCACGGCAACGATGGGAGGCTTTAGAGGGCTGGTCACCACTGCCAAGATTCCAGTAATTTTGGGCACTTCTACCTGGAAAGACCAAATAGTTAGAAAGGCAAAGACAAGACAGAATTGCAGAAAACGAACAGAGTTAAAATAAGAACAGAAAATTACTGCAGCAGCTACCCCCACTCCAGATCCTGGGACTGCAACAGGAAGTTCTATCTGCTTCACAGGCTCTGATGCAGATTGCTCATCTTGTTCCTTAGATGCCAGAATAGCAGTAGAATGCTCTGCCTCTGCATTCTAGAAAAGGGCCAACTCCGAGCTGGTTAGTTATGCCCTTGGGATTTCCTGTTGTTTCTGCGCCAAGGCAATACTTTTTGCTATTACCTCAGCAGGAATCTCCTCTTACAAATGAACAGAAGTCAGAAGTTGGAAGTCAGAAGAAGAAGAGAAAATGTAAACAATCGTGCCACCAGAATGAAATCTCACTTCTTTTTCTAAATCTTTCTCTTTTTCTTTCTTCGACGGAACATCTCCTTCTTTTTCTCTTTCTTTCTCCTTCTCCTGCTCAACAGCTTCGAAAGCCTCTCGTAGCTCATCGTCAGTTCCAGAAGTCTCAGTTGGAACAGCTGCAGGCTCTTCTAACTCATCAGATTCAACCCCGGTCCTCTTTATAAGTTTTTTTTAACTTAGTAGGAGGAGGAGGAGGACTTTCAGCTGCACACAACAATGAATGAAGGTTAGAAGAATGGGCAAAGCAGAACATATTCAAGGAAATAGTTGGGAATGTCAAAATCTTACTAGAAACTTCAAGCTGGGCAGCGCTGGCCGGAGGAGGAGCAGTTTCTTTTCTTTTCTTTCTAGCAGAAAGAGTGGCCTCAGTAGGTGGTTGTTTTGCCAGAGTTTCATCCTCTTCATCTCCAGAGGGAAGCTCCAGATCTCTAGCAGCAATGACAGAAGTAACTGCACAGAAAATAGACAAATCAGAAGCCAATCCAGCAGGAAAAGATAGAAGAAACAAAATGAGGGAAATCTTACCAATCACTTCTCCAGCCTGGACAGACTGACCACCTATGTTCCTTGTCAGAGAAGGATCTGTTGCAGGCATAACAAAATGTTAGAATCCATCACAAATAGAATCAAGGGTCTACCTTCTATGGCTTGAGCATTGATGGCCTTGATGGTCTGCACCATGAATTTGTGAGTCTCCTCTCCTGCATGAACAACCTAGGAATCCCAGCCATCAAAGAGGTTTTTCAGTGCAATGCTGGAGGCAGCCAGGCCTTGGAATCTAGCTTTCCACCAAGCGTCAAACTAGGTGGAACTGCAGGAATTCGGTTCCCAGGCTGGCAGCTCCTGTAGGATTTGAGCAGAATGAGCTGAGGACAACCAAGTTGTCTTGCGCAGAAGTTGGGATGATAGACTTCTGCCCCCAAATGATAATTTGGAGGCTTTCCACCTCCATGAGGCAAATCTCTCGGCATGGTAACACTCAGGAATTTCTTCCTGAAGTCTGTTCTGGCAGATTCCTCTTCTGGCTCTCTTTTAAACATTCGGTATCTAGGCTGAAACCAGGGATAAGTTCTTTTGAGCACCACCTGCCATTGAGCAGCAGACCTTTTGGTGCAGTGCCTAAAGAACATCAGGTACTCCTTGATTGAACGCTTGGGCACTTTTGCCGACATCAGAGGGAGAGCAAGGACTTGATCCTCAGGTAGAACTATATCTGGGAACCTCAGTTCTGGGAAGTAAACCTGCAGCCAGATCTAGATCATCCAGAATGCGCCGGGGGCAGACAAGTTTAATGGATTCTCCAGGGTGGCAGTGTGCAAGTTCTTGAACAAATGAGCCAGAATTGTAGGCCCAAGCCCAACGTTAGTGTGGTTGTGCAGGGCTTCTGCCAGGTGCCGGTACTCAAGCAGAACTGCCGAGGAATGGTTGGGGAAGATGAATCTATTCAACCAGTACAAAAGGAACATCATGTGTTGCTGATCCTTGTCATTCTCAGCACTAAACTTCCTCAAATAATTAGAGAAAGAACAGTTCTAGTTGATTGTGGCTGGAGAGATAGTGAATGGCTTGGACAGTTTTTCTTGGTTCTTTCTTTGATGATAGTCACCAACAGCATCAACAAGACTTCCATGGGGCCTGAACCCAAAGATCTGAGCCATATCCAGCAAGGTTGGTGTCATCGGGGCCACACAAAAATCAAAGGTATTGATGGCAGAATTCCAGAAACAGAGGGCAGCGGCAAGCAAGTTCTCATCCTTGTTGATGGATTGCTTGGACAGGAGAATGGCATCATAGATTCCGGCTCTCTTCCAGTGAGCTCCATATCTCGGAAGAAGTCTGTCAATCTAGTCTGCCCACTTGACTGGATTGTTCCTCACCTCACTGGATGGGAACGAACGACTCAAATTCTTGCTGACCCAAGAATGAGAAGCCAGGGCAGAGGCACTTTGGAAACACAAAGGAGCTTCAGCATCTTTTTCAAACAGCTCTGCCATTTCAGCAGGGACATGGCCAAACCAGTGGGGACCTAGAACTAGGGTATTCTCAAACAAGTGGAGGACATTTTCGTCTAGGTTTTTCTGGGCAAAAGGATGGAGCTTGCTCCGAACCTTAATGGTGTGCTTATCAACACCAGCCCCAGTAATGTAGGTAGGAGGAACAGAAGAGGAAGACTGGGCACGGGTTTTTGGAGATGACATTTTCAAGAGTTAGGCTAAGAACAGAGGAAATAATTCAGAAAAAGTCAAAAGTCTGAGAAGAGCAAAAGATTATGAGAAAATCTGGAAAGAAAACAAAGTCTAAAAGGGTTAGGTTTTTCGAATGAACAGGAACTGTTGGGTTTTAAAAACTTCTTTAAAAGAGCTTGAAATCATGGAGAAGATGAGGCGTCATTTGATGATGGCTAGCTAATAACTAGCTAGTACCTACCCAATTTCCCATGAAGTCTAGCTCAAGAGAGAAGACATAGCACACGTGGGTTAATCGAAACGGAAGAGAGTGGCGGGCAACATTAATGGCCAATTGATCAATCAATAAAAAAAAAAAAAAAAAAAAAAAAAAAAAAAAAAAAAAAAAAAATATAAAACAGGCATTGTTTGGGCCAAAATTCTGCACACACAGCCCAACACTAAAAGCCCAGAGAAACAAAACGAACTACAGGACCCAAGCAGTACTAGACTTTGCGATTAGAAGAATCAAGGGCCCAAAATCCAAAAAGCCCAACCTAGGATCTATAAAAAAAACTTGGGCTTCGAAAAGAAGAAAAAGAAATCAGCCCATAGCTCCAGAAAAATCAAAAAGGGCTTGGCATGAATAAAATAGAAGAAGAAGCCCAAAAGGAAACAGACCCACGTGGATCTTTTTTCTCCCTGACTTAGAAAAGTCAACAATTTCAATTGGGTTGACAAGGAGTTGACAAAGGCAGGCGAAAAGAAGGGACATCTCTAAATCTCTGCCACCAGAAGATCAAAGTCCCTTTTATGTATTCAAAGATATTGTTTCTACTCCAAAGAAGGCACCATCTTTCAAAGGATACACAGACTGTGTTTTCCAAAAAAGATAAGCAGGAAACAGAGAGTTGTTCAAACTGGAAAATCAAACTAACCCTCACAGGGGGCAGTTGGAATTAAAGAGAGGTTAGGTTTTTTTTTATAAAAAAAACAGGGAAATAATTGGCTTAAGAATTGACCATTGAGGGCTTATCTGCCAGAGCTGATAAACCCCTTTTTCATTTTTTTTTACATTTAAAAATGAAAGATCTTTTGGGAAATTTTGCCGCCCATTATTAAGAGAAAGAAGCCCCAATCAATCAAACAACCAAAAAATCAACCAAAGACAAAACTCAAATGATCACTTGATCTTTGAGAAACCTTCAAACAAACTAAAGCAACCAAAAAACTCATTTGAGCCCCAGAAGAAGCTAGCTATAAATCAGAACTTCCAATTCGTACTTAAGAGAAATAAGTCATTCAAAACGAGATTTCTTTCGTTACAAATTTGAAAACCTCAAATATTAATCAGGTCAATCAATTAAAGATAATCTGGTTAAAATTGCCAGATTATGGGAATTGATTTAAATCAAATCAAAATCCCACAAAACAAGGTTTTAAATAAGGAAAGTTATTTAGGTCAAGCATCCTACCCCGTTTGATCAAGATCAAGTCTCTGCGACCCTTGCATCAAACACAAATTTTGTTTATACATTTTGGAGATCGAATCAGAGGATTCAATACAGAGATTGTAACCCTAAATTTCATAAATACAAATATTATTTTGTACACGTGTTCTTGTCTCATTTGTCGCAGGAAATTCGTGTTTACAACATCCACCCGAAAACCTACAACACCAGAACAAAAAGAAGAAACCAAAAAGACCTATCAGATATGCTCCTCCACCTCCACCTCCACCTCAGATATGCTCTTCATAAACATTATTCGTTTCTTGATGTCTTTTTTAACTGTCTTTGTTTCTCGATGTTGAAGAAGTAAAATATCACATTGGAAACTTAAATTAAACACAATATATAATTGAGTGGAACGTATTCAATTGTCCAATCCAAAGGATATAGTAAGTAGTCATGTGTTTGTACTTTTCCATATTTCAAATATCCAAGCAATTTGTTGAATGACTGAATTCATCAATTCAAGTCATTCAACGTTAAGATTGCTAGTTTATGAAATCTAAATTGGTTAACATATTCAAATGCATCGTTTGCATATGGACTGCTTCAGCCATCAGGCAAAAACAATTCAGCACAAGCTTTAGTACAAGAAATAAAAAATTGGGATGTGAATTTTTCGTCAGAGGTGGTAATGAATGGGATAATATGGTTTAACCATTTTGGTGTTATACTGCAAATACAACACATTAATTTGTTCTTAGTATAGTTTGTTGAAGAACATAAAGTCCCATATCAAAAACTTGACTGAATGAAATGCAATATATAATGAATTGCACCACTCTTAAAAACACTGAGGGCCACTGTGATAAAACCCCGCACTACTAGATAATGTAGGTGGTTAAATTGGAAATAATATTGATGTTGTTAGTAGTGGGCTATTACCCAGGGGTGGCCCTGAGGGTGTGCAAGTGGTGCCACCGCACAGGGCCCCTAATTTTTGAGGGGCCCCGATTTTTTTTATGTGTATAATATATGTTTAACAAATGTTATATATATACTGAGTGAGCAAATTGTTGACACAAAGACGTTCCTAGTTGTGTTGGTTTGCAGGGCCTCAACTTTTATTCAGGGCGCGAGTTCAAAACCCGCTTGTGTTAAAGGCTTGTCCGATTTCAACACCAACATTCAATATCCCAGCTACTTTCATAACCATAAACTGAAATAATAAATACTTTAAACCCTATGCTCAGATATTCAATTTTGCAAAAAATAATGCATCCAACTAACTCAACCAAAATAATTGCATCAAATTAATGATGTTCCTAGAATATTTATGCATCCAACTAACTCAACCAAAATAATTGCATCGAATTAATGATGATATTGATACAAAATAATTTAGGTGTTAAAAAATATTTAATATCTGAATATGATCTATGATGACAAAGACTCATCATCACAATCATGGTGATTATTCAAAAGGTGTAACATCCCTGATCCAATTTAATTCTTTTGTGAAATTTCAATTTTGTCCTTGGGAGTAGGGGTACTTTGGTCACTTTAAGAAAAAAAAATTTATTGTATGGCATTACGTAATAGTGTAAGTTTGTGTTAGCTTATGTGAGGCCCCAATTTAAGGATTGCACAGGGCCTTCAAAATCTCAAGAACGGCCCTGCTACTACCCGCCTCTTTGAAATTCTCTTTGAAATTTAAAATGGTATCAAAGCGGAGCCAAGCCCACATCGGAGTCAAATATTCAAGCTCAACGCCATATATTGGGTAAGAGTAAACATTCAAGCCCATCATATAAACACCACATATTGAATAAGAATAAGGGTAAAGGCCCAATAATTGAGGATGCATATGGCTATAGGACGCCAAAGTTGATTGCCGTTCAAGTGGATCCACGGTCCCGAAAGCCTTGACCTTTGCTTGTGAAACACGCAAAGACCTCGACTTTATTTTCCCCATGTGGTGTTTACTGGCATTATATATAATATAAGGTGGGGGTGGGTGATTTAGAAAGGAGGAGGGGAACTTATACCTGTCTATCATAAAAAATGGTTCCCAAGGCCAATGCTGTTTACATGAGTCTCTTCATCCTATTGCTGTTGTTCTCATCCAAAGTCGTGTTTGCTGGAGTTTCCCAATTTTCAGAAACCGGTTAGTCTCTTCCCAAATAGTTAAATAGAGACTAAAAATAGTTTAGGAGCGCCATGTTCTGAAAATAAAAGAAATCTCTCTTTAGGAGCGCCATGTATATGTATGTGTACATTGATAAATTGTTTAGCATGATTAGTTATTAATAAAGTTTTGTATTCTCATTACAGAAGAGAAGATCGATACGGACTTTTCGAAGATGAAGATTATTAACCATGACAAGTCAATAGACCCACATAAAAAGCCACGAGGCGCTCCAGGGACCCGTTAAGTGTGCGGACTGTACCAGCAACAAGAACATATAACTGTTCTTTACCAACCATAAACCAGAACGGAAATAAGGATGATTTGGTGCTTATAGAAATATGGATCTGGTTGATCGACTTTGGAGGGAATATAATCCTAGGTCATCTCATAGTTTTCCGTATGGTTGTTCTTGTAGGCTGTATAAGTTTTTTGCCTCTTCCTTCTTTATTGGCCATCGCCACTTTACTTGCTTACATGTATTCTATGATCATGCAAAGAACACAGCACAACAAAAACAGATGTTTTAGTACTTTTCCATGTATTTCAAATGTCCAAGCAATTTGTTGAATGACTGAATATTCGTCAATCAAAGTCATTGAACGAGATTGCTAGTTTATGAATTCTAATTGGTAGTGCGTAACATATTTAAATGCATCCATTGCATAATTATATGGACTGCGTTAGTCGTCAGCCAAATTAAATTCAGCACGAGCTTTAGTCTTAGAAATTAAAATTTGTGATGGGAATTGTGGAAGCAAAATATCTACCGATCAGGTCAAATAATTAAGCCAATCAATTTGGGAATTATTCGACCTACTTGGGAGTTATTTGATTTAATTGGGAATTATTTGATTCTTGCCTTAATTAGGGATTTGATTTAAATCAAATCCTTAATTACATCAATCTCTCCAAATTGGGGAAGAATAATTCCTTTTCATATCTGGAATTATTCTTCCGAAACCCTAGCCTCCGAGGCTCCTACAAATACATGGCTACACCAAGGGTTGAGGTACGTCAAAACTTTTGTCTGAAACTCTGCAAAAATTCTCTCTCACAAACCTTAGCCGCCATACTCTTTCTCTCACACACATAAGGCTCCGGCCACCACACAGGGCTCCAGCCACTCGGTTCTCACCCTATAGAAATTTCCATCTTATTGTTAGTTATTGTTTTCTTACAAACACTCAACCTAACTTAGACATCGGAGGATCTTTGGCCAACAACCTCGGGTGCGGTCTTTTACTCTGTATTGTTTTGCAGGGAGAAAGATAAGCGAAGAGGAAGACGGAATGTTTAGACGAATATTCTTTGGGAACGAAAATCGCTCCCACAAATTGGTGCTTTCATTGAGAGCACGAAATAATACTCAAAGCGTGCTTAAATCCATTTTTCACAAACAAACGTGTAACAAACGCAACGATCGATGCTCACCAACCCACTCGAGAACTAATACACAGCAGCAAGCTGTAGAGGGATCCTCACAATCTAATCTCTCAATCAGCTCCACTGGCAGAACAGCCAAGGGGATCAACCCTTGGAAGTTGAGAAGGAAGTTATCCAGCGGCGCTTGAGACACCGAAGACACCGACCCAAGCCACCAGCCCTTTGAGTAGAACATGTCGAGAGGCTAGTAAATGACCGACTCCAGGGTCTCCAACTTAAGGAAGCACGGAGGTAGCTCTGTGCAGGGAAATTGATTGAGTCAACTCCTTGTCCTTTAACAACAAGGTGGAGCAGGCTACACCTTTGAAGTAGTTCACAACGTCGTCCATCACACCATTCAAGGGGTACTCTGAACCCAATGGCCATTTGAGGCACTTCAAGAGCACCATGATCTTGTACAAGGCAGACGACTCCCTGGTTGTAAAGTGTTCGCAATGACTTTGTCATGAGCAACTCAAGACTAGTTTCACACTCTACCATCCGCATCGATAGACAGATTCAAGGAGTTCACTCTCATTTTCACGAAGGAGCATAACTCCTTCCAGACGGTCAAAGAGCATGTGGACCACCAGTTCAACTGGCACAAGAAGCCGGACGAGTCTCTTCGAGAATACCTCAGAAGATTTAAGGCTGAGAAGGCAAACATCATAGGATGCAATGACCTAGTTGCATCCTTAGCTTTCAAGAAGGGCTTGCCAACCAAACACGAGCTATACCGTGAGTTGGCCACAACTCTGAGCCAAACCTTGGCAGAATGCTTCGTGACGACAAAGTGCTACGCACTCTGGGACGATGACTGCATTGCCGCGAAGAAAGCCAGCAAGTAAGCTGACCACCCGATAAGGCAGAAAAGCTAAAAGAGCAACAAGTTCGAACACGAAAACCAGGACAAGAGCATATCGCGGCCCAAAGACGGAGTCTCGGAAACAAAAACCTTCACTGAGTTTACTATCCCGATCCACCAGATCCTAGCACAAGTGAAGGACAAGTCGTGGGTGAGGAGATCGCAACCCTTAAAGAGAGACCCGACTAGAAGGGACACCAGTAAATACTGCGCATTCCACAAGGAGCATGATCATTACACCAATAATTGCAATGCCTTGAAAATGCACCTCGATGAGCTGGTAAAAAACGGCCATTGCACGAAATTCATCGCAAAGAAGGTCATCCAGCAGAGCGAGGACCATGATGCAGTTGCCAAGGAACCTCCCCAAGAAGTCATACGGATCAACACCATTCTAGCTAACTCTTATGAGTCCGGGCTGACCACTAAGGAGGGCAAGAGAAAGATAGCACAGGCGACTTATGTCTCCCAAGTCACAACTAGCGAACTAGTCATTGAAGACGCACCCATCATCGACGTATTATCAATTACAAAATCCCATAAACAAATAGTCTTGTTTCGAATTATGTTATAAGTCATCGCTTTTTCTATTTTGCAGACATGAAAAACCTCCAATAGCGCTGGTTGTTATATAAATGCTAATGCTACTTCTAATTTTAGGCATTAGTGATCATAGATGTTTGGTGGTTGTTTTAATCTTTTAACTTTAGTTATTTTCTGCAAAACTGAAGTTGTTATAAACAATAGGCATCACTTATGTAAGGAAAGTGTAGACATTTTGCATGATCCACATCACACTTTACTTGGTTATTGTCTTAGAATATCAAAAAGGCATCATTTCCAAATCATGTTGTGTTGCCATTACTGATAAAAAAACATATATATAAATAGTAATTTAAATATATGCATACTTGTCTATATATATAAGCAAAACACTTGAATGATCCGTACTTGTCACATCCGAATCACAATTTTTCCAGCCCCACACCACAAATTATCCGTACTTGTCTATATATACGCAAAATACTAGTTAGAAAGACATGTAAAATGAAGGAGGAATGTTTAGTTCAATAAAAAAGCCATTATAGGGCATGAGTTGCCAATTCTTCTCGCACCTCATCCAATTCCATTTGGATATACGTGTCCTTCTGTCTAGCTTAACAAAAAAAAAAAAAAAAAAAAAAAAAAAAAAAAAAAAAATGTAAATGTATGTAAACAAACACGAACTGCAGAAATATGAACATTTAAAAAGTGCAAGGTACTAAATTATTTCAAGTATATTATTTTCTTATAGATGAAATTAAACTCTGAAATAAATAAGCCATGTACCATAAGTGCAAATATATATCAAGCATGCACAACATTTAAGAGTGAGATAAGAATTCATAAGCCACATGTACCATAAGTACAAATATATATTATTCTCTTATGATACAGAGATTGAAGCCAGCCATAGCATGATCAACAACTAAACACGCAACATCAACTGGTTCAAATGGGTGCTTTAAATATCATGCATGACAGATGCAAGCTAGCAAAACTTCAACATCTAAATGGGTTTTAATAAAGACCCATGAACCTAGGCATGCTTATAAGATTCTTATATTGAGATACTATAATCACTGTGGTTAATGCATTTCATCTTACAGCATGATTCAGACATAAAAACACTTATCACTTTCACACAACCTGTTTTTCACAATATTACAACAAGCTTGTGACACAGGAATAAATTATTTAAGCTACATGCATATTTTTTTAGAATAAAGCCAAACTCAAAGAATTAGTAGAGTAGAAGCATAGTATTCTCCAAAAAATCCTTTCGTAAGACAGACAACAGAAAATTTACGTATGATTATTAATTACCTCGTTCCAGTTATTGTTATGAACTGCTGGAGCCTTTCCTGGTGACCTCTACCCAATTTGTGCTGTCAAAATGAAAAGGTGAAGCGGGGGAGACCATGAGGGAGAAAGAGAGAACAAAGCAAAATTATGCATGCGTATCAGTTGTGTGTTGCTAATCAAAGGTTATTTTTCCGTCAAGAAAATCTAAAATATAAGAGAATAGTCTTTAACCAGACCCAAAAGGAATTTGAAGTAGGGTGGGTCCTAGAAAAAAAGGCAAAATTAGGCACAAGATACTGTCTGAATGAAGAAAAAAATTTCAGAATCGGAAGCAGTAGAGTTGAAATGACATAGCAATACAAGGTTCTCCACTCAAAAGGAGCTAGATTCTGAACATAATAACAGGGACAGCTATTCCATATATTTTGCTATTTCTTCCCAAGCTATTCCATGCATGAATCTCCAACCATCATTCTTTCACTGGGTTTAACTTCCCAAGCTGAATATATATGCAGTAGTGGAGCTGGATCTGGTTTGTAAGGTCGAAATTCCCTGCTCAGAGCTGGAGAAAATGTCAACTGCAGCAACTATAACACAGAAAATAAGATATCAAAGTCCACTATTGAGTAGAAAGAACGTTAACAAAGGAGATGAGATCAAGATGGGTGGATTCAGTTAAAAAAGAAAGAAGGGATGGGGTTGATTCAGCAAGAGCAGAAAGTATAAGTTGGCTATGTGAGGAACCATATTTGAGTTGTCCAACAAGTTTTAATTGTCCAAAACGTAGGCATGATAAGTACTGTATCAAAAATAACAAAAAGTGAAGAAAGAGGGAGAGGGAGGATAGCAAGAAAATGGGAATCCAAAGACATTTAAAGGGAGAAATTCTCTGTGATTTAATCTAAAGACATTAATAACCCACTTTTTATGAGACATAGACAATTTGTTGAAGAAAATGCAAGAAACTGGGAGATTCTTTCATATTGAATCCAAAAACACGTCTCTCATATTTTTCTAAAGACATCTAGGCATCATGAGTATGAGCACAAACAATTTGAATTCTCCTCATGGGGAGGCTTGAACAAGATCATATTAGGGAATAACAAAAACTCCTTTTGCATTAAGAACAGAGGAAAACATATGTACCTGAGGACAAATCAGAGTTAATGCATAAAGCAGCCCTGTTATCATGTTAACATTGCAGACAGTCAACCTTATTAGCGTATATGGTTGACAGATGTTGCTTGGAATGTTGGATTTATTCCCCAAACAAAAACACATAATAACTAAACGACTGAATTGTAATGTGTTCTTAAGACAAAAGAAAATAATATGGAACAGTAATAGATGAATAACTGTTTACGTGCAACCACATAAGGCCAGAAAACAGTTCCAATTTTTTTCGAGCCTGTCACAACTAATTATACACCTTTCCTACAGCCTCATTCGATCCATATTTGAGCCGGATAAGCGAAGTAACAGATTTTTTTGGAGTTTCACCACAAGAGGACACAGAAGGGAATGAAGTAGGACCAATGGGAGGAGAAACTTTGGTCCGACTGGGAGGAATATACCTGCCACCAAAATATATGGATAAATACACAAAGCCTCAGTAACAAATATCCTTTATGACATAAACATGCAATGCCTTGTTTTTGGTAAACATAAAAATTTGTTTTCAAAAACTGCACCATGGGTTTACCAGCCAAGTAGACAATATGTGCACAACAGTTCAAAAACCACAACAAAAAACAAGACCCAAAAGGAATTTGAAGTAGGGAGGGTCCTAGAAAAAAGGCAAGGATAGCACAAGATATTGTCTGAATTAAGAAAAAAATTCAGAATCAGAAGCAGTAGAGTTGAAATGCAACATAGCAATACAAGGTTCTCCACTCAAAAGGAGCTAGATTCTGAGCACAGACAAGTTGATAATCAAACCAGAAGTGAAATTACAAATCATGGAACACCAAATATTTTTTTTTCTTTTGGTGGGTGGGAGGCAAACCCCCATTAGTCTATAGGGTTACCAAGAGTTTCATGATAACTGTGGGAACCGAATTAAATCTAAACCCTAGGTCAAATAATTCCTTCCATTTGGGGATTATTTGACCTAATTGGGAATTATTCAACCTAATTGGGAGTTATTCAATTTAACTGGGGATTACCCAATTAAATTGAATGTTACCTAATTAGGTCAAGAATTGATTTGATTCCTACCACAACTCCCAATTAATTGGGAATTACCTGAATTAATTGGGAGGTTATTTGATTCGGATTGGGTGTATTTGACTTAATTAAGGATTTGATTAAATCAAATCCCTAAATACACCAACCTCACCAACCTCACCAACCTTGTTGAAGCCCCCTATAAATACTTGGCTATGCACAAGGATGGAGGTATGTCAGAACTACTACTAAAAACTCTGTAGAGATCTTCCCCTCATAGACCCTAGCCACCTCCTCTCTCTCTCTCTCTCTCTCTCCTCTCTCTCTCTCTCTCTCTCTCTCTCTCTTTTACATAAGGCTCCGGCCGCCCGGTTTATACTATAAACACATCTCCATACCCTATTAGCTATTGTTTTCTATATGATTCAATTGAACTAATTTAGGCATCGGAGGGCCTTTGGCCAACAACCCCCGGGTGTGGTCCTCTTATTTGTTCTACTTTGTAGGGAGAAAGAAGAGGCGAAGAAGAAAGGGGAATCTTTCCAATCGAATATTCTCGTGGGGAAATTTGCTCCCACAAATTGGAGCTTTCATTGAGAGCACGAGTTATACTCAACACGTGCTCAAGGAATCTGTTCCTCCTATTTTCCAATCCATCGAAGCCTTCCAAACAACCGTGGTTGGAAGCAAGAAGACGAGAGGCAAAATAGCTGCGATGGCTAAATCTGAGACGGCCCAAAGCCACTCCACCCACGATCCCGCGATCGACATGGTGGCACCACCACCTCTCACCACCGTGCCACCCACCGGACTCGCAGCTGATACCACCGCACCAGCCGCCGCTGCTGAACATGGTGGAACCTCCCATCTTGGAGCAACTTCAAGAGTTCCCTCCATTGCTTCCACGCTAGACGCACGCTCTCGCGTATACCTCCAATGAAACCCTAGCCCATGTGCAATTGGGCTCCACAAACTTCTCTCCTCCTGATCCATGAAGTCAAGCGGACCTTAGCCTGAGAGTTGACCGGCTAGCACAGAGAATGGACGACCAAAGCAATCTGATGAGGCAACTCCTCAACCAAATAAGCTTGGCTCAAAACCTTGGCCTTGGACAACCGGGCAAAGAGGGAAGGATGGACGAACATGCCGATAGGCAGCTCGACGGGTACCAAGCAGGTCAAGCAGGAATAAGTAGACAAGGCGAGGGACAACACCGTGATCGACCTGCCAACATGTCGCAAGCATCTGCAAGCTACACTCAAAGCAGATTGAGTTTAAGGAACAACGTGCAAGAAAGGCTAGGCCCACGACTTGACATCCACGCCCGCAGGAAAATGTACATGAAAGGCTAAGCCCCTAGGGAGGTCAACTAGACAACCATCACAATGAGGACCATGAGGAAAGGCACTCCGCTGCTCACTCTCGAAGAGTCAATTCTCATCGACAAGCCACAGAAGATCTTTCACAAGCGCAGTCCACCAACATGCTGCCTAGGCAGCACAAGCGAGAAGGTCGACCCTTACAGACCAACGAGGAGGTCAATCAGCGTCGCCCAAATCGCGGAGGTCGCCAACGAGACCAACCAACAATGTGTGCGGAAGACATGGAGAAGCTTGTGAATGACCGACTTCGAGACTTGAAGACTGGTGGAAACTTCGAAGACGCACTACGTAAGGAGATGGACTAGGCGAACTCTACACCTTTCACCCCTAAAATCGAGTGGGCTACTCCCCCGAAAAGATTCTCAACGCCTTCGTTTACACATTTCAAAGGGGATTCTGATCCCGAAACCCACCTAAAACACTTCAAAAGTGTCATGATCCTCCACAAGGCCAACGACGCACTGATGTACAAGGTGTTTGCGATGACCTTGCGAGGAGCAGCCTAAGACTAGTTCCACACCCTACCATCTGGGTCGATCAGCAGTTTTAAGGAGCTGACTTACGTTTTCACCAAAGAATACACCTTTTACCGGACAATCAAGAAGAACCTTTACCGCTTATACAACCTGTGCAAGAAGTCTGACGAATCCCTTTGAGATTACATCAAGAAATTCAAAGCAGAAAAGGCCAACATTGTAGGATGTGACGATCGAATCGCGTCCTCTGCTTTCAAGAAAGGCCTTCCAGTTGAGCACCACTTATACCGCGAGTTGACTATCACTCCTAGCCAGACTATAGCAAAGGTCTACGCGACTGCGGAAAGCTATGCGTTCTGGGATGACGATCAAATCGCCGCAAAGAAGTTTACAAAGCAGGAAGATCAGCCAACTAAGCGGACTGGCCAACGAAGCGATGGATTTAGCAACAGGAACAAGGACAAGAGTAAGTCGTACCCACAAGGGGACGCTGTGGCAGGAGAGAACTACACCAAGTTCACCATCCCCATACATCAAATCTTAGCCCAAGTGAAAGACAAACCTTGGGTAAGAAGACCGCCACCCTTGAAAGGAGATCCGGACAAGAGAGATACTAGCAAATATTGTGCCTTCCATGGGACGCATGGACACACGACGAACAACTGCTTTGCTTGGAAAGCACACCTTGAAAAACTCGTGAGAGGAGGTCACTACACGGAATTCATTGCGAAGTAGGCCATCCAACGGATTGAGGATCGTGACACCACCGTGGAGCCACCTCAGAAGGTCATAAGGATTAACACAATCCTAGCCTACTTCGAGGAATCTAGGCTAACCAGCAAGGAAAAGAAGAGGAAGATCAAACAGGCCACTGTGATCTCCCAACTCTCGATTGACCTTCCACCGGCAGAAGACGATCCTGTAATCGGCTTCCAAAAGAAAGATCTAATCGGCCTCGACATGCCACATAACAATGCCCTTGTTATCAGCATTCAAATTGCTCAGGCCATGGTCAACCGAATCCACGCAGATGAGGGCAGCGCATCCAATATCCTGCAACTGGCAGGGTCATCCAGCAGATAGGCTTGGAGACAAATATCAACAAATCAACCAGATCGCTGATCGACTTTAATGGTGCAACAACGGTTACCGTGGGCACGATAGACGTCGATGTCTACTCCTCACCTGTAATTAGCTCGCAAACATTCATGGTCATTAATGAGGGCTCACCCTACAATGCCATTCTGGGTAAACCATGGATCGATAAGATCAATGCCATCACCTCCGCCACACATCAGAAAATTCGGTACCTAATTCTTGGAGGTGATGTCGGTCAAATCAACAGCGATCATGCAATGGCGAGAAAATGTTCCTCCCAAGGGCTGAAGAAAAGCAAACAAGCGCAGCTCCTCCTTGTGAGCCAGGCAGATCTAAAGGAGGTTGAGCAACCAAATCTTGCTCCCTTATAGCAATCAAAGCATCAGGACCAAGCCAAGGAAATCTGTCTAGAGGCCTCTCCTGAAGAAGGATGGAAACCCGAAAGAGGACGTCAATTTAATACCCTTGGATCTTGACCAGCCATACAGGAAAGCATGGATCAGCTCACACCTAAGCCCAGAAGAGAAGGTGGAGCTAACTGATGAGTCGATTTTATATTATATATTTAACCTCATTCTTAGTATATTTTGGTTAATATGTTGGAAGAATTTTGATACTTTGAACTATATTTCCAATATAGGACTTTCGACTTCCTCTGGAGCAAAACATAATCAAATGGACGAATTTTGGAGTAATTCCAGTTGGAGGACGTACTTGAGTCACTTAGCTTGATCGTATCAAAATATCAGACTTTTCCACCAAGCGATGATTTCCTGGCGAATAAATGAAGGAGCAGTGCGCTATGCTGGAATAGTGACGTTTTGGGCTTTTATTGCGATTTTGGAGCCCAAGATGACCTCGGATGGGTTCGTGGCCTTCTGGAGAAGTGTTCGGAATATTTTTATCTTTAAAACGAGCTATCTTGGGCCAGATTTGGGGGAGATTTGAGACTAAAACGTGGCTGGGCAGATTATGGGCAGATTCTCCTAATCCAATTTGGACTTTATTTCCTAGTCTTATTTTACTTTAACTTAGTTTCCTTGTGGGGATTGGGTAGCTAGGTTTTAGGAGGTATTTAAGCTCCTTTTCACAGCAATTTAGGGATCTCCTTTTAGAACTTCTTTTTGGCTTTGGGAGCAATTGCTAGGGTTTTGGATTTTCGCTACTTTCAGGTGTTTTCATTCTTACTCATTCGAATGATATTTTCTTGGATTTCAATTATGATTATGTGTAACTAATTCCTTTTGCTAGGGCAAGGCCGTAAGCCTAGCATGAATATGTAGTTTTATTAATTTGCTTATGAATGGTTGCATGTTTGCTTTGAATTATTAATCACTGTGTTTAAAACTATCTATCTATTTTAATGACTGATCACCATTAGGATATGTAGACAAGTAATTTGATGCAATTTCTGTTGGAACATCACCCTGAAATTGAGGAGGGCTTCTTGTGATTAGTAATTGTAAGTTCACTTAAGGCGAACATCACGCTCTTAAGGGTTGCATGGTTTTTCAAAGGGTTTTCACAAAGCTTAATGAGTCTTGCATGTTTATATTTGATCTGAACATCACAGACGGATTGCATGTTAGATATACGTTTTCGCTTAAACATCACAAGGAAAGTATGCATTAGGAAAACCTAACCTTCAAAGCATATATGTGGAAATTCATAAGTAATTGATAGAATTGCATAGGATTGCGATGGTGTTGGCTAAACCCTAGTTTTCTCTAAATTGTTAGTCTTTAAAAAAGAAATCGTTTTTCTTCTTTGCTGTTATTATTTCCCAACTTTCAGATTTCTTTTACTGTTAGTTTAATCTTTTCAAATTCATAAACTTCAAATCTTTGATAAAATCTATTTTAGTTATTAATTAAGAGCTAGTTTAATTACAAATTAGTCAAACAATCTTTGGGGACAACGACCTTGCATGAGCATTTATACTACAATTACCTTGTATTCTTGCAAGTATTTTCAGTGATTTTAACCCTGTTTGCGCAGGTACTAAAAATCCTATCACTAACCACCTTCCTCCAGAACAACAAAGACATGTTCGCATGGTCGCCGTCAGACATGCCTGGCATCGACCCGAACATCATCTGCCATCGACTCGACGTTAACCCTGCCAGCAAGGCAATGCCGCAGAAAAGACGAAACTTCGCTCTTGTGCGGGTCGCAATCATCGAAGCCGAGATCGACAAACTCCTAGCTGCCGACTTCATCGAAGAGGTCTCCTACTTAGAGTGGCTTGCCAACATTGTCCTGATGGAAAAACAAGAAAAGGGCAAATGAAGAGTCTGCGTCAATTACACTGACCTCAAAAAAGCATGCCCTAAAGACAACTTCCCATTGTCGAGAATCAACCAACTCGTGGATTCCACTTCTGGCAATCAGCTGCTCAGCTTCATGGGTGCCTACTCCCACTATAACCAAATCCTGATGCACGAGGATGACAAGGTGAAAACTTCCTTCATCATCGAGAAAGGGACCTACTTCTACAAGGTCATGCCCTTTGTGCTGAAGAACGCCGAAGCAACCTACCAAAGGCTCGTGAATAAAATCTTCAAGGAGCAAATCGGCAAAACTATGGAAGTCTACATGGACGACATGCTGGTCAAGGCCCCAAAGTGTGCAGATCACATCAAAAACCTCGCTGAGTCATTCAGCCTGCTCCGCCAGTATCGCATGAAGTTGAATCCAAGTAAATGCACATTTGGTGTATCCTCCGGCCGATTCTTGGGATACCTAGTCACGCAATGAGGTATCGAGGCACACCCACATCAAATCAAAGCCATTCTCGAGATGAAGTCGCCATCCACGGTGAATGAGATACAAAGTCTGACTGGTAGAGCAGCGGCCCTCAACCGATTCCTCTCGAGATCAACTGACAAGTGCAGACCATTCTTCAAAGCTTTGAAGAAAGGACAAAGAGACAAATGGGATGAGGAGTATGAAGTAGCTTTCCAGAATCCAAAGACTTACCTCACCTGACCTCCCATGCTCTCAAAACCAGTCCCTGGTGAGGACTTGTTCGTGTACCTGGTAGTGTCCAACTCAGTTGTCAGGTCAACTTTCATCCGAGAAGAGCTGGGGGCCCAACATCCGGTATTCTACACGTCAAAAGCTCTCCTCAATGCAGAGACTCACTACCCGAAATTGGAGAAGCTCATTTTGACCCTTCTAGTTTCTGCGAGAAAGCTGCGACCCTACTACCAAGCTCATCGAGTCATCATCATGACCGACTTTCCTATGAGATCAATCCTCCACAACCTTTACGCTTCTCAGCGACTCATGAAGTGGGCCATAGAGCTAAGCCAATATGACCTCCACTACCGGCCAAAAGCTACAATAAAAGCCCAGGCTTTAGCAGACTTCGTAGCAGAATTCACCCCATCAGCCAAAGAAGATAAATTGGTCAACAAAATGAAGGAAAGTTCAAAAGCAGACGGGACCTTCGCTGAACCTAGCCAACCCAGTGACATGTGGCAATTGCGCGTAGACAGAGCGTCGAACCAAAAGGGAGCTAGAGCGGGTGTCGTCATCACCACCCCGGACGAAACCCTGTTGGAGCAAGCTATCACGCTTGGCTTCCCGGCCTCAAACGACAAGGCATAATATGAGGCACTGCTCGTTGGCCTACGCTTGGCAAGGGAACTCGCAATCAAGAAGCTAGCCATCTACTCATATTCCTAGTTGATCACGAATCAAGCCTTATGTGAATATATGGCGAAGCACCCAAGGATGATCTTGTACGTTGACAAAGTCCAAGAGCTATTAAAGGCGTTACCTTCACCATCCAACAAGTACCTCGGGCAGAGAAAGCGCATGCAGACTCACTGGCCAGCCTAGGGTCAGCGTGGATACCCAGTTCAGACTCTCCATCCCGGTCGAACACCTTGACCAACCAAGCATTGAAGAAATAGAGCTGATCGACACAATGCAGATTGACGAGGACCCCAGCTGGCAAGACCCCATCATCGATTACTTGATGAATGGAAACTTGCTAATGGACAAGCTCGAACCTAGAAAGATCCAACAGAAGGCCGCGAGATACTACATGCACGGCAACAAGCTCATCTGCAGATCATACTCCGGCCCTCATCTTACCCGCATAAAGTACCCTCAAACACTTGAGGTTCTTTGAAAAATTCATGACGGCGAGTGTGGCAACCACTCTGGGGACGTCGACATCAACGTCCCAGAAGGCTCTAAACATAGGCTACTTCTGGCCTACCATGCGACCCGACTCCACCGAATATGTCAAGAATGATGATCGCTGCCAACGATGCAAGCTGATCCCTAACCTGTCTGCCGAAGTCTACCATCCGCAAAACAATCCATGGCCATTCGTGCAATGGGCCATATACCTAGTGGGTCCTTTGCCACTGGCGCCTGCTAATAAGGACATGATGATTGACGCCACCGACTACTTTATTAAATGGATCGAGGCTGAAGCTCTATCCTCTACTAAAGAGATGTGGAGAAACATCATCTGCCAGTTTGGCTGCCCACAGTCGCTGGTTACCAATAATGGCTCACAGTTCATCAGCAAGCAGATCACCGCACAACAGTTGCCCATAAGCAACGTCCTTTAGGAGACGCAAGGCATCGGCCAAAAGCGTCCTTCGGGAGACGCATCCCGCAAAGAAGCATCCTAAGGGAGATGCAAGGCGAGCCAGGAATTTCCTAAGGGAGGTATCCAGGTTCCTATCCATTTCCTAAGGGAGGCATGACAGTCATACAGTTGCCCATAAAGAGCGTCCAAAGGGAGACGACCAGAAGCGTCCTTCAGGAGAAGCAGGGTGCGTCAGGAATTTCTTAAAAGAAGGTCTCCAAGCCTCATGCGGGAAGTATCCAGGTTCCTATACGTTTCCTAAGTGAGGCAGGATAGTCACACAATTGCCCATAAGCAGCATCCTTCAGGGAGACACAGGCAATGACCAAGACATCCTACGGGATGTGTAGAACATACCCAGAGTCCCTCAAGCGGGACCAACTTCTTAAGGGAAAAACATCCAACGGGATATGCAGAATACACCCGGAATCCCTCAAGGGGGACCCTGGCATCTATAAATTTCCTAATAGAGACACACCATCAAGATACCAGCTAGTTACTCAAGTAGTTCACAAGACAATAGGCAAATTGAAGTTGAAAAAATAACTGAAATTTCCCTAAGCAAGCTTACCAACCGGCCAAGTTCAACAAAAAGAAGATGGTCAAACAAGACCAATTATTCTAAACGAGAAAGCAGACTACAAAAGCTGAAAAGAAATAAATGAGTTTTCATTTACTTCGACACACCAGGAGGAGATCCCTAATCTACAACCTCTTCGGCGTCCGCCTGATCAACTGCGCTCTTAGTAGCTCCACCTGCCTGACTCGCGACGTCCGCCACTACCTCATCTGTCGCATCCTCCACTGCTTCATCCTTTTCAGCTACTACCTCTTCGGCCGCCTGCTCAGCTCATTTCATGTTCACAACAAGAACTACTCCTTTTTGAAGCAGATGAAATGTAGCTTCCCTTTGTTTTTCCAAGGAAAGACTTTAGACTATCTCAAGATAAACCAGCCTGAAGCAAGCAGACGAGCTTGACAGGAGGTTTGTCTTTAGTAGATCAGACACGCTTGCATCCCCTGCAGGGCTGGACTTGTCCATATTGGGATCAACCACTGACGTTGTAGAAGAACCCTTCACCCGGTGAAATGACTCTCTTGCCTTCTCAAACCGCCGCCATCCTCACCTCCAAAGCAGTTGACGAGGCTGAATCAACTCCACGCTTGACTGCCCGTGACTCAATAGTTGGATCACGATAGTTGGGCGGATGAGCACACCTCCCAGTTTGATCTCCATCCCTTGATTGGTGCAAACGACTCAAACTTCGGAGATGAATACCAACATCTCTTTGCTTTTCGATAGGTGAACTAGTTCACAAGTAAACTACTTCACGGAGCAGATCACGGTTTTCAAGCTTGTCAGCAGAAGGCTTGAGCGGAACGTCCCAAGTGTCTCACATAGCTCCAACTTTCTTGTTGTCTGCGCCGAGGAGGTGCTTAACCTTAGCAGATTAAGGAGGAGTAACTTCTATTTATTTCTTCCTCAACGGAGATACATCTTTCGCCCGCGAAGTCGAAACTTTGTTTCTCGAAGACTTGACAACAACCTACCTGTTTAGGAGAGTCTGGCAAAACACTCCTCCTCCCCAACTGGCAGATCATTAGAGTATAGACTATGCTTCCATCTCTCAACATCCTGGGCAGGGGGCAAACCACCGACTTCCTCCCAATACCCACTCAACTGATGCAGCTCGTAACGCATGAGGCCAAGCACGCTCCAGCATAGACCTGCGACGATAGGGAGCAGCTGGTCCACCTGTGCGCACCTGCTCCACCACGGCTGCCACTCACTGCCAACCGTTGCCACGACAACAACCAGCTGGGCTTCCCGTAGCTGGCCTTCGCCGCAAAAAAGAAGAAAAGAAGAAGAAAAAGAAATATACGTGCTCGACTTACCTTGGGATGCACGTCGACTCCTCTCTTCGACAAGCAATACGAATTCTCCAAGATCTCTCTCAAGAAGGAATCGCAAGCCATTCCTACTAGGAACCCAACACCAAGAATAGTCAAAAGCTCACCCCATTTGGGAACCCAATCTGCAAAAGGAGCCCAAGTCCATGAAGGAAGCCCAGTTATAGCTAGACAGCCCAACATATATTTTACATCTCCAACACGCCACCACGCGTCATGCAAAAGCTGGGGGCATTTGTGGGAACCGAATTAAATCTGAACCCTAGGTCAAATAATTCCTTCCATTTGGGGATTATTTGACCAAATTGGGAATTATTCAACCTAATTGGGAGTTACTCAATTTAATTGGGGATTACTCAATTAAATTGAATGTTACCTAATTAGGTCAAGAATTGATTTGATTCCTACCACAACTCCCAATTAATTGGGAATTACCTGAAGTAATTGGGAGGTTATTTGATTCAGATTGGGTGTATTTGACTTAATTAGGGATTTGACCTCACTAACCTCACCAACCTCATCGAAGCCCCCTATAAATACTTGGCTACGCACAAGGATGGAGGTACGTCAGAACTACTACTAAAAACTCTGTAGAGATCTTCCCCTCATAGACCCTAGCCACCTCCTCTCCCTCTCTCTTTTACATAAGGCTCCGGCCGCCCGGTTTATACTATAAACACATCTCTGTACCCTATTAGCTATTGTTTTCTATACGATTCAATTGAACTAATTTAGGCATCGGAGGGCCTTTGGCCAACACCCCCCGGGTGTGGTCCTCTTATTTGTTCTACTTTGCAAGGAGAAAGAGGCGGCGACGAAGAAAGGGGAATCTTTCCAATCGAATATTCTCGTGGGGAAATTTTCTCCCACAATAACCTAATCCAAAATCAGTTCGGCATTGCAATACAATGACCCATAACATGAATAAGAATTTCACCAGATGCAGGGCATCTTCAACAATGAAGAGATTTACTGAGACCGGTTCATACGTACAAGAGATACTGACCTGCAATAATATTCTAGATTTGTCTCCTCTCTTATATCAAGCGGACGACATGCATCAACAACCATCCGAATATCTGAGGACCCTTTATTGATTAATATAATATTCCACGCATGTGGTATGAAATCCAAGAAACCCCTAACAAGCTCACAACCTTGAGGCTTCAATCGATCACATAGATACTACAAAAATTAAGCTTCATCAGATTACAACAACAAATTAAAAGACAATGCAAATAACAAACATCAGTACAAACATATATTAAATAATAAATTTAGCACAAGAATCACCTTGAATAGCAATGCTCTATGCCTACACACACGAAACTGCAAGGTTCCAATGGGAATTATGATGGACTTTCGTCGTGCTTTAAGAGAACGGAGAGATTAATCATAGAGATAAAAAAAAACCCAATATCTTCAATAGTCTTCGCAATTGGTTTAGTAGACAAACTAATAGAGTTCATGTTTCCTGTTGGGAAAGTGCAAACATAGGGCTTCCTGTAGTCTGAATGAGGATTAGCTTTACATGCTCATTCAACAAGAGCACCCCTATTAGTTCCCCCAAAATGATCTGATGCAAAAAGATCAAGAAACGATGCAATCTGTAGCTCATCACTTGATTTCCATCTGAATATAAACGATACATCGCTTTATTTGAAAGTTGTTGAAACACAACTAGGATTTGAAGAAAATTCTAGTTATAAAATTATGGAACTTGTAAATGAAGTTTTAACACTTAGTTCGATCCTAGTATTAACCAAAAATACCTCTGGCATCCGACAAGATTTCAATTCAGTTTCTATTGGACACCATCCATTCAAGTAATGTTAGCCTCTTAAGATTGTTATAGAACTACATAACAGGTTTGCTTTTACAGTAACAATATAGATAGTTTTGACATGTCTTACAGTATCCGAGTGTACCTCAAAGATTTAATGGAGTGCAGAAGTAAAAATTATTTATTTAACAGAAAATGAAGGTCAAAGTATGATTATTATGCATACCAAGTGGGTTCACTTTGCTGGTCCAGAACATCCTCCATTACTTGAAAATCTTTACAGTCCAATAGGTCTTCTCAAATTTCTGCACAGACCCAAATGAAAGACCTCAATAAACATGAAAACTTCATGGGAATTGTATTGATATTCCGAACATAAGTACAAATTCGTACATTTCAACAAATATAACTTAAACCAGATTCTTTGCTGGTTTGGTTACTAGGAAATGTTAAAGTTCAGAAAACCAAATAAAAGATACAAACAACCCCTTCTTAATTTGGTATTTTCGCCATAGGCAAGAGTGGCTGACTTGTTAACATCTTTTTGTGCTTGGAACATGCCTCTACTAAGTCAGTGTTTTATTCATGAGGACTATAAGGGAATTATGAGTATTTATTTGGACTCGGTGGTGTGTTTGTATGACAGTAAATATTCGTTCTTTGCTAAGGATGGAAATAATTATGTAAAATTTGGTTATCATGTTGCCTTACGCACGCCAATGCATGGAGGCTATTGTGGAGGGAGAGAGCTCAAACACGAGTTGTCAGTAACTTTTTTGGAGGAAGGTGTGGGCTCTTGAGGTTCCTAACAAGATCAAGCTTTTAGTGTGTAGGGCCTGTTCGAATGTGCTACCCACTTCTCTCAATCTATAATTTAAAAGGATACTTCAAACTCTTTTGTGCTCTCGTTGTGGGAAATCATAAGAAACTATTCTTCATGCATTATGGAGATGCAAGAGGATTCGGCTATAGGCCTACCATGGGTCTTTTGCAGATTTTTTTGACACAGTCATTCATGTTTTATCGGAGATGTTTACACCATAATCAACCAAGCATATCTAGCCTCAAAGCGACTAGTACTAAGGCAGGCACGCCTTCTCCCCTGTCGAAGGAAGACACTCTTTCTAGGTGCCAGACACCTGCCGAAGCTCCCAACTAGCGAACCTAATTTCCAAGACATGTGTCACCACCACAGCAACTTGCACAAAGTCCCACATCGAAACTTTATGCAAACCTCTCACTTTCACTTCCCTGTAAATGGGGAACAGTACCCAAATAAAAAGGGTAACTTCTCTCTCACTTTTATTGTTACTCTGCCAATTTTACCACTCATAGCTGACTTAAGCATGGGAGAGCCTTCGGCCGGCACCACACCGGTGTCCGAAGCTTAATGATTGCTTCTCCTACTTTGTCTTCTATAGGCTCTTCCCTTACCGAAGGTCCTCACCTTCTCCCCTGCTGAAGACTATCCACCTCTCTTTAAGTTGACCTCCCAAAAGAGCATCAACAGTTTGGCGCCGTTTGTGGGAAGCGACTTTTGAATCCCATCTTTCTCTACCAACCCAACTGGCTCCTTCTCTTATCAGGCCCCGTCGCCTCTTCTTCACCCCACACTCCACTATGCCAACTGAGGATAGCCACGATACTCAGCATCATACCCCCCGCGGGGGTACCACACGAAGGAAACCTTCAGCAGATGCAAACCTCCAGGCAGAGATAGAGCTCCTCCGCGCCAGAATTGCCAAGATGTCCTAGAAATACGAACATCTTCATACCAAAAACATCGAGCTGGAGCATGACTACCGCACGCTGAAGTTAAACTGGGAAAGGACTCAGGCCAGGGCTCCCAACATGACTTTACCCAGGATGCTGAACAAACCCAGCCAAACCTGTCGGTGCACTTTCGCCATAGTGCCCCAGTCTAGTCTAGGCTCAGCAAAGGTAAAGGCCCCCTCCATCCGGAGACGACCAAGTCGCGGCTCCTTCACATCTCCCCGCCAAAGGACCGGCCCTATGAACCGATGAAGGTCTATAGAGATTGCAGAGACCGTCTCTTGGACCGTCAGCAAGACCCTATTCCCATCCCCGTTAATCTCCAAACCCAAGGGTGTGGGGTCGGCCTCGTTCTCATCTCCCTAGACAAAGTTGTCCTTGAGTACACCATCCACTTCAAATTCCATGCCTCAAATAATGTTACTGAGTATGAAGCACTCTTAGCTGGCCTTCGGCTAGCTAAGGAGATGGCTGTTAGGCAAGTTCATATATTTAGCGACTCCCAGCTCATTGTCAATCAAGTCAACCAGGACTTCACTGCCAATGACATCTCTATGACAGCCTACCTCCCGCATACCCGCCACTTGCTTGCAACTTTCGACGCTTATTTCATAAGACAGGTGCCACGCTCTAAGAACAGCCATGCTGATGCTTTGGCCAGGCTAGCCTCGGCCTTGGAGCAGGGTATAGGACGCAACATCCACATCGAGTTCTTGGATCAGCCCAGCACTCAAGCCTCACTCATATGTGCTATTGATCACAGCCCTACATGGATGGACCCCATCATTCAGTTCTTGCAAAACCAAATGCTACCTGTTGATTTTGCTAAAGCACGGCGTGTTCGCTAGCACTCTGCTCGATACTTGATCATCAATGGCGCTTGATACAAGCGTGGCTTCAGCCTCCCTTACCTTTGGTGTCTGACTCTAGAGGAAGGTAACTATGTCCTTAGGGAGATCCATGAGGGCATTTGCGGAAATCATTCAGGTGCTCGTTCACTAGCACATAAAGCCATTCGGTAGGGATACTTCTGGCCATCACTTCATACCGATGCCTAGGCCTTCACCCAAAAGTGCGTTAAGTGCCAGCAGTTTGCCAACATTCCACAACTTCCAGCTGAACCATTGACAACCATGGTCAGTCCTTGGCCATTCGCCCAATGGGGACTTGACCTTATTGGACCTATGCCTGAGGGCAAGAGCCAGGTCAAGTATGCAGTTGTAGTTGTAGACTACTTCACCAAGTGGGCTGAAGCTGAAGCCTTGGCCACCATCACTGTAGCTCGCATCGAAACGTTCGTTTGGCAGAATATTGTATGTCGCTACGGCATCCCCAACACAATCGTCACAGACAACAGCCGACAATTTGACAATGCCAAGTTCAAGCATTTTGTTCCAACCTCAAGATACGTCTTTACTTCGCCTCCCTAGCCCATCCTCAGTCCAATGGTCAGGTTGAAGCTGTGACATCATCAAGAAGACTTTGAAGACCAAGCTTGACAAAGCCAAGGGTTGCTAGCCAATGCTACTTCCAGAAGTTCTTTGGTCCTACCGGACCACCCTTCCGTACCTTAACAGGAGAAACACCGTTCTCTCTTTCCTTTGGTACCGAAGCCATGGCACCAGTAGAGATTGTCTAGCCCACATACCGAACCTCCACTTATGATTCCGAAGCCAATGACGAGTAGTTAGCCCTGAATCTCGACTTCATTGACGAGCTTCGTAACCAATCCAACATGCGCAACGTCGCGTACAAACAACGCATCGCCAAGTACTATGACTCCCGAGTCAAACCCATTGCTTTCAAGATTGGGGATTGGGTCATGCGCAAGGTCTCCTTGGCCACCAAGAACCCTACTGAAGGTACCTTGGGCCCTACATGGGAAGGTCCTTATGAGATTACCAAATTTTGCCGCCCCGGCACTTATCAGCTTCGTGATCAAAGTTTGCCTCATCATTGGAACGCTGATCACCTTAAGTATTACTGTAAGTAAACGCACCTAGACCCTAGGGCATTATGTTTTCTTAGACTTTGGTCTTTAGCCTTGACTCAACCATCTCTTGTACCTTCTGCCTTTCGGCACTTATCTAATGAAACGCCCGACTCTGGCTAATTCTTATCAATCACACGATTATCATTTTGCTAGCACAACTAATATCAAATGACAAAAAGTCTAATATCATAGCAAATCAAAATAACCTTGCCCCAAGCAAGGAAAAATGTTCATACAAAGCAGAAATAAACATCAAGTGTTCCAAACAAATAAATAAAATACATAAAGAAGGCAACACCTTTAGAACTCGGTAGAAGGGGCATCCGTGGTAGTCGGCTCTGGCTCTGGAGTGGCCTTGGCGGTAGGACTAGGTGAAAGAGGCTCACAACTTGTATCAAAGTTAATCTCGACCGAAGGGTTGAACCTCGCCAGTCTCTCCTCCCAACACAACTGCTCATACACCAACCGGCCCATGATGCAACTCCGCAGCTCCTCTGAACTCCGGAACAACTCGACCGCTTCAGCTCGTGCAGCGGCTACGTCTTCAGCCTTCTTCTGCTCTACTTTGGCTTGGATAGCAGCTATCTCCTCGGCCTTTGACCGCTTCAGCTCCTCCACCTCTCTAGCCAGCGCAGCTTTCTGCAACAATAGGGATGTTCTTCTCTTGGATGGCCTCCTGCGCCTCCACTATTTTTTCCTTGGCCATCTCATTGCGCCTCTTTAATCTCTGGATCTCCTTATCGGCCTTTCCCATGTTGACATATATCTCACCAAAGGCCTGCAACACACAACATCATCAATCAGAAGCAAACTAGAATGATAAGAACACATTCACAAAGCAAGACAACTTACATAGACATGGGTAAGGAACGTCTTCTGGGCGCGATCTGCATAGGAAGAGACCTGTGTCCTCGCCAGAACCTCAGGGTCACTCTTCACGCCTTCCAGGAAGACGTTCACCAAGGGAACCTCCTGTCGATGCATGGCAAGGTTCACCTCCTTCTTTTGCTGACGTAGCGTGGAAAAGTCCACCTTCTCCACCTCCTCGGCATAAACATCCTTCATACCCAAGGGGAGCTTCGACAGCACCTACAAATCAAAGGGAGGAAGCCTCGGCCCTATTCCCATCACACTCTGGTGAGCTTCCTCCAGCGCTCTCTTCTTTCCCAGCACATTGGCAACCAACCCTTCATCGTCATCTCTAAGACGCTTGCCAGTCGCCTGCCTGGCACCCCCCTTCTCAGCCTTCTTCGCCCGAGACTCTCTAAGCCGCCTCTGCATCTCGGCATCATCCAGATCCATAGCCACCTTTGTGCTTCCCTTTATAATATCTGCCACTGCACATTAAAAGCTAAGTTAGTCACAACTACAAAAAGGAATTAGAAGCCAAACAACACAGGTGACCCAAGTACTTACTTCCTTGCAAAAGGCCGGACTCAAACAGATTCTTCTGAGTGACTAGGTTTTTACACTCACACTCGATCTCTGACAGCACTGACCTCACCCTTTCAACTTCGTCTTCTTGCTCCTTGGAGATTGGCCCCCACTTCACCAAACCTACACCAAATGTTAGATACTACTCAGCTATTTACACTTGCACAAGCAAAATGGAGAACCAAGAGTCAAAGTAGGTAAAAACACTACAAAATAATAATCAATCTTAAAGGATGGGGCCAAGGACCTATAGACTAGAAGTGGGTAGGAATGTGTTTGGAGACGGTCTTCCCTGACGGACACTCCCAGTTACCATAAGCCAGGCACCACCTGTTCCTTCAAGACTTCTGAGTAGAAGGCTTGTGAGCAATAAAGTAACCCCTCTCTTTTGCCTTTCGGCAATTGGCCTATACCCAGCCAAAACTTCCATGCTGCTCGGAGATCGAGTAAAGATACTGAATTGCTCAAATGTTGGCTCCCTATACCCAGCCAAAACTTTCAGACTACCAAAAGTTGGGATTATATTGCCCTGGCACATATCCCAGCTTGCCCAACATCATATTTACCCAAGGATGAAATGGTAGTCTGAAGCCATGCTGGTACATATCGGTAAATATCAGCACGCATCGCTCCGAAGGATATCTAACCACATCAGCTGCACTGGGTAACCTGCCCACCGAGGGTGGGACACTAAAATTTGTCCGAAGCTCTACCAACTTTACCTCTGTAAGTATATTACGCCTTGACAAGGGACACCAACTCGTATATTCACCCCCTCTGAAGCTGAACCCACGGCTACACCCACAGACCCCGACGGTGATGCCTGATTGCTCGAGCCCACCTTTGGTGTATGAGCCAAGGCTAGAACCTGGTTAGCCACAGCCTCTAACACTCTATAATTCCTTTGCATCTCTCTCTACTCGGCCTCCCGGGAATCTACTGATCGCTCACCTCTCTCACCATCATGCACTACCATCCTACTTTCTATCATACCTTCTACCACACCCTCTGTCTGGGAACATTCAGCTTCAGAACAAACATATTGGTTGGGCTCTTCACTCTCAGTATCTTCCCCACCAAAGGCAGTGGGGTCATGACTTTCTCTATCAGAACTTTCAGACATCTACAATATACAAAAACAAGGAAAAGGAACTAATGCACATGCAAGAAGGATCGAAAACACAAGAACACAAAAAGGAGGGCACACCTACATGCTCTCTGATCTAGAGGCATACATTCAACAAGTTCATATCAATGTTCAAAGTGTTCATCATGTTCATACTCATACTCAAAATGTTCATCCTAGTCTTCAACATGTTCATGCGAAAAAAGACATTCCAATTCAAAAGTTCAAGGGAAATGAGGTCTAACCTTGTTTGCACCACCATGAATGAGACGCTGGAAATCACCTCGGCCACAAGTACCACCACCAAAATCTCGCCAGAAATCTCCTTCTCCTCTTCTCACTTTCTAGAAATTTTCCTCAAGACTCAAGTATGCTCACATTCTCCACCCCAAGTTCCTATTTATAAAGCCTCAAGGGTACCAATGCCTCGGCTCACGAGAAAACCCTAGCACCCTTTCAACTTCACTCCCAAAATCCTTGTACTTGCAACAATTTGAATTTCAAAATTCAAATTCAAATTCAAAAAAGGGGGAAAAAATTGGAAAAAAGGAATTTGAAGACCTTGCAGATCCAAAACGGGGGCTCACAAAAGTTTTCACCTTACTCGAGCCCAATTTTCACCAAGAACGCAAAAAATCCAAGGGCCCTCTTGTCGATCACTCTTTCCAAATGCCACCTTCACCGAAAGGCATGGGCCGTGCAAAAATAATCAAGACGAAATTCTCCCCTTGCGCCAATCCACCTGCCGAATATAGACGGCCCAGCCCGAAGCTCACTGGATCTGAAAAACCAAGCAGATCGCAGCTCCCAGCTATGTGCACTCCCCACTCGGATCTGCTTGTCAAAGGGCCCAGCTCAAGGTTCTCGGCACTCTTGCCGAATCAGCACAAACCACGTTTCAAACACCCTTGGGTTCTCAAAATCACACATCCCAATCCCTCTTACCAAAGCCCCCGAACTGCTGTAGTCTTATCCCCAGCTCACCTTACTGAACAGCAAGGGCCGTGGGAAAATGAAGAGAGCACGAAAACCTTCGGAAGGCCTAAGCTCCAGACGACACCGCCAAAGTTCAGTTGTGCCCGAATGCTATACTGCTGAACCGTCACAATGCACAACACCTTCACGGATCCAAGACTTGCCGAACGGCAAAGGTTGTACGGAAGCTCCCGACAAGCTCGCAAACATATAGCTTCCTTTCAAAAGTTGACTCCTTGCGAATGAATCTCCTTGCCGAAGGTATATGCGGAGCCCGGCTCAAATCCTAGATAACCACTACAGCCTTACTCCTTACCGAAGCCAAGGACAATGAAGAGACCCCCCACCCCCCCCCCCTCCCCGAAACTTTCCAGATGACCTTTGCCGAATGGTAAGGGCGGTGGGGCACAAATACACGGCTCAACAAACGCTGATCCAAAGCTTTGAAATGACACTCCAAGAGTTCTAAAAAACACGAAAAAGGTTGGCTACCGAAGCTAGCTACAAGCTCCGACTCACACCGAGCCCAAGGCACCACTGTACAGAACTCTCACCCTTGTCGAATGCTGAAGAGTTTCAACTCCTGCATAAGCTACTAAAATGAGGACTCAACTACAAAATTTCCCTCAAAACACCCTTGCCAAACAGCAAGGGTTGAGTGGAGGAAAAATGGTTCACAAAAAATACCTGTGGACTTGAGATCCTTGCCGATCGGTAGGTACCTTGCTGAAAATTCATGGAAATCACGATCCCAACTCAAGCTTGCTGAAGGTCTTCCTCCAAACCCGATCTTACCAAACCAGGACCTCAACTTTCCAAGGAATCTTCCCAGACCTGAGCACCAAATCCCTTGCCGAATGCGGGATATTTTCCAAGCGTCCTCGAACCAATTTTTCCACCCTTGCCGAACGACAAGGGTTGAACAGAAGAATATGCAGCCTCACAAAACCAAAAATCAAGCCTTGCCGAAGCAAGCAAACCCCTTTGAGCTGGGCCTTCGATTTTTTCCCCTTTGGACCTTGCTGAAGCACCCAGTCCTTTGACTTTCTCTCTCCTTCGAACCCAGTCCTTCAAACCACGAGAAGGCTCACAAGGTCACGGCTCCAAATCACCCACCCTTGCCAAAGCTCAAGGACCCAGATGTTTGCCGTGATGCCTTGCTGACCTGCTCTTACTCACGAAGCTTAAAGCCCTTGTGACTTGGCCTTGTCAAACGGCAATTTTGAGATAGAATGATATCGCATATCCTCTTGCGAACCCTAGCTCCAACAAAACAAACCCCACGGCCCAAACACAAGGCCCACGTTGTGCCAGGTATCTTACATGCCCACATTGCACACTTTTGCACCTTGCCGAAGGTTCGTTCAACAAACAACAAAACACACAACAAACACAAAAACCTTGCCGAATGGCAAAGCATGTGCTCAGACTATGAACCCGACCTGCACCTTTCCGAACACCGAGGTACCCAGCTACCAACAGTCCTATGAGCTCACACAGCTTTCACCATACCTTCTAAATGTTGACGCAACTTCTAGCTTGCCAACTTGGGGGACTAGGGAATGCCCCACGACTCCCACTGAATCTGGAATGCTCGGTCACGATTACACAAAAACTCACAAGTTCCAAACCCAGAAGTTACATCTCAACCGCGAACTTGGGGGACTACTATTTACACCATAATCAACCATGCATATCCAGCCTCAAAGCGACTAGTACCAAGGTAGACACGCCTTCTCCCCTGCCGAAGGATGACACTCTTCTAAGGTGCCAGAAACCTGCCGAAGCTTCCAACTACCAAACCTAATTTCCAAGACACGTGTCACCACCACAGCGACTTGCTCAAAGTCCCACATCGAAACTTTATGCAAACCTCTCACTTTCACTTCCCTATAAATAGGGAGCAGTACCCGAGTAAAAATGGTAACTTCTCTCTCACTTTTACTGTTACTCTGCCAATTTTACCACTCATAGCTAACTTAAGCATCGGAGAGCCTTCGGCCAGCACCACACTGATGTCCGAAGCTTAACGACTATTTCTCCTACTTTGTTTTCTGCAGGCTCTTCCCTTACCGAAGGCCCTCACCTTCTCCCCTGCTGAAGTCTATCCACCTCTCTCTAAGTTGACCTCCCAAAAAAAGCATCAATAGGAGCATTCATGTTTTATCGGAGCAAGAATTTTTTTGTAGGTTATGTCTGGCGTTCTTGGCTCCTTTGGAATGATACTCTAGTGCATGGGAAGGAGTCGGCAATTTTGGGAGAGACTATTGAGAGGACCTTCAACTTCATACGAAGCTTTCAGCAGGGTAATGCGAGATGTAGGCCAACCTAGTTGCCTCACCACATTCGCTGGATTAAACTGCCACACCAGTCATTAGTTCTTAATTGTGACGGTGCGGTGGTGATTGGGGGCACTGTGTGTGGATTAAGGGGTTTGTTTCACAATCATGATGGTGAGTTTCTATTTGGGCCCGAATTCTGCACGCTAGTGCAGAAACCATTGGCCCATGGTGACAAATATTTTGGGCTTCATGTTTAACAAAATTAGGAATCAGCCCAAAACATTAGAAAGGCCCAGGCCATTTTTAACAACTACAAATATTTATCTTGGTGTAGAAATTTAATTACCATCCTGGGTAATTCAATTTAACACACCCAGTTTCAAATCAGAAGGATACCCAGCCTCAATTTTGAAATTCTCCGAAGACCCAATGAATTGATCTCCACCGTTCATCTCCGGACAAACAGACAAGAAAAGGGATTCTTCCTTCACTACCACAGAAGCCCACGTGAACCCATTCATAAAGCTAAAAAGGGAAGAGGAATTCCAGGGAAGTGATGGGATTGGGTAGAAAGTAAGGCAAAAGGAATTAATCATCATGACCATTAAATGCTAGACAAACAGCCAGGTTTCCTTTCCAGCTCGTCAAAGTCTCATCGACATGAAATGATTTCTTACAACTTCTCAGCAAGTGGTTCCCAGATATCAAGGGTCAAAGCACGTGTACGTACTTTGCCTATAAATACAGAGAGATAAAAGCTTGCAAAATACAACAACCATCATCCAATCCAAATCAACAGACAATCAACAATCACTCTCTCAACAACAAAAATCAAACACTCTCAGTCAAAACTGACAGAAATCAAAGATCCCTCAATCTCAAAAGCCTCCAAACTTAGCAGCAACCAAGCTATCTTGCTCGCAAAAGCCATTCAACTTTCAACAAAACAGGTGAAACTTAGGTTTCTATACCCCAATCCAACAAAGGAAAAAAGCTCATCAGCTAAAGGAAATGAGACTTCTCTCGTTGCAAATTCAGTCTAGCTCAGAAAAGTCAAGCAAAATTCAGTTTTTCGTCGTTATAAATTTAGTTCAGCTCAAGCCAAATTAAACAGAACTTAGGTTTTCATAACATTAAAACCACAACAAATTTATAGAGATGTTTCAAGCGCCCAGAATTGCCAGAATAGCTCTTGGTTGATTCATAATCTAGCAAACAGGTATTGTGGCGTAGCTCAAGGTAAGCAATCATCAATCTAGCCATTTCCAGTCCAATCCAAACTGAAGAAGTCTCAATTCTGCCCATCCAAGTGGCCTCTTCATGGCCAGAAGAGATTAAAGCTCTGCCAATTTCAACATTGGTATCGATTTCTAGTTGAACCTCACCAGTTGAAGATACTGATGTACAATTCCAGTATAAGATCGATCCAGTCCAGCCCGGTTCACCAAAACAAGCAGAAGTCGAAGTCCAATGTTTTGTCTTCTCAGACTTGGCAGTTTTCATTTGTTTTAATATTGCTTGATATGTAGCTTTTATTTCAAACAGTTGAACTTATTCCCCAGCTCCCATTCTGGACAGAACTACGAATGACTTTTATTGTGATAAATTATGAAGTCCTCACCAATCTGAGGCAAGAAAAGAACTTACCTGGGAGTTATTCCTCATCCAAATTCACAATCATTTGATCAATTCAGTAACTTGGGGAACAAGTTATTATGTTTTTCTAAGTCTGTTAGGATTTTTAACTGCTAACAGTGGCACGCTCGCACATAAAAGAAAGTTGACTTATTGAACACAAATGGTTTCCACGTCGATGGGGATTTTTACCCTACCATCATAAGAACCAAAACAAAACGAGTGAAACAGTTTCTTTACAGTTTTGTTTGTGACTGATCAGCTGGACTTGATGTTCTGGAAACTGAACTTGCGATGATGCGAGAAGGTTGTTAATGGCTTTATGGAGAGGTTACCAGAATTTTCATATGGCTTCTAATTCTTAAGCAGTTGTGTCCCTTGTTACAGGTTCTGGAAAATGTCAGAGTAATCTAGGCAATCTGGTTGAGGGTGTGAGGAACCCATTGGTGTATTTGCAAGTACGAGAAGTGTTTTATCAGCCTCGTAAAGAGAATGCAGTGGCACACCTTTTGGCTCAATTTGGCTTACGACAAAGGTGATTGTTTTGGGCTGGGTTGGCTCCACATTGGTTATGGCCTACAATTGCAGTGAATAGAGAAGAAATTTAGTTTTTTTGTGGGAGGTACGTGATACTCTTTTTCCTTGACCGGATTTTCCTCCACTGGGATTTTCATGGCAAGGTTTTAATGGGGACACCCTAGATGCACCTCCTTTCTCCAATTTTTCTGGGTGTCTTTATGTATGTCATATTAATTGTTACTGAAAGTAATAAAGATTTTTCCTTTGGTAAAAAAAAATGGCATGGGTTTGTTCGATCCCAAAACCCCTCTCTCGCTTTTCCCCTTCTATCTCTCTCTCTCTCTCTCTCTCTTCGATTTGAAAGGGGTTTGTTCGAACCCAAAACCCACACCCACCTACCCTCCTCATCCCCCTCCAACACAACCCGCACCCACCTACACTTGCCACAGCCTCTCCTTGACTTTTCCTAAGAACTGCCAGTTGATCTGACTTGCCTGTCCTCTCCGGAATCCGTTCTCCTTCGACACCACCACAAATCTAACGAGAAGAACTCATCTTTCAATTTTTTATGTACGAGTTGTTGGTGATGATCTGGTCCTGGCTGTGGTGGGGCTTTGGTTCTCCATCTTTGAATCCGATGGTGGTGGAAGTGGGAGGAGGGAAGGATTGTAATAGGTGGTGAAGCAATAGTGGAGGTTGGGATGTTTTAGCTCAAAATTCAAGAGTTTCTCCTTGATGGGTTTGTGAAAATTATCAAATTTGCTTCCTGGGTTTTGTTGAATCAATGCTTTATGGGGTTGCAAGGTAAATGCTTACGCTTCATGGGTTTTTTATATCAAATGGAATTTATTGTATTGGAATTTATGGTTTGACTTTGCTTGAGAAACACATAGTGGCTGGGGATGAAAAGGAAATAATGCCCTTGCAACACGCACACAGCATGTGCCTATTAACTGGAAAAATTTGCTCATTGGACTTGATTTGCTGATGATGCTAACCCCAGTGATCAAATTTTGAAATTTCAGTGACCGAATTTAAATTCGACCATAACCCTAGTGACCAAAAATGGAATTACCCCTTAAATTATGGATAATGACTGGGCAAGGTGTAGGAAAGAAAGAATTCCCACCCAAAGTACTAGGATGTCAGCATCCAAAACAAAACTAACTAGCAATGGGTCGAGCGGCCCAATGTGAGATTCACACTCTCACTGGCGCTTCAATGACCTTGTACACGTGACCAAAACATGTTTGAGAGTTCCCATTCAGGCACAAACTGTTGGAACCCTTCATGCTTAAGCCACATGGCTTCAAAGCGGAAGGGCTTAAGATGAGGTTGAGACATAATATTTAGATAAAGTGGGAGATATGTCTTCTTTTCCTTAAATGACAATGGTTAAAGATATGTCTTCTTTTCCTTAAGCTCGAATGACAATGATCTAATTTTTCCCTAGTGTTCTTCTTTTCATTAAATTACAATCGTTGAAGATATGTCTTCTTCTTCTCCTTAAACCTTCTACATACTTGACAGGACCCAACCCAAATTCCACGTTGGAATCCGAGTCGATCTCTGTGCATGTCCGACACCTGGCCGGTGCCGGGCACGATGACTGAATTGCCCTTCTAGGTTTCCTAAATTCTTTCCTAAAAGTTAGACTTCTGCCGAAAATTCGGCAGAGTCTCCCCTGTAATTTGCTCGTTTCCCAAAGTTTTCACCTGTCAAATAAGCATTTATAATTTCCCAACTATTCAACATGCATAATGTCAGAATATATACATTCAAACATTAAAATTCCAAGATAACTTAGAATGCATCATTGAATCAGTTAAATCATTCTACCAACTGAAATTGATATTCTAACTTTTAGAACAACATAAATACAATATCATATTCCAAGATAACTTAACTGAACCACTTTTCAATCACTTAGCCTCACAGCTGCACCTAGTAGCTTTAGGCTGCCTATGTACCCTTAACAAGGGATCAAGCCACACGTAGTTCTTTCGACTCTTTAACATCCACGTATAAATCTTTATTATTCATTTTATTTCAATGTGATTGCAAATCAATTCAAGTTCTTATATTAATGATATGCTCAATAACCTTCGCAAACTCTAAAGTAAACTTTCCAACTTTCCCAATTCTCAAAACAGCTCATACTTAGAGCATAAGTAAGCCACTTACTGGACTACCTCTAATTCATAAATCAATTGATATATTACTAGCTTGGATTGTCATATATATATATATAAAATAAAAATAAGGTAAAAATAAAACAAATACTACCAAAAACATTTCTAACATTTCCTTCGAAACTCACATAAAACTCAATTATAAATACATATATATAATTATAAAGATTTATAATTAACTTATTATAGAGAAGTAGGAAAACAAGAAAATTATTAAAATAACATTGACAAAGTGAAATCTTCATGCCAGTGACAACAACTTTACTAAAATATATGTTCTTCTCTTTAACTTATAAAACAAACTCATAGCTTAAGAAATTAATTGTGATTTATATAAAATCCTTTAACTGGGAAAACTCTCCACCTGAACGTACCCCCATCCATATTCCGTCAATTCCAATATTATTTTGTCAATTCCTTGTCTCACATAATATGACACATCCTCGCAAGCCTCAGGAACACAAAGTCGACCCGAGCAGCAATCCTTGCAGGCCTTGGTGACACCAAGTCAACTCAAGCCGCAATCCTCGCACCACAGGGGGTACTCCTGAGGTGGATTTGACAAATGTGGAGCCATAACCAATGTTCAGGCGTCCTCGAAACTGGTGGGGCATGTCATAAATGACAAATCTATTTCAAAGGCAACCAGGGGGGTACTCCTGAGGTGGATTTGAAAACCATAGTATGAAATTTATCCTGAAATTTATCTTCTCAATTTTCCAGACATCAGTCCTTAGTATTGCATAATCTCCAAATATCAAAAATACCATTTAGGTTTACCATCAGATACTGTAACACACTTCCAAATACAAAATAATATAAATATATATAATTTACCGATCTATATATACAATCATATATACTCATTCCATAATCATATAATTTCTTAATAGATGGTATGGTAATTTAATCCATGAAATTAATGCGATTACTAGCCAATGAACACTCACGCTTGTTTTCACATGAATTCCATAAAATACTGCATTCCACAATTAAAACATTATGCTTCCAAACATACCTGATACTACCCAATCCATATACTTTATTCATAAACATAATAATATCAATCAATGAAAAATAATAACCTTCAGAGAAAATCCTATAACTTCAATTATTGATGTACTATTAAAGAATTTCCATAAGATACTATAAAACAATCCTCAAACCTTAACAGGATCTAAATAACCCAACTTCCGGTCAAGACTCGTTTACCTGGTCGTTTTAGTACTTCCTAAAGGGTAAATCCACCTTGGAAGACTCACAATGAACTGAAGAGTCAAACAACCCAAACTTGGTCAATCAGGCCAGTGGGGCCCATGACCTCCATTTCACAATCCGAGAGTTCCTACGGGTTCCACTAGGTCTAAGGAACACTTGCTGCGAATTTGGTCTGAATCAAACGGTCGGATCGCTCACGATCGCCTGATCGGACGGTTACCGTAAACCTAACCTTAGGGGTGACATTTTCGGAGTATCCGGGACTCCGATTCAAGATCCGTCGAATCGTATACAATCCTAGAACTATCTAGATCAACATATCCAAAAATGATGTCAATCCAACGGTCCGAATATATCACCCGGATATCGCCTAATATGCGATATCCGATCGACATCCAAACGGTAACCAAATTGGAATCCGAGCACACTAATGCACTCGGGACTGCACGGGGGTAATTCTAGGACCCTAAAACCGGCCAACATTTTAGCCACGAGCCACCCCTCAAGCTGGCAACACGTGGGTGGCTAGAGAGGTTTCTGGCGGTCGGAAAAACTCCAAACCACCAGGGGAAACCGGTACCTACAAACTCAGCATCACGAGTGGAGCAACTTTTGTTCTTGGACCTACCCAAAATGGTGATCGGAAGTGGCCGAATCGGAGCCAAAAACGAGCGGGTTTTTCCCCAAAATTTTCTTGCCTCGATGCAGCAGCTGCCGCCACCAACTTCATTGTACAACTTAGAAAACAGCATAGAGAGGAAGGAGGGCTGCCTATTCCAAGTGGCAGTGCAGCTCGTGGTGGTCGGAAACGTCATCGGCGAGAATGGCAATTTCTGCTAGTTTTTCTCCTCAATTCCGTTGCCGTTTTCCGGGTTTTTGATGGAAAGAAGGGGTGCACTGGATAGAGGAGAGAGTGAGGAAAGTTTTGCAAGTGACGGTGTCGAGAACAGTGGTCGTACGACGGCGTTCTCGTCGTTTGAATTTGAACGGAAAACTGAGGGGGCGGCACCACACGAGGAGAGAGAGAGAGAGAGAGAGAGAGAGAGAGAGAGAGAAGAATCTGGTTTGTGAAAAACCAGATTGGCAAAATTACGATTTTGCCCTTACAAGAATTTGATCGCAATTTCTTCGTTACAACTCTGATCCAAGTCCACTACGTGTCTACAGACTCGTATCGCCGTGCTCTACGCAACGGTCCAATTAAAATTTTTTAAATTCCTCCCCGAACAAAAAGTTAACTTTTTCTCTAATAAAATATTCTAGGGGCAAAATAGTATTTTACCAGAATAAATTAATAATTTAAATTTAAATTAGGATCGGGTTATTACAATACTAGTGTTATTACAAAATGCCATAATACTATTGGCTGATGGATCACCTACTTATATAATATACTTTACTCTGTCAAGTTTCCAAACTGTGGTAACTCTGTCAAGTTTCCAAACTGTGGTATTTTACATTATTCAATTCCAGCTTCTGTTAGTAACCCTTCCAATTTAGTTACTGTACATGCAAAACAACTATGTTGATGTTGGCTAATGAACAAAAGTTATACCACGCAAGCACACAAATCGATATGATAGTATAGCAAGCAAATACGAGAGGCATTTCCATAGAGATTTGTAAAGTTTATCAATATTAATTCCTAATTTCTGCCTTCTTTTCTCTTTTTCACCATATTTTTCTCTTTTTAGCTCCAACACAATTTTAGGGACCATTTCCTACAAAACTCACACTAAACACATCAAACAACCAATTTCATATAAGAAACTAGTGCAAATAATAGGAATAGTATATAGAAAATAAGCACAAATATGGAGTTATCAAATACCCTCAAACCTATCTTTTGCTAGTCCTTGAGCAAAACGTAAACAAAACAAATTTAGAAAACAAAACAAAAAGTTAATCTAGGCCACTTTCGTAGGAAACACGATAGCACTTAGCACGTGCCACAAGCCTTTAAACCCCTAGGTGTCTCTAGTTGAGGATGCGTTAGGGGGTTACAGTTGTAGTGCTTCAAGTGCTGCCGTGACTTCCCTTGCTCCCTCATGATTGCACAAGTCATCTTCCAACAATGTCAATGCCACTTCTAGTGTTGTTTTCGCTTGATTCGGCACAAAATTAGAAAACACAACGGCATACAAAGCATCAACTGTGCAACAATCTAAAGAGTTTGGAGGATAGGACATAGAATCAAACACTTTAAATTTCACGGTTTCGCCTAGGACTCTCATGGTAAGCTTGCCATTTTCCACATCAATTATTTTCTTGACCATGGCCATGAATGGTCGTCCTAGCAAAATAGGCAACTCTCGGTCATGCAACGGTGCATTCTCCATATCTAAAATCACAAAATCAGCCAGAATTATTAATTTATCAACTTGGACTAATACGTCTTCTATAATGCCTCTTGGGTATTTAATTGAACAATATGCAAGTTGTAGAGACATAGTAGTTGGTTTTAAATCACCCAAACCTAGCTGAAGAAAAATAGAATAAGACATTAAATTAATACTATCTCCTAAATCAAGCATGGCCTTTCCTACTTTTGTGTCTCCAACAGTAATATTAATAGTAAAACTCCCTGGATCATTGAGCTTAATTGGAAGCTTCCACTATAGCATTGTGCTTATTGTTTCTAAAACCGTCACCTTTTCATGAGGTTCATACATACGCTTGTATATTTAACTCCTTGAAGAACTTTGGAAACACTAGCATGTTCTTAATCACATCAAGTAATGGTAAGTTCACATTAACCTTAGATAAAATATCATAAATGTCAGAAAAAGACTTATCCATTTTGTTTTTATTCAGACGACTTGGAAAAGGAACTGGCGGAATATAGGGCTTTGGAGCGTTGTGAAAGTCAGGAGCGGCATATGCTTTCTTTTTAGTCTCAGAGGGGGTTGGATCACTTGGTGTAGTTGGTTTCACTAGGGCTGGTTGCCCAGTAGTGATCTTGATTTTTGACAGCTTATCTGAAGGCTCCTTCATCTCAATTTCCTGTTATGCATCATGAATACACTCATCAGTAACTTCATGATTAATTTTATTGTCAATTTTCTTACTAGAACGAAGTACTGTGACTGCTTTTGCTTGCTCAGGTTGGGTTGGTAATTTTAGGGATATGGGTGCAGACAGCATCTGACAATTTTCCCACTTGAACTTCTAAGTTTCCACTGGATGCTACAATATTATTTAATGTCGCTGCATGCCTTACTATTGCAGAATCATGTTGTTCCATCTTTGAATCTATTTTCTGTGTAAAAGCTAACATAGTTGCTTCCAAAGAAGACTTCACTGGCGGGTTTGATTGACTAGGCATATTAGCATTAGCATTATTTTTCCATGAAAAATTAGGATGATCTCTCCAACCTGGGTTTCAAGTAAAAGACAATTTTACCCCGACAATATTTTAATGCATTAAAAGATGACTTTTTGTTTAGGAAAGAAGTTGGAGACTTGAGTAGTACCATTGTGTAGAGCACATCGAGATGAGTCCATATATACGTAGTGGGCTCAAATCGGAGTTGCAACGAAGATGTTACGATCACAAAAATTCCAGTAGCACAATTGTAATTGTTTCGAAGTTCAATTTTGAAAAAACCTGGATTTTCTTCATCTCTTCTCCTCCTCCACGAACAGCAAACTTCATACAGTAATATCTCCTCCGTCCGAGCACCAAATCCGGCTCCACAACTTGCAAACTCTTCATCTTTCTCTCCTCTTTCCATATATACCCATATCTAGCAATGATTCCAAGCGATTAAACCAGAAAAGCGATTGAAAATAGAGCCAAAAAAGGGGCTGTTTCGAAACTAGAAATTTCGACGCCATTTCCGGCCAACTCCGACCACCACCAGCCACCAAATCACTCCCAGAACACTCCCCTACCTCCCCTATGTGATTTCTCTCAAAGACCCGACCCAATTTCAAGTAGAAATTGTCAAATCCAAACCCAAAACTTTCTAGGTTTTTCAAAGGGGAAATAGTTAGTTCGAGGGCTTTAACAGTGGAGTTGACCTTCGAGCCAAGGTATAAAGTTACTCTCCTTGATGTGCTTGATCCATAGGTAAGAATATTGGCCGGTGGTTTGGAGTTTTCCAATCATAGGAAAATTGCTCTACACATCCGCGGGCAGTGGCAGCGCGTCGGTGGGGTGTCAAGGTTGGACTTTGGTCCTAAAATTATCCCCACATCATCCTGAACACGGCGGTATGCTTGGATTTCAATTTGGTTACGGTTCGACTATCGATAAAATTTCACATATTAGGCGTAATCTGGGTTCGATATGTTCGGACCATTGGATCGACTCCAATTTAAAATATGTTGATTTAGGCACCTGTAGGATCGTGTAGAAATTCGCAGATCAAAAATCGGAGTCCCAGATACTCCGTGTAATAATTCAAAGTTTAGATAAACGATAGCCATCCGATCGTGCGATCGTGAGCGATCCGACCTGTTGCCCAGAGAATCAACCTTAGAGGGGGGTGAATAAGGTTAATTGCAAATTTAAATGTAAACACAGATAAGTGAATTTGACAAGCACAATAATAAAGAGATAGGGAAAGAATGTGAAGAAACATGATGTCGTCTCCTGGTAATTCAAGGGCAGCAAACAGGAGCCACGTGTCGATGGATAGAGGCGTCGAGGATTCCACAAGCAGAAATTACTGGCCATAGAAAGCTACGAAGACTTTGCTGAACGGGTACATTCAGAAAGGGCACGTCACGACAAAGTTGGGAACAGTGGGAAAGGTGGAAAGCCATAAGGTCGTGGAGCTCAAGGAAAGTGGGAAAAATGAAAGAAAATGCATAGAAACTGCAATGGCTTTCATAATTGACGGCTATAAAAGGAAACAAAGTGAATTAAAACCACGTAGAAGAGAGAAAAGAAAGAAGAAAAGCAAGAGGAAAGAAGAAAGAGAAAAGAGAGAAAATGAAAGAAAATGAAAAAATAAAGAAAATGTCGAATTCTTTCCCCTCTTTTCTAGATCTAAACTTGGCTCCGCCAACACAAACATGGGGGCAAGGAGTTTCACCGGTCTGGTCGCCCTACTTTGTTTCCTCACGAGGACCAGTGACAATAAACGACTCTATTCTTCTTGACAACGAAGTTGCCATTGGAGTTGCGAGGAGTTTGGTGACTCCCAGGGATGTGTGCATACTGGGAACGAGGGATGACAACTAGTTAGTGAACGACGTCCTGGCACTGAGCGTGCAAAGTGCAGCATCTATTGCAAGTGTGGGGCATCGCCTCATTGCAAAATCTCATGAGGTGCAAATACTGAGAGCTCAGTTAGTGGCAAAGCAGAACTTGGTTGATGAATATCAGCATGACATCAGAAGATTGAAAAAGAATAAGGCAAAGACAACAGAGGAGAATCAACGCTAGCTTGAAATATTGCAGGCAGAAAATGAAAAGTTATCAGAAGTCAACTCATATGATACATTCAAATGCTTAAATTTTAAAAAGAAACAGAAACTTAAAATTACTAAAATAATAACAAAACAAGTAAGGAGAAAGGATTGGAATACTCACCCTTGAAGTGATTAGGTCGAGCACGGATGCATTTGGAGGTCGCGACTTCTCCCAATACTCCACACTTCCTATCTTTATGATTGAAGTTGCCTTCTCTCTCCCTTTTTATTGAGCTATTGCAATATTTCCGACTCTAACAATTTTTCCCTTTGAATTATCACCAAATGTGACAACTCCTCCATCTTTGGGTATAAGAGATGAAAGTTTGGATTTGTCTCCAGTCATATGCCTTGAGCATCCGCTATCCAAGAACCATTTGCCATTGCTCCCATATGATTTGATTCATACCTACAAGAAATGAATTCAAACGACTCTTTTTAGTACTCATATTTTCTTGGGTCCTTGGGGGTTAGTGAAAGGACCCGGCCCAAATTTCACTTTGGAATCTGAGCCGAACCTTGTGTGTGTCTGACACCTGGCGGGTGTCGAGCACAAATGACCAAAATGCCCTTTTATACCAAACCCAAAGACTCCAACTCATGGCTGCACCTTGTAATGTTAGGCTGCCTACGTACCCTTACTGAGGGATCAAGCCACACGTAGTTCTTGCCTCTACTCATATCAGTCACACATTGAATATAAGTATGCCATACACTGAACTCCCTTATTTTTTAGTTTCAGAATATCTCATAACTGAAATTCTCTCCACCTAAGTGTACCTCTAATCCTGATCCGTCAACTTCATTAATATTGTCAATTCCCTCCTCGCGGGCCGGGCCACAATCCTCGTAGGCCTCGGAGATACGGCTTCTATCCGGGACACAACCTATAACTAACTATCTATCCTCTCAAGCTGAGCCGCAATCCTCGCAGACCTCGGAGATACCGCTTCTATCTGGGCTGCTTCCTATAAATAACTATTTATTCAACCCGTAACCTGATTTCGATAACTCCTTCTGGTCAGGACACGTTTATTATAAACCTAGCCTTGGGTTTGCATTTCTAGAGTGTTTGGGACTCCGTTTTACAATCCTTTGAATCTTATACGATCCTGGCACTATCTAGATCAATATATCTGAAAACGATCACGATTCAACAGCTCAAACTTGCTGAACCCGGAAATCACACACTAGGTGAGATTCGTTCGGGGTTCAAACGTTATCCGAATTAAGATCCGCAAAATCCTACGCGCTCGTGAGGACCAAAGGATCATTCTAGAACTAAATGTGGTCCCCACCCGACTGCCCACGGGCCTCCACAAGCGCTGGCAACGCATGGGTGGCTTGATCAATTCTGATGACCGGAAAACTCTGCAATTGTAAGCCCAGCTTCATACCCTAGGTTCATAACGTGATTTGGAGTCACTTTTGTTCTTGGATCTACCCCAAAAACTGGTCGGAAGTGGCCGGCATTGAGATCCCAAAACCAGCCAAACCCTAACTCGAAAATCAACCTGTCAAACCTAGAAATTACTCAAATCCTACCCAACCATCAGCTAGAGCACGGAAAATAGCTAGAAATCCATACCTTACATGTCAAATTTTGTGGCCATACGAGAGTGATCGAAGCCGTGAAAAATCAAACTCAAAACTGGTCGATTTCTAGCTAATTCCGGCGACTGGCATGGGGGTTGCTGGCGGGGATGAGCTGGGCTGTGCAGCGAAGATGACGCCAGTCCTTTCTGGACCAGTCTGACGGCGGGCCGTGGCCGGGTGGTGGTGGTTCCAATGGTGAAGGGCTGCGGGAAGAAAAACCAGAGGGATAGGGGGCTGTCAGGAGGAGAGAGAAGAGAGGGTTTAAAAACAAGGGAAATATGCTGATATAATCACTTTTCAAAACTTTTATTCTCAAATGATCACTTTACAAATCTTATTCTGATATAATCACTTAGGGACTTAAAATTACCTAATTACCCTTCATATAAAAGCATATCTATTGGCCATTTTTCACCTCTTTTTTGAAAGCCAACTTCTCCCAACTCCTCTTCTCTCTCTCTCTCTCTCGCGCAGCGCGCTCTCTGCTCTCTCTCACAGTTCTTTCTTCGTCTCTCAGCGCTCACTCTCTCCATCGACCACCACCACTCTCTTTCTTCCTCTGTCACGAAAACCTATGAAGCACTCTCTCTTTCTCTCTCTGCAGTCAATGTTAGGATTTGTTGAGGGGGTTCTTGAAGGTGAAAGAGAGGGTTTCTTCGTTAAATGCTCTCTCCCTTCAACAATCTCTCAGCTTCCTCTCTTTTCATGTCTTCAATCAACGTCTTTCTCTTCTCCCCTGCTCCTTCAGGGCCTCACAAAATCCTAATTCTTGGCTTACAACTGAGGAGGTTGATCTGTCCCAGGATGTACAGTAGATGCTATGTCTGAATCCGAAAAGCACTTTGTAAGTCATGTCCTATCATTTTTTGCTGCATCTGATGGGATTGTTTTGGAGACATATTTCAAGGATTCAAGGGAGAAACATAGATTGTTCAATGAAATTGAAAGCGAAGGAAGGCTAAGTGGGCTTTGGATTGGATACACAGGTACATGTACATTCTTCTTTTGCATTCCTGGTATGAGCAAAGATGGTACATCTTTGGGTTTGGAGTGCTTTGTAATTTCTAAATGAAGGAGATTATATTTCTTGTGTGGTTGGACTTGTTTGTCTTGAGTTGTGTAGGAGGGCTGTTTCTATGAAACGGAAATCACATATGCAATAATTTGAACCTCCTCTTATGTGATATCATATGTTGTATATGTAGGTTGAATATGCGCATATAGGAGTGACAAAAATTATTCAGCCTGCAATTTTTGAATATAACACTTGGTCTTTCTAAAGAGGAGGTTTTTGCGCATGGGAAGAGAGGAGGGATGGGTGGCGAGGGGACATCTTTAAAAATTATATCTAATTGAGAATTTATATATTTAACTAAAATTTTCTGCTGTATCAATCACATTAGATTTGAACTTAGTAACACTTGCTGCATACTACAACTTTAAAAGTTGTCGTTCATAAGCCCAACTGATCGTGGTCATCAAGCTTCATTTTAGTTCGTACATATTCTCTATTTGATTAGAAGCAAGGAACCTGTTGCCTAAAACAATTTCTTATTCTACATGATGTGCAGTTCTAATTCATATGCAGAGAGACTTGTTGCTCTTGCATGTGTTGAAGGAATCTTCTTCTTCGAAAGGTAGCGTGCACTCACACTCTTTTTTCTTTCTTGGTTTTTTATTTATATGTTAAAGATTTTTTTCATGATGAGGTTTGGTACAACCTTCTTTTGTTTTCTTCACTTTTTTCCCTTTTGTTTATTGTTCATTTGTTGTTCACAGCTTCTGCGCCATATTCTGGTTTAAAAAGAGGGGGCTAATGCCAGGTTTGACATTCTCACATGAGCTTATTTCCAGAGACTCCACTGTGATTTTGCTTGTCTTCTGTACAGGTAATTCATGTTTTTTTTAATAGGGAATTTGTTGCCGGAATCCTTGATCTAGTACTTTTAGTCCCCGCAGAATTAGGGAATTCAAGAAATTTGATAGAATAATTTCAATAACCAAATGACAGATACTTCTTTTGTTGCTATTGACTGTAGTTTGTTGGGGAAGCAATTGCCTTGGCAAAAAGTTCATGGCATTGTACATGAAGCTGTCGAGATTGAGACCGAGTTTGTTTGAGGCCCACCCATGTGCATTGATTGGCATGAACTCAGATCTCATGAGCCAGTACATAAAATTTGTTGTTGATCGACTCTTGGTATATCTCTGATGATTTGTTCCTCTTTTTTTTCCCTTTTTTTTTCTTTCTTTCTTTAATTCCTAGAGAAATAGGGGACTTGTGCTTAATTGTTATAGTTTTTCCTAGTGTTACATATCAATATGAATGTAATAGAATATACTTTACCTTCCAGGTTGCTTTAGGGTAGAGGAAGTACAAAGTAACCTTATTTATATGATAATGAATAATGATCCAGCATTTTCCTTTACAAAATAACCTTATACAATCAAGCGTTTTATTTTACAAAATATCTTTATAAGTTCGTTCACAAGACAGACTTGAAAAAACAAATGATAAGAAACAAATATAAGTGCAATAATCAGGCAATACCACAGCACTACAAGGGCAATACAAATGCAATAGGGGAGCAATACAATGGCAATACAAAAACTCCACATTCCCACTATAATTTCATTACACATTCCCACTATATATTCATAATCTACAACATATTACAAAAAGGATTAGCTCCAACACTTCTTTTACCTATTGGAAACCAAACGGAGCCTTCACCTTCTATAAATTGGGAGGCATTGCTCAGCCAAAACCAACCCCTCTTGGTTGTTGCAAGCTTCTCAGGAACCATGAGAACTCACCTTTCCTTAGCAGCTGCAAGCATTCTAGTAGACTTCACAATCATTCATGAGCCATCAACCTCCATCGTTGGGCTGCTAGAAGCATCCCATGAACCATCGACCAACATCTCTTGGTTGCTCAAGCATACCAGCAACTATCAGACCACTTTCCTTCCATCCTTCGGCTGCTGCAGGCATTCTAGCGGCCATCCCAGCCATTCCTCAGCCATCACAACCATGTCTTCTACTTTCTCACCCTTGAAATCCATCATCTTCTCCATAAAGCCTCACCAAGCATAACTCCAACCTTTTCCTTCCTTCCAAGCTATAAACACCATAGCCTTCAAACCTCAAGCTTTTCCTCCCATCCTCCTTCTCTTGAAACTCTTAAATCCCCAAAGCCATATCAACAAACAACAGATTATCAACACCCAAACTCAAGCATATCTAACACCAAACCAAGCACATGCATTCTTATTTGCTAAACTTGTGGGTTTTTAGCTCCCACACTCCAAACTCTCATGCCAAGCCTAGTAGTATCTTGATTCATAAAAGAAAACTCTCATGCCAAGCCTGTGCAACATCAATGCATCATCTTCAACTCTTCGTTAAGCTGCCGGAAAGCACAAAACACGTAGCTGCTAGAAGAAGAACAAAGTATTCCCCTGGGACTTGCTTTTCCCTTGGGATACTTTGGGCCTAGTTCTTGCTGACTCATAAAAATGGGCAACGAAGGCTTGATTCATCACTCTATGACGGTCCAAGAATCAATAAGCTCGGATGAGCCTTCCGACGGAAAAAGACCCAAACATAAATGGCGACTTTGTTGGGGACTAGGCCATTACTCTTGCAGCGTCTCCTCCATACAAGCTTTAAGTCACATCGATGCAATAAACCAAAGATAAGAGCATTCTCTTCGATTTTGCTTTGTTCAGTTGTTCTATTTAAAAAAAAGGATGCAAAAGCATTTCTAATATTTTCTCTTATGTTATAGATACATCTTCTCAGACAAAACATCTTTCGAAAGGCCTATGAGGGCTTAGACGAATCCATCATAGTAAACTGCACATGCAAACTCCCTATGACTTGGGGGCTTTGTGCCAAGCAAAAGAGAGAGACAAGAATCCAAAAGTTGCTGTAAATTTAAGTTTTCCTCCTAGAGGAAAGCAAACTGTTTGTTACTTATCTGGAAGAAAACAAGTTGTATGTATCTCTTCCAGCAACTTGCTTCGCCTCTTCCTTCTCATCCTGAGTTTGCTTCTTCCAGAGATCTTTTTTGAAGCAAGCTGTAAAAAAAAAAAGGCAGGCCTCTACTTTGTTTCTCGACCTCGAGTAAGCCAAAAAGAACATAACCCAACTCTGCAACCAATTGCTGACCCCAATAAGCTAACTTGAGGGCTTCATGTCAAGCAAATTCAAATAAGGACACCATGCCATCTAAACAAGCAAACCCATCCACCCTTTTTGCCATAGAGTATAAATAATCTCTTTGATTACAAGTAGTGTAGACAATCCTGCATTATGGTGACAAACAGTTTTCTATTTCCCCTTTTGAATAAGCCAAGTACTGTCAACTCAACAAGCCATCTACCTCTGAGTTTCCACCCGTAATCAGCACATCTAGCCTTTGTCAAAAATCAATTTTGCAATTCACTACCAAACATTATGCCTTTTCGAGAGCTCAACCTCTTGGGGCTTACCCATGTTAAAACATGCTACCACTCGGACTCATGCAACCTAGTGTTGTAAGTGATCAAACAGGACCTTTGCCACATGCCAAGAAGGAAATTACAACATGGCAAGCAAATCAATCAAGCCAAATACACATGAAAAGAAAAGAGAAAAACCAACTCAAGCACAAGTCAAGCATCGAGCACATAAATTTCAGGAAACTTCAAATTTTCTCATGTCATACCAGGCTATACCTTGATTCCAAGGAATTGTATGACTCAACTTCATTCCATTCTCATGCCAAACCAAGCTAAATCTTGATTACAATATCTACATCCTGAGAGCAAGTCTAAGCTATATTATTCCAAGCCAAGTTTCATTCTTCCAACACCTACTCCACAAGCAAAGAAATTCCAGAACCTACCCTATTTCTATTTCAAACATCCTTCCAACACATGCTATATTTCAAAAATCCTTCTAGCACATGTCTGATTTCAAACATCCTTCCAGCATATGCCTGATTTCAAGCATCCTTTTAGCACATGCACAATTTCAATCATCATGTCAGTGTCTGTGCTTCATGTCTGAAAAAGATACAGATGCTGGAGAGGTACTCGTGAAAAAAAAATTGCCGGAAGCATATTTTCCTACATTCATCTATTCTCCTCCAGCAACATCCAACAACTATCGCTCCTCATGCAATTCCTCATATTTTCTCATCTTTGAAGTCTATCATTTCCCTTGTAAATCATAGCCTCCTCATTGACATCATTCTTCCAAAGAAAACTTGAGATGCTCATTTTTATGAAGATGATTGCCTGAGCACCTGGACTTGCATCTTTGCTCTCATTTTCTTCCAAAAACAAAATCCTGCAAAGTAGAAAGATGATGGATAAGCAGCAAGCAAACTCATCAACCAAGAATTTGATGAATTCACATGGCATAAAACCAATCCACATGCCAAGAAATTTCATTTCATTCAAGCATTCCAAGCAATTCACGCTTTTCAAGCAAATTGAAGAACCGATGCTCTTGCGAGCGACAATACCACACAACATCACACTATCACGAAAATATTGCTCAAGACCATGCTCTAGCAATGCCCAGATCAACACTCAATGCCAAGAGAAAGGACATGATAATTCTCAAACAAAAGCAACGTGCCAAGGAAAACTTTTACACAAGCTTTCCAAACATTCTGGTTGGAACATCCCACCTTTGGAAAATCACTAGAAATCAAGCTTACAACCAACAAATTCCGAACTTTCCAAATTAGAACTAGACATATCAAGCTTCATTTTTCCAACATTTCGTTGCATTTAGAGCTAGGGAAGCATGTCAAATAGATTCTGAAAACATGCTATGCAACATAAATTGCACAATTCCAGCAGCTTAGCCCTTTGAAATTGCACCAAAAATACATTTTTCCTTCAAAGGGCACAAGACCAGTTCCAACGCAGCCATTGAGAAGTCTGTTTTCATGTCCAACTCAGATTCCAAGAGAAACATTTCGAAAGTTCAAATAATAGCCCACAAGCTACTTTGAGATATTTTGACAAACACTTGGCATGCATTACCCAAGTGAGCTTGTATGACTCTTGTTTATTACCAAGCTAGAATCCTAAACCAGAAGCTCAACCTCATAATTCAATTTTTGGTTCACAAATTATGGGAACTACAGAGGAACTCAAGCATTCAAGCATAGAAAATAAGAATGCAACAAAGGTATCAACATCAATTCAAGAACACACATCGGAAAAATGAAGGCAGAGAACACTACAATGGTTGGATGATCTTCAATTTTGGATATGTTATAAACAACATAATTTCGAGCACATTTTGTGAAGCAAGTACAATCATCAAAGCATCAGAAATCAAAAACACATGTAGAAGCAGAATTTGAAGAAACTCACCAGCCATGGATGAACACAGAAGCTGCAGACCAACTTTGAGGCATCAGAAAAATTCAAAAAAATTCTACGAATTTTACAGGCTATAGTACTCGAGTAGATGAACAACTTTCATCAAGGAAATTTTCTTATTTGAGCTTTCGAAATATGGCTTATGTACTAATGCATAGTACCCACGGGTTTGAATCTTGAAAAGAGAAGAAAGAGTTGTAGGGAGAAGAAGCCATGCACCATCATGCCAAATGGTCACCTTCGTAGCAAAATGATGCCCCAAGTTCGTCGCACCATGATTCAATCAAATACCAAGAAGGTCATGCTACGAGCTCATGCAAATCGAATCTTTTCATCATGGCTAGCATGCACTTAAGGGTTGAGAAACCGATTATTTACATCCACAACACACATCCAAAGAGAGCAAGCATCACATCTCACCCCTGGAATCCTTCAATTTCGAGCTCCATTCCTCCATCTCTTCCTATTTTCTCTTCGGGCAAGTCATTCCAGAGTCTGACAAAGCTTTCGTCAAGCTGCTGAAAATTTGCTAAAACCACCCATTCTTTCCACCCTCATCTTTTCCTCTCTTCTGTCTCTCACAATTCCCTCTCCCCTTACTTTGAACCCCTGTTTCTCTTGGGAAATCCAAGCCCTCTTTCTCTCTAATGCTAAACTCATAAATGCTCAGCTTCCATGCCACGAACTTCTCAAGCCAAGCTAAGATATTCATCTGTAAGCAACTATTGGTTTTGTTGCAAAAGGAAACCAAGGTGTTTCCCAAAGCTCCACAAACCTTTTGAAGCACCATTGGGTCCTGATTCTTGAACTCATACACAGGTGCAACTCCACCCACTTGCTCTTTACAGCAGGCCAGGCCTATCTGTAGCTACTGGAACAAAAAAGCCCCTACATAAATGCCAAAACCCAAACACTCAAGCACATCCACCATGGTAAATAGCCCAAAAGCTATATTAAACCATGTCACTTTAGCCAATACCAAGCATCCAAGCATACAAGCCAAAGCTTAGCGTACAAGCCAATACCAAGCATACAGGCCAATGCCAAGCATACAGGCCAATGCCAAGCATACATGCCAATGCCAAGCATCCAAGCCAATACCAACCATACAAGCCAAAGCCAAGCGTACAAGCGAATACCAAGCATACATGCCAATGCCAAGCGTATACCCCAATGCCAAGCATCTAAGCCAATACCAAACATACAGGTCAAAGCCAAGCATACAAGCCAATACCAAGCATCCAAATCAAATACCAAGAATACATACCAACATCAAGCATACGTGCCAATACCAAATATACACGTCAAAACCAAACATGCAAACCAATATCAAGCATACAAAACTAAAGCAACTATTGCAAACCACAATCATGCCAAATCAAGCATCACTAGTCACTCAAGCACATCAATCATGCAAGCTAACTTATTTTGGGTTAAAATTTAACCAAGCCTTATCTCCTATGTCATGCCGCAAAATAAGACAACTTTTGGTAACCCCAGTAAGTAAACTTTGATATTACAGTGCCTAGGAAAGTTCTTCAAGGCGACACCTTCGGTGTCTAAGAAGTTTGGGTTTTAGGCGAGACCATTGCGACCCTTCCAACCTTCTTAGAAAAGACCTGACTCTGATTTCGAAGACTCTTAACTGGTTATCCTTGAGTTGCTCATCATTACATATATATATATATATATATATATGACCAAGTTAACACCTGCCCAAACCATGCCAATCTTCATGCCAAGAAAAACAAAATGACTACGGCCAAGCAAGCAAGCATGGATATTTCATGCATATTAAAGAACCAGCCATGCCATGCCACTACCAATTATTTTGGGCTGAAATTGATGATTTGGCTTATCTCGCTGTCTCTTCATGGCCCCAATAATCAATGAGCTAATGTTGAGGCCTAAAAATTCACGAGAAGACCAAAGACATTTAAAGCCCAATATAACATATAATGTTGGTCATGCATTAATCCAAGCTGTAATTTGGGAATTAATTTATTAAATAAATATAAAAATAGTGTGCATGTCATGTCAAGCCAATAATACATTTTCATATGTCAATCACCTACCAAGCTCACATGAACCCAAGTCATGTGGTTTACGAGGTTTGCATGAGGGATTGTGGTGTGGAAGGTTACGGAGGTCCACAAGGCCCACAGAAACTCTTGGATAATGGAGACTTTGGGCTAGCTACTTGCGAGCACCAAAGTCCAAGCCCATTACTTGGAGTTCTCCAATGTGGGTGAGCAAATGAGATATTTTTCAAGCACTTCTTTTTATCCATAGGAAATAGTCATTTTCCAATGCCTAACTTTACCCGCTGGAAATAAGAATGTCCCAATACTCCCTTTTACTCGCTGGAAACAAGCCACTTCCAACACTTCCTTTTACCCATAGGAAATAATCATTTTTCAATGCTAGAAATAAGAATGTCCCAATGCCCCCTTTTTACCTGTTGGAAATAGACTAGCTCCAACACTTCCTTTCACCTATTGGAAACCAAAGGAAGCCTTCACCTTCTATAAATTGGGAGGCATTGCTCAGCCAAAACCAACCCCTCTTGGTTGCTACAAGATTCCCAGCAACCATGAGAACTCACCTTTCCTTAGCAGCTGAAAGCATTCTAGTACCCTTCACAGTCATTCATGAGCCATCAACCTCCATTGTTGGGCTGCTAAAAGCATCCCAGCAACCATTGACCAACATCTCTTGGTTGCTCAAGAATACCAGCAACTATCAGACCACTTTCCTTCCTCCCTTCAGCTGCTGCAAGCATTCTAGCGGCCATCCCAGCCATTCATCAGCAATCACAACCGTGTCTTCTACTTTCTCACCCTTGAAATCCATCATCTTCACCATAAAGCCTCACCAAGCATAACTCCAACCTTTTCCTTCCTTCCAAGCTATAAACACCATAGCCTTCAAACCTCAAGCTTTTCCTCCCATCCTCCTTCTCTTGAAACTCTTAAATCCCCAAAGCCATAGCAACAAACAACAGATTATCAACACCTAAACTCAAGCATATCTAACACCAAACCAAGCACATGCATTCTCATTTGCTAAACTTGTGGGTCTTTAGCTCCCACACTCCAAACTCTCATGCCAAGCCTAGTAGTATCTTGATTCACCAAAGCAAACTCTCATGCAAAGCATGTCCAACATCAATGCACCATCATCAATTCTTCGTCAAGTTGCTGGAAACATCATCACAAAACATGCAACCACTAGAAGAAGAACAAAGTACTCCCCTGGGACTTGCTTCTCCCTCGGGATACTTTGGGCCTAGTTCTCGCTAACTCATAAAAAGGGGCAACGAAGGTTTGATTCATCACTCTGTGCTGGTCCAAGAATCAATAAGCCGTGATGAGCCATCCGACAGAAAAAGACCCCAACACCGTTGAATATTATCAATTTAACTACTATATGTGCTAATTGTATATCAATCTAATTTTTTGCTTGCAAGTGGAAAAATATGGTCGTGCACCTGACATACAATACTTTCTTACGTACAATACTTCATAGTTTGATTTGATGCACAAGTGGCATGATCCTTATTGAGTTGTTTGATTTGATGCACAAGTGGCATGATGAAAACAATATTGGATTGATGATGCTTCAAAGCAAATGGCTGTAAGTTTGGTACTTTCTTACAAACAATACTTCATAGTTTTTCCTACTAAACAATAATTACTGAAATAAAATATATCTCGGTTAGACTAAGATCTCGCAAGAATTAACTCAACTACTTTCTACCCATGGTGAGGAGATTGTGGAGTTGATATTGTAAGCGTATGTAACAACGAAGGGTTTTGAGACCTGTGGTAGAGTTCATGGTTACGAAAATGTTATGAAACCGGATATGGTGCCTTGGGTGGTACAAACTCAGCCCACTTCCTCTTCTTGTCAATCACGTAGAGGACGAGATTATGCTCAATTGGAGTCTAAGTCTTTAGAGCTGCAAGATAAATATGAGAGGCAACATAAAGAGAGGGAGGAGTTGAGGCAGATGATATAATCATCTCATCAACAGCCATTGCATCCACCTTCACATCAACACTCTTGCACACCGAAAAATGTAGTTAGAGGAACATATGAAGAAGAAGAAACTTGAGAAACAAATGCAGAAGATAAGATGTTGAAAGTGAACTGTCAAAGTCAAAGTCAACACATTTGACTTGATGGGTTTCCCTCGTTAGTGGAGGAGAGAAAAAGAAGGAAAAAATAAATAGTAAAATTAAATGAAAGAAAGGACGGGAGAATTTGAATAAAACGAATGGAAGAGAAAAGGAGAAAAACTCTCCTTCATACATGGTCACCAATTAGTTAGGAATGTTGGCTATAAAAGCAGTTGCCTTCTTTTAGTTCAATGCATCCCTTAGAAAACCAAATATAGAGAGTTTTGAGAGATAAGAAAACCTCATTTGTGTGTGTGTGTGTGTGTGTGTGTGAGAGAGAGAGAGAGAGAGAGAGAGAGAGAGAGAGAGAAACCAAGAGAGAGTTTAGCCACTGGTGTTTGGTGAGATTATTATTGTATTCCCATTATTTTCATAGTTGAAAATATTGAGTGTTATTTTTGCCCATTTTATTTACACAAGGCTGGGAAAAGTTAGATCCTGGGACTACCAAATTTATTTATTGGCTCTTTTCTTTTTGCCATCTTTCCCAACAAGTGGTATTAGAGCTTTAGCTAAAAAAAAATATTTATATTCTTGTGTAATTTAAGATGGAGAAGTCGTCATCATCAACGTCAGCAATAATGTTAAAATTGAGTTCATCCAATTACTCAATTTGGAGGCCAAGAATGGAGGACATCCTTTACTGCAAGGATTTGTATGAGCCCCTTCAATTGTTGGGACAAAAACCAGAAGGGAAGTTAGACAATGGATGAAGCATTCTACATAGAAAAGTTGTCGGACAAATCTGGCAATGGGTGGATCAAAGTGTGTTCCACCATGTGGCACAAGAGACGGATGCATACAAATTATGGACAAAATTGTTGTCCACATATGAGTTGAAGACCGCTCAAAATAAAGCCTCTGTTATCTGACGGTTGGTAACGAATATGCAGATGGTGCTTGATGATGAGTTACAAGCACTAGTGTCACTCAGCTCTTTGCCTCATAACTGGAATACACTAGTAGTGTCCTTAAGCAATTCAACTCTTCAAGGCGTTCTTACATTGGACATAGTTAAAGATAGCAAGGAGAAAAGTACAAGGAGTAGTAGCCGAGTTAGAAGCCCTCGTCTTAGAGTATTGTGGAGGAACTACCAATAGAAAATTTCACATGCGACACAAGTCAAAGGGCAGGTCAAGAGAGGGCTCGAGAGGGAGGTCCAAGACAAGAAAGGACCTAGAATGTTACCATTGTGGCTAGATAAGCCACATGAAAAGAGAGTGCAGGCTATTTAAACGAGAGCAAGATAGAGGTAACGAAAACAATAATGCCAGGCACACGACCACAACTACCTTTGGTGGAAATGAGGTAATTATTCTATGTGGTGATGGCTTCGTTAATTTTTCCTCTCAAGGTACATGCTGGATAGTAGATTCTGGTGCATCATTTCATGTCACCTCACAAAGGGACTTCTTTACATCTTACACCAATGGAGATTTTGGTAATGTGAGGATGGGAAATGACAAATTATCCAAGATCGTGGGAAGAGGAGATATTTCCCTTGAAACCAACACAAGTTCTCACTTGGTTCTCAAGGATGTGAGACATGTTCCAGACATGCGTCTCAATCTAATCTCCACTGGATTACTTGACGATGAAGGATACACCAATGTCTTTGCTAAAGGGAAATGGAAACTCAACAAGAACTATCTTGTCCTAACATGGGGGAAGAAGGAGAACACCCTATACATGACACATGCAAAAGTCAATAATGGGTACGTAAATGCTCTCGCAGAAGACTCAATCGAGCTTTGGCATAAACGGGTCCGTCGCATGAGAGAGAAAGAGTTACAAATTCTAGCCAAAAGAGAGGCACTAACTGGGATGAAGAAAGGCATGCTTCTAAAATCATGCATGCATTGCTTGGCTGGAAAGCAGCATAGAGCTTCGTTTCAATATGGACTTGCACAAAGAAAACCCAATGTATTGGATGTTATGTACTCTGATGTTTGTGGTCCTATGACCACTAGCACTCTTGGTGGTGCAAGATATTTTGTTACCTTCAGTGACGATCATTCGAGGAAGGTATGGGCTTACGCACTTAGAACAAAAAATCAAGTGTATGAAGTTTTCAAGCAGTTTCATCCCATCGTTGAATGAGAGACTAGTAGAAACTTGAAATGTATTCGCACCGATAATGGAGGAAAATATATGGGGGCGTTCAAAAACTATTGTAGAAGTAATGGCATTAGGCATGAATGATCTGTTCCAAAGACTCCTCAGCATAATGGCATAGCTGAGAGAATGAACAGAACAATGTTATCTCATGCCAAGCTGCCCAAAAGCTTTTTGGGTGAAGCCCTAATGACTGCAGTTGATCTAATCAACCTTTCTCCTTCAGCTCCTTTGAATAGTGATGTCCCAAACAAGTTATGGTCAGGAAAAGACATTTCCTACAATCATCTGAAAGTGTTTGGTTGTAGAGCTTTTGTTCATATTCCTAAATATGAGAGATCTAAGCTCGATGTGAAGTCAAAAGAATGTATCTTCATGGGATATGGGAATGAAGAATTCGGTTACAGGTTATGGGATCCTGTAGCTAGAAAGATTATTAGAACTAGAGATGTTGTTTTCTTTGAAGATCAGAACATTGAAGACATTTGAAGACATGATAAACTTGATAATCCTAGAGAATATCCAGCTAACTTGGATCCAATTCCTCCTCCATTGGAGCACAATGACAGGCGAGATGAATACAATGATACTGATAATCCAGCTAGTGATCCTATTATTAATGAACCAGCTGATGATGATGTGAGTGATGGTCATACAACTGATGGTATAATAGATGATGTAGTTGATGAGGGGCAAGAAGCAAAAACCCATGAAGAGCCCGCCGCCGAGTTCCAACCAAGAAGATTGACCAGGGTACGGAGACCTCCGAGTAGGTATTCTCCAAATGATTATGTTCTCCTAACAGACGGGGGAGAACCAGAATGCTATGAAGAAGCATTGACTCATGATCAACAAGATGAGTGGTTGAAAGCCATGCATGAAGAGATGCAATCTATGCATGAGAACCACATGTATGATCCAATGAACTTACCAGAAGGTAGAAAAGCACTCAAGAAAAAATGGGTGTATCGACTGAAGATGGAAGAAAATAACTCTAAGCCCAGGTTTAAGGCAAGGATAGTTGTGAAAGGTTTCAGTGAGAAGAAAGGAATTGACTTTGAAGAGATTTTCTCACCCGTTGTGAAGATGTCATCCATACGGGTTGTACTCAGTTTGGCTGCAAGCCTAAATCTCAAGATCGAATAGCTAGATGTGAAGACAGCTTTTCTTCACGGAGATCTCGAAGAAGAAATTTACATGGACCAGCCATAAGGATTCAAAGTCAAAGGCAAAGAAGATTTGGTATGCCAGCTAAAGAAGAGCTTATATAGACTCAAGTAGGCACCTCGACAATGGTACAAGAAGTTTGATTCCTTCATGATTGAACATAGATATTGGAGGACTACTTCAGACCATTGTGTATTTGTGAAAAGATTTGATGATGGTGAATTCATCATACTTCTTCTCTATGTCGAGGACATGTTGATTGTAGGACAAAACAGTGACAAGATTAGCAAGCTGAAGAAAGAGATGAGCAAGTCTTTTGCTATGAAAGACTTAGGACCCGCAAAATGAATCCTTGGTATGAGTATATCCCGTGATCGAAAAAATCAAAAGTTGAGGTTATGACAAGAAAGTTATATTGAGAAGGTACTAAAGCGGTTTAACATGGATAAAGCAAAACCAGTTTCTACTCTATTTCCTAATCACTTCAACCTTAGTTCGAAGCAGAGTCCTACAATTGAGAAAGAAAAAGAAAACATGGCTATGGTGCCATATTCCTCCGTTGTTGGTGGTCTGATGTATGCAATGATTTGCATGAGACCCAACATAACGCACGCAGTTGGCGTTGTAAGCATATTCTTGTCTAAACTAGGCAGAGAGCATTGGAATGCTGTGAAGTGGATTCTCAAATATCTCAGGGGCACTTCCAAAATGAGTTTGTGCTACACAAATGCAGACATGGCAGGAGATCTTGATTCCAGAAAACCTACTTCAGGATACCTAATTACATTTTCAGGGGGAGCAGTTTCGTGGCAATCAAAGTTACAGAAATGTGTTGCTCTATCAACTATAGAGGCAGAGTTTATCACAACTACTGAAGCATGCAAAGAAATGCTCTAAGTGAAGCAATTCCTACAAGAATTAGGGCAAGAGCAGCATAAATACATTTTGCATTGTGAGAGTCAGAGCGAGATCCACTTGAGCAAGAATCCGAGTTTTCACTCGAGGTTGAAACACATTGACATGCGATGTCACTAGATACGTGATGTGTTGGAGTCCAAGAAATTATAGCTTGAGAAGATCCATACTGATGACAATAGTTCACATATGATGACCAAGTCCTTACCTAAGGACAAGTACGAATTTTGTAGAAGAGCAGCTAGACTACTGGAGCCCTCCACCTAAGTCAGGAGGGGGAGATTGATGGGTTTCCCTCGTTAGTGGAGGAGAGAAAAAGAAGGAAAAAGTAAATAGTAAAATAAAATGAAAGAAAGGACGGGAGAATTTGAAGAAAACAAATGGAAGAGAAAAGGAGAAAAACTCTCCTTCATGCATGGCCACCAATTAGTTAGGAACGTTGGCTATAAAAGCAGTTGCTTTCTTTCAGTTCAATGCATCCCTTAGAAAACCAAAACATAGAGAGTTTTGAGAGATAAGAAAACCTCACTTGTGTGAGAGAGAGAATCCTCTTGAGAGAAAAACCAAGAGAGAGTTAAGCCACCGGTGTTTGGTGAGATTATTATTGTATTCCCATTATTTTCATAGTTGAAAATATTGAGTGTCATTTTTGCCCATTTATTTACACAAGGTTGGGAAAAGTTCGATCTTGGGACTGCCAAATTTATTTATTGGCTCTTTTATTTTTCGCCATCTTTCCCAACATGACCTAGTCAAAATATTTAGATTAAGGATATAACTTAATGATTAAGTCACAAATCATAATTAAAATGTTAATTATGAAGTTAGTTTGACGGTTAGACTTGATTTGGACTTTAAAGGCATTTTGGGCCACAAGGCAAAATAGCCCAAGGACCCATTGGGTCTTGGAACAAGTGTTGTATGACAATACAAGTTAAGTAAGCCTAAGAGAGAGCCCATAGACCTCCTTGGCCGTCCATATGGGTGGGAAGATTTCCTCACCCATGTGTTGGCTTTATAAGCCACATTTTAGACCATTTCTCTCTAGGTTTTGAGCCTCCTAAGAAATTTGTTGTGGTGTTGAGAAGAATGAGAAATCCTCTCCTCCACCTTTGCTAAAATCGGTCATCAAGAGGGTAGCTACTTTGGTATCTTGTGAAGAATTCATGAAGATATGGAAGAAGACCTTTCCAAATGTGAAAACTTGGAGACCATCCAAGAGAGCTTCAAGGGTAAGAAAGCTTCATCCTTTTTCCCTTTTGTTTTTTGTGCATATAAGAGATTAGGCCTTAAGATACTTGACTAAATTGGATAGATGTTAATTAGCTCAATTGGTTTTAGAGATTAGCTTCTGCTTCTTGAATGTATGATTCAAGATTATTATGGCTAATAATCTAATAGAGAGTTTAAAATATATGTTTCCTTCAATAATATATTATGACAAGGTCATGTTTGAACCCCCTATACTAGCAAGCATGGTGGGCTAATGCTTAACTAGTACATTGGTGCCTTATGATAATATTCGGGGGTACACATTTGCTAGAGGCCAAATTAGATGGGAACTCACATCAAGATGTGAATGAGTAGAAGGATTCTCTCTTTATTATTTGAGAAATTCCTAAGAACCTATTATGGTGCGATGAAACAGGTATAAGGTGCCTCTCCCATCCCACTAGGAGTTTTCAAGATAGAATACTCTCGAGTTTCGTTTTTGAGTGATTGCGGAATTCGTCAAATACTGGGAGGCACCTTTTGATTTAAAGACCTGAATCAATGGCCTTAAAATCAATCTAGTTTAAATCTATTAGGTTAGCTATATCTGCAAACACTCATTCCAACACTTGACAAAAAAAGCCTTCAAGGCCTATGCATCCTGGCTTTGTACCTCAATGTACTAGAGCTAGCCCACTTTTCACACTTTTTTCCATAAACATTACGTGTTGAGAAGAACATTCAGGCAAGGTGCTTCCTCTCGGTTGAGGAGCATTACATGGACGCTACTGAAAGAATGTAGAAAGCTGTATCTTGTATTAATGCCTTGAGATCGTAATGTACAAGATTTGTACAGAATGAAAGTTCCATTCTAAGTAAACATGAAATCTATTCTAAGTATGTAAATCACAATAGCTGTAATGACCGTAAACTTAGCTAATTACTAAGATTGAGGTAATCACAACAGTTGACCAATTTCTTCCCTATAACACTCCCCTCAAGTTGGAGTATGAATGTCAATTATACCCAACTTGCCAAGATGGGATTGGAACAAGGGGGTAGGTAGCGGCTTAGTGAAAATATCTGCAACTTGATGTTTGGTTTACACATGAACTGTCTTGATCTCCCCGTTTTGAATTCTCTCACGAACGGTATGACAATCCAATTCAATGTGCTTGGTCCGTTCATGATACACTGGGTTGGCTGCAATGTAGAGGGCTGCTTTGTTGTCACAGAGTAAGGTGGCTGGTTGGTTGTGTTCCACTTGTAAGTCCCGTAAGAGATATCGCAACCAAGTGAGTTCACAAGTGGTGGCTGCCATAGAGCGGTACTCAGCTTCTGCAGATGACCTTGAGACAGTGACTTGCTTCTTGCTTTTCCATGATATGAGTGACTTCCCAAGGAAATACAGTATCCAGTAACTGAGCGCCTTGTAAAAGGACATCGTGCCCAATCCGCGTCACAGTAAGCTGTCAGGTGGAGGGGCCCGTGTGAAGGGAATAATAACCCTTGGCCAGGAGCTCCTTTGAGGTAGTGAAGGAGTCGACGTGCTGTCTCAAAATGATGCATTCGGGGTTCATGCATAAACTGACTTAGTGTATTCACCGCATATGTGATTCGGGTCTTGTTATTGTAAGATATATTAACCTGCCAACAAGTCTGCGATAGCGAGTAGGATCCTTGAGGGGGTCACTCCCTGTAGGCATGAGTGCAACATTGGCTTCCATAGGAATTTTTGTAGGCTTTGCACCAAGTAAACCTGCATCTTCCAAAATATCCAGTGTATACTTCCGTTTGACAAAAAGAAATCCCAGATTTGGACCGTGCAATTTCAACTCCAAGAAAATACTTTAAAGGTCCAAGATCTTTGATTTTGAAACAAGTGCCAAGGAAGTGTTTAAGGTCTCGTATGGCATCATCATCATTTCCAGTAATTATCATATCATCAACGTACAATAATATAACAGTGAAGGATTTACCATGTTTGTGTGTAAACATAGAATAATCTGCTCTGGATTGAGAAAAACCAATATTTTGTATAGCAGAGGAAAACTTACGAAACCAGCTTCGAGATGCCTGTTTAAGACCATATAAGGATTTGTGGAGACGACACACAGTGTGCTCCCCCTGTCGTTGATAACCGGGCGGTGGAAGCATGTAGACCTCTTCATGGAGGTCGCCATGAAGGAAAGCGTTGTGTACGTCCATCTGATGAAGCGGCCAATTGTGAACAGAGGCAACAGTGAGGAGACAACGGACAGTGATTAGTTTAGCAACAGGGGCAAAGGTCTCAGTATAATCGATGCCTTCACGCTGGGTGAACCCTTTGGCGACCAAACGAGCTTTGTATCTCTCCAGGGTACCATCGGAAGTGTACTTGAGTTTGAAAACCCATTTGCACCCAATCGGACGTTGGCCAGCCGGTAACGGAACTAACGACCAAGTGTGGTTCTCTTCCAGAGCTGCAATTTCGGAGTTCATAGCCTCAACCCAGTGGGGGTTGTGACAGGGCCTCCTCATAAGTGTTAGGTTCAACCAATTGGGAGATAGTGTTGACAAAAAAACGATGAGGTTCCGAAAAATTAGAATGAGTGACATACCGAGTGATGGGGTAGCGAGTACCGGACGTGATGGGGGAAGGAACTCCTGGAGCAAGCAGGGCGGCATGGTGGGCTTGGTAGTCCTTGAAGTGGGGAGGGGGTTTGATAGATCGGGTGGATTTGCGCAGAGGTGGGGCGGGAGAAATGGGATTGGCGTCGGTGGGAGAAGGAGGAAGAAGTTGTGGAGGGGACGAAACGGCCGGAGAGGGTGACGCCATGGCATCGAAGGATGGTGAAGGTGCGGCGGTAGGTATCAGTGATGAAGGAGAAGAACCAGAGAGAACAGGGTGGCACGGGTTGGGTAAGAGATGGGGAGGGTGAATAAGTGAGGAGTGGGTCGTGGGCCGAGGGCTGGGGGGTATGGGCCGGATGGGGAAAAAGGTGAGGAGAAGAAGATCGGTTGGGCTTTCCTGGGTCTGGGATAAGGGTTCATGGGCTGGGGTGGGAAGGACAACAGTGTCAGTTTGTTGTTCAGGTGGTGAGGTAGGGAAAGGGAATATATTTTCATGAAAAACCACATCCCGAGAGGAAAAAAATTTTTGTGTGCTGAGGTCATAAAGGCGATAACCCTTTTGACCAAGGGGATAACCAAAGAAAACACATCGACGGGCCCGGGCATCAAACTTGTGTTTGGGAAGGAGATTGGTAGCATAACACAGACAACCAAAAACTCGTAAAAAAGAATAATCAGGAGTGTTGTGGTGTAAAAGTTCATATGGAGATTGGTGTTTGAGTAATGGTGTTGGAAGGCGATTTATGAGATAACATGCAGTATGTAAGCTTTCTCCCCAAAAACGTAAGGGAATATTGGCCTGAAAACGGAGTGCCCGAGCCACATTCAAAAGGTGGCGATGTTTTCGTTCGACAATGCCATTTTGTTGGGGTGTATATGGACATGAGTGTTGGAAAGAGGTACCGGTGTCTCGAAAAAAAGGTTGGAGGGAAAGAAATTCACTCCCATTATCGGCACGCAAGGTTTTGATAGGAAGATTGAATTGGGTTTTGACCCAAGAGAAAAAAGATTTTATCACCCCTTGTGTGTCAGATTTAAAATTTAAGAGATGAATCCATGTAAAACGGGTAAAATCATCCACAATAGTTAGAAAATATCGTGCACCAGTATGAGTGTGAATTTTGTGTGGCCCCCAAATGTCACAATGAATTAAATCAAAAGGTGCATGAGATGACATTGAAGTAGATGGAGAAAAAGATAAGCGAGTTTGCTTTGCTAAAGGACAAATATCACAAACATGATTGTTATCACAGATAATTTCTGGAAATTTATTGGAAAGAAATTGAGTAGGGGCGGTGGATGGGTGTCCCAGACGTTGATGCCAAAGATGGGAGGTGTGGTGAACATGATGAGCTAGATGTGGGTTTTGGGTGGCTTTGAGGTAGTAGAGCCCATTAAATTGCTTGCCCAGGCCAATCGTCCTCCCCGTATTCACGTCCTGCACAACACAAAATTTATCAAAGAAAGTCACCATACACTGCAATCCTCGTGTCAATTTGCTCACAGATAATAAGTTCACATTAAATTGTGGTACATGAAGAACACCATCTAGAGTTAAGGTGTCAGACACTTTAATGGATCCAATATTTTTAATGGCTGCTTTCCCTCCATTAGGTAAACCAACAAAATCATGTTGAGTATTGATTGTGTTGTGTGTAGGTGCAAAACACGAAATATGATCTGATGCTCCACTGTCCATGATCCAATAGAAATTTGAAAGTGGGTCATGCTGTGAAAGGTTGCAGGTTGATGTAACAATACCTGTTGCATTTGCAAGATGAGAATTACCAGGTCGATTGTGTAAAAGAGCGATCAGTTGATTGTATTCTTCAGTAGTGAAAGTGGGGCTGTCATCGGATTTGACGTGGGGCCCTGGGTTTGGATCCTTTTCAGCAGTGTAAGCAGCCCGTTTGTTTTTGGGCTTGACATTCTTCCCATGGAGTTTGTGGCCCACAGGAAATCCATTAAGGAAAAAACAAGTGTCAATGGTGTGGGTGTCTCCATCACAGTAAGAACATTTCAGAGACTTCCTGAAGTTGGAGCTGTGTTTTTCGTTCCCAGCACCAGAGGGTTTCGCCGCTGCTGCCGAGTTGCCTGGGTTGGTGCCGCCCTTGGTGTTCGCAGAACGTATGATTTGCATGGCATGGGATCCGGGCTGTCGATTTGCCACGTCCAGCTGCCTTTCGTGTTGGAGGATCAGGCCATGGACACGACGTGTGTCTGGGATCGGTGACATCATCAGAATTGACCCACGCACAGTTGAATAAGGTTCGTTCAGACCCATTAAAAATTGCATGACTCTCTCCTTCTCTTCTCTGGAAGCACGTGTTGTGGAACCTTCGCAAGTGCAGATGATGGGTTCATGGTATGAATCCAATTCATCCCATAAGGCCTTGAGCTTTGGTGTAATACTCTGAAACGAAAGATGGCCTTGTCGATGTTCGGCAATTTCTTGGCGGATTTGGTAAATCCGGGAGTCGTTGCCTTGTGAGAATCGATCTTTAAGATCATTCCACACCATGGATGCGCTGGTGCAGTAAAGTACACTGCTTGCGATGTCGGGTTGTAGTGAGTGCAAAATCCAGGATAACACCATATCATTGCATCTCTGCCAAATGGAGAATTTGGCATCAGTTTTTGCTGGGGCTTTGATAGTCCCATCAATGAATCCGAGTTTGTTTTTAGCGCTCAAGGCAATTCGCATCGAGCGACTCCATTGACCATAGTCATGGCCTTCGAGAGGTTTTCGAAACTAGAACCAGACCGGGTGAGTCGGAATGGTGTAGGGATAAGTGGATCAGACATGTTGATTTCAGATCCGGATGATTTTTCATCACCCATGTTGATGGACTGTGTAGGTTGGTTGTTTGTGTGTTTGGTTTTGGTAGCGGAAGACGTGCTAGACAGAGTCACCTATGTTGGTGCTCTGATACCATGAAAGAATGTAGAAAACTGTATATTGTATTGATATCTTGAGATCGTAATGTACAAGATTTATACAGAATGGAAGTTCTATTCTAAGTAAGCATGGAATCTATTCTAAGTATGTAAATCACAATAGCTGTAATGACCGCAATCTTAGCTAATTACTAAGATTGAGGTAATCACAACAGTTGACCAATTTCTTTCCTTTAACAACTACTAGTGCCATAATTCTTCATTTAAACAAGTCATGAAGAAGAGAAGTCATCACTTACGCCTCTCAGTTGTTTGTAATCATGTGAAGACCAAATTGGTCAAAAGGGCATCAGTCCATCGTAGACTGAGAATGATTGGGATCATTGAATAGTTGGAGAGTTTATGCACTCCACTACATGGGAAACTTGTGCAAGACTTTTTCCTTGTGTCACTCATCAAGGTGAATCACACCTCTCTCCAATTGTTGAACATATGAGTCACACTTGAAACGAAGTCTCAAGAGAGACAGTAGGAGTAGGACAATGACTGTTAAAGTCAAAGGAGAAGTGAAGAAGAAAAAGTCAACTCCAAGAGACTAGTAAGAAGTAGAAGACTCCTTAAAGACTACAGAGTAGTTGGAAGCTACTTCCTTAAACATTCTACATTTGAGGTATAGGAATTAATATCGTCTTTATATTCCTAAAGAACTTAATTTCATCTTTAAGATGGAAATTTTGTTTTGTTTGACAAACTGCTTTGTTCTTTATGAACAAGTAATTGGATTGTTACAATTCAATTAATGGCCTCTTCTCATTTAAGAAATGAATGATATAATAACTGTTTAGAAACAATGATGCCTCAAAGACCCAAAAGGTCTGAGAAAGAATTAACCCTAATAAAAGGTGACACCTAACAGGTATGGACGTATTAGCCAAGATTGGATTCACAAGGTGGCAATTATGGAGACTTTGGATCTATCGATCCAGTTCTAATGCTTGCTTATGAATCTTATCGTGGGGAGATGTTTGAATCTCTTTTACAAGAGAAACGAGAAATAATCAAAAAACTGTAGAAGTTAATCAAGATGAGGCTCCTTTTATAGAATTCACTGATGATCACTCTCGGTTGGACTATGTGAATCTCATAAAACACAATTCTAATCTTTTAAAATAGTTTTAAAGTATTCAAGAATATTTTAAAACCCTGGATTTGATCAAGGAAATGAATACTAGAGGATAAACGTTTCTTAATTATAATAAAGGGACGTGACATCATATCATAATGAATTCTCTTAATGAGAAATTGAACCTTAATGATTTTGGTTCGTTCCATGATGATTTACGAATATCCTACTAGGATATGCACAGTTAATGGCAACATACTTGCCAAACCGAGTTCCTTCCAAAGAACTTCATAAGATGTAGTTGTAATGAAATTCGATTCTTAATCATGATAAGATTTGAAGTTGTCATAGATATCAAAGCGGTTGATATGTATAAGTTTAGAGATAAACATATTGAGTATAGATTTGTGGAGTGTCTAAAGGAAACCTTAGCACATTACTTATATCAACCGACAAGCAATAGTAGTTTCTCGAAATTCATGCTCTCTTCCTTGAAAGAGGACTTACTTAAGATACGAAACCATAAATCAACAGTCAAGTTATAACTTAGTTCCGAGAAAAGCTCCACATAGTTCTAATTGGATCCAAGAACCATCTTAGAAGAATGGGGAGATCGTTCTAACTACTCATATTAAATGGCATTAAACCATAAAATCCGAATTGGATTCTATGCATGTCAAGCAAGTCTGGACTCTAGTTGACTCGCCACAAAGGTATTGTATGTATTGGCTATAAATCACTACCAGAAAAAGGCTAATAGGCATTAGCCTTTTACTATCACATACCAATGTTACAGGCTTACAGCAACAACATATGTTTCTTCAACCAAAGTGATGCCTTAATGGCCTTCAGTTGTTGACTTTCGTCCAAATTAGGTTGACTTCCGATGTATTTGACGACAACATCAACAGTTCTTTGTATACCACCGATCCCTTTTCACAAGACTACTTCACCTACTTTTTATTTTCTGATGTCTATAATTAGCTTGGCATCGGTAATGTCATAAATGTTGTAGTTGATTTCTATAAGTAGAGATGTCTTTCTTGTTGTGATGCCTTCGTAGAATAACTATTTCACTTGTCCTATATTATCCGATGTCTTCAAGATATTTAGCTTCGGTTATTTTTGCCCATTGTAGTGTATAATTGTGACGAGCATCGTTTTCTTCATATTTTTTATGTCTTTTAACAAGAATTACTTTATAGACAAATTCAAGCAATGTACTAAATGCATATTTTTGTTCCCGTGCAAGTAATCTCTTATAATGCCAAATCAAAATAAATATAAGTCATCTTATTTCAAATGAACATTACATAATACTTCATTTTTTTAGTCCAAAAACTAACTAAAAACAACTACAAAAATGTTATAACTAGTTAACTATCTAGACAAATGATATTGAAAACACATAAAAAAAAATTACATTGAAAACAAAACAAACTGAAATAAACACAGTTATCTAGTACATAGAACTTCTCACTTGGAAGCTTGACTTTCCCTACCACTTGATGTACCTAAGGCTGCCTTTATTATTTAAGCCTCCCTTAACACATCAAGCTGCCAAGAGGTACATATGAATTAAAAGATTTAACACAACAACAATTGATAACTACTTAGTAAACACACATCTAAAGAAGAAAATTTTGGCTACTAAAAAACTGTTACACATCACATATGTGCTCTTCTTGTAAGTTTCAAAGTCCCATGGGTATTCTAGTTACTAAACATAAGTTATATGCTGCACAAAATAGAAGGAGATCTTTATCTAGATAGTATAGGTGGTTTACCTTGATCAAACTAAGTAACAGATTATGCATCCTCATATTTTGAGAGACATCCATAATAGTTACTTTATCTATATGATTGTCAGCATTTGCATCCTTCAATTCTCGAATCTCACTTCCCCACTCTTTAGAAAACAATAACGGACAGTACTTAAGAGCAAAGAGATATATATATATATATATATAATTATGTATATCATGGTTATTTAAGATGAAGCAAGGTTCTTATATGAGAAAGATAATATAACCTAAACAACTTCTATGATCCAAACTATTGAAGCTAGCCTAATAAGCGCATATCAAATCTGATGTGATGCAGGGCATCGTCTATAAGCCGCTATCCAACGACCCAAACATACCCAAAGTATAGGAAATAGAAGAATAAAGCAATGAAATAGAAGTTGGAACAAAAAAAACTCCTACATTATGATGATTAAACTAAATCAGCAACTATTCCAAAAGTATTATAAAATGGTTAGGGGGGCATTTGATATCCTATTCAAATAGGGAACTCAAAAACTTTGATTTTTCTTAAAAATAAAGAGTTCTTAAATCTATTTTTAAGATTCAAAAACTTGTTTGGTATGCAACTTGAAAACTGTTTTCAAATCTTAAAAATTTGAGAACTTGTGGGTTGTTAGAAAAAAACTGAAAAAAGATATATTTTTTGTTTTTAATAGTTGGGGTGTTTTTTTTTATTGTTCTTGAGTTTGAGTTTTTGAAAATAGGGCTGCCAAACAGGTTTTCTTTGTTTTGGACTCAAATTCTGTTTTTGAGTTTAAAAAGTTGGATTCAAGTTGAATACCAAACAAGCCCTTACCTTTTCTACATGCTTTGTCCAAATAAATTTGACAAGCCAAAAATCTACAAAATCTCACCTCAAAGATTAAAACCTCAAACTGCAAATATATATTCAACTGTCAATGCAAGCTGCAAAACATAGAAGATATGGTGAAACCAGATATTGACTCCTTCAATTTCCTAGAAAGAAAAATCATACAATTCACATAAATTTGCAACAATAAGTGTCACTATCAAGCTAGGAGATAGCAAAAGAAATAACTTAAAATAAAGTCAAAATAAGAGAGACCCATATCATAAGTTAAAATACAAAATCAGAAAACAACCACAAATAGATTAAAGAGATTAAAGAGATTAAATCCATTCAGCTGTTTTCATAGTTTAGATTTCAAAGCAAACAACCTCAAATCCCCAAAATAGATGAAGAAACGCACCTAAATTTGCAATAGTCATGGAGAAGAACCCCTGAATTTGTGTTGCTCTGACTAAGGTTTACAAAACGTATCATACTAAAAGTATGTCATATATCCTTCCATTCATATTCACCATTTTGACACACTTTGCCTGAAAGGATCAAAGACAAAACCAACATTGTCAAATTATTTAATCTCCACATTATATAGCATGATTATGTATCATATGATCACAATAATGACATTCATTAACTTTCATTCCTTCCAAATCCATCTTTGTCTAGAAGCCCATATTTCTTTTTTAACTCTTTTGATAAAATCTAGTCCCTCAAAAAAATTTAATGCATCATATACCCATCGTGGTATATTTTTCTCATCATACTAAGAAGTTGAAAATTCATTTCAAAACATACTCAAGTAATTTTCATAATGGAAAAATATCAGTGATAATAATGATAGTCATTATAATAAGCGTAATGTCGATAGTCATATTTATTAGTAGGAATTGAACCTCATTCAAAGACATTGCTGATTCACTGTCATTTCCAGCAAACTCTGAAATTATGTCATCTGCAACCTGAACATCATCACTAAAATTACTAACACTTAAACATTCATTAACCAAAGAAGACAAAGGAAATTACAAAAAAACTGAAGATTATGTGACATTTGAAATAAAAGTTGTATCCATTATCTTCAAAGAAAAACCATATGTAACATTATTCTCGAAAAAATTACTACTCTTAATTCTTTTTGTTGATGCTCTTTTTGGGAGGTCAACCTGGAGAGAAGTGGATAATCTTCAGCAGGGGAGAAGGTGAGGACCTTCAGCAAGGGAAGAGCTTGTAGAAGACAAAGTAGAAGAAGCAGTCGTCAAGCTTTGGACACCAGTATGGTGCCGGCAGAAGGCTCTCCGATGCTTAAGTCAGCTATGAGTGGTAAAATTAGCAAAGTAACAGTAAAAGTGAGAGAGTAGTTACCCTTTTTACTTGGGTACTGTTCCCTATTTATAAGGAAGTGAAAGTGGGTGGTTTGCACAAAGTTTCGATTATGGGACTTTGTGCAAGTCACTGTGGTGGTGACACGTGTCCTTGGAGAATAGGTTCAGCAGTTAGCATCTTCAGCAGTCGGGAGCTTCGGCAGGTGTCTGGCACCTTAGAAGAGTGTCTTCCTTCGACAGGGCGGAAGGCATGTCTGCCTTGGTGCTAGTCTTTTTTAGGCTGGATATGCTCGGTTGAATATGGTGTAAACAATAGTCCCCCAAGTTTGTGTAATCATGCACGAGCCCCAAGTTGGCAAGCTAGAAGTTGCATCAACACTTGGAAGATATGGTAGATGTGTGAGCCTCTAATATTGTTGGTAGCTGGGTACCTGGGCATCTAGCAAGGAAGCCGGTGTGGGCTCTATGGAGCTGGGTTGCAAGGGGTTGGGGCCTTGAGGCTTCGGCAAGTGTCTTGGGGAGAATTTTATGAGTCCTTCATTCTTTTTGCCTAGCCCTTCGGCCAAGGTTCCCCCCCCCCCCCCCCCCCCCCCCCCCCCCCCCCCCCCTCCCTCTTTATTTTTTGTTTTTTTTTTGAAGGAGAAGAATTGTAATGGGTTGGGCCTCTTGGGCTTTCGGAAGAGCGGTTGTTCCGCTTGGGCCTTCGGCAAGTGTATGGCTTGCCGTTAAGTAGAGTTAGACTTTTTAGTATTTTAGGCTGGGTCCTTCAGCAATAGAGTTATATCTGATATTGGGCTTAAGCAAAGGCCTTAGGGTTTTGCTTGACTAAGAAAAGTCTTTGTTTGGCTAAGTGCCGTTCGGCAAGGTTTTGAAAGAGAGGCTGGGGGTGATGTGTGAAGGCAACCGCCCTCAAGTGCCTTTGTGAGTCTCGGTTTTGGCTTCAGCATGAGACAGCTTAGGCAAGGAAAGGGTCGATAGAGGCTGGGTACCCAAGCCTTGGAGAAGGGAAATTTTGAGCTGGTCCTTTGGCAAACAAGCGTTGTTGTGTCTTGTTCATAATTGGACTTTCACAGCCCTTACTGTTCGGCGGTGTGTTAGGAATTTTTGTGAGTCCAAGTGTGTTGCAACACTCCTTCTGTTCAGCAAGGTGTCTGAGGCTTCTTGTATTCACGGCTTCAGTAAGGCTGAGTTTGAAGGAGGAAGAATCGAGTCTTGCGTTTGGTTCTGCTGAACCCTTGCTGTTCGGCAAGGGTGGATTGAGATTTTGTTTTGAGGCCACTTGTGTGTCAGCAGGGTAGACTTGGAAGCTTTTTCTTGTTCAGGAGTAGTTTGACAAACCATACTTTGGTCTCTCCCCACTTTCTGCATTACCCTTGCAGATTGGCAAGGGTGGGCTGGTGAAAATTTGTGAGGCCTCACGTCGGCGGAAGGTGCCTGCCCTTCAGTGGGTCTGAGTTGTTGCCTCATTTTTCCGTCCCCTTTGATTTGACGGTGTGGGTTCGGTATCAATAGCTCGGTGGCTCAGAGTTTTTCGCAGTCAACTTCTGGTTTTACCGCTCTTGTCGTTCGGCAAGGTCCCTTTGCATTGAAGTTCAGCAATTTTCCCAGGTTCGGTCGTTCAACTAGCTTGGGTTTTGTGTCTATTGGGTCTAGCAATTTGTAACTTTGGCTCAAGCCTTGCCGAAGTAAAGGAGGTTCTGGGCTTCACTTTCGGCAGGGATTTGAGGCTGGGACTTGGGACTGGGCCTTTCTGGAGGTAAGTATCTTTGTGGATGCCTCTTTAATTCCGCATGTTGATTGTCGTTCGGCAATGCCAGTCCGAGATTAATTTTTCTTGTTGTTGGTGTTCTAATTTTGCAGCAGGGGATCTGTGAGTGACCCATGAGCTGGGCCTTTATTTCGGAAAGGCTAGTGTAGCAATGTTTGTGGGCCTTTTGGCTAGCAAATTTGGAGGAGCTTCGAGATATATCTCACGGTTCCTACCGTTCAGCAAGTGGAGATCTGTCGAAGGAATTTGGCTCGGGGCAAAGAGAGATCGGAGCTAGGCCATTGAGGTTTGGGGTGTGCATAATCCTTCGGCAAGAAGGTATTTTTTGAGTCCCTGAAATTTTTCATAGGGGTTGCCGTTCGGCAAGTCTAGCTTGCTCATTTCGAAACGATGGAAACTTTGGATTTTGTGGTCGTTAGGAGCTGGGCTTTGGAGCTGAAACACCGGTTTCTGAGAGCTGGGTCCACTGTTGAGGTATGTTGACGCAGAAAAATGGTTCTGCACTTTCCCGCGCAACTTAGTGATTAAGTCTCTTCGGTATCTGATGTCCTCGGTAGGGTGTGCGATCTGTAAGATAGCAAACACACGGTAAATCCTAGGGCACCGGTGTGGTACCGGCCGAAGGCTCTCCGATGCTTAAGTAAGTACGGATTTAGTAAGTTTTAACTGCAGATCAATAGGCAGTATGCCGTAAGTTCTGATTGATTACCTTCAAGCTGGGATGGATGTCCTCTTTTATAGGCCTTGGGAGGTGTGCAATTTGCTTAGAGTTTCGATGTGGGACTCTGGGCGTCAGTTGTGGGGCTGCCACGTGTCGGAGAGGCGAGATTGCCCATCGGTAGGTCTGGTACGAGTGCCGAAGGCGAGTGCCGAAGGCGAGTGCCGAAGGCACACGTAGCCCTGGTTTGGTCCACGTGCTTGGTATTCATTGGCTGTTCATTTTGGTATAAACAAGGTATGTATTTCTCGAAGCCCAGCGTTCGTTTGTTCAACCCTTGCCGTTATGCAAGGGTGAATGTAGCAGAAGCTCTTGACCCCTTTGTTGTTTCGATGTCAAGTCCAGCTCATTTGAGTTTCAACAAGAAGGCCTTGAGGTTGGTAGTGATTTGAGAGCTGGGCTGCATTTGATTGAAGGCTATTGGGCCTTTGCCTTGATAGGGTTAAGGTCTTGGAGCTGGGCTTCACAAGATAGCAATTTTGGTGAGCCTCCCATTTGTTCACCCGTTTTGTGTTTGCTCCTGTGATGGAAGGGTAAAGTTCCCCATTAATTTGAAGACCATTGACTGGTCAGCAAGTCAACTTTCTTTAGTGTGCAAGTATGCCACGACTTATAATAAAAATCCTAGCAGAAATCTTAAACATAGATAACTTGCACCACAAGTTACTGATTTCTAAACAAGCAATTGTGAATTTGGATGAGGAATATCTCCCAAGTAAGTTCTTTTCATGCCTCAGACTGGTGAGGACTTCATAATTTTTCACAGTAAAATGTTGGTAGTTCTGGCCAGAATAGATAGTAGGAAAATGAACTGTTTTCAGGCGGAACTGGCTTTTACAAAACTCTACAGTAAAAAAATCAACTCTAGAAAGACAAAAAGGAAGGTTGGAATTTCGTTTCTGCCTAGACAGAAGCTTCTGATCCGGGCTGGACTGGGTATGCCTGTGTTGGATTGGATTGTTCCCAACTTCAACTGTTGAGCTCCAGCTGTAAATCGATACCAAAGTTTGAGTTTGGCAGAGCTTTAATCTATTTCGAGCCCTGGGAGGCTTTTTGAATGGGCATAATTGCGGCCTCTTCAATCTGAAATGGGCAGAAGTGGCTGCACTTGCGGATTACTGAGCTGGAACTACATTGTGGTACTTGTCCTATTTGATCAGGGCTCTCCATAATTTTGTCTTCATCTTGAACCGTTTGATGCATTCCGTCGGATGTCGCCACGTGTCACCTTTTTGACAACTAATCCAATTTTGATGAATCACATGCCACATGGGCGAATTATGGGGCCCACGATTTAATTCACCAAACCCTAATTATTTTCTCGTCCAATGGGATTTATTACACCAAAATTTCATTGTCTACAAATTGCCCCCACTTCACGATTGCATTGTAGACATGTGCTTTGTCACATGTAGCTTGAGCTTGAAGTGTCCTTTTAATATTATAATAATATTTCCAACGTTTTCCAAGTTTTTTTTTTTTTTTGGTTTTTTTTTTTATTATTATGCTTAATAATATCCAATATTGGTAAGATCTTGTGAATCAAGATATAACATCCAATATTTTCCTAAACTAGGAACAAGAAACCCTAGCATCACCAGGAGCTTTGATGGTCTTTGGCTTTTTTAAATTGAACTACGTTTATGAACATTGAGATCAACCAAATAGAACTGCAGGAAAACTCCTCTTGTCGGCAAGAAGGTCTACAACTTTGAAGTTTGCATCCTCCGAATTTTCAGCAACCAAAGTAGTGAGAGTTGCTTCTTTTCCTTCGTTGTTTGATTCTTTCATATATATATATATATGCCTTCTTGTAGCCAGCGGAACAAAGAAAACTAACATTGGAATTTTATTTTATTTTATTTTATTTTATTTTTTAATTTTATGTTTATAGCCACCAGAACCCACCGTTTTGGGCATATCAAGAGACTTCATGGATGAATAGCAAATTCTCAATTGGTATGATGAATAACAAATTCCCTTGGCTTTACGAATTTACTATGCTTGCATCAGTTTTTGTCTATTTTGCTTTTATATATATATATATATATATATATAAAATAGGGTGGAAAAGCTGGTAGGTTCAAGCCTGTGTGCATTGCTGGAGGTCTGGAAGGTTGGCAGGCTTGAGCCTGCATGCGTTGGGCTCGAAGTGGAAGGATGGGGGCCCTGACCTTGGTGTGCGACGTGGGCTGGCGCTAGGAGAAGGCGCTAGGCCTTGTGCTGGAGCTGGAGTGAGCGGGCCAGGGGGAGATGGGCTAGGTCTTGGCGTGACATGGGCTCGAGCTTGGAGGGAGTGGGCTAGGAGAAGATGCTGGGCTGTGCGCTGGAGGCTGGAGCAAGCAACGATGGGCTTTGCACGAGGCGTGGACTGCGCAGGCTGAGACGCGAGCTGGGCCTGGCGTGACATGGGCTGCGTGCTGGAGTATGGGCTGCGCAGGACTGTGCAAGCTGGGCTGGTCCAAACAGCTCGAAATAGCCTCCTTTTTTTATTTTATTTTATTTTATTTTTTCGCTGCTGCACATCTATTACTCTTTCAATCATTTTTATTTTATTTTATTTTATATGATGATATTTATACATATATATATTTTTTACAATAGGTACTTTGAAAGAAAGTAAATAACGTAGACGTCCTATACCGCTTGGGTTTGATCCATCTCTCCGACTTGGTGATAACCCGCTCAAGCGCTTAGGCTTTACGCAAGTGGAGGACGAGTGAAGAACGTAGACGTCCTATACCGCTTGGGTTTGATCCATCTCTCCGACTTGGTGATAACCCGCTCAAGCGCTTAGGCTTTACGCAAGTGGAGGACGAGTGAAGAACGTAGACGTCCTATACCGCTTGGGTTTGATCCATCTCTCCGACTTGGTGATAACCCGCTCAAGCGCTTAGGCTTTACGTAAGTGGAGGACAAGTGAAGAACGTAGACGTCCTATACCGCTTGGGTTTGATCCATCTCTCCGACTTGGTGATAGCCCACTCAAGCGCTTAGGCTTTACGTAAGTGGAGGACAAGTGAAGAACGTAGACGTCCTATACCGCTTGGGTTTGATCCATCTCTCCGACTTGGTGATAACCCGCTCAAGCGCTTAGGCTTTACGTAGGGGAAGGCGAGTGAAAATTGTTTCTCGAGACATTCCACCTTTACCCGGCTTTTCAAACTTGTACAAGTAAGCTTTTTTTATTTTTATTTTTATTTTTTTTAAAGTATGAAATCACCAGCCTAATACTGAATATTGTTTCATGTCGCTCATCTTATACAGATGGCCTTCTTCAAGTGTTTCAAGAAAGGCACCGTTACTATTCTTGAGGATGAAAGTGATGACAGGGACGAAGGTACCACATTGCTTATAGGTGCGCCGCTCTTAGCTTCGGAGGTATCAGAGGTGGACAACTCTCTTCATATTCCGTCTTGGTCCCAAGAGGTGTTTTGTCAACTGAGCAGCTTCAAAAAATCCAAGTCTACAGGTAGGGACCTTCACTCCACTATTTTACAATTAAAATCCTCGCATCATACAGAGACCGATTCATTAGGGGCATTCGAACTTCTTAGCGATCGAATCCATAATGGAGCAGTGAATTGGGGTTCTGTTCTCCCGACGACTGGTGAATCTACATTCACCGAATATTACTGGGAATGGCTTGAAGATGTGCTAAGTAGAAATACTCAGGTTCTTAAGAGCGCCGGTTTATATAATGCTGTGTTTGCCTCATTATTTAGCTATGATCGACATGCTCCAGTCGTCCGAGCCTTTTGCGAGTATTGGTGTCCTGCAACAAATACTCTTCATACGTCACAAGGAGAAATGTCCATTTCCCTTTGGGATCTCCATGAAATCGGTGGTCTCCCTATTACAGGTCGCTTTTATGATGAGGTTATTCCATCCGCTGAGAGTCTTAACAGGAAGGACCATAAAGGCGTGTCTTATATCCCACACATTTGTCGCTACTTGTTCCTAGCATATCACAAAATTTTACAGGATTCTAAGGGGAAATCTGGAGTGAGAATGACTGCTTGGATAAAGTACTGGTATTGAGGACCATTCAAGTACAAAAAGCCTTCAAGGAAAACCATACGAAACAAGTCACAAAAGCCAAAGGACGATTTTGATCCGTCTAGTACCATCATGGAAGCACTGAAACGCACTGAGAAAGAGGAAGGCGTTTTTGAAGACTTGGGTATAACAGATGAAGACATGGAAAGATCATACTTGGCTGCTTTCCTTGCTTGCTGGTTATGCAAATTTGTATTTCCCAAGGACGACGTAACTTTGATCAGACCAGGGGTTTTCAAAGTTGCCAGTCGAATGGCGCACGGTGTATCATTTGGCCTAGCAGTTCCAGTATTGGCCAGCATTTACAAGGGACTGAACGATATTTCTAGTGCAGATGACCCAGGAAATTGTACAACTATTCTACCTTTCCATTATGTGTACGGATGGTTGGGCGAATACTTCGACACGCATTTTACATCATCTTCCGAAAAGTCCATTCCCATCATGGCAAGGTTCTCAGGAAGACTTTCGGCGAAATTTTTTGAAGATTCGTCAGCTCGAGCTTTATTCCGGACTTGTGGTAAAGTGAAAATGAGTCGTCTGGCAAGAATATTTTCAGAATGCAAACAACTGACTGATGAAGATCATATTTCTAAAGAAGACTTTGAGTATCTGATATGCCTTCGTTCGGGATTCGTTTCTCTACGACAGGAAAACTACCGAGTCATCCAACCTTATAGCCCGCACCGGTTCAGTAGACAATTTTGTTATGTACAACATGTGCCATGAGAACTTAAAGATGACGTCCGGAATGGTACTGTGCTATCAGTGTACTCACATTGGAAATCATGCTTGAAGATTGGCAGTGCATCTACAATAACACTACCCACTAAGAACAATATCCGGGAGTTTGAGGTCACATCCGACTATGTTATTTGGTGGTCGAAAGTGCATCGCTTTGAATCTACGAAATCAAAGACAGTCTCAACTGTAGGCAAGTCGTCGTCACTTTCTCAACCAAGATCTCTTAAGTCTCAAGGCCATGAAGTTTCAGTTCATGATAAACTCACCCGTGGTAGAGCGCTCCAAGTTCATCCAGAAGTTGAAGGTAGTTCTACTACTCCTGCGCCTCAAGTTCAACACCTACTTCCGGTTGATGTTCCTTCAACTCAAGTCCTTAATGATAAAGGAAAAACAGAAAGTGTAGCAGATTCCCAGGAAGATTTCATTCCCCTTGGTCGACGCATTCGCCGTTTGAAGCGAGGGCGTGTAAGCAGCAATGAAGACAGTGAGGTCAACTTTAGGCATAAGAAGACAAGTATCGAACCTCTTTATTGCGATCTGGACACGGCATACCCACTTGATGACACATTCTTTTGTGATGTACCCGCTATTTCACAACCAGTTCTAATGAACGAGGTATGTATTTTATTTCACCTTGAGCCTCCCTTTTTTTATACGTATATATTAATTAATTAATTAATTAATTATATATATATATTAGGGAGAAGTAGTGCATCACGTCCCTACTGTGTCTGAGCTTGTACCATTTAATCATTTTCCTATCGAAGAGGAAAATGATGATTTGTGCCCGCTAAGTGGTTCAGGTGTTAGCCTAAGAGGTATGATTCCAATCTTTATCACGCTCCATATTAGAAATCTTTGATTTTACTTGCTTAACCATTACTCGTCAATGTAGGTTCGCTTGTGCATCAACATTTGTTAAAGCCGGCTACTCATGCATAAACCTCTGAAATGTCATGTGGGGAACCGAAATTAGGTGTTGCAGACAAAACCCTTCGCAAAGTAGTTTCCGTTCTGGGCAACCAAATAAGGAACATAATCTTGAGGGCTTCGTTAGAAAGGCTTCCTTGATTCAAAGATGAGATTGGCAAGTTGTTGACTACCCTTGACAATGTAGGGGCAGACGTCTCATCCCTACGAGCTATGATTGATGCACTTATGGTGACCGCAGTTGACTATTGTTCTACACACTCTGCTTACTCCCAAAAGCTGTCTCCCGAGGTTCAAAGTGATCGTTTAGCTGCTGTCGACTCTTCACTTTCTGTTGCCTTGGCTCTGCAACAAGCTGAAGAGGTCCATCAATTTTCGATACTTGAGTCTATTAAATCTGCCAACACACGTATGGAGGAGTTGAAGAGAGAACAAGAGCAACTGGAGTCAAGACTGCGTCAATTAAACGAATCACTTTCAAAGAGTGATGCAGAACTTTCTTATCATCATGGTGAGGTTGCCCGTTTGAGAGAGGATAAGATTGCAGTTGAAGAAGCTCCTGTATTATCCACTGCCGATGCTGAGACTTTAGATGCGTTACGAGTTTCTTTTGAGAGATTGCGTAACGGCTTCAAGGACTTGTCTTGGGAATAGCAAACTTTTGTTGTTGTAAACTTTCTTTGCTTTATTTATATTTCTCTTTGAACTTGTCAAAATGTTGATGTTTACTAGTTAACTTTCATAATGAAATAAAAGCACTTTCTTATTTCATCATTCATTTTTTTTTGAATGGTTCGGATTGATGAGGAAACCCTTTGTTTTTTTATTTTGATGTGACTGAACTTGGAATTATTTATCCAAGCTGCCTACGTACCCTCGGTGAAAAGGGATCAAGTCATCACGTAGTTTTTTTTGCTTTTTCGGGTTTTCAGTTCAACGGACTTTCTTGTGCTCTAACTTTTGCTTGACCGCCCTTTCGGGTTTTCAATCCAACGAGCCTTTTTTTTGTTGTTTTTTTTGTTTTTTTGTTTTGTTTTGATGCCGTACCAGTTTAGGCTCATGCGAGCCAGGAGCTTGGTATCATTTCATGCGTAGTATCATTTCAAGAACTTTCCGTTGATAGGACCGACTCTTAAACCATCCTCAGCTACGATCTTGTAAGCTCCACTTGTGTACACTTCTTGAACTACGTAGGGCCCATCCCATTTCGAAGTAAACTTGCTTCCGGTTTTGTGTGTTGTGATGATAGGTCTACGTAATGCGAGGACAAGATCTCCTACTTGAAAAGACCTGGGGCGAACCTTCTTGTTAAAAGCATTCGAAAGCCGAGCTTGATAACACTCTAAGCGTTGTTGCGCTTCGAGTCTCTTTTCGTCTAGTGCTTCTAACTCTTGGAGACGTAGCTTTGCATTCTCTTCATCAGTCAATCCCTCTTGTACGGCCATCCTCAATGATGGAATTTGACTTTCTAGAGGCAAGACTGCTTCCACGCCATACACGAGTGAGTATGGTGTAGCCTGAGTAGGCGTCCGGTATGTCGTTCGATAAGCCCACAATGCTTCATTTATCCTTTCATGCCAATCTTTCTTAGTTCTTCCAACAACTTTCTTCAACAGGTTGCAAAGAGTTTTGTTGAACGCCTCCGCAAGACCATTGGCTGGGGCGTTGTACATTGAAGAGTTGCGTTGTTTGAAACCGAAGTCTTCACACAATTTATCCATCAACCGGTTCGAGAATGGCTTTCCATTGTCTGTGATGATGTAGCGCGGTACACCATACCGATGAATGATATTCACTTTGATAAAGTTCACTACGTTTTCTTTCTTCACTTCCTTTAAAGGTACAGCTTCTGCCCATTTTGAAAAGTAGTCTGTGGCTGCAAGAATGTAAGAATGACCATCAGAAGATTTGGGTGCTATTGGTCCCACCACATCAAGGCCCCACGCATCAAATGGCCATGAAGCAATTGTAGGATGTAGCGGCTTCGGTGGCTGATGTATGAAGTTGGCATGGAATTGACATGCTTGACATTTCTTCACATAATCCATGCAATCCTTGACCATAGTCGGCCAATAGTAGCCCATCCTCTTTATTTGGAAATGTAGCTTTGGCCCTGATTGATAAGCTCCGCAAATACCTGAGTGAGCCTCCTCCATTGCTTTGGATGCATCTTCTTCCCCCAAGCATCTTAGAAACAGGCCTTCGAATGAACGACGATACAGAATCTCTTTATAATAAATGAATCGAGGTGCCCGACGCCGTACCTCTGATCGATGTCTCGAATCATCTGGCAGTTTCCCATGCTCAAGATAATCCATTAAAGGTTGCCTCCAATCGTCAATGTTAATGGACAATACCGAGATAACGTTGGATCCTTCTTGCGATGCCCCAGGTGTTAATGGAACGACCCAACGTTGGCAAACTGGAAGATTCATTGCTTCATCTTTTGTCAACGCCAACGTAGCGGCAAGATTGGCTAAGGCATCTGCCATTTGGTTGTCCTTTCTTGGCACATGCTCCAGCGTCACGAAGTCAAACCTTTCCAGTAATTGCGTGGCCATTTGGTGATATGGAATTAGATCATCCTTCCTAACTTCGTAGTGTGTCAACAATTGGTTGATCACTAACATGGAGTCACCATATACTTCTAAGCTTGATATCTTCATCTCTACGGCCATTTGTAAGCCCATGATCAAAGCCTGGTATTCTACAACGTTGTTCGAGCAAAGTTCACTTAAAGAGAATGAGTAGGGCAATACGTGTCTCTCGGGTGACAGGAAGACTACGCCAGCCCCCGCCCCATCTTTACGAGCCGATCCGTCAAAAAACATCATCCAAGCAGGAGAAATGTCAGCGAAGAAGACTTGTTCGTCGGGTAAGTCATCTGAAATTTCCCAGTCTGCTGGAATTGGATGATCGGCTAGGAAATCTGCAACAGCTTGCCCCTTTACCGCCTTTGCGGGAGTGTAGATGATTTCATATTGATTGAGAAGTAATGCCCACTTGGCCAAACGCCCCGTCAAGACTGGTTTTGACATAACGTACCTCACCGGGTCAGCTCGTGCAACTAGATGAACTGTGAACGCTTGCATGTAGTGCCTTAACTTTTGAATAGCAAAGACAAGTGCAAGACACGTCTTTTCTATAGGCGTGTAGTTCAATTCGGGACCAGTAAGAGTTCGACTTAGATAATAGAGTGCTTGCTCCTTATGTGACTCATTCTCTTGCGCCAACAGGGCTCCAATTGACCTCTCTTGAGCCGCAATGTACAATATGAGTGGTTTGCCTGGAATAGGAGCTCCTAACAGTGGTGAACTCGATAGGTACTTCTTTATGCTTTCAAATGCATTGTGACAAGCTTCATCCCAAACAAATGGAACATCTTTCTTCATAAGGCGACTGAACGGCTGACACCTTCCTGCTAAATTTGAGATGAATCGCCGAATGAACGCGAGACGCCCTTGTAAACTTTTCAATTCACGTAAATTTCTTGGCTCGGGCATACCTCGGATGGCTTTAATCTTAGTCTGGTCTGCTTCGATGCCTCGATGTTTAACGATGAAACCAAGAAATTTACCTGACGTGACGCCGAAAGCACACTTCAAAGGGTTCATCTTGAGTTGGTATTTCCGTAATCTATTAAACACCATTCTCAAGTCTTTCAAGTGATCTTCTCTTCTTTTTGACTTGATCATCAGGTCATCAACGTAGCACTCGACATTCTTATGAAGCATGTCACCAAAGATTTTTTGCATTGCACGTTGATAGGTCGCACCTGCATTCTTGAGGCCAAATGGCATCACTTTGTAACAGTAAATTCCTTTCGGAGTGCGGAAGGCTGTGAGTTCTTCGTCCTCTGGTGACATTCTTATTTGATTGTATCCAGATGAACCATCCATGAAAGATAAGGCTTCATGACCTGTGGTTGCATCAACCATGAGCTCAATTATGGGCAACGGAAAGTCATCCTTCGGGCAAGCCTCGTTTAAGTCTCGGAAGTCGACACAAATACGAATTTGTCCAGTGATTTTCTTCTTCACCGGAACGATGTTCGCTATCCACGTCGGGTATTTCACCTCTCTAATAAATCCGGCGGCAATCAACTTGTCAACTTCGGCTTCAATTTGACTTAGGAGCTCCGGACGGAAGCGACGTTGAGTTTGCTTGATTGGGCGCGTTCCAGGTTTGACTGCAAGGTGATGGACAGCAACCTTCGGATCAAGGCCTGGCATCTCCTTGTACGTCCAAGCAAAGACATCTTTATACTCAAGTAGTAGTTGATGATAGGACTCCTCTTCACTAGGATTCAAAAGTGCACTGACGAAGATAGGTCTTGGGTCTTCATTTGTGCCCAGATTAAGTTCTTTTAATTCATCAACAGTCGCTTGGCCTCCATCTTCTAATGCGGAAGGAGCATCATGAACCTCCTCCTCGAAAGGTTCCTCTTCGTCGAGCTCTCTGATCGTAACGTGATGAACAGCTAGAACTTCCACTTCTTCATCGTCACTTTTGTTTTGCTGACTCAAAGTTTCCCGAGTTTGTATGATTGTTCGTCGTTTCACTTTGAGTTGGTCACCTGAAGTTACGTCTAATGTAGAGTGACGTTTCATACGTGACGGGATTAAGCTTCGAATTTCATTGTCTTCCGTTGAATCGACATGAACTCTAGTTTTCAATTCTTGCTGATTTTTCTCTTCAGACGACTTGCTTGGAACTCCAAGTCTTTCTAACGCCGATCTGCGTGGGGCTGATTGAATTCCCCTTTGACTATCATGCCCAGTTATCCTTTTGAACACAGAAGGTTGTGATGTTGATTCTTTGATGCGGCTGAAAACTGAGGTCCGCTAGGTAGGCTTGGCTAAACGGTCGAACACTGAGGCTCTTTTAATAACCTTTGGTTCTTCTTCCTCCTCAACCGCTTCGACACTAATATGTTGAGCTTCTGCTTTCTTTTCTTTTCTTCTAGCAGAGATCTTGACAGGTGCAACAGGAGTAAAACCTAGGCCTGCTCTAGCTGAGTCAATTGTGTAACCTTGCTCCTTCAACTTCTTTTGGGTTTCGCTAAGGCCATGCTTCCTTCCTCCTGTGACATCTGGATTAAGCTCTCCCATCGAAGAAGATAAGCTGAAGTCATAACTTGCCTTTGACATGAGCTTATAAGCATTAGGGTCAAAACCTTCTTTTGTTCTTGTGACTGGAAGAGATTCGTGTCTTGTTGCCTCTTGTGATGGTCTGACGAACCCTGGTATCGAAGATTTCGAAACGGCTGCATTATTCAACTTGGGTAAAGGTATGGTTGTCGACTCCTTCAAGAACTTCATGTCGCTTTCTCCCCATTTCCTTGGCTTTACTTCTTCTCCAAATGGGGATTGTCCTTCCTTCCGTCGAGATGATGAGACATAGCAGAGGACGGGAGTAGACACCTTCCGTGAATCTGTCGGTGATGATCCCATTTGTCCAGACAAAGTGCTTTTTGACTTCTTCGAAACATTCTCTGCAGGAGGGCACTTTGAATGCTCTTCTCTTCTTGTCATGGCTTTTCCTGTCGAGTGAACCTCCACGGGAATAACTTCAGATACCACGTCTTCATCCATGTAAAATTTGGCGTCCGCGAAGTAAGACTCGGCTTCAGTAAATGGTTTGACGTCACCCAAGATTTTCTTTACTCCTCCTCTGTAAAATTTGAAACATTGATGTAAGGTTGAAGGCACTATCCCATTTTCATGCACCCATGGCCTTCCTAATAGGAGATTGTAGGAGGTCTTAGCATCAATCACGTGAAATAGGGTGTTTGACTTTAAATCGCCTATCACGAGCTCAATTCTGATCATGCCCATAGCTCTTTGTCCTCCTTGATTGAATCCTTGAATCATGAGACGACTGCGAGACAATTCGTCCATGGTGATGCCTAACTTCATCATCGTGGATTTAGGCATGATGTTCACTGTTGAACCTCCGTCTACAAGCATGCGACTAAGTTTTTGTTCTCGCACATACCCTGACACGAAAAGCGGACGATTATGTGGCTTAGATCCTAACAAGAGGTCTTCATCGGTGAATGTGATGGAAGCGCACGTCGCGCAGCAAATAGCATGGTCTTGAGGCTCAGGCTCTAATTCTCCGGTCCTCCTTATCCTATTTGGTTGGATATCGAGATCCATTAATGCCTTTACCAATGCTACACGTATGACTTCAGGGAGTTCCACCGCTTCTTCAATATTTGAATACGCTGGTGGATTTTCTGCCTGTGTTGAGACCTCTCGCTCCTCATGAGTTTCATATCTTCCTTCTGAGGCATCTTCGTCATCTACCTGATAGCAAGTTGTCATATGGACTGTCTCCGTTGGCCCTCTTACGAAGAACACTTTGGGGAAGTATTCTCCTAGCATAACTGGAGTTCGTGGCCCTTGGATTAATGGTCCATCTTCTTGTTCGGAGCCTCTCTTCAGCATCCGTCTAGTTTTTTTAGAATGTTGGTGCGAGCCTCTCTTTCGCTGCTCCTTCTTTGGTTGAGCATTTTGTCGTTGAGGAATGCGCTTCGTACGAGACTTCCGCCGAGTAACGAGCGTCCATCCTTCATTGTCATCAAAAGATGAGTCACCAACAAAGCCATCACCACGTTGATTGTTTGGTTCGCCCATCACTTCTTTTGTACATAGATCAGTCTTCTGGTGTATGCCCCTTATAGATTGAAACTCCGATCTTTTTGACAATACGGGCAACGGCACCGGCTCAAAGGATCCGAACACAATTGTGGCAACGTTCGCCTCCGCAATTTCGTCAACATCCAACTCAATCCTTCCTTGCCTAGCTAAGTTCATAATTAGCTCCTTCAACACGAAGCATTTTTCTACTGGATGGCTGACAATTCTGTGGTATTTGCAAAATTTAGGGTCGTTGACCCGGTTCATCTCCTCAGGCCGCTTACATTCTGGCAATTCGATCACCTTCTTTTCCAGCAAATCCTCAAGCATACCTGCGACATCGGAGTCAGGAAAAGGGTACGTTTTCTCCTCCAATTCCTTCAAGGTGCGCCGACGTCTATCTACTTCTCGGGATGACTCCATCTTTTTGACTTCCCTCTTCTTATCTCGGGTGGAGATTTTGACCGGGACAGTGTTGATTGTCATTGCTTCCTTGGTAGGCTTCTTGACCGGCTTATCTGTCTTTTGTCCAAAGACTTTCTCCTTTTTATGCTCGATGACGGGCTCATGCTTTCCTCCGTGGCTGGCAATGCTTAACTCCATATCATGGGCACGAGTGGCTAGCTCCTCAAACGTGCGGGGTTTAATTCCTTGTAGAATGTAGAGTAACCCCCAATGCATCCCTTGAATGCACATCTCAACTGCCGATATCTCCAAAAGCCTATCTTTGCAATCCAAGCTTAATGAACGCCATCGATTGATGTAATCAACGACAGGTTCATCTTTCCATTGCTTGGTATTCGTGAGTTCCATCATACTCACAGTGCGACGAGTGCTATAGAATCTGTTCAAGAATTCTCGCTCCATTTGGTCCCAACTGTCAAGGGACTCGGACTCCAAGTCTACATACCAATCAAATGCATTTCCCTTCAGGGACCGAACAAACTGTTTCACCAGGTGGTCGCCCTCCGTTCCAGCATTGTTGCATGTTTCGACGAAGTGTGCAATGTGTTGTTTTGGATTGCCCTTTCCATCGAATTGTTGAAACTTGGGAGGTTGATATCCCGTCGGCATCCGCAAGTTGTCTATCCTCCTGGTGTATGGCTTAGAATACATGAGCGTGTCTCGGGAAGGTGCTCCATATTGGACTCTGATGGTGTTCGCGATCATGTCCTGAAGTTGTTGGACTGACAAAGAACCCACTGAGGCGGTGTCAATTTTTTCGTGCGACTTCTCACCCGGCTCTGTTTCATGACCCAATCCTTTCTCGCTGGATTCAGCCTCATGATGTGGTCCTTTCTTGTTTGTGTCTTGAACAGGCTCCTTATCATGATGTGCTTCCCACTTGTTGATGAGAGAAGCAATCTGCGCATCCTTCTCTTCGACCATCTTCGTCAATTTCGTGACCGCTTCGCTCATATGGGCCAACTGTTCTTCAATAGACATTGCTCCCATCACCATAACCTGCATGGCCATAGAATAAGACTTACCTATGGACGCCGAGGCAATCTTCTTCTGTTGGTCGTCGGGCGGGGATCCATGGTATGAGCCTGTGCTCAAGTCAGCGTCTGAAATAGGAGAGAGGGAACGTTCTCTTGAATTCTTCGAGCCCGAAAAACTCCTTTCTTCATTCCGAGAGTTTCTCTCATCCGCCCGGGAGGTATTCTTCTTTGCCCCTAAAGAGGCCAGATTGATAACCAGTTCACGCCTTCGGTTAACGTCTTTCACCTTGGCTTGAGTCGGTATGGAAGTGACCTGTGGAATTGCGGATATCGCCTTGGCCTTGCTCCGGGTGACGACCCCAGTAGAATCTCCGCTTGAGAAGGAGGCGCTCACGCTTTTCCCTTTCGCCACAGGAACGATTTGAATCTTCTTAGAGGCCATCGTGTTTGGCGTGTTGGTTGATTTTGGAACTGGAAAAAGAGATGAGAGGTAGAGATTGTCCCACTGGGCGTGCCAAATTTGCAAACACGAATTTCCTGCGACAAATGAGACAAGAACACGTGTACAAAATAATATTTGTATTTATGAAATTTAGGGTTACAATCTCTGTATTGAATCCTCTGATTCGATCTCCAAAATGTATAAACAAAATTTGTGTTTGATGCAAGGGTCGCAGAGACTTGATCTTGATCAAACGGGTAGCACAAGGCTTGTTTGGTGTTTGGGATTTTTTAGGGTGGAGGAACCGGCACGTATTTGTTGTGCTTGGTGGCTCTTCCCAAGTGTAGGTGAAGAATGCAGGGAGTTTTCTGCTTCTTCTCAATGCTAGGTTTTTTTCCTTTTTTCCTTTCTTCCGTCTTGAGGCCTCCTATTTATAGGCTCTTGTAGGATGCTTGACCTAAATAACTTTCCTTATTTAAAACCTTGTTTTGTGGGATTTTGATTTGATTTAAATCAATTCCCATAATCTGGCAATTTTAACCAGATTATCTTTAATTGATTGACCTGATTAATATTTGATTTAAATCAAGGTCAATCACAGAAGATTCTTTCCCTTAATTTTGTCTTCATCTTGAACCGTTTGATGCATTCCGTCGGATGTCGCCATGTGTCACCTTTTTGACAACTAATCCAATTTTGATGAATCACATGCCACATGGGCGAATTATGGGGCCCACGATTTAATTCACCAAACCCTAATTATTTTCTCGTCCAATGGGATTTATTACACCAAAATTTCATTGTCTACAGATGTATTTTTGGCGGTGTTGCCCCTGCCTCCACTGCGGCGGCAACGGTTGTGCTTGTTGTTTCAGATATCTTGAAAATCATCAACATCTCCTATGACGACAACCTACTAGTGAAAAAAGGGTAATGATTGATGTTATGGGCAACCAAGTAAAATGGTTTTTTGTTTTTTCAGAAAACGGTATCAGAAAACTGCTACAATCTACTTCTGTTTTTTCTTTTTCATTTTGGTAAGGTGTCTCCACACCCGAAGGGTAGGATTAATCCCCGCTCCAAGTTTGGCTTGCCTCTGACCACAAAGTTCTTCCAATAGGTTTCAAACCCGTGCTATTGAAGAACCAGGTAGCTCGCCAGATGGAGGTGGCAATTTGCCAACCGCACCACACCTTGTGGTTATCTTCTTCTTTTTTTCTTTTGCATCTTTTTCAACTTTTTTTTATAAAATTTTATTTAGGGTAAGGTTGGAAGAAAAGTCCAACTCTGAAAAAAAAATTAATTTTCTTTTTGAAAAGGACATGTGGCAGATTTTGTGTAGGAATATCACCAACTGACTTTAGTGGCAGACCTATTAAGGAGCAATGAGGAGTAGTTGCACCTCCCCTCGCAGGAAAAAACTATTGTAGGTGCTTCAAATTGCCCCTTTGCTCAGTTGGTGGTTGTGTACAAATTACCTTATTTCTATTTTCAACAAGTAAATGTCTTTGTCCTTTTACTTTCATTTATTTTATATTACTCCATTTACTTAAGTTTATAATGTAAATAGAGAAGTACCCTCATTTGGATTCAAATGAAAATACTAGAAAATCAAATTCCCACCAAATCAAAATATGAAAAATTGGTTTTAGTGCAAAATACGATTTAGGCTAAAAATGATAGCTCATTAAGTCAATATATACTTCATAAGAAAAGTCTGACGTGGTGATATATATACCTTATCACTCAATAATTTATCCTACCTTTGGCCCTATATCTTTGAGTGGAGGTATACCATATGATCTTGATTTTGCCATTGGGTTCGTCCGTATTGGTTTAACTAGAGATTGCAGAAATCCTTGAAGGGTCTGGTTCCCAGCCCTAACAGGACGCTATTTCAGGGGGAAGATTGGATACGGGGATTCCCGAATGTTAAAAATCCTCGACATGTATGGGACAAGGATGATATTCATATCCCCATCCTTGAGCCCGGCCCGATAAAAATATATTTATTTTAAACATTTATAAAGAGGAGAATTTCATTATTTTGGGGAACTCCCAAACAGCAAAATACTATAATAAGAGAACTTGCGGCTTGCAAATAAACATGAAACTCCCCAATACTGAAGCAATTACAAAATCTTTTTTTTTTTGGTCAATACAGTGAATGACAAAGCTCCAACCAGGAGTCATGGCCAATGAGAAACTAGTTCGTGGGAGGATTTCTTGATTTACCTTTGATGTGGGATAAATATAAATATTTTTTATATAAAAAAAAATAGGGAATTTGGGGGATAGTCCCCTGAAGGGTTCAGGGACAGGCATTCTCTGAAATTTTTTATTGGGGATGGAGACAATCACGGGGGCAGGGATTGGAAGAGGGGAAAGGGATGGTATTGCCATCCAAGGCCCCTACCTGGCCCCTTGCCATTCCTGGTTGTAACTCTTTCTGGGTAGTTGTAATGGCCCTTTGTGTGGTTCTTAGTGGAGGTATACCGTATGAGTTTGATGTTGTCATTGGATCCCTTCGTATTGTTTGTAACATTTTGTGGTTGTCTTGACCCTTGTGGCTATTGTACTTATATTGCCCTTGTGGCATGATTTATGAATGCAATCTTTCCCTATTGTTTGTTATAAAAAAAGAAAAAAAATTCAAAATACAAAGAATGAACACTTTCAAGCATCCAAGTTGGTAACTATTCTATTAATTTCACCAATTAAATTCAAAATTTTCACTAAATGGATGGGAAAGACTTCAAAGTCTTCTCCAATGCAAACCATCTTAATTCAGAAACAAACGTGATAGACACTTTTGGAGTCTCGACTATAAAAACTTGTGAATAGCTGGACTTTTGTGGAAAGAGAAATAAGGCATGTTGTAATAGCCAATCACGCTAAACAACTGATCAATGTATACATGGCTGTTCTAGAGAGAGATTTCAAATAAGTCTAATTTTCACATAGAGAGAGAGAGAGAGAGAGAGAGAGAGAGAGAGAGAGATTTCAAATAAGTTGCAGCTGTCACATAGTTTTCACTGATTAGTTATGTGAACCAAAACTAAAGTCAAGGTCTTTGCAAGATAGATTATGCCTGAGCTATAATATGAATGAGAACAGTCTACATACTAGTTTTAAATTGTTTGATTGCAAAAAATCTTAGTACTATTAGGTGTGTGAGACTACTCACTTGTATATTGTATTTTATTTGGTTAAGTCTCTAACGTGGTATTTTGCATTCTTCAACAACCAAAAATAAAGGACGAACATTGTCAAGCATCCAAGATGTTAACTATTCTGTCAATTTCATCAATTAAATTCAACAAGAAAATTCAAATTTTGAATTACATTTATGGAGAAATGTAAGACAATGACTTTAACTGAGGTGTAGGAAAGACTTAAAAGTCTCCTATCCAAAATTCAAAATCTGCATTAAATTTATGGAGAAATGTAAGACAGTGACTTTAACGGTGTAGGAAACGTCTTCTCTCCTCCAAAATTCAAAATTTTCATTTAATTTATTTTTTACACTTTTAGTCACTGATTTTATGGTCGAATTTAAATTTGGCCATCGAAATTTCAATTTTTCGATTTTGGTCACTCGGGTTAGCATCGTCAGCAAATCAAATCCAATTGAACCATGCTGTCAGTTAAGACGCGTGCATGCAGGGACAAAATTGAAACTTCACCATTTAAACAATTATTAAATATAAAAAATTAAAGCAAAAAAAAGAACAAATAAATAACAATTTAAATGGCATGGCTGGAATAACATGACATGGCTATGATGCGTAGCAAGAATAACATGTTTCAATTTGTGCGATGTTTATACCACAATCAACCGAGCATATCTAGCCTCAAAACGACTAGCACCAAGGCAGACATGCCTTCTCTCCTGCCGGAAGAAGATACTCTTCCGGGGTGCCAGACACTTACCGAAGCTCCCGACTGCTGAAGCTCTCGAACTGCCAAACCTAATCTCTAAGACACGTGTCACCACCACAACGATTTGCACAAAGTCCCACATCGAAAATTTGTGCAAACCACCCACTTTCACTTCCCTATAAATAGGGAACAGTACCCAAGTAAAAAGGGTAACTCCTCTCTCACTTTTACTGTTACTCTGCCAATTTTACTCTCACCTTCTCCCATGTTGAAGACTATCCACTTCTCTCTAAGTTGACCTCCCAAAAAGAGTATCGACGGTTTGGCGCCGTCTGTGGGAAAAGACATTTGAATCCCATTTTTCTCTACCAGCCCAACTGGCTCCTTCTCCTGTCAGGCCCCGTCGCCTCTTCTTCACCCCACACTCTGATATGCTGACCGAGTATAGCCACAATACTCAGCACCATACCCCCTGCGGGGGTACCTCAAGAAGCTCGTGAAGGAAACCTTCAGCAAATACCAATCTCCAGGTGTTTGTGCCTAATAAATCACAGTCATAAACTAATTGAAGGGACTTCCTCTCGATCCTGGCGCCTATCGTTTCATTAAGCATTTCGCCTTCCTGAAAATAAAAGAAAAGCTGCAAAGGCAGAATCCTCTCGGCCTCGCGACCGCAGTATTGAAGGCCGAAGCCAAAGGCCGTAAAAGACACGGCCAAGGAAACTGTGGTTCAATCCCCATGTAGCCTCAAGGTCCCAAGCCCCATTTAATGAAGTAATGCCTCTGACTTACGCAGCAAACCCACTAGTCGCAAGAAGCATTTAATGCACAAGGGAAGAAGGGAAGTGACTGAAGTCAGGATTTGGTGATGGAAATCAGGGTGGTTAGGCGCAGACATTCTCACAAGTAATCTTACGACTTGAGGTCAGATCACCAACCACCAGACCAGGGCATTAAATGTGTTCCCACGGCCAAGGGGGCAGAACCCATTATCAGGGCGGTGGCCGAGATTTACCGGGATTTATGGGAGTCACACCACCATGCTTCACGATCCCAAACCACCATGCTTCACGATTTCAAACGCCGATTTGACTACCCACTTGCCCCGATCAGGCTCCACCACGCAGGTCTTTTCAGCCTCGATTGTCCCTCCAGGACTCCTCCTATAAATACTAAGCTCAGGAGTACATTCAAAGGGTTCAAACACCAAACCAAAAGCCTCCCACCGAGCAAATTATATTTTCCTGTAATGCACTTTCAATACCTTTATTTGCTTTCCTAGAAGTAGTGGTAGATTGTAAGGAAAATCTATTCATCAATATATCATACGACCCTTGATTTTCAAGGCGCCGGAGCACCATCTCTGTTATCGTCTCATTCACCCCATATATCATACGACCGTCACTCTCTGAGCAACGCGCCGGAGCACCGCCTAAAACCCACCACCAACACCACCACTAAATGGCCTTGTAGCTCAGGCCGTGAACCTGACTGCAGAGATCAGTTCCTCTCTCGGCCACAATCGTTTGATTAGGAGTCGAACGCAAAACAAGCGCATCATTTAACCATCTTCTACCCTAACCTCATCATCATCTCAACGCACAGTAGACCGTGCTGGCACGCCCGCGCACAACCACACCGCATCCAAAAGAAGGACGTCACGCGTTGACGCACATCCCCTCGGCCTGGAGCACCAGGCCGCGAGATTTGCGCAGAGCCAACACTTTTGGCACGCCCAGTGGGACCTCTTGTCAAAAAACTCATGGTGGAAACTAGGGCACAAGCAAAGCTCAAAAACAAAACAGTCGAAATGACTTCCGAGGCTCCTGAGTCCACCTCACCAATCACTGTCATCGAGACCGAACACGCGGTCAGAATCTCGGCCAGCGGTCCAATAACGATGGATCGCGCGGCCGAGTCCATGGGAGAGAAAGCAGTAGTGGAGGATCTGATGGCTAAGCAGGCCTACAAGATAGAGACATCCTTTATGGCCGCAATGGACAGATTCTCCTCAGAGCTACGGACGCTCTTTCAAGAGAGGATGCTTGTAACGTCGTCCGCAACGCCTTCCAGAGACAGACAGAGAAGCCAAGAGCGCGAGAGGTTTGAGCCCTACGGCGAAAGCAGCAGCCTCGGCATCTCTGGCTGCACCCAAGAGTCAGGCTACGGCCAGCATTCTCAGCCGCCGACAAACAGCTGGGGGCAATCCCAGCTAACATGGGTAAATCCCGGACCGACCTGCCTAGCAGAAATAGCGTACGGCCCACTCCATGCTTTGGCCGTGTCACTGGGGCAAAGCAGCCCCACACATTCCGCTGTCCAGCAACTTGGCCCAGTTCACACTGTGGCCGTCCAGACCCATCCCGGCCCAAGCAACGTGACCGTTGCTTCGTCACAGCAATAAGGTCAGAGCAATCCGACCGTTTCACCGTTACATACGTCGTTATTGCCGTCAGGCTCCCATCTTCAATACGTTTCGGCCATTCCAACAGCGACACATACGTGCCCCGGCCAAATCGACGGCACTTACCCAATACCGCTCGGTTCGGTCGTAGCGGTCGAGCCTTTTGTTCAAGTGGCTCAGTAGATAAAGCCTCAAGACGATGCGCAACAGGACTAGCGGCCACTTCCAACCCAGCTGGAGTCGCCCCCCTCAGGATCCTCGGACTGAAGACGCCCGGCGCACGACCAAGGACGGCTTAGCCCAGAGACGGCCGGGGGAACCAAGTTATACTGAGCTGTACCCACCCGGAAAGCCTAGGACATGGCACAACTTGCTCTCTAAGGCTTTTTGGGCACGACGCACATCAAAACACTCCATGGGCACATTTCCTTATGTCTTGACCTACAGCCATGACACTGGTAAACTAATGGAGTTAGAGGTTCGATTTCTTCGAGTTTCCAAGCGACTTAGGCGAAAGACGAAGAACTACGCGCAAACCGTGCCCCGGGGTTTAGAAAAGTTAGAATAGTCAAGACTCGTCGCTTACAGTTTGGTGCGAGTTCAAGAAAAAATGGCACCGAGGGCCTACGACAAAAAAGTCAAAAAGAAAAAAAGGGGGAAGTAGGCGAGCGAGCTAAACAAACGGTGCGGCCAATATAAAGCAAACAACATACAGGCAATCATTCAGAGAAGAAGGCCCACGCTTTGTATTTAGATAAAGAGATCATTTTGTTTTTTACAAAAAGAAAAAAAAGAATGGCCAGTCATGGCCGATCACAACAAAAAGAAAAAAAAATATATATATATATATATATATGCGTATATCTGTATGTCTATGGGAAAAGAAGAAAGTGTTTAATTATTACATCCCAAGGTCTTTGAACGGCCGCCCACCTAAACCCCCTTACTAAACATCCCCCAGATTAGGCATGTTATCCTTCTCCAGGCGATGTCCCCACCATCTATATCCGCCTGCCACCTCGCCCGGATCAGCTTCCTCTCGGCCAAGGCCCTCTTTTTCTCGGTCGCCGCCTTGAGGATTTGCCTGGCCGAAGACTTCAGCTCAGTTCCGACCGAGACCGCACCATCTCGGCGCTGAAGGATGAGATCTCGACGGGCTTAGAGCTCGGCAATCTGAACCTCGACCTTCGCAAGTTCCTCATTCTCTCTTTGGATAACGAGGTCATTTTCCTTCAGACGGGCCATGGCAGGTTGGACTTGTTCTTTTATCGTCGACAACTCTTGCTTGAGCGAGCACCCCTCGGTCATCTTCATGTTTGCCTCAGCGTACCGACCGATCATCTCCTCGCCCTCGGCCAAGCGAGCCTGTAGCTCATCCAGTTGAGCCGAGTCCAGCAGACCCAACGCCATGGCCGTATCCAGACAGGACCTGAACTCCATGAATGCCTCAGAAGTGGTCATTTGGTGAACCCCAAGGAATAGGAACTCTCGGAGCCTTTCAATGACGGCCCTGGAATCCTCGTCCAAAGGAGTCGAGGCCGAGCTACCTACTTCTTCATAGAGGCTGGCATATAACTTCCCGAGATCATCGGAGGAGGTGGTCCCCTGAAAATGGAAAAGGAGATTTAAATGGAAAACAACCAGCTAGGACATGAGGAATGACAAGGTGAAAATCTAAATACTCACTTCAGCAGCTGACGGCGTACCGAGAACTTCTGCAGCCACGAGCTTGGTTAGGACTGTCGAAGAGACAGGCGGCGGGCTCGGCGCGTCAGTAGCTATAGCCTCAACCCCTGCAAGCTCAGTCACTACCGTCGAGTCCTGGGACCACGGCGCCGGAGGCATGCTCACAGCGACGACCGGGGAGGCTGGAAGCTAAAATTCGGTCAAAAGCATGTAGCGCAATTCTAGAAATAAAACAAAGTATGGTGAAAGCAAAACCCTTACCGAGCGGATCACAATGCCGCTTGGGCGACGAGGAGAGGACGACAACGGCTTGACGGACTCGGTAACGGCCAAGGTAGGCACGGCAGAGGCGGCCGAAGGGACTTCCACCAGGGTGGCCCTAGTCGGGTCCACAGTAAGGACCTCATCATCTAGCACGTCCGCGGCGACCTCCTAAGTAGCTGGCACCTCTGTGACTGCTGCCTCGGCATCCAGCGTTTCCGCCACCTCGGTAGTGGCCGCCCCCTCGACTGCCACCTCGACGTCGGCCAACTCCTCGGCCACTGCCTCGCCTTGAAAAAAAAACCAGATTATCAGAAAAGGAAAAGAGGGGAGGGGCGTGGCCTAAAAAAAGGGGTAAAAAGAAATCAAGAAGGACGATCGTAGGAGGGACTTCTTCCTCGTCCTCGGCCTTCGAAAGAACAAGGAGGGCCCTTTTTCTCAGCCGCTCTAGCACCGCCGTCTCAACAGCATCACCTTCGGCCGGTGCGGCCTCAACTGCTGCGGCCCCAGTGCTTGAGGCCTCTCGATCCCTCTTGCGACCCGGGGCTATGTGTACAGGGAGAAGTAAAAGAGGTAAGAAGCAAAATAAACAAAGACAAAGGTGGCCCAGAGAAGCCGACGGAAAAACAAAAAAAGAAAGAGGGCTTACCAATGGCAGCGATCGGTCGAGTCGGCGGGGCGGATGGCACGGTCCTATGCGCCAAAGTTTTTCGCGCCCCCACTACAGCAGGCGCTCTGGGGGTTGGGGCCACGGTTGAAGTCACGATCGCTACTCTGACCAAAGGAGGGGCCGACACCCTAGGTTCGGCCGCGGCCGGCGTACTCAGTCGAGGAAGCACGGCCGAGGCCTTCTTCCCCTTACCAACCTTGGGGATGAGGGGGTCCTAATCTGCATTCTTCAGAGCCCCCCTCACGACCTCTTCAACATGCCGAATGAATCTGGCCGAGATGCACTCCTCGTACCAGACTCTTCCATCCTCGTCGTACGCATTACGGCGCAATCAAGGCGTCAGAGTAAGGAAGGTCGTCCCCTTTTGGAGTTGGAAGGAAATGCCAGCCACGCCGTGCTGCTGGGCGACGTCGGCCCTCCAAGACGAGAGCCGGTTGGTTGACAACGGGGGAAGCGGTGTCGTCTGGATCAAGCCGAATTGCCGGGCCACAAATTTCGGCAGATAAACCTCGGCCCCAGCCTTGGACAGGCCGTAGTGAAGGTCGTTCTCCGTTTCACCGTCAGGAATCACGGAGAGGTCGTGCACCAGGAACAAAGGGTACGGCCGAGCAAGGCACACCCGGAACTGCGACCCGGTCTTCTCGAGGTGTTATGCTTCTTGGGGGCCCGGGCCAACGCGTTGGCCAACGGCTCGGTGTCGGTAATATTGGCCGCTCCCCTCAGCTCTGGGAAGTAAGCTCGCAGCTAGAACTAGAAGGCCCATAGTGGACCACCGTGCTTCGGCTTCATCCCATCCGTGACGACGTCGTGAAGCGTGCGGTAGATATGACCAAGGAGGAATGGGCCGAGCGCCCGCCTTTCGCCCTGCGCAAGATAGTCGGCCAGGTGGGCGAACTCCAAGGTGATTTTGTTCGCCTGGGTGCAAAACATGAACTTGCATAACCAGTACAGCAAGAACGCGGCATGCTCGACCTCGCCCAAGGGAGCGATGGAATCATCATCGGCGCTATCCTCCACGCCGAAGTTGCTGTAGAAACTGGAGTAGTTGAGCATGTTCTTCGCCTTACTCCCAGCAAGCTTGGCGACCGTAGGCCATGCGGCCTTAAAACTCCCTTCAGCCTCGGGGGCCACCAGAGCGGCGTTTACTTCCACGCCAAGGGGGGAGAGGCCGAATAGGGCGACCATGTCTAGAACGGTCAGCGTCATCATGCCAAACCGGAGGTTCATAGTATTTGTGGCCGACGACCAGAAGCATAGGGCCGCGGCCAAGAGCGAACGGTCCATGACGAGCGGCCGATCGAACAGCTTGATCAAGTGGTAGATGCCTTGATCCTTCCATTGCTGGCCGAAGAAGTGCTCCATCCTCGACATCCATTTTTCCCAGTCCGAGGTCGAGGTTGGCCATTGGGGCTGCGGCCTGGCGACATTCCAATCTTGGAAGTCCCCCCCGTCAAAGGCCAAGAGATCCACCAGATTGTTCTTCAAATGAGCCACCAGCATCTCTGGCATCCCGCCATCTACAGAGGGGCCGAGGACGCAGGAGTCGGTGGCAGCACCGTCGTCATCAGTTCAAGGTGTGACGATGTTGGGTAAGACCGAACCTTGGATTTCTCGGCAAATGTCTTCAAACTCAATCTGGAAGACTTGGGACCGAGCTTCAATAGATGTAGAGGTGCTGGAGGCCATTGAAACATATTAAAGTAGGGTATGTTGAAGGAAAAAGTCGAAGGAAGGGTGATGAACATGAAGAACACCAGGGAGCCGAGCATTCAAAAAGGTACGAAGAGTTCGAGAGTTTTTGGAGAAATACAGAAGAAGCGACTGAAGTCGTTAGTTACTAACAAAGGGGATAACTGGGCGGAAAGAGGTGGAGAATTGAGAGAAGAGTTTGGCAGAGTTTGGACGTCTGAAAATTCTGAAAGCGTAAGGAAGGAATGAAGAAGGACAAGATTTTATATTGGCGCTAGAATTCGAAACGAAAGGGCGTGGCTCTCTCGAGAGACGTAACGGCCTGACAGCGTGCTCAAGGAGCGCGATGACGTGTCGAAAGCCCAGAGGCCGTCGCTTCATTTGACGAGACGAAACGACGGCTCGCGTAAGTCTGGGCAATGATGGCCTGCAAGACGTGCTTGAGTATTTAATGCGCCGACTGACCTACGCATTTAAAGCGCCAACTGTCAATCACTTCCGGAGGAATGTAGAGGGTCCATCCCTTGGAATCCATTCGGCCTCTACCTAGGCCACGACCGAAGAATCCAGGGATGTGGGGGCAATGTTTGTGCCTAATAAATCACGGTCATAAACTAATTGAAGGGACTTCCTCTCTATCCTGGCGCCTATCGTTTCGTTAAGCATTTTGCCTTCCTGAAAACAAAAGAAAAGCTGCAAAGGCAGAATCCTCTCGGCCTCGCGACCGCAGTATTGAAGGCCGAAGCCGAAGGCCGTAAAAGACATGGCTAAGGAAACTGTCGTTAAATCGCCACGTAGCCTCAGGGTCCCACGCCCCATTTAATGAAGTAATGCCTCTGACTTTCGCAGCAAACCCACTAGTCGCAAGAAGCATTTAATGCACAAGGGAAGAAGGGAAGTGACTGAAGTCAGGATTTGGTGATGGAAATTAGGGTGGTTAGGCGCAGACATTCTCACAAGCAATCTTACGACTTGAGGTCTGATCACCAACCACCAGACCAGGGCATTAAATGCGTTCCAACGGCCAAAGGGGCAGAACCCACGATCAGGGCGGTGGCTGAGATTTACCGGGATTTATGGGAGTCACACCACCATGCTTCACGATCCCAAACCACCATGCCAAACGTCGATTTGGCTACCCACTTGCCGCGATCAGGCTCCACCACGCAGGTCTTTTCAGCCTCGATTGTCCCTCCAGGACTCCTATAAATACTTAGCTCAGGACTACATTCAAAGGGTTCAAACACCAAACCAAAAGCCTCTCACGGAGCAAATTATATTTTCCTGTAATGCACTTTCAATACCTTTATTTGCTTTCCTAGGAGTAGTGGTAGATTGTAAGGAAAATCCATTCATCAATATATCATACGACCCTTGATTTTCAAGGCGTCGGAGCACCATCTCTGTTATCGTCTCATTCATCCCATATATCATACGACCGTCGCTCTCTGAGCAACGCGCCGGAGCACTGCCTAAAACCCGCCACCAACACCACCACTAAACGGCCTTGTAGCTCAGGCTATGAACCTGACGGCCGAGATCAGTTCCTTTCTTGGCCACAATCGTTTGATTAGGAGTCGAACGCAAAACAGGCGCATCATTTAACCATCTTCTACCCGAACCTCATCATCATCTCGACGCACGGCAGGCTGTGCTAGCACGCTCGCGCACAACCACACCGCATCCGAAAGAAGGACGTCACGTGTTGGCGCATATCCCCCAGGCCCTGAGCACCAGGGCGCGAGATTTGCGCAGAGCCAACACCAGGCAAAAGTAGAGCTCCTCCGCACCAGGGTTACCAAGATGTCCAAGAAGTACGAACATCTTCATACCAAAAACATCGAGCTGGAGGATGAATACTGCACGCTGAAGCGTAATTGGGAACGAACTCAGGCCTAGAGCTCCCAACGTAACTTTACCTAGGATGCTTAGCATACCCAGCCAAACCAGTAGGTGCACTCCTGTCATAGTACCCCAGTCCAGTCTAGGCTCAGCAAGGGTAAAGACCCCCTCCATCCGAAGACAACGAAGTCGCGGTTCCTTCACATCTCCCCACCGAAGAACCGGCCCCATGAACCGATGAAGGTCTACAGAGATTGCAGAGACCATCTCTTGGACCGTCAGCAAGACCCTATTCCTATCCCCGTTAATCTCCAAGACCTAAGGGTGACACACCTAGGCCCCCCACCAAAGCCTACCCACCTACCCGCTGAAGAAGGCGCAGGGGACTCGGACGATTGGGAAAATTATCATTGAAAGGACTGGAAAATTTATCACAGTGAAGCGTTAGAGGATTAGGAACCTTACCCAGCCCATGCCAATCCACACCCCAGGCCTTCAACACTAGAGACCCTCCCTCATGCCGACCCGGCCATGAGGCTTTGTACCACCAGGAGAAAGACATTAAGCCACTTTATATCGCACACTGGCACGGAGGATCCTCTCACCTATATCCACTCCTTCCAGTCTGCCATCGGATGCCACGGCCTTAGTGATGAAGGCATGTGCCTCCTCTTCCCTTTCACCCTCAGTGTCGCGGCCTTGAATTGGTTCTACAGGCTGAACCCCCGCACCATCAATTTATTTGACAGTCTGAAGCAGACCTTCCTGGACCATTTCATGATCTAGACTGATCACCTATACTCTGCAGACGACTTGTACATGCTTCAGCAGGGTGAGGAAGAACCCCTTCGGGAGTATGCAGCCCGTTTCAGCCACGATTACTCTCATTGCTCAGAGACTGACGATTGTGTTGCCTTCGGCGCTTTCAAGAGTGGCCTCCGCGAGTCCAACTTCCGGTACCTGGTCCACAGCAATCCTTGGAACACATATGTAGAGCTAATGAGGCAAGCAGCCGTTCACGCCAAGGCCGAGTATTTCAACTCCAAGCGTGGCCCAGCCACCTCTGCACGCAGCACTATTGGTGATCTTCCACCTACTTTGGTACCTACCCCAGCCCCACCTCAACTTTCTATTCCCACCCCAGATAACCAAGGTACCCCGCACCCAAAAAGGAAGGATAGCTACCTGCATACCTTCAGCAGTGGCAAGCGTGGCAGACATGGCAATCACCTAGTACATGAGGCACCTGTCATGCCCAAGCCTCCCCCCCAAAGACCGTCCAACAAGCCTATGACAAACACAGGTGTCTTTTGCCATTTTCATCAGTTCAGTGGCCACGATACTGAATCTTGTTTTGCCTTACGCAACATCATTGAAGGACTTATTCGCGAAGAGAAGTTGGATAAATATGTGCACAACCTTCCACCCCTACCTAACCCTCACCAAAGGCAGATCAACATGATCTCCACCATCAACGGTGGTCCCACGTTGGCCGGAACCTCCAACAACTCCATCAAACACTATGTCCATTCTTCCTATGCGCACCAGGTCTTCAGCACTGAGCACGGATGCCTGCCTAAGACGCAAAAATCAGGCTGGGCCCCCATCACCTTCTGTAAGGAGGAAGAACGTGGTGTCATTCTCCCACATGACGACCCTCTCATTATCCACGTAAACATTTCTAACTTTGATGTTGGACGTATTCTGGTGGACATTGGCAGCTCGGTTAGTGTGATGTTTGCTGATGCTTTCAACGAGCTCCAGGTCCCTGCTCACTTGCTAGACCGAAGCATCGCACCCCTTGTGAGCTTCTCTGGTGATGTTGTCCAGCCCATTTGAAACATCCATCTCCCTATATCTATTGGTTCGGCACCCCAGTGGGCGACGATCACCACTCCCTTCCTCATTGTTGATTGCCCCACAGCCTACAACGTCATCCTTGGGCCCCTTGCCTTGGCCCAAATGAAGGTTTTCATATCTACACATATGCTGCTGCTGAAGTTCCCTACGCCCCAACTTGGCACCAGAAGCTGCTATGCTTCAGCAGTGAAATCCACCAATCACCAACATCGGGGTGAGGCCCTAGTAGTAACCAATGCTCCAGCCCCTGCTCAAGCTGGCACTGAACGACTTGAAGACCCAAGGGAGGAATCTGTCACCCAGCAGGCTGAGCTTGTAGAAGACCTTGAGCTGGTTACCCTCCATGACGACATCCTGGATTGGCACCTCCCTCTCACAAGAGCTTCGCTTTGATCTCGACGCCTTCCTCCCCCTCAACTCTGAAGTCTTCGCCTGGTCTTACAATGACATGTTTGGCTTATCACCAGACATCATATCCCATCAGCTAAGCATTAATCCTGCCATCAGACCCATTCGGCAGAAGCGTCGTGCTTATAACCCAGAGAGGTACGAGGCCATGAAGACAGAGGTGGATAAGCTGAGTAGCATTGGATTCATAAAATAGGTGGACTATCCCACTTGGCTAGCCAATGTGGTGATGGTACGTAAACCAAAGAAAGGCTGGCACATGTGTGTAGACTACACCAACCTTAATCGGGCCTGTCCAAAGGATGGCTTCCCTTTACCACGAATCGACCAGCTTGTTGACGCCACAGCTGACCACGCCCTCCTTAGCTTCATGGATGCTTACTCGGGGTACAACTAGATCTTTATGCACCCTAATGACTAAGCCCATACATACTTCATCACTGACCGTGGCCTCTACTGCTACAAGGTTATGCCCTTTGGCCTCAAGAATGCTGGGGCTACTTATCAGCGTCTGGTGAACAACATCTTTGCCCCACTAATTGGCAACACCATTGAGGTTTATGTCGATGACATGCTAGTCAAAAGTCGCATTGCTGACCAGCACATCTCCAACCTATTTGCCATGTTCACCATCCTGAAGCAGTATAAAATGAGGCTCAACCCCACAAGTGTGCCTTCGGCGTAGCTTCGGGAAAATTCCTTGGCTTCATGATCACCCAGCAGGGTATTGAAGCTAACCCATAAAAGATTTAGGCCATTTTAGACATAAAGATACCCAAGACAGTCAAGGACATCTAGAGCCTTATCGGACGGGTCGCGGCTCTGACCAAGTTTATCTCTAAGGCCACTGATCGCTCCGCCCCCTTCTTCAAGGCACTTAAGGGCAACAAGCAAAACATCACCTGGACTGTCGAATGTTACAAGGCTTTCAGCAAGCTCAAGGAGTATATGAGTCGGGCCCCTTTATTGTCAACTCCTGAGCCTAGGGACATCCTCACGATTTACCTATCCATCTCAGCCACCGCAGTTAGCTCAGTGCTCATCCGCCCCCACGAAGGTGCTGAACATCCGATGCACTATGTTAGCAAGGGAGTGCAGGATGCCGAGGTTTGGTACCCAAACATTGAGAAACTGGCCTTCGCCCTGGTAGTCTCGACTAGACGGCTTAAACCATACTCCCAAGCTCATACCATCCATGTCCTAACCAATTAGCCACTAAGGCAGGTATTGCAAAAGCTAGAGACTTCTGGCAGGTTGATCAAGTGGGCTATTGAGCTTGGTGAATTTGATATTCACTACAAACCCCGCCCAGCTACAAAGGGCTAGGCTGTTGCTGACTTCATATCAGAATTCACAGAACCCTAAGCTTTAGTTGTTCGACAAATTATAACCGAGCCTACTCCTCCTTCGAGGCAGGTCCACGTAGCCAGCAACGGCACCCTAGACCTGATCCAACCTTTGTGGACATGTTATGTGGAGCTGGCCTCATCCTTATCTCCCCAGACAAAGTTGTTCTTGAGTACGCCATCGAAACATTCGTCTGGCAGAATATCATATGTCGCTTCGGCATCCCCAACACCATCGTCACAGACAACGGTTGGCAATTTGACAATGCCAAGTTCAGGCAATTTTGTTCCAACCTCAAGATACACTTTTGCTTCCCCTCCCCAGCCCATCCTCAGTCCAATGGCCAGGTTGAAGCTGTGAACAAGATCATCAAGAAGACTCTTAAGACCAAGCTTGACAAAGCCAAGGGTTGTTGGCCGGAGCTACTCGCCGAGGTTCTTTGGTACTACCGCATCACCTTCCATATCTCAATAGGAGAAACACCGTTTTCTCTTTCCTTTGGTACCGAAGCCGTGGCACCAGTGGAGATCGGCCCCCACTTCACTGAACCTGTAGCAAAGGTTAGATACTACTCAGCCATTTACACTTGCATAAGCAAAAATGGAGAACCAAGCGTTAAAGCAGGTAGATACACTACAAAACAATAATTAGTCTTAAAGGATGGGGCCAAAGACCTATAGATTGGAAGTGGGTAGGAATGTGTTTGGAGAGGGTCTTCCCTGGTGGACACTCCTAGTCACCATAACCTAGACACCACCTGTTCCTCCAAGACTTTTGAGTAGAAGGCTTGTGACCAATAAAATAACTCCTCTCTTTTGCCTTTTGGCAATTGGCCTGTACCCAGCCAAAACATAAACTGCTCAAATGTTGGCTCCCTCAACCCAGCCAACCACCAAGCAATATAAACCCTATGAAGAAGAATCCAAAAGTTGGGATTATATTGCCCCGACGCATATCCCAGCTTGGCTAACATCATCTGTACCCAAGGATGAAACGGTAGTCTGAAGCCATGCTGGTACATATCGGTAAATATCAACATGCATCCCTCTAGAGGATATCTAACCACATCAGCAGCATTGGGTAACCTCAAGCCCACCGAGGGTGGGACATTAAAATTTTTCCGAAGCTCTGCCAGCTTTACCTCTGTAAGTATATTACACCTTGACAAAGGGACACCAACCCATATATCCACCCCCTCTGAAGCTGAAGCCACGGCTACACCCACAGACAGTGATGCCTGATAGCTCAAGGCTAGAACCCGGTCAATCACAGCCTCTAACACTCTATAATTCCTCTGCATCTCTCTATACTCGGCCTCCCGGGAATCTACTAATGGCTCACCTCTCTCACCCTCATGCACTACCATCCTACTTTCTATCATACCTTCTACCACACCCTCTGTCTAGGAACTCTCATCTTCAAAACAAACATATTGGTTGGTCTCTTCACTCTCAGTATCTTCCCCACCAAAGGCAGGGGGGTCATGCCTTTCTCTATTAGAACTTTCGGACATCTACAATATGCAGAAACAAGGAAAGGAGCGAATGCACACGCAAGAAGGATCGAAAAAACAAGAACACAAAAAGAAGGGCACACCTACATGCTCTTTGATCTAGAAGCATACATTCAACAAGTTCATACCAATGTTCAAGGTGTTCATCATGTTCATACTCATATTCAAGGTGTTCATCCTAGTCTTCAACATGTTCATATAGAAAAGGACATTTCAATTCAAAAGTTCAAAGGAAATGAGGTCTAACCATGTTTGCACCACCACAGAGAAACGCCGGAAATCACCTTGGCCACAAGCACCACCACCAAAATCTCGCAGGAAATCTCATTTTTTCTTGTTCACTTTCTAGAAATTTTTCTCCACAACTTAAGTATGATGCCTTCGTCACTCCAAGTTCCTATTTATAAACTTTTGTTCACCCATTTTGTGTTTGCTCCTATGATGGAAGGGTAAAGTTCCCCATTGCCTTGAAAACCATTGACGGGTCAACAAGTCAACTTTCTTTAGTGTGCGAGCGTGCCACTGCCAGTAATAAAAATTCTAGCAGGCTTCTTAAAAATAGATAACTTGCGCCCCAAGTTACTGATTTCTAAACAAGCGATTGTGAATTTGGGTGAGGAATATCTCCCAAGTAAGTTATTTTCTTGCCTCAAAATGATGAGGACTTCACAATTTTTCACAATATAAAACTGGTAGTTCTGGCTAGAATAAATGATAAGATAGTAAACTGTTTTTAGGCAGAAGTGCGTTTTACAAAACTGAAAAAGGAAAAATCAACTCTAGAAAGACAAAAAGAAGGTTGGACTTCCATTTCTGCCTAGGTAGAAAACTCCTGATCCGGGCTTGACTGGGTAAGCATGTGCTGGACTGAGCTATTAATAACTTCAACTACTAAGCTTCAGCTGTAAATCGATACCAACGTTCGAGTTTGGTAGAGCTCTAATTTATTTCAAGCCTTGAAAGGCTTTTTGAACCGGCAGAATTGCAGCCTCTTCAGTCTGAAAGGGGCAGAAGTAGTTGGACTTGAGGATTACTGAGCGGGAACTGCACTGTGGTACCTATTATGCCTGATTAGGACTCTCCATAAATTTATTGAGGTTTTCATATTTGTAGAAACCCAGACTCTACTGATTTTGGCTTTTGCTTAACCAAATTTGTAACGAGAGAAATCTCATTTTGAGTGACTTATTTCTCTTAAGTTTGAATTGAAGTTCTGATTTATAGTTGGCTTCTTCTATGACTTGAATGAGCTTTTGGTTGCTTTAGTTTGTTTGAAGGTTCTCAGAGATCAAGTGATCATTTTGAGATTTTGTCTTTGGTTGATTTTTTTGGTTGTTTGAATTTTTTATTGTCAAGTGTCCTTTGCTTTGTTCACCCTCTCTTATATTTATTGGAAATGATGGAGTAGGGTTTCTAGAAATGGGGGTCAGATTTTATGAAAAAGATCTTTTATTTTTAAAATGCAAAGAAAGTGTTTTTATCAATTTTGACAGATAAGCCTTCCATAGTCAGTTCCTAAGGCAGTCACTTCCCTGTATTTTCTGAAAGAAAACCAAACCCTTCTTCTTTAATTTTAACTGCCTTTGTAAGAGCTAAAACTGTGATGGTTAGTTTGATTTTCTTTCTGAGCAACTCCCTGCCTTCTAGTTATCCTTTTAAAAAATATAGCCTGCTTATCCTTTGAAAATGATGTCTGCCGAATTTTCTGAATACAGAAAAGGATTTTGATCTCCTCCTCTGTCTGTGGCAGATTATGGAAATCTTCCTGTAAGAGTGCCTACACTAACCCCCCATATCAAATTCCTTTGTGACTAGTTGAAATTGTTGACTTTTTCAAAGTCTTTATGTAGTCATGTGGGCTTCCTTGAGAACAGTTTCCACAGAAAAGTCTGCCAAATTGTTCCTGGGCTTTTTGAGAGAAATGGTAGGTTTTGTAGACTGGGCCTAATTCACTTTTCTTCTTTTATTGATCTACTTAATTTGTAACTGCCATTTTAATTTGGTGTTTCTTTACAATTCTGTGTTTTTTGAAAAAGACGTGGGTTTCTGACGTGGATTGGGCTTTTCTTGATCTCGTAATTGAAGGCCATTTTTCTGTTTTATGGCCTTTCCTTGCGTAGATGGGCTGGTGCTTTTAAATTTCTTTTGGCCCAAACAAGTTCCAAGGGTACCAACGCCTTGGTGCATGAGAAAACCCTAGGCACCCTTCCACCTTCCCTCCCAAATTTCGTGTATTTTGCACAACAATTTCGATTTCAAATTTCAAATTTTTAAAAACAAAAACAAAAAAACAAAACAAAGATGGCCCGTGCACAAGGAAACGGAGGCCTTGAAAAAATTTTACCTCAACAAAACCCCAGCTCCACTTCCCACACAAAAAGGCGCAGCCCATGCACACAAAGCTGAACTTGACCTGTGCATCGAAATCACGCCAAGACCTGTAGAAGATTAGAAGAGCATCAACGGGGATGCACAACAAAAGCCTTTTCGAAAATTCCATGCTGAAAGGGCAAGGGCCCTGCCGAACGGCAGGCCCCTAGGAGAAGCAAAATGGGGGACTCACAACAGAAGCCTTACTGAGTCTATAACCCGACCTGCCTAGCTCTAATTCCCAATTTACCGAAGCAGACCCTCGTGCAACCCAGCTCCGAGCCCACTCGAGCTGAAACACCAAGGTCCAGCTCTAAACCCTGAAACCAATTTTCTTCCTTTGCCGAATGGCAAGTCCGGTGCAAGGTTGGGGGGTGACCTCACAAGATTCATCAACGAAGACGAGCCCACCATGGCCCACCTACCGAACATACCCCTGCGAAATTCACTTGTCTTCTTTTATTGATATGCTTAATTTGTAACCGCCATTTTAATTTGGTGTTTCTTTACAATTTTGTCTTTTTTGAAAAAGACGTGGGTTTCTTATGTGGATTGGGCTTTTTCTTGATCTGGTAATTGAAGCCCATATTTCTGTTTTATGGCCTTTCCTTGCAAAGATGGGCTGGTGCTTTTAAATTTCTTTTGGCCCAAACAATGCCCCATTAAGTCTGAATCATTTTAAAACGGTTTTAGATTTAATGATTGGTTAATCAATGATGCGTGCCATTTCCTGCTGTTGCACTAGCGCACGTTCTGCCTATTCAATTTGGCTTCGTGGGGAAATGGGTTCTAACGGCTAATTCAATTTGATCAAAACCTCTTCCTTCCTTCTCTCCCATGATCTTCTTGTTTAGCTTATAAAAAAATTTCCGAACTTCATTACTGTTTCATCAAAACCTAGCTCTGTCCCATCTTCTATTTCTTTCGACACCTTCTGTTCTTTTGGTTCTGTTCCTTTCAATCCCCCTTTTTTTGTCCAATTCTGAGAGAGGGAAAGAAAATGTCTTCTCTAAACACTTGTCCCAAGGGCTCCTCTTCTTCTCGATCTCCTGCTTATCGTACTGGAGATGGGGTCGATGATCATGCAATCGAGGTTCGTAGTAAACTTCACCCATATGCGCAGAAGAATTTGGATGAAAACGTCCTTCATCTGTTTGAAAACACCCTTGTTCTGGTTCTTCACTGGTTTGGCTTGGTGCCGGAAGAAATGGCCAATTTGTTCAAGGAAGATGCTGAGGCTCCTCTGTGCTTCCAAAGTTCTACGGCTCTGTCTTCTCATACCTGGGTCAGTAAGAACTTGAGTCATTCCTATCCTTCGAGTGAAGTGAGGAATAGTGCAGTGAGGTGGTCTAATTGGATTGATAGACTTCTCCCAAGGCATGGAGCTTATTGGAAGAAGGCTGGAATTCATGACGCAATCCTTCTGTCTAAGAATTTTGTCAATAGAGATGTGAACCTGCTGGCTGCTGCTTTGTGCTTCTAGAATTCCGCTAGCAACACCTTCGATTTCCGTCTAGGTCCCATGACTTCGACTTTGCTGCATCTGGCTCAAATATTTGGGTTTAGGACCTATGGGAGGCCTGCTGATGCTGTTGGTGACTACCATAGACGAAAGAATCGAGAGAGATTGTCCAAGCCTTCACCATTCCTGCTGCCACGATTAATTAGAATTGTTCATTCTCCAATTTTTTAAAGAAGTTTAGTACTGAAAAGGATAAGGATCAGCAACACATGTTGTTTCTCCTATACTGGTTGAATATGTTCGTTTCCCACAACCACTCCTCGGCGGTTCTGCTGGAATACAAGCACTTGGCAGAAGCCTTGCACAATCATGCTGATGTGGGACTTAGCCCCACAGTTCTGGCTCACTTGTATAAGAACCTTCACAGCGCCACTCTGGAGAATCCACTGAATATCTTTGCACCTGGTGCATTCTGGATTATCCAAATCTAATTGCAGGTTTATTTCCCAGAACTGAGGTTCCCGGACATGGTTCTGCTTGAAGATCAGGTCATGGCGGTCCCCTTAATGTCGGCAAAGGTGCCTAAGCGCTCTATTGAAGAATACTTGATTTTTTTTGGCATTGTACCAAGAGGTTTGCTGCTCAGTGGCAAGTGGTACTTAGAAGAACATACCCTTGGTTCCAGCCTGGACACAGACTCTTCGAGAAGGAGCCAGAAGAAGAAGAAGCAAAAGGACTGCACCTACTCGGTAAACAAGATCAGTAATAGTGTGGACACCCTCTATCCATCCGTGGAGCCTAACTCTTGCAGTTCTGGTGAGTCTGATGCTTGGTGGAAAGCTTGGTTTGCTAGTCTGCCAAATGCTAGTACTACTGTGAAGACTTTGTTTGAAACTTGGGATGCTGGGACTATCCTGGCAGAACCATAAGCCAAAAAATTCATAATGCAGATGGTCAAAGGCAACAATGCTCAAGTGATTGAAGGTAAAATTGCTAGTTTTGCTCCTTTGTTTGGAATTTCTGCATTTTGAAATGTTCCTTAACTTCATTCTGCCTGTTTGTCTCAGATCCTTCTATGACAAGAAATCTTGGGAGACAAAGCGTCCAGGCTGGGGAAGTGGTTGGTAAGTTTTCAAATTTCAATCTTTAAGCTTGTTTCTTGCTGGACTGTCTGCTAACCCTTTTCTTTTCTATGTAGTTACTTCTGTTATTGTTGCTGGAAACCTAAGCTTCCTTTTGGTGATGAGGGGGATGATTATGAGACTTTGGCAGAAGCTAGTGTTGAGACAACTCCTTCTACCAGAAAGAACAAAAGAAAGGAAGTCGCCCAGGCTTAGGACAGTGTTGTCCAGCCTTATCCCCATGGTATAATTTTGGTTTTTAATTCTGTCAACCCCTTTTGATCGGTTTTGTACTCATTTCTGACTTTCTTCCTTTGTGTAGTCGAAAGCTCCCCTCCTCCTTCTAAGGCAAAGAGGCTGAGAAAGAGGGCTATTAGTGAGTTTGAAGGAAAAGAAGAAGAGCCTGCAGTAGTTCCTACTGAGACCACAAAAACTGATGAGAAAGAGGTCTTGAACGGAGAAAAAGAAAAGACAAAAGATGGAGAAGAAGAAGTGAGATTATAGCAAGAGATCCCTTCCTTTGGCATCATCCTAGTTTTGTATTGTATTCCCTCTGACTTGAGTTCTATCTTTATGCAGGAAGAAATTCCCGCTGAAATAATTGCAGAGAGCATTGAGTTGGCGAAGAAACAGCAAGAGGCCCAAATAGCAGAGCCTACCAGTTCAGAATTGGCTCTTTTCGTTGATGTGGAGGCATAACATTCTGCTGCTATTCCAGCATCTGAGGTAGTTCCTATTCTTTCTTAATTTTGTCTTGTTTCTACAATCCTGTCTACCCTTATCTTTCTAGTTGAGATTCCTTTCCTTCTGGGTGGAGGAGGGCAGAATTGCTGGGACTTTGGCTGCGGTGACCAGTCCTCTCAAGCCTTCCATTGTGGCTGTAAGTATCGTTGTGTCTTCAGCTTTCTTCCTTTTTTTTCAGTATGGGATTTACTAAAATCATTTCTTTGTAGATGCCTATCCACTCCATTCCTAGTTCACCAGCTACTGCCTCATTTGCTGATCCAGAGCTGGCAGAATTTGAAGCCATGGATCTGGATGCTCAACTGGACAAGCTTGAGCAGCTCAGCCCTATTCCTGGCAAGGCCAAGTCTAAAGTAGTGGATGAGGTAGTGGGCAGAGTGAAAATATGGCAGTCAACAGAGCTGGACTTGGCTGAGAATATGGAAGCCATAGATCAACTTATGAAGGATCCAGATCTACTGCACAGGCAGAATGTGGCTCCTAGGCCCATTCTTGGGATTAGTCTTGGCTTGGCAAGAGACGTGCTTAATCTCCACAGTCGCTATGAAGACCTCAAGCCCTCGTTCAAAGCTTCTGAATTCTGCAAAGCTACTCATGAAGCTAACCTGGCTGATTATCAGAAACAAAAGGCAGAATTGGACACGATGGTTGCTGATTACAAGGAAACCAAAACTGCTGCTGATAAACTAGGAAACTAGGACTTTAAATTTCATATTTTAAATGTAATAAAACTTTAGTCATGGAAAATGACTATATTTAATATAAAATTTATTTTTGTGGAACTCTTTTTGCACTTGCAATTTCTTTTGTCAAAATAAAAAGAAAGCAGAAAACTTAACAAATCACAACAAAAGACAAACTCTGAACATAATTTTAAATAATAGTTTCATTTTGTTTCCTTTCTATTCCAGGATTTGTTTTACAGCCTGTGAATCCCACATAGTTGGATAGAATTGCTTCAACCATTTGCCATTGATTGGTGCAGCATGAACATCTCCACCTTGATCCTGTAGTCTATATGCCCCCAGTCCAAGGACTTGCTTAATTATGAAAGGTCCTTCCCATGTAGATGACCATTTTCCATAACCAGCTATATGTGTTCCAAAGGGCAGAACTACTTTCCAAACAATTTCTCCCTCTTCAAAACTCATATTTTTACTCTTTTGTTGTACGCCTTAGACACAACCTATTTTGCTGCTAAGAGCTTGTTGAGGGTGTCAATTCTACTTGTATCCAGTCCTTCCAGTTCTAGCAGCATGGCTTGGGAGTAGTCTTCTCCAGTCAGATTGTGTTGGTGAGTAATTCTGAGAGATTGGACTGCTATTTCCATAGGCAGAATTGCATCATGACCATAAGTTAGAGCATACGGGGTCATGCCAGTTGTTTCTCTCTTTGAAGTCCTATATGCCCACAGAGTTTCTGATAACTTCTCATGCCACTGCTTTGGATTTTTCTCAAGCATTTTCCTGATAACGTTAATGATCACCTTGTTGCTTGATTCTGCCTGCCCATTAGCTTGAGCATAATAACGAGTGGATTGAAGTAGTTTGAATTTGAATGCTTCTGCCATATCTAGCATCTCTCCGTATATGAAAGAAGATCCCCTATCTGTTGTGATAGATTCTGGAATGCCAAACCTTTGTATGATATGTTCTTCTATGAAAGTGATGATCTCTTGAGATGTAGTGGATTTAACAGGCTTGGCTTCTACCCATTTGGTGAAATAGTCTATAGCTATAATGATAAAATAGTGTTGTTTGCTACTAGCTGGATAAATCTTGCCAATGAGATCCATTGCCGATGGCTTGACTACTGGATTCATGGGAATTGAAGGAGCCTGCTGGATTGGGCCAAGCCTTTGACAAGCCTCACATCCCTTGGAATAATCAATGCAATCTTTCATCATAGTTGGCCAGAAGTAGCCATTCCTCCTAATTAACCAACACATTTTTCTTCCACCCTGATGAGCTTCACAAATTCCTTCATGGGTTTCTCCCATGACCTTCATGTATTCTTTCTTTCCTAGGCAACTCAAAAGTACCTCATCTTTGCTTTTTCGGACTAAATCTCCATTCCACATAAGGTAATTTAAAGCCATGATTCTGACTCTTTTTTCAGAAGGCAGGGTCGGGTACTACAAGTAATTTATGAGGGGAGTTCTCCAATCATCTTCAGTGATTATGGAAGAATTGACATCTATCTCCATTCCATTGGCTAGAACAAGGTCGGGCACACCTGTTGCTATCTGAGCCAATTCATTGGCTGCAAAGTTTTCTTCTCTTGGGATATGTTCCCAAGTAGCTTCTTTGAATTCTGTCAGAAGATTCCTGACTGCAACTAAATAGACGGCTAGAGAAGGACTTAAACACTTGTATTCTCTAGCAATCTGCTTCAATACAAGCATGGAGTCTCCTAAGATTTCCACAGACTGGATTCATAATTCCACCAGTATTTCGAGGCCAATGATTAAAGCTTCATATTCAGCTCTATTGTTGGTGCATTTGAAATCTAGCTGGAAAGAATAACAGTGTCTGATCCCCAGTGGCTCTTCTAAAACAATCCCTGTCCCGGAGGCTATATCAGTTTTTGATCCGTCAAAGTACAGTTTCCAAGGTGTGAGGTGAACTAAATAGATGGGATTGTTTAGACAAGTATGAGCTCTAGTCAGCAGATCTTCATTTGCTATATCCAAAGAGTACATGTTTTCAATCTCTTCCCCTGGATGATTTGCTAGGAAATCTGCTACAACTTGTCCTTTGACAGCTTTCTGAGGAACATATTTGAAAGCAAATTCTGTCAAAGCCAGAGTCCATTTGCCAATTCTACCTCTCAACATTGGCCTTGTTAACATGTATTTGATTAGGTCTGTCTTGGCAATGATGTAGATGATGAATGACAGCATGTAGTGTCTGAGTTTCACAGCAGTCAAGTATAAGGCTAAGCAAAGCCTTTCAATTGCAGAATATTTCCTTTCTACTTCAGTCAGAGTTCTACTCAGATAGTAGACTACCTGTTCCTTCCCTTCCTTGTTATCTTGAACTAACAGACTACCAATGGACACTTCTGATGCAAAAACATAGAGTTTGAGTGGTCTGCCTCTCTTTGGTGGAGATAGAACTGGCGGGTTTGAGAGGTAATGTTTGATTTCCTCAAAGGCCTGTTGATGCTGTTCTTCCCACTTGAATGTATGTTCCTGTTTTAACCTTAGCAAGGTAGAGAAAGGCTGGATTTTTCTTGCATAGTTGGATATGAATCTCCTTAGAAAATTAATTTTTCCTAGGAGACTTTGCAGTTCTTTCTTGTTCTGGGGTTATATAGCTTCTATGATGGATTTTGCTTTATTTTTGTCAATCTCTCTGCCCCTTTGGTGGACCAAGAAACCTAAGAAATTTTCTGCCTGAGCTCCAAAAACACATTTCTTGGGGTTCATTTTCAATTTATGTTGTCTCATACTTAGGAATGCCTTTCTCAGATTTTATACATGATTTCCCTCCTCTAGGGACTTAATCACCACATCATCTATGTATACCTCTAGAGAATGCCCTATCATATCATGGAAAACAGAATTCATTGCTCTTTGATAAATGGCTCCTGCATTTCTTAAGCCAAAAGACATTACAATGTACTCAAAAGCACCTATATGTCCTGGGCACATGAAGGCTGTCTTATGGATGTCTTCTTCTACTACCATGATTTGATTATATCCTGCATTGCCATCCATAAAAGATAGCATTTGATTATGAGCAGCTCCATCTACTAGCATATCCGCCATTGGCATAGGATATTCATCCTTTGGGGATGCTTCATTCAGATTCTTGTAATCCACACAGATCCTAACTGCCCCTGTTTTTCTTATCAGAACTGGCACAATATTGGCTACCCAATCAGCATAAATGGCTGGTCTGATGAATCCTGCCTTGAGCAATCTTTCTATTTCTTCCTTGACTTTCAGTTCTATTTCCATAGACATTCTTCTTCTGACCTGTTTGACTGCTAGGTAGCCTTCTTTGATTGGCAGCTTGTGTTCTACCAACTTTCTGTCTAATCCAAGCATCTCATGATAATGCTAAGCAAAACAGTCTCTAAAGTCGTGCAAAAGTGCAATGATTTCACTCTTGAGTGGTTCTTTTAACAGTGCACTAATGAAAGTGGGTCTTGGATCCTCTTCTGCTCCTAAGTTTATCTCCTGTAATGGATCTTCCACTTCTGGCAAAGAATCCTCTCGTGTTGCTAGTGTAAAATCTAAAACTTCATCCTGTCAACTCTCTTCTTCTTCCTCTTCAGTGCTTTCATGGGCGAATTCTGCCATATTAATGGCTGGATTTTGCACAAAGAGCTTCCTTTCTTCCCAATGTATCAACAATTTTTTGTAATGGATTGGATTATTGCAGCTCGATCCTTTTCTTGTTGATTGAGAGTAAACATCAGAGTTCTGGAGGTTTAGAACAAAAGGTCTATTCTAGTCTTCTAGAGAACTGGCTAAACCATCTTCAATGAGTCTTTGGGGCGTGACACCATGGGGGCGGCCATTTTGGTTGACTCCAAGGAAAGTGAAAGGACCAAGGTCATCATGATAATACCTTGCCTCAAAACACATGGCAGAGGGCGTAAATGGCCATGGATTGGCCTCTACTATCTCCATGAAACCTTCTTCATTCCAAAGGGCTAATTGCTAATGCAGAGTGGAAGGAACACATAGGCTTTGATGGATCCAGTCCCTGCCAAGCAATGCATTGTAAGTGGTAGAAGTAGTGTCTACCACAAAAAATGCAATCTTCAACTCTTTCGTTCCAACTATGACGTCCACATCCATGATTCCATGAGTCTTAGTGACGCCCCCAGCAAAGTTGGTGACAGTCAAGCGTGTTGGAATTAAATCCTTCTTTGTTCTGCCCATCTTGGTCAGCAGACTGTGAGGCAGTAGATTAATGGTTGCACCTTCATCTACCATTACTTTGGGAATAGGAATACCCCTAAAGTTGGCTATTATGAACAGAGGTCTGAGGTGAGTGGCCATCTCCTAGGTTGGTTTGGAGAAACAGAGCTGCTTTATAGCCAGTTTCAAGGCAATTCTGCATGTCTTGGCAGTGGTGTTTGCTGTGTTGGTGCTTCCTCTACTTTTGCCAATCTGCGCTCAAAGCTTTCTTGGCAGAATACATCTCCCTCTAGAGTGTTTTCTTGCCCTTTTACTGCCCTAAATTTTTCTGGCAAGATGAACACTATGTTAATGCCCAGATCACCCTGCGATAGGCTTTCTAATTCTACACCAAAAGCCTCAGTTTCTTCATCTAGTTCTCCGTCATACTCCATATGTTCTTCCCCATACTCTTCTGTCCAGTCCTCTTATTCTCTTGTTTTGAGGAGTGTCGTTTGGTCATCTGCAGATGGTTCATAGCCTAACTGCTCCTTTTCATACTCTTCAGTCCGGTCTTCTTGTCCTTCTACTGGAATAGGTTCGGATTCACCTTGTATTTGCAGAGGTTCAAGCTGATTGACTGAGGATGAGGCATGATTGATGGGAGGTCTATTTGGAGATTATGTCTTCATTAGCTCTTGGCAGAACTGGTCTCTGGAAGTACTTGTGTGTCATGCCTGTTCTTGAGGAAGGTGTAGTATTGCCTTTGAACCCTCCTATTCTGAGTTCTGGTCAATTTCAGAGTTGGTCTGCCGCTTATTCCAACAGAATGCCATCTGTCTTCTATGACAGCTGCCACAGGTTTGTCATTTCTGGGTATTCTTATTGATATTTCTTTCTTTGGCTGCTCTGTCATTCTTCCGCTACACTGAGCAGGCCTTAGATAGTCCTTATGTCTGGCTCTATCCTTAGATGGGGCCGGAACTGGGCTCTGTTGGTATGATGTTCCAATTCTGTCAAAAACACTAGGCGTGGGCTGATTCTGGCTGTTCAGAGTTACTTCCAGCTCACTTTCACATTTGCACTTGCTGCACAACACTACCCCAGCCGAGATGGTTGCCTTTGGCCTTTGATTAGCTTCTCTTGTGACTCTTCTGCCTGTACTGGAGCTACCCTCTGTTGTTAGTTTGCCTCTCTTCTATTCTGGCCAATTTAAGTTGACCATGTTGACTTGAGGTTGGGGAAAAGGATCTGTAGTAACTCAAGGAGGTTTTTCCGCCAGTTTTAACCTTCCTGCTGTTATTCCTTCCAGTATAACGTCTCTAAAAACAACACAACTGTTGGTGGAGTGGTTCTAAGAGTTGTGCCACCTGCAATACTGTCTGCCCTTGAGTTATTCTGGCTTGGGCAACCTGTGGGGTGTCTCTATTGCCTTCTGTAGCAGCATATCGTCAAACAAAGCATCAACCTTGGTTAGATCGAAGGAATAGACCTTGTTCTGGGTAGGTTTGGAACAAACCCTCCTGTGAATGATGGCGGCTTCTGGTCCTTTGTAAGAGCCTTGCAGCTAATGGGATGTTTAAATTTTTCCATTTCTGCCACTGCAATTTCTCATTCCTCCGAGCCTTCTGTGTCTTCTTCTGATTCTACCTCAACCAGATGGACCGAAGAAGAAGAGGAATTGTAGTCTGTGCCTTTGGAAGAGTTCCTCTTATGTTGTTCTTCCCTGAGCAGCTCCTCATATTTAGATGCATTGTCTACCATTTCTGCCAGGTCCCCAAACAGCATCCCATCAAGCCTTTCTTCCATAGGGATCCGACATTTCATCTTGAGCTTTCTGAATCTGGTTATAAAGTCTTGAGCAGGCTCATCTTCATTCTGTTTGAGGGCAGCAAGATGACTGATGGTAACTTCTGGCTGGATCCTGAAATAGTAGTCATGGAAAACATTTTCCATTTGCTCCCAGGTTTGAACAAAATTAGCTGGTAGACTGGTGTACCAGGTGAAGACTTGTCCAGAGAGAGAATTCCCAAAAAGCCTTAGCTTTAACAGAGGGTTATTCTTTGTGGCTATGCACAGGACAGAGAACCTGCCTATATGCTCAACTAATGAAGCATGGGGATCTTTTCCATTGAACAAGGTGAAGTTTGGCACCTTGAAACCCTGGGATAGAGGTATTTGTTCAATGTAAGCCTGATATGGCTTTCTGTAGGTCGGCCTTTCCCCTTTTCTGGCTTCAGGCTCCATCATCTACCTGATCATTCTCTATAGTGCCCCCACGTCATTCAAGGCATTCACTGGGTGTGGATTTCACCCTTATTCTGGCTAGATGTGGTCAATTCTGTGCCCCATTCTGAATGGTCTGGGCATAACTTCCTCCCTGTGTTCTTCTTCTACTTCAAAATCTAGATGATTCCTTCAGTTTTCCCCCAGTTTGTTCCTGTCATTGTTGGCAAAGGGGTTGATTCCCCTCTGCCTCTTCTGCCTCTTGCTGGTGGAGGGAATGGATTAGGATCCATCCTTCTAGGTCTGTAGGGCAACACAGCTAGTGCTTCAAGCAGAAGTGCCAAAGGTTGATCATGAAGGGCCATTGGTTCTGGAATAGGTGGAGGTTCTGGCTGATTATGGGGAACCCGAACTGGTACAGGGCCTTTTGGTCAGACTGGAACCTCATGCTCCTGGACAGGAGGGGCTCCTCCCTTCTATCCAGCTTGGGTCTCTCCATGCCCTGGTATTCCAGCTATTTGTGCGATGAGAGGGTTCTCCTGATATGGCCATGATAATCCTGGTGGCAGACTGTAAAGGAGGTCTAGTTGCTGGACTACAACATCTGGGTTTGGAATCCTGGCCATAGCAGCCTCACGGTCCTTCTTGAACTGCCTGTTGACTTGTCATTGCATCATGGCTGTCATGTTTTTCAGAGTATCCTGGCTTCTTTGTGCTGTGAAATCCTGTCGGAACACAGCCTACTGTATCAGATTCAATCTCCTAGAGCCAGTCTTGGAACGTCGACTCCCGGTATTGCCATGGGCTAACTGCCTAGCATCAATTTCTTCTGACTCGAGTCCTTCCTGGAGAGCTGCTTGATCTCTTTCCATTGTGTTGCGTGGGGTTCTAGCTAGAACTTCCAATATTCATATACTTTAGAACTTCCAATATTCATATACTGGGCATGCCAAATTGTTCACCCGTTTTGTGTTTGCTCCTGTGATGGAAGGGTAAAGTTTCTCATTGCCTTGAAAACCATTGACTGGTCAACAAGTCCACTTTCTTTAGTGTGCGAGCGTGTCACTGTTAGTAATAAAAATTCTAGCAGACTTCTTAAAAATAGATAACTTGCGCCCCAAGATACTGATTTCTAAACAAGCGATTGTGAATTTGGGTGAGGAATATCTCCCAAGTAAATTATTTTCTTGCCTCAGACTGGTGAGGACTTCACAATTTTTCACAGTACGAAACTGGTAGTTTTGGCCAAAATAAAGGATAAGATAGTAAACTATTTTTTAGGCAGAAGTGCCTTTTACAAAACTGAAAAAGGAAAACTCAACTCTAGAAAGACAAAAAGAAGGCTGGACTGGGTAAGCATGTGCTGGACTGAGCTATTAATAACTTCAACTGCTAAGCTTCAGCTGTAAACCGATACCAACGTTCGAGTTTGGCAAAGCTCGAATCTATTTCAAGCCCAAAAGGAGTAGAAGTGGCTGGACTTGAGGATTACTGAGCTGGAACTGCACTGTGGTACCTGTTCTGCCTGATTAGGACTCTCCATAAATTTGTTGAGGCTTTCAAATTTGTAAAAACCCAGACTCTGCTTGTTTTGGCTTTTGCTGAACCAAATTTGTAACGAGAGAAATCTCGTTTCGAGTGACTTATTTCTCTTAGTCTGAATTGGAAGTTCTGATTTATAGCTGGCTTTTTCTGTGGCTCGAATGAGCTTTTGGTTGCTTCAGTTTGTTTGAAGGTTCTCAGAGATCAAGTGATCATTTTGAGTTTTTGTCTTTGGTTGATTTTTTTGGTTATTTGATTTTTTGATTGTTGAGTGTCCTTTGCTCTATTCACCCTATCTTATATTTATTGGAAATGCTGGAGTAGGGTTTCTAGAAACGGGTGGCAGATTTTCTGAAAAAGATCTTTATTTTCAAAATGCAAAGAAAAAGGGTGTTTATCAATTCTGGCATATAAGCCTTCCATAGTTAGTTCCTAAGGCAGTCACTTCCCTGTATTTTCTGAAAGAAAACCTAACCCTTCTTCTTTAATTTTAAGAGCTCAAACTGTGATGGTTAGATTGATTTTCTGTCTGAGCAACTCCCTGCCTTCTACTTATCCTTCTAAAAAATATAGCCTGCTAATCCCTTGGAAATGATGTCTGTCGAATTTTCTAAATACAGAAAAGGATTTTGAGCTTTTCCTCTGTCTATGGAAAATTGGGGAAATCTTCCCGTAAGAGTGCCTACACTAACCCCCCCTATCAAATTCCTTTGTGACTAGTTGAAATTGTTGTCTTTTTCAAAGTCTTTATGTAGTCATGTGGGCTTCCTCGAGAACAATTTCCTCAGAAAAGTTTGCCAAATTGTTCTTGGGCTTTTTGAGAGAAATGGTAGGATTTGAAGATTGGGCCCAATTCAATTTTCTTCTTTTATTGATCTGCTTAATTTGTAACCGCCATTTTAATTTGGCGTTTCTTTACAATTCTGTCTTTTTTGAAAAAGACATGGGTTTCTGACATGGATTGGGCTTTTCTTGATTTGGTAATTGAAGCCCATTTTCTGTTTTCTGTTATTTCCTTGCGAAGATGGGCTGGTGCTTTTAAATTCCTTTTGGCCCAAACAAATTCCAAGGGTACCAACGCCTCGGTGCACGACAAAACCCCAGGCACCCTTCCACCTTCCCTCCCAAATTTCGTGTACAACAATTTTTCAACAATTTAATTCAAAAAAAAAAAAAAAAAAAAAAAAAACACAAAAAACGAAACGAAAAATCAAGGAATTGAGAAGGGCCTTGTCGAACGGCAAGGCCCGTGCACAAGGAAACGGAGGCCTCGAAAAAATTTTATCTCAACAAAACCCTAGCTCCACTTCCCACACAGAAAGGCCCAGCCCGTGCGCACAAAGCTGAACCCGACCAGTGCACCAAAATCATGCCAAAAGCCGACCAGCATCTCGGGGGACTCACAACAAAAGCCTTACCGAGTGTATAACCCAACCCGCCCAGCTCTAATTCCCAATTTACCGAAGTAGACCCTTGTGCAAACCCAACTCCGAGCCCACTCGAGCTGAAACACCAAGGTCTAGCTCTAAACCCTGAAACCAGTTTTCTTCCTTTGCTGAACTGCATGTCCGGTGCTAGGTTGGGGGGTGACCTCACAAGATTTTCATCAACGAAGACGAGCCCACCATGGCCCACCTACCGAACATGCCCCTGCGAAATTCTACCTGCCGAACGAAAAGGCCAAGCCCAATTTTCACCAAGACTGCAGCAAATCCAAGTGCCCTCCTGCGAAAATAAATGCTCAACAACACATCTTTCATCCCACCCTTGCCGAACGGCAAGGGTTGAGCAACGTGCGGAAGGAAAGGGTTATTCTCAAAAAATACTTACCTCCGCAAGAGACCCAGTTCCGGATTATTCCCAGCCTCAAAGATACTCCCCAACCTCACCAAGACCCTCTAGCCAAAAGACAAAATAGGCTCCAAAGTTTTTATGTTCGAACAATTCCTTGTCAAACAGTAGCACCTACCAAAGTCATGGCACCAACTAATGACGGGCCACCCTTGCCGAATGGCAAGGTCCATGGACAACTTGAAGGAAGACTTGCAAAAGTCCTGGTTCCAAGTCACCTATGCCGAATGGTAACCAACGTCCTAGCGCATCCACAAAGACTTACAAAGAGGCATCCACAAAGATACTTACCTCCAGAAAGGCCCAATCCCTCTTACCAAAGCCCTAGTGCTCCACAAATCACCTTGCCGAAGATCTGCCAAAAGCCAAAACAACGAAATTTAGCATCATACCGAATCTGAAAAAATACCTTGCCGAACGGCAAGGCCATGAAAAAAAAAGGGAACAATCACAGCATACTCACCTTTGCTGAACGGAGGCACACCAACTCGAGCCAAAGCAGCCGGAGCCCAGCTCCCTTGCCGAACGGCAAGGTCCGCGCGGCGCTAGAACTGCCCTCCCTCAGAATCTTGAGCAGGCCCTCATGCAGACCTAGCTCCAAGCCCTCAATACGATCTTACTAAAAGGCCCAACCCTAGCTTTCTGTTTCGTACCGAATAGGAAGAAGGACCAAGGATTTTTACCAACACCCTTGCCAAACGACAAGGGTCGCGAAGAAGGAACAAAGAGCACCAGCAAAGCTATATAAATCACAGACACCAACTGTTGAAACCCAGTTCTTACCGATCGGTACCTTTGCTGAAAAATGGCTAGGACCCAACACCAAAGAGGGTTGAAGAGTCCTGCTGATGTGATCTTGCTGAACGGCCCAAAAAGTCTTTACACTTACCCTCCAAACCCTAGCCGTTATTTATGCTGAAAGCCCACTCCAATTCACCCTTGCCGAACGGCAAGGGCCACGCTGAACCTACTTGGGCCATTTTTTTCATTTCAGCATCTCATTACCGAAACTTTGATACCCAGCCCCAATTATGACCTCCGTGCCAAAGCTACGAAGGCCCGGCTCCAACAACCTACCGAAGGCCCACTATAAGAAGGCCCCCAAGTGTAGTACCAACCCAGAAGTTACTTCTTGACCACGAACTTGGGGGACTACTGTTTAAACCATAATTAACCGAGCATATCCAGCCTCAAAACGACTAGCACCAAGGCAAACATGCTTTCTCTCCTGCCAAAGGAAGACACTCTTCCGGGGTGCCAGACACTTACCGAAGCTCCCGACTGCCGAAGCACTCGAACTGCCAAACCTAATCTCCAAGACACGTGTCACCACCACAACGATTTGCACAAAGTCCCACATTGAAACTTTGTGCAAACCACACACTTTCACTTCCCTATAAATAGGGAACAGTACCCAAGTAAAAAGGGTAACTCCTCTCTCACTTTTACTGTTACTCTGCCAATTTTACCACTCACAACTGACTTAAGCATCGAAGAGCCTTTGGCCGGCACCACACCTGTGTCCGAAGCTTAACGACTGCTTCTCCTACTTTGTCTTCTGCAGGCTCTTCCCTTGCTGAAGGTCTTCACCTTCGCCCCTGCTGAAGACTATCCACTTCTCTCTAAGTTGACCTCCCAAGAAGAGCATCAACATGCGAGACTATTTGTGGAAAAATCTCCATGGCTGGATTTCAAAATTACTCTATGTGGCAGGGAAAAAAGTGCTCATGAAACCAATTGCGGTGTAAAGTTTTGTAGTGATCCGCCTTGGAAAATATTTTGGGGCAAATGACCAGAAAAGTTGTTAGTGTCCAATTGTAGCACATTCAACTTCATGAGATTTTCCATCTCTAGGGGGATGGAGCCAGAAAGTTTGTTCGCACGTAGGAATAAGAGTTCTAGGTTGTTGTGAAGTAGTGATGGAACCGTTAAGTTGATTCTGGCTCAACTCTAGATCCACAATAGATTTCCAGTTCCCTATCTCTTTTGGAATTGTTCCGGAAAGATTATTTTTAGAGAGATAGAGAAGGGTAAGGTTTGTTAGATCACCTAATGGTGACGGGATTGGACCAGATAGATTGTTATTATCAATGCATACTTCCATTAGACAAATTTCCTAATTCTGAAGGATGAAAACCAAAAAGTTGATTGATGTACAAGTATATCATGATCAACTGTTTTAAATTTCCAAAACTTGGAGGAATGGCACCTGTTAAATAGTTTTCCTGCATGTACAACACCTCTAAATTGGAAATGTTGCCAAGAGAAGCTGGAATTGGACCTTGTAGATTGTTGGTTTGCAGAGCAAGCTCATTAAGAAAATTTAGGTGATCTAGAACATATGGTGGAAGCAATCGAAGAGGAGTTGGAGTGACGCGCGTGCAAGAGGAAATCGGGTAAGTTATAGATTTGGGCTCCAAGCTTAAAATCAGGCCCATGATCCATGACCCATCAATTTTAGAGGAACGGTGTCACGAGTAAAACACATTGCTTTGCTATGACGTATGGGCTTTTTCGAGCATTTGAGATCGTTTAGTAGCCCAAAATTCAGTTTTAAAGTTTTTACAATTTTTGGAAACTTTGTTATTTTCCTTTATTATTTTCCTTTGTTATTTTCCTTTTTTAATTCCTTTGTTATTCTTGGGATTTCTATGAGTATTTAAGCATACTTTACCCATAGTTAGGGTTATGTTTTGTTATTCCAGTTTATCAAATAAACCTTGAGGTTTCCTCATATCTTCCTAATGATTCCAAAATTACATGTTTTAGGCTAAGGTTTAGCCAATCAGTTGTTACACTGCATCATTACCTGACCGATTTCTTGAGGAATTGAGCTATTTAATCGGTTCTCATTTAGGTGTAGGAGTTGAAGATTATTTAGAAGACCAATTTCGGGTGGGATTTTCCCATAAAACTAATTATAAGAAAGGTCAAGATAGATGAGTTTGGAGGGGGAACTGATCTGAGGTGGGATTGCACCGAAGAGTTCATTCAAGCTAAGGTCAACATATTCAAGATTAGGACAAGGACAAGAATGTAAATTCATATAGTGTACCTTGTATCCCATAATTGGTGAGGTTGATCCTGTTGACACTTCCAGCAGTGTTGCATGAAATACCAGTCCAAATATTTCATGGGGTTTCATTTTGCATTTGGATTGTAACTCCATGAGGTCAGATTATTCTTGTTTGATTTTGGAAGATAGCTTTCCATTTGAGAAGAGCCTCTGCTTCAAGAGAAGAATTGCATAAGAAAAAGCAATGTTTGGCAATAAAACAGCTGACTATATACAAGATAAGGCAAGCTAGAGAGCTAAAATATGCCATGGTTTTTGTTTCTGTGTACAATCTTATATATAGTTGATGACTTTATTTATTGCTATTATTCTACATACCCTATTTCTCTTTGCAATGATCCACAAGTTTTTGTGGTTGAGACTTGAGAACTCTCTTCAATTTTCTATGTTTGAAAGTTTGAATTCAATTTTGTTGTTGAAATTGATAGAGTTGGCAGTATCCACTCTTGGTTTCTGCTGATACACAATGCAAAATACCACGTCAGAAACTTCACCAAATACAGTAATATAAGGAAGGTTCCACATCTGGTAGCATCGATATCTTTCCTAATGAAATAATTTAACATTGTTAGTATGTAGAATTTGTATGTGAAACGCTCAAGCATCTCGACTTTGACTTGTGAAATGATCAAATAGCTTGACTTTAGATATAACTTGTTGGTACCGTGACTAACCAAGCAACTAGCTAGGCTAGATCAGCCAAGTGCCATGCTCTGAGAGGTCATCACCTTAGCCAAAGAAGCCTTGCCGCAAGTCACAACTAGAGGCAATGTCAAGAATCCCACATTGGAAGGTTACAAGAGGTGGAGACTCCCCCTCACCTATAAAAGAAGACTACTCTCCACTTAGAAAAGGGTCTTGGGTCTTGGATTCTTGGGCTTTGTACCTTAGGCCTTGGGCCTTCTTCCCTTTATTTTGGGTCTAATCCCCTTGTACAAATGTAAACAAATATTATCATAATGAGAACATCCTTCTCCGTGGACGTAGCCTATCATTTGGGTGAACGAAGTATACCTTGTCTTCTGCATGCTTATTTACTTTACTTATACTGAACTTTAGTGATTGCCGAAGGAAAAGGCCCACATCTTCACACACCATCTACCACTTCACATCTATCTAAGTTGATACCCATTTTTGGTGTCAACATAACTAATCAATGAAAACTACAACTATTGTGATGTTTTCCCATTATGTATAAGGAAGTTAGGTCACTGGGTGTCAGAATGGGAAAGGTGTTTATTGGCATTATATATATAATACAAGGAAGGTTATGTTGGGAAAGGAGGAGCGAAACTGAGACCTGGGATCTGGTTGGCTATCATTAAAATGGTTCCCAAGGCCAATTCTGTTTACATGAGTGTCTTCATCATATTGTTGTTGTTCTCATCCAAAGTCGCGTTTGCCAGAGCTTCCCATTCTTCAGAAATCAGTTAGTCTCTTTCCCAAATATATATGTTTGTCTCTGATGGTGTTATTTTATGAACCTTAGGATTTAGATTATGTTAAAGAATATGAGTCTCACGTCGAAAAATTGACTAAATAAATTACAACTTATAATATGTGGTTCCACTCATAATAACACTGAGGCCTTTTGTGATAAAACCACACACCTACTAGGCTTTGTAGGTGGTTAAGTTGGGGATAATATTGGTGTCACTAGTAGTACACCGTTCACATGTCTCTTTAAAATTTAACATGGCATCAGAGGGGTTGATTGACTGCGCTTGAATTGGGCCTCTACTTGTATCGTTCACTGTTCACATGTTGGGCTTGAATGTTTACCCCTACCCCTTACTCAATACGTGGTGCTCACGTGTTGGGCTTGAATGGTCGACTTCAATGTGGACTTGGCTCCATGTGTGGCCCACTATGTGATGGTCCCACATGAGGGGGCATGTTGAAGAATATGAGTCCCACATCAGAAACTTGGGCATTGACGTGTAAGCTTCATGATGGGCCAGTCTTTCTCAAAATTGGAGACATTTGCAACCCAGGCCGGGGGGCTACGATACTAAGCCCTAGCGGCTGAATCAATGAATAATTAGAGTGGTCAACTCAGCTAAACCTAAATGCTCAAACCCTAAAGAAATAACCAAAAATTGCATCATACTTAAATTGCTAGATAAGTTTCTTCAACAAATAAAATCTATCATGTAATTTATTTATGATGACACAAGATAACACGTAATTTGTGTAAGCTATAAGTAATCTCTTGCCACAAAGGTGTGATACTTAATTAAGGAAGCTTGCATGTGTTATTTGTTAGTTTTGTGAATAAAGTTAAACATAAAACTGTTTTGTCTTTACAAATTGAGAATTGGTTTCTTGGAAAGTAATATGCTTTCTTTTTGCAAATCCTTACAGCTTTGGACACTCCCTTAATCAATTTCTCACAAATTGAAACTCTCACTGGATTGAATTTCAAACGATGGAAGTTCGATCTTGAAGTTTCCCCAGGCATAAGTGATAACAATTATGCTGTCACCCAAGACGAGCTGACCAGACCCGTTGCTAATTCCCCTGCTGAAGTTAAAAGGGTGCATGAAGCTTGGAAGATGGCGAATAAGGTTTTTCTGTTGGTTATGAAGAAGACTATTGTGGAAGCTATTTTTGGTGGAGTTCCAGAAACAAAAGTGCGAAGTAGTTTATGGAATCCGTGGAAAGGAAATTGAAGGAATTTGGCAAGGCTGAAACGAAGAACCTCATGTCTAGGCTAGCTAATACGAAGTATAAAGGAGGCAGCGTAAGAGAACATCTCATGGGACTAATGGATATTGCTGCCAAATTGAACAGGTTGAAAGTAACATATTGCTCCAACTTATCTAGTGCATATTACACTAGATTCCGTACCTTATGAGCATATGAAATCGACCTCTAACACCCTGAAGGAGGATTGGACAATGGATGACTTGATTACAATTGTTGTTCTTGAGGAGAATAGGACAAATGCTTATGGTGGTGTGGTTAACGTGGTCATTGCTAGGAAGTATGAGAAAAAGGGTGCTACAAAATCGGGAATAAAGTAGCAGAGTCAGTCTCAAAAGAATAACCCTCTTGACGTGATCCCTACCACTGAATTCAAGTGCTATTTTTGCCAGAAGGAAGGTCACATTAAGAAGAACTGCAAAAATTACAAGAAGTGGTTCGAGAAGAACAAGAACAAAGGTAATAAAGAATTAGCCCTTGTAAGTTTTGAGTCTAATTTAGTGGATATTCCTTCTGATTCTTGGTGGTTAGATACGGGTGCCTCGATTCATATAGCTCATAATGTGCAGGAATTCACAAGAAGGAGGGAACCAAGAAAGCATGAAGTTAAAGTGTTTGTGGGGAATGGAGAGTAAGTAGATGTGGAAGCCATTGGAGTAGTGCACCTGATATTGGATTCAAGATTTATTTTAGAGTTGGGTGATGTAGTTTTAGTTACCTCAATGAAGAGGAATTTGATTTATGTTTCAAGATTATCAAGACTTGGTTTTGTTTTTCAATTCAATAAAGATTGCTTTGCATTATCTCAGAATTCAAATGTTCTTGCTAGTGGTTTTCTCTCAAATGGATTATACTGTCTCAATTACAATAAAGAGGGTGAAGTTGTAATGGCTGAATCGAGTGAGGAAAGGATTAGAGGTGGAGGAACATCCACTAGGTTATGGCATAGACGTTTAGGACACATTTCAAAAGAAAGAATGAAAATTCTTGTTAAGGAACAAATTATGCCATCACTGACCTTCGGTGATGACGGAATTTGTATTGAATGTGACAAAGGAAAACTCACTAAGACTAAGAAGAAAGGTGCAACTCGCAATAGTGATCTTTTACAGATCATCCACACAGATATTTGTGGACCATTCCCTCATCAAACAATTGATGATCACTCTCGTTTTGATTATTTGTATCTCATAGCAGAAAAGTCTTAAGCTTTTGAAATGTTCAAGATTTTTTAAATTAAAGTAGAAAGGCAACTTGAGAAGAAGATCAAAATTGTGAGGACAAACAGAAGGGGTGAATATTATGGATGTTTTGATGAAGCATGACAACGAGCTGGACCTTTTGCTAGGTATCTACAAGATAATGGAATAGTTGTTCAATACACAATGCCAGGAACTTCACAACAGAATGGTGTGGTTGAGAGAAAAAATCGAACTTTGAAGGACATGGTTCGTACTTAATAGGGTGCCTAGCAAGTCCGTGCCTAAGACACCTTTCGAAATTTGGACTACTAGAAAGCCTAACTTGTGACATCTTTATGTATGGAGTTGCAAGGCTGAAGCTAGAATCTATACCCTTAAGAGAAGAAGCTCGATCTTAAAACGAATAGCTGTCATTTTATAGGTTATCCCCCAAGGACAAAGGATTTTAGATTTTACTGTCCAAATTATGGTACCTGAATTGTTGAAATTGGTTGTTCAAAGTTTATAGAGGACGAGGAGAATGCAACTAGGAATGAAGATTTTATTTTGAAGAAGAAGGTGATGTAGCTATGATCGAGGGGATCTCTGGATCCGAGAACTTAAGTAATCGTGTTTTTTTTTTTCAACACCTGCTTTATGAGAATCCTGCCTTGACCGAAAGATGTTACACCCTTGATTCCTTTAAGTGAAACTGTATTGGAAATTCTTCAGTTTGAAGAACCAGTTGATCAACAAGAACAAGCTGTCAATAATCCTGAGCTAGATAATCCACAAGAACTAGTGCAACTGAGGAGATCTGACAGACGAAGAATATTCACAAAAAATTCAGATTACATGTGCAGATTTGACATTGGAGATGAGGCTGATCCAACAAATTTTAAAGAAGCTATAGAGAGTCAGAATGCAGACAAATGGAGGGATTCGATGTTGAATAAACTTGAAAGCATGAAGAATAATCAAGTATGGGAATTAGTTGAACCTCATAAGATCCTCGAAATGGGCATTTAAAGCAAAGAAGGATAAGGATGGAAGAATCGAAAGATTTAAGGCTAGATTGGTAGCAAAAGGATTCATCCAAAAGGAGGCAATTGACTACATTGAGACGTTTTCTCTAGTTTCCACTAAAGATTCTTTCCGCATCATTATGGCTTTGGTAGTGCATTATGACCTGCTTTTACATCAAATGGATGCCAAAATTGCCTTCCTGAATGGTGAACTTGAAAAAGAAAATTTTATGAAGCAACCTAAAATGTTGCAAAGGAGGGAAAAGAGCACATGGTTTACAAACTTGGTAAGGCAATTTATGGACTAAAGCAAGCAAACAGGAGGTGATATTTCAAAATCCATCAAACTGTTTCATCTTATAGTTTTGAAGAGAACATAGCCGATCAATGCATTTATCTGAAGAAGTGTGGGAGCCGATTTATTTTTCTGGTGCTGTATATTGACGATATACTTTTGGCTACAGATAACGACAACTTACTGAAAGACACTAAGGAGCTACTTTCAAACAATTTTGAGATGAAGGATTTGGGAGAAGCCTCTTTTGTGTTAGGCATTGAAATTCAGAGAGATCGAGCTCGAAGCCTCCTAGGCCTGTCACAGAAAACATACATTGAAAGGATACTCAAGCGTTTTGACATGAGAATGTGTTATGGATAGAAAGTTCCGTTAGCTAAAGGAGATTTAAAGAAGGAGCATTGCCCCAAGAATAAAGAAGAATAAGATGAGATGAGGAACAAGCCATACGCTTCTCTAGTTGGAAGCATTGTGTATGCACAAGTGTGTACAAGGCCAGACCTAGCCTTGTGCATTAGCAAGATAGGAAGATTTCAGTCCAATCCGAGAATGCAACATTGGATAGCTGGAAAGAAGATTATGAGGTACCTACAGAGAACAAAGGCTTATATGTTGATTTACAAATGCACAGAGAATTTAGAGCTTGTTGGTTATGTTGATGCGAATCTTGGAAAAGCAGAGGATGCTTACATCTCTAATTCAGGTTTACTTTCAAGATAGCAGGAGTAGCTGTTGCTTGGAAGAGTGCTATACAATCTACTGTTTCGAGTTCAACCATGTTTTCATAATACAAAGCTTGCTATGAAGCCACTTTTCATGCAATATGGCTAAGGAATTTTATTAAAGACATTAAGGTGGTGGACTCGATTACTAGACCAATATAGATGTATAATGATAACACTACGGCTGTTTTTCACTACATGAACAACAAGATGTCGTCTGGACTTCAACATATTAACAAAATATTTAATAGTGAAGGAGAAGGTAGCAGACAAACTAATCAGGTTTGATCATATCATAACTCAAGATATGATTGCAGATCCGTTCACAAAGTTTTTGCCTTCAGAAGATTTTCTAAGACATGTTGAGAACATGGGATTATTTCCTGGCTTTGATGTTGCAATATGATAAGTTCATAATTTCATACAATTGCATGCCTTCTTTACTTAGTGACTTTGTTTAGTTTCTCTTTATTTTGAGTCACTTATCTCTGTTTGTGTGTTTTGTAGGTTAAGACAATAAGAAATCAAATTTGATGCAGTCCATGCATGTTAAGGGCTGATTGGGATGAGAGCAAACCCAATTTGAGGCAAGCTTAAAGACAAACCCAATTTGGGTCACACTCCTTGTCAGTCTAGTTTCGTAGGTCATCTTGCAAGCCTCATTTCAGCAATCTACACAGGTTAGATGAGGAGACATCCTCAATAGAAATCGTTCCGATGGGTGTCTATTTAAATATATCCAAATTTCAGCCCCATTGGATAAATCTAGAGCCCTCATCACGTCATAGACCCAACCAAGTTCACAGAATAGTCATAGTTGGCTGCCATCACATTTAATGTGGCTACATCCCTGTAGCCACGTGCTACACATAAGAACAGCCACACATGGGAGAAAAATCACCTTATGAACTCAGAAAGATGAACAAAAGTCAAGCTTGCAATGAAGAGACTGAGAATACTCCACCAAAAGCATTTATTGGGCGCTGGAGCAGTTGGCATTTATTGGGCAGTTGGGCAGCAACTAAGAGGAGTGTGCTTCACCAGCCAAAAGGGAAGACAAATTTGGCACTCTATAAATAGAGAGTTGCACACTCATTCAAGGGACACAGATACATTCATTCCATCCATTACTCTCATACACACAGATTCCATCATTCACCACAAAGAGAGAAGATAGCTAGTTGCAAAGGAGGGAGAGCTTGGAGCTGTCCTGTGAACTGCCTTGTTGCCACCAGCTAATTCTTCTCTTCTCTTTATCCTATCTATGTATATCTTATTTTATGTATTCATAATTATGTCTAACTAATCCATTTAGTTAGAGCTTAGGATGAAACTCTAGTCATGAATATTCAATGTATGTATGATTTCATAGTTAGTTGAATTCCTTGCTTTCATTATCAAGTTATTAACCTCTAGCTTATTATGTGCTTGATGTATGTTTTCTTGAAGTAGCTAACTAGGATTTTATGCATCTAGCACATGTCTCTTTTCACAAGCAACACATCAATGGCCTAAGAATCATTTAAGGGGTTAATAACCATAGGTTGACTAGGACAGATACCATGTTCTAGGACTTATGTGATTATCATATTCTCAAGGAGCTTAATGACTCTTGTATGCTTTATTCTAAGTAGATTTCATGCTTAGGTTGCATATTAGAGATCACGTATTGTGTAGATACCATGCATATTCACATGCCTTAGGAGAATCAAGCATCCCTAACCTAGATACCATAGGCTCGTATGCGATAATCCATTGTTGATGGAGCTTGAGTCAATTTGTATGCATTCATAACTTGGATCAGAAGGCTAGTGGTGGATTCCAAGTCTTTAACACCTCTCAATCATTGTTTCACAACTTTTGGATTGCTGTTAGTGTTTACTTTCCAACACTTTCTTGTTTTCATTTCAACAAAAAAAACCCCTCATTTCGAGTGCGTGTGTGGTGCTAGGATTTGTTTTTCTGTTTTGCTGCATTCTAAGTAATTTAACTTGGAACCAAGTTACCATTCTCCATGAGATCGACCTCGTATTGACATCAGCTATACTATAAATGGTTTGTGCACTTGCGAGAATTAAAGTTGTTATTTTTAATAACTCATTTTAGTTGTTAAGAATAGGCTCAACACAATCTAGTGGGAGTCTTGTTCCCATTATGATATTTTACTAGTTTGTTTATTTTGTTGTTTTCTAGAGTGACGGATTTGCATTTAAGGATGTTAATTTGGTTGACAATTTTATTTATTATTGAATAAATTCTATCATTTTGACTATATAGCTGTTTAAACTTCTTATGCAATTTTGTTTATGCATGTGAGTTTATGGTCTCTGTTGAGACATTATTGTTTTAATAACATTGCAGATTGACTCCTGCTAAATCGTAAAGGGAGTACATGTACTGAAAAGCATAAAGATTTACACTACAGATCAGTACATATTAAGGTTCGTGTTTGTAGGCGCTTCATGTGTTTTGAGATTGCATTATTTGATTATAGATGGCCTGTTTTTAATAGAGAGAGCAGTGCTTATCCATAGTTTGTTTTGTCTAATCGCTTTTCATTGTAGCTTGAGGGGAAGGATTTAACTGTTTTAAACTCATGGCCAATAAAGATTATCAAAACTTTCGGAATAGAGAAGCTTAGTGCTTTAGTGGTTGATCTAGTGGGAGAATGTTATGTTTTCCTATTAAGATCGGTGCATTAGATATTAAGTTATATCAGGTTTTGATAAGAGTTTAAATTAAGTTATACTTTGAGGCCCAAAACCTTGTGAATAAGGAAAGGTTTAGAGGCCTATTAAGGGTCCTATTTATTTCCTTTTTTGCGTGAACCGTTTTGGTGGGCTTGGAAGATTAGTCAAGTTGGCTCTCGATGATGAGTAGAGACGACTTAAGCTTAAGGCCCTACTCTCATCAGACTCGTTCTCTAACTCTATTCTCATAAAAAAGTGAGAGCTGAAACAGATTCTGAGAAAGAGCAAAAGTCTTGAGCCGTTCTTGTTCTTGCTAAGATATTGCTGATGCGGTTGAATGAGTTCAAAGGTCGTATACTCAAGAAAGATGGCACCAGGTATGTCTCTACATATTTCAGATTGTGTGAAAGATTTTGAACACATATATTGTAGAAATCTAACATGATGGACTCACTGCAATATGGTAAACAAGGTAATTGTAGAACTGATATGGAGCTTATGGACTTCAATGAAACTCTATTGTTTATAAAAATAAAAAAATTTAAAAAAAAATTGTGCTTGCCTGTTTGTTTGATCATAATTAGATGGATTATGATTTCCAATTCAACTACTTTTTTGTGAGGATGATATTAAATAGAGAATAAATTTAGTTTGGATTATTGAACTACAATGCAAGGTGGGGCCTCACAGGGAATGCCCATTTTCTGAACACTATCGTTTATCATTATTGATCAATTGTTTAGCATGGTTGGTTATTAATCCAGTTCTTTTTATTGTCATTGCAGAAGAGAAAATCGGTTGGGAGTTTCGGAAGATGAAGATATTAGCCTGGCAAAGAAAATAAAAGCATATATATGGATGTGGTTGATCAAGTTTGGTGGGAAAATAATCTTAGATGATCTTATAGTTCTCTCTCTATGGTTGTTCTTTTAGGGTATAAGTTCTTTGCTTCTCCTTTCTTTATTGGCCAGGGCTACTTATTTACTTACGTATATTGTATGATGTTAGTACTTTTCCTTATTTCAAATGACCAAGAAATTTGGTGAATGACTGAATTCATCATTTGAAGTCGTTGAAGTTTAAGATTGCTAGTCTATGAATTATAATTGGTAGAGCAGAACATATTCAAATTCATAAATTGCATCATATATGGACTGCGTTAGCCGTCGGAAAAATTAACTACTACAAAAATGAAATAGACGACGGGAATTCATTGTTGTAGGGTTTGAAAACAGTCGTTATATTGACCGCCATCTTTTCAAGTGTTAAACCACAATGGTTTTTCACCGTCGTTGTCTTGTAAAGATGAAGGTTTTTATGATAACCGTTGTTGTTTTGAAATAAAGACGACGGTTTTATTTTATTTTTAAAAGCGTCGTTTAAGATTTCTATAGATGACGTTTTTGTTGAAACCCATCGTGCATTAACTGAAAAGAAGACTGTTTTTTAAAACCAACGTCTATTATCCCCAAGATGACTGTTTGTTAAAATACTAGTCGTCTATCAACTATAAAGATGACAATACTATCGTCATGTATCAACTGCAAACCTGACGTAGTGATTTATATATTTTTTTTTTTCCGCTTCCAATGATTCTCTACAACGATTTTAAATAGAAAAACCATAATGCTTTGTGAACAATAAATTCATGTCCAAATATGCTATTACCCACGCCATACATATATACTCAAATTGTTTCTTTCTTAAAACTTAAAACTTGAAGATTCAATAGCAATTAAATAATTTACCAACATACTCAAATTATTTGTTTCATAAAACTTGAAAATTCAATAGTAAGACATAGCAGTTCTATATCCAACAGACATGAGCACAAGCTCCTAAAGCATATTTGGCATGCTTAACGGGTTCTCCTTTGGTCTACCAGTTTACAGATATCTCAATCGTTCGAATTTTGAACCATTTGCATAGGTAAACCACCTCAACATCAAAGCACCACCTGCAGAAAATCAACTTCTAGTCATTCTTCCCGTAAAAGAATCTATAATATCAGGGAAGCACAGAAACACATAATTTCATTTTTGTCATCATTCCAAGCTGCTTTTCCAACACAAAAGTTATTTGCTTCTAAACATCAAATTGACATACATATCAGATTCTCAACAGCAAAAGGATAACAGAGAAGCAGTAAAAAGATACATGTATTCACTATTGCAAATTGCTATTTGAAGTGCAGTTACCTGTTCAAATAGAATGCTATCTATACAATCTAAAGTGGAACTACCTGTTCAAACGGATGTTAGTCAAAGTCAATCACAGAAGATTCTTTCCCTTAATTTTGTCTTCATCTTGAACCGTTTGATGCACTCTGTCGGATGTCGCCACGTGTCACTTTTTGACAACTAATCCGATTTTGATGAGTCACACGCCACATGGGTGAATTATGGGGCCCACAATTTAATCCACTGAACCCTAATTATTTTCTCATCCAATGGAATTTATTGCACCAAATTTCTTTGTCTACACATAAATAGGGAATTTTCTTCTCACCAAGATAGTAACTGCATTCACAACAACATGTTTGCAACAATATCATTAGAATAGCTAAAACTACGGATGAGAAACTCCAAATTCATGGTGCTCATGATGTATAAACTAAAAAACAAAAAGTAAAACTTAACATTTTACTTTGTAACGACACCATGTGGTATGTACTCAGATAAAAGCTAGCTCAAGTTAAAGAGAGAAAGTAGATATTTAGAAGCTAGCTCAGGTCTAGACCTTGCATAATTTAGAGAAGTCCATGGAACTTCTGCCACACAGAACAGAGCAATCTCAGCAATATGGCTCACTTATCTTATCCGTTTCTAACATACGCTAGACATGATTATCAGTATTGGTACAATACAAGCATTTTTAATTTGAAGTGGAAAATCAGAAAAGGAAAAATCTCAGACAAGAAAGCTAATAATCCATTTCTGTGTTGCACAGATATGTTACAAGATATGCAAAACAATACGACGATATGACAAGTATAAAAGATTAGTAGATACAGGGATAAGACAATAAAGAAATATATAGTTAAATATTAATTGTTTATTTTTTCTTTAACATTTGAAACTGGCCCAAGATAGCTTGTTTTAAAGAAAAAAAAACATTCTGAACACTTCTCCAGAAGGCCATGAACCCATCCGAGGTCATCTTGGGCTCCAAAAACACAATAAAAGCCCAAAACGTCACTATTCCAGCACTGCACATTGCTCCTTTATTTATTCGCCAGGAAATCATCGCCTAGTGTAAAAGTCTGATATTTTGATACTATCAAGCCAACTGACTCACGAACGTCCTCCAACTAAAATTACTCCAAAATTCATCCATTTGACCACGTTTTGCTTCAGAAGAAGTAGAAAGTCCTATATTGAAAATACAATTTAAAGTATCAAAATTCTTCCAAAATGTTAACCAAAATATACTAAGAATAGGGTTAAATATACAATATAAAATCGACTCATCATGGTTTTCCAATTTTATAGTAGTTAAATTCAGCACAAGGTTTAGTTCTAGAAATTAAAATGTGACGTGAATTTTCTACAACAGGTGGTAATAATAGGATAATCTGGTTAAACCAGTTACTCTGATACAAAACAGAACAATACACATGCTAAAGTTGATATGAAAAGAAGTACTCAAATGACTACAATATGCATATGGCACACGCAAATCAGATCGTAATGAGTTGTTCAAGGGTAATATCATTGATCTTCTGTTGGAAGAAGCAGTTGGGAACGATAACGCTTGAGAAACCATGTGCATTGTTGGCCTCGATTGTGGATGGGAATGTCTGCATGCAATTGATAGACTTGCAATGGTTATGAGTTCATCTTGAAGTTGAGGTGTAGGAGGGGCAAGGCTTTGGTCCAACACATCCTTGAGAAATATGTTTGCATAGGTGGTGGATGGAAACGAAAAGGAGGAGACGAAATCACCTAGCTGCTTTCCCATAATCACTTCCAGTGCCAGCACTCCAAAGCTATAAACATCACATTTTTCTGTTACCTTCATTGTATAAGCCAGCTCTGCGTGTAAATTAAGGAAGAACAAACCATTAATATAGATATATCCTGAATTAATTTTTCTAGAAAAAAACTTCTATATTTTAGTATTTTACCTGGTGCGACATATCCATATGTGCCTGCAAGAGCAGTCCAATTCGACGAGTCTGGATTCAAAAGCTTAGCAGTGCCAAAGTCCGAAAAGCAAGGCTCATAGTCACAATGCAGCAAAATGTTGCTGCTTTTATGTCTCGATGCACGATAGGTGGTGCGCAATCATGATGCATATAACACAAAGCATGAGCTACACCCTTTACTATTCTCACCCTTGTGCTCCAGTCCAAATTTTTAGCTTCATGCTCGTTGCTCAAGATTGCAGCCAAGTTACCTTTTTCCAGATACTCATAGACCAAAAACGAGTGATGGGAACTTGAACAAAAGCCAAGAAACTTCACCGTGTTTCGGTGTCGTATCTGAGTTAAGGCCCTTATTTCATTAAAGAACTCCTTCCGAGATGCCTCCTCACCATCAAGTGTTTGATGGAATTTCTTCACTGCAACAATGCTGCCTGATGGCAGCTTTGCCTTGTACACACTTCCCTGTCCTCCCATCCCGATGCAATAGACGACATCAAAAACATTGGTTGCTTTCATTATTTCTTCATACATTTTTCTTCCATCAAAACTAGAGATTGAAAAAAAGTTTTCATGCATATATTTCTATTTCTGGGTCTTTCTTTCTTCTTTTTCTTCTTCTTCTTTCAATCAAAGCAAATGTCAGGAAAGCTAGTAAAAGTACTCCCAAGATAGGGAAAATGATTAAGAACGCCTTCTTTGAGGTATGCTTATGTTCCACAGAATGATTGCAGGGCTTTAGTCCTCCAACATTGCCACACAATCCGTTATTCCCTTCCATTCGAGCATTTTGAAATGCTTTGTTGTTGGGGATTGGACCCCGCAGTTGATTGTAGGATATGTCGATGTCATTCAGACCATGCATTTCATCAAAACTTGTTGGAATGAGACCGGTAAGATATTTTGGGAAAGATTCAACGTCTCCAAGCTTTGCATACTGCTCATTTCTGATGGTATCTTACCCTCAAGTGAGTTGTGACTTAGATCAAGTTGGAACATATGAAACAACTTCCCCAACTGAAACGGAATTTCTTGACTGAACTTGTCATTGCTCAAATTCAAATAGTGTAATTTGAGCAAGTCACTAAAAATGCCTGGAATTGACTCATTGAATTTGTTGGTGGACAAGTCAAGATATTCAATATAAGTCAACGATCCAAATTCTGAGGGTATAGGACCCCAAAGTTGATTGCCATTCAACATCAATTTCACCAAAGAAGTCAATCTCCCAAATTTCTTTGGGATCACCCCGACTAAACTGTTGGAAGAAAGATCAAGTTCATGAATTTGGGTTGCATGGCTAATCTCAGGTGGTATACTACCTGTAAGCTTGTTCCCAGTAATTCGTAGTGTTGCTAATTGCGGACACTGTCCCCAGAGCTGTGAGATTTCACCGTGCAAGTTATTGTGCCTCAGGTCAATAAAATTAAGATTTGGATAGGCACCAAAGTCTTCAGATATATTGCCCGTTAGTTGGTTACCTTCAAGATGAACTCTCACTAAGCTCTTGCAATTTTGCAAACCTTTGGGGATTGTACCTATGACATGGTTGGAGCTTACTGTAAAGTTTTGTAGTGATCCGCCTCGACAAATATTTTGTGGCAAATAACCAGAAAAATTGTTAGTGTCGAGTTCCAGCACAGTCAACTTCATGAGATTCCCAATCTCTTGGGGGATGGAGCCAGAAAGTTGGTTATTGTTTAGGAATAAGATTTCTAGGTTGCTCAAGTTACCAAGTGAAGTGGGGATGGGACCATTGAGTTGGTTCTGGTTCAACTCTAGCTCCACAATGGATTCCAAGTTCCCTATCTCTTTTGGAATTGTTCCAGAAATATTATTTTCAAAGAGATAGAGACGGGTAAGGTTTGTTAGATCACCTAATGATGACGGGATTGTACCAGATAGATTGTTATCATCAATGCATAGTTCCACTAGAGACTTCAAATTTCCTATTTCTGAAGGGAGAGAACCAGAAAGTTGATTGTTGTACAAGTATATCATGATCAGCTGTTTTAAATTTCCAAAACTTGGAGGAATGGCACCTGTTAAATAATTTTCCTGCATGTACAGCACCTCTAAATTGGAAAGGTTACCAAAAGAAAGCTGGAATTGGACCTTGTAGATTGTTGGTTTGCAGAGCAAGCTCATTAAGAAACTTAAGCTGACCAATTTCTTGAGGAATTGAGCCATTTAATTGGTTCTCATTTAGGTGCAGGGCTTGAAGATTATTTAGAAGACCAATTTCTGGTGGGATTTTCCCAGACAACTGATTATAAGAAAGGTCAAAATAGATGAGTTTGGAGAGGGAACTTATCTGAGATGGGATGGCACCAAAGAGTTGGTTCAAGCTGAGGTCAATGTATTCGAGATTAGGGAGCGACAGGAATGGAAATTCATGTAGCGTACCTTGTATCCCAGAATTGGTGAGGTTGATCCTGTTGACACTTGCAGCACTGTTGCATGAAATACCAGTCCAAACGTTGCATGGGATTGTATTTACTTTTGGATAGTAAGCCCATGAGGTCAGATTATTCTTGGTTTGATTTTGAAAGCTAGCTTTCCATTTGAGAAGAGCCTCTGCTTCAACTGAAGAAGCAAAAGCAATGTTTGGTGATGAGAACAGCTGGACATACGAGATAAGGCAAGCTAGACAGCATAATAAATAGAGATATTTAGTAATATACCCATTCTTAGCACTAAAACTATAAATAAACCCTACATCATTTCATTTTTATAAACATACCAAAAAAAAACCCAAAAAATGACAAATAGTACTATTAAATTTAATTTTAATTATTAAATTACTTTGATACCCTATTGAGTGTTTTGGGCTTTTTTATGAAATTTTGGGTTGGGTTTGTTTTAAGAAATCAATGGCAATTTTATAATTTAAAAGAAGTTAAAAGTCTTTTTGTTATGTTATAAATGGACTTTGGGTGTGTTTATAAATTCCATTTCATATAGGGTTTTTTTATAATTTGGGCTCTTATATTGGGTATATTAGTGAATCTCCCTAATAAATATGTCATTGTATTTTTGTTTCTGTATACAATCATGTATTTGATGGCTTTATTTATAGCTATTATTCTACAAGCACTGATTCCGTTTTCCACAATATATCCAGCGATCGACAATTTTTTGTGGTTGAGATGGCTTGAGTTGAGACATCTCTTTCACTTTTCTTTCTAAAAGGTAAGGTGGTATGTTAATTAGTCATCGTCTTATAAATGCAATGTTTGAATTTTGTGGTTGAATTTAGAGTTAGCAATAACTTGGATGCTTGACAATGTTCATTCTTTGAATTTTGGCTGTTGAATAATGTTAAATAAGATCGAAAACTTAACGAAATAAAATACAATATTGTATAAGTGCATGGTTCCACAATTAATAGTATAGAAGGTTTTCTTACTCATATTATAGAGTAGGCATAATTCATGTTGCAAAGGAGGAGAGAAACTTACCTGGCCAAAGTTGTTTACATGATGACTCTCAGCATGTAAGGGATTGTGAGGGACAGGGTTAAAATTAATAAAATTGAAACTATGGGGACCAAAGTGGTAAAATCAGTAAACCACACGGACAAAAAAATACTTTCTACTTTATTTATTGTATGTCTCGTATTTGATTTTTATATGAGATTGTAAGGATATGTTTTGTAAGATGAACAACGGGCTGTAGTATTTTATGCAAAAAATTATGGACTCAGGGCACACCACGATATGCTGAAGACAGTCGATGCAGGAACTGAAGCATGTGTTACAAGCCAGAACTCAGTTTTCTTGTACGAAAGGATGGTAGATTTACCTTGTACACACTTATCTGTCCTCCCTTGGCGGTGCAATAGAGGACATCGAAACCATTGGTTGATTTCATGATTTCTCCATACATTTTTCGTCCGTCAAAATTAGGTATTGAAAAGAAAAAGAAGTCTGGAATTGACTCATCGAATTCGTGGGTGGAAAGATCAAGATATTCACTATCAGTTAATGATGTCCAAATTCATAGGGTATAGGACGCCAAAGTTGATTGCCATTCAACTTCAAATTCACCAAAAAATGTCGATCTCCCAAAGTCCTTTGGGACTACCCTGACTAAACGATTTGGGGAAAGGTCGATTTTCTACACCTCAGTTAAAGTCAATGTCTTGCGTTTATTCACGCATTTAAATGCAAATGAATTTTCTTGTTGAATTTTGATCAAATTGATACACTTCTTTTTTGTTAGAAGAAATTGATAGTTGATGCTTGACAATGTTCATATTTTGTTTTTGACTAAAATGTATCACATTGGAAAATTGACAAAAGTGGTTTGAAACGTGCAAATTCCTTGACTGTAAGGTTCATTTGGGACACGCTTTTGACAAAAGAGCCTTATACCATGACTTTAGGGGCTCGTTTGGGACTCGCTTTTAACAAAAGCGCCTTTATTATAAAAAGTTGAAAATTTTCCATAAGAAATCGAAGTACACTTAGGATTGTGCTTACTAAAAATGTTTTTCCAAAAAGTGCTTCTACGATCCGAATATTCTTTTCTTTCTTTATGTCAACCTTGTCAAAAGTACTTTTAGCCTTTTCAAAAGCACTCCCAAAACAAATCTTTTAGGCTAATCAGTCGAAACTAGTCCTACAACTTGTGTGGTGTTTACTAGTGTACTATATACCAGACTATCTATCATAAAACTTTTTAAGTTTTTTTCAATTCTTTCCTACACCTCAGTTAAAGTCATTGTCTTACACTAGCCCCTCTGCAAGCGCTTTCGCGTATGCGAGAATTTTTATTTATTTTTTATTTATTTATTTTAGCATTAAAAAATATAATGAGTAGTTGTGTTCCATAAAAATATGATCCATTATCTTATTTTTCTTTTAATTTTAATTTTAATTTTTTTTAATATGCAAAAGTGTGAATTTACCATATTATCCTCATTTAATTAATAATTTCAATTCTTGATGGTTACATTAACCAATGACATTTTCTGGTATTTTGAATGTTTCACCATTCTATGCATTTTACTTTATATATATATATATATAGATTTCTCCATAAATGTAATGCAAATTTTGAATTTTCTTGTTGAATTTAATTAATGAAATTGGCAGAATAGTTAACATCTTGGTTATTGAAGAATGTAAAATACCACGTTGGAGACTTAACCAAATAGTATGTAGGCGCTTCTCATTCATATTATAGCTTAGGCATAATCTATCTTATTTGAAATCAGTGAAAACTATGTGACAGCTACAACTTATTTGAAATCTCTCTCTCTCTCTCTCTCTCTCTCTCTCTCTCTCTCTCTATATATATATATATAGGGGGCAAATCCATGGCACTATATTTTTGTCACAAGTTTTCAACCATTAGATTAGAATGGATTGAATGGTTGAGATTATGTTTCATTAATTACTTAAATTAAATTAAATCTCTAAGAGTGTTGCTAAACGAACCCTAAAATTAACTGAGTACACTCTATGATCTAAGTGCACCCTAATATTTAAATCAAATTATAAAATTAACTCAGTACACCCTATTTAACTACCAAAAACACCCATGGTACACCCTAATACACTGTATCACACAACACCTAACCCATTCATGAGTCCAATTTTACTATTACCAAATGCCATGTGCCGACATGTTTCCCTTCTATTTTTTTGACATGTGGTAAACCACTTAACAACAATTAAACCTGTCAAATCGACCTCCCATCATCCCCCCACCCAGCCAACCCCATCCTTCCTCCTCCGACTTAAGCCCTCTCGCATCCAACCCAACCCTACCACCACCACCCTTCTCTCTCTCTCTCAGCCCAACTCCACCCTTCCCCTGCTTATCGCCAACCAACCCAGACCTGGCGAGCATAAGATTCTAATAAGCGCGTAATATCGTGTTGGAACCCATCTCCCTTCAACAAGTGGAAGAAGGAAAATTCCAAAGTGGATTTGTTTCTTAGACTGTTGAGGTTGCTATCAACCCCCACGGTATCTAATTAAGAAGAAATAGGTTGTATTGGAGTTGTTGGAAGTTGGTGTTTATGGTGCAAACAGCAACATAATTGTCACTAGATTCATCAGAGGGTGAGGAGCTGGAGTTCTAGTGGGCAAGTGTAAGAGCCGTTTGGGAATATGCTCACTTGAAACCACCAACACCGTAGATGAACATCAAATGATTATTGTTTTGGGTGGGTTGAATGCATTAACCAAGTCTAATGGACGAACGCCACATACACATGGAAGATTCTGACTCATTGCAAAAAATTTAGAGCAAATAAGATAATTTGGATGAGAGAGAGAGAGGGAGGGACGGTGGTGGTGGGGTTAGGTTGGATTCATAGCGTTCAACATCACTCCATCGAATATTAGGGTTGGATATGATGAGTAAGGTGTACTTATTAAAATTACATATGCTTCACAATTCAATATATCCTTTTTGGTCATTTTATATTATGGTAAATTAGTAATTCAATAAATAGTTTGATAGTAGGGTGTACTAAGTTAATTTTAGGGTTCGTTTAGTATCACTCATCTCTAATGCCAAGTAAATTTCATTTTATTAATTAGTTATGATAATCCCGAAAATTACTCAATTATCTTTCCCCTCTTTGTTCTCTTATCATTTTCTCTCTTCTCAATTAATAACCTGTGAAACCTCACCATCACCTTCCCCTTGCCACTGTCATCTACACCAACCGAGCATTCTTCCACGACATAGAAAATCTGTCTCAAGCTACCAATATTGAAGAGAAAATAAGATATTAATATTTAACCAAAAAAGAAAAAGCCTAGATTTGTTGCAATATTTCTTCTCTACCGTTTGGTTGATCTAACTTTGTGTTTCTCTCTCTCTCTCTCTCTCTCTCTCTCTCTCTCTCTCTCTCTCTCTCTCTCTCCCTGTTTTTTTTTTCTAACATCTTAATGGCTTACGATCTTTTATTCATTATGATTAATAATAACATTAAAAACTATATGGCAAGACAGTTTGCTGTGCAGTTCGTTGTGCGTGTGTGGGTGGGGTGCAATCCCCAAGCCTTTACTTTGAGAGTCATATATCTATATATAACAACTATAAAAAACTCAAAAAAAAAAAAAAAAAAAAAAAAAAAAAAAAAAAAAAAGACAAAAAAAAGTAAAAAAGATAGAGAAGAAAAAGAATATGAAACTTGTAAAGCTTTAGAAGAAAGAGGAGGATGGGAAAGTCATTAACTGAAGAATTCTAGAGGATGGAGAATGATGAAATAGGAAGATTTTATAAAACATTGATTGAGGATACAGAAATAAGAAAGAAAAAGTCAATTAATATATATTTTTAATATATATTTTTCTTAAAAATATATAATTAGTTTAGTTAATCTTAGCCATTTAATCCATTTCAATCTAATGGTTGAAAACTTGTGTCAAAACTTGTGTCAAAAATATAGTGCCACGGATCCGCCCCATATATATATATATATTGTGTGTGTGAAAACAAGGACTTATTTGAAATCTCTCTCTAGAACAGCTGTATATGTATACATTGATCAATTGTTTAGTGTGATTGGCTATTACAACATGCCTTATTTCTCTTTCCACAACAAATCCAGCAATTTACAAGTTTTTGTAGTTGAGACTCCAGAAGTGTCTTTCACGTTTCTTTCAAAGTTAAGGTGGTTTGCATTGCATGGGAGAAGTCTTTGAAGTCTTTCCTGTTATAAAAATTATAGTTTTCCTCTTTTCGTATAAGCCAAACACAAAATCCTTTATGATGCAGCACAAACAAATAAGGTTTCAAACGAAAACCTTGAGTAACAAGGAAAGTGGAATCCACCAGAAATTAAGAAAAACTCTCTTTGATTAATTTGATTAAAATCTGAACTGCCGAAAAACGTTAGACGAACCCGTCTAAATACACAACTCTCAACCCTTGTAACTGCTAGGGGAGTTATTACAATAAAACTGAAAAACAGAATTAATTCGGAGACTTAACTACGTAACTCCGAAACTGAAAAAAAAACAGAATTTATTTTGGGAATTAACTATGTAACTCCGAAACGGAAAAACAGAATTTATTTGGAATTAACTTCGAACTTTGAATGCAGTTTTGAAAGGCCAAACGACTCCAGAATGCCAAAATCCATCGTACATCACAGCAAAGCTGTGAGTTTGACTCGTGGCATCGTTCCCTTTCCGAAATGGTATTTTGCTTCCTAATCGGAGCTCGAACGAAATTCTGCAAATTCCCACCACGTCCCTTTTCTTGCTCAACCGCGATAAAATCTGCCATCTGTTCTACATCAGTCCTCTCCACCTCCGAAGAACTCGACCCCGAGTTATGATCTGGATAAAGAACCTCATCTTCACGGAATTCATATAAATCTGCAACATTAAAAATATTGGAAATTCCCATGGAATCCGGTAACTCAATAACATAGGCATTATCATTGATCCGTTTGAGCACTTTGTAAGGACCATATTTCTTCGGTTTAAGCTTGCTGTAAGTGCCAACTGGAAACCTCTCCTTCCTCAGAAATATCATCACAGAATCGCCTTCTTGAAACACTTTAACACGTCGATGCCTATCAGCAGCAGCTTTGTACTTAGCATTTGTTTGCTCAAGTTTCTGCTTGACCTCATCTCGAACGGCTACCACTTCCTCAACCAAATTTTTCGCTGCCATACTGGTTTGCTTGCCTCTAGGCAGTTTCACCAAATCTACAACATGGTTAGGTATAGCAGTATAAACAATGGAAAATGGAGACTTCCCAGTAGCGCTATGGACTGCACTGTTGTATGCAAACTCCACCTGCGGTAATGCATAATCCCATTGTTTCGGCTTCTCTCCACAGACGCTTCGCACCATATTGCCCAATGTTCGGTTTGTAACCTCAGTCTGGCCATCAGTTTGGGGATGGGCAGTGCTGTTACGATTCAAAGTAGTCCCAAACAGTCTCCACAAAGTGATCCAAAAATGACTCAAGAACTTGGTGTCACGATCAGATGTAATGGATGTAGGAACCCCATGCAAGCGAACAACCTCCCTGAAAAACAGTTTGGCTATATTTGATGCATCGGCAGTCTTTTTGCAGGCTATGAAATGCGCCATTTTTGAGAACCGATCAACCACCACAAATACAGAGTCCACTCCCCTTTGTGTTCGGGGCAATCCGAGGACAAAATCCATAGCAAGATCCTGCCAAATATCGTTAGGAACTGGTAATGGCATATATAATCCAGTGTTTTGTACCTGCCCCTTCGAAGTTTGACAAATGTAGCACTTGCGCACAATAGTTCCAACATCACGTTTGAGCTGTGGCCAGTAAAATCCCTCCTCCATCAATGCAATTGTTTTGTCACGGCCTAGGTGGCCACTCAACCCTCCACCATGCAAGTCCCGAATGAGCTTCTCCCTTAAAGAAGAAACTGGAATACACAACTGGTTGCCTTTGAACAAATAACCTTCATTGAGAAAGTAATCTGCCATTGGCTCTTGATTAGTGCACTTAATCCAAATTTCCCGAAAATCATCGTCACCTGCATATAATTCCTTCAGACATTCAAACCCCACAACTTCTTGAGTCAGCGTGACTAATAATGAAGCTCTCCTACTCAGCGCATCTGCCACACGATTGGTCTTGCCGGAAGTATGCTTGATAACGAACGAAAATTTCTGCAAAAAAGTCATCCATCTAGCATGCATTTTATCAATATTTTTCTGGCTGTTAATATACTTCAACGCTTGATGATCTGTAAACAAAACAAATTCCTTCTGGATAAGATAGTGCTCCCATTGCTTCAAAGCTCGAACAACCGCATAGAACTCTTGGTCATAAGTACTCCACTTTTGACGTGCATCGCTCAACTTTTCAGAAAAGAACGCAATTGGCCGCTTGTCTTGTGAGAGCACAGCTCCGACTCCCACACCGCTGGCATCACATTCAACTTCGAAAACTTTCTCAAAGTTTGGAAGAGCTAGAACCGGTGCGGTGCAAAGCTTTTCTTTTATTTCTGCAAAGCTTCTCTCTTGCTCCTCTCCCCAGCTGAACCGGCCCTTCTTCAAACATTCTGTGATAGGTGCAGCAACGGTGCTAAAATGTTTCACAAATCTTCTGTAAAAGGTGGCCAAGCCATGGAAGCTTCGAACTTCAGAAACTGTCTTTGGAGCTGGCCAGTCAAGGATTGCCTTGATCTTCTCGTCATCTACCTGGATACCATTCTCACCAACAACAAAACCCAAGAACAGTAGCTTATTTGTGCAGAAAGTACATTTTTTAAGGTTCACATACAGCTTATTTTCTCTCAACACATCTAAAACTTGTCTCAAATGCACAAGATGTTCTTCTTTTGTGGTACTGTAAATTAAAATGTCATCGAAATAAACAACGACAAAAGAACCAATAAATGGTCGAAGAACCTGATTCATGAGTCGCATGAAAGTGCTAGGTGCATTTGACAATCCGAATGGCATCACCAACCATTCAAATAATCCGTCCTTGCTCTTGAACGCTGTTTTCCATTCGTCTCCAGGTCGTATGCGAATCTGGTGGTATCCGCTTCGCAAATCTATCTTGGAAAACACCCTTGAGCCGCCAAGAACGTCCAGCATATCTTCTAACCGTGGAATGGGAAACCTGTACTTGACTGTTATCTTGTTGATTGCCCGGCTATCAACACACATTCGCCAAGTTTTGTCTTTCTTTGGAACCAGCAAAACAGGAACTGCGCAGGGACTCAAACTCTCCCAGATAAATCCTTTCCGCAGTAATTCTTCAATCTGTTCTCTCAGGATGTCATTCTCCTTGGGGCTCATCCGATAATGGGGCAGATTCGGAAGGCTAGCTCCAGGCACCAAGTCAATTCGGTGCTGTATGTCCCGCATAGGAGGCAGCTCGTTTGGCAGATTTTCAGAAAGTAGTTCCTGAAATTGATTCAAAATCTGCTGCACATCTTGTGGAATGTCACCTTCTCCTCCGCCAATTTTCAACAACCCCTTCAACACCAAGGGACAAAAACACTCCGCTTCTTTGACAGCCTCGTTCAACTCCTGCTCGCTGCGAATTAGGGTTAGGAAACTAGAACTCCTCGTCTTGGGCTCAACAGATTGCTTTGCGGGCTGTGTGGTTGCCATTGCAATTTTCCGGTTGTTCCAAGAGAACAGAATTACATTATCTCGTCCCTTGAAAGTTGCATCCACATCAAATTGCCAAGGTCGCCCTAACAAAATATGGCATGCATCCATGTCAATAACATCACTTAATATTTCATCTCTGTAATGCTTACCAATTGACAGTGGCACTCGGCAAGTCTCAGCTACACGAACCGAAGGGCCTTTTTTAACCCAACCTAGTGAGTAAGGGCTGACATGAGGCTCCGTAGATAGCTGCAAATACTCCACCAATTTCTTTGACACGAAATTCTCGCAACTTCCATTGTCGACGATCACATCACACACCTTGTTTTTGATTGAACAGAGGGAACGAAAAATACTATGACGTTGCCCTTCCTCCTTTGGTGCCAAAAGAACTCTCTGCAAAACCAAGGTAATCTTCTCCATTCCTTCCTCAACTGCAAATTCAGCCCCTGCATAATCATCTTCCCCGACTTCATCGTTTTCCTCATCTTCATCGGCTTCTTCGATAAAGTTGGCCTGCTTCCGCTCTGGACAAACATTAGAACGATTCCCTGGTTTTTGGCAACGGTAACATATGTCCGTGGTTTCGGGGCTGCCCTCTATTGTAATTCCGGCTGCTACCTTCGTTGAAATTTTTGTTTTGGCCAACTGTTGCTGGTTTTGTCGATCCTCCAAGATTCTGCTGCTGTGCTTTCCCCTTATCTCCTGAGCCACTAGAAGCACCAACAGTATATTCAGAGGCTTCCGTCGTGTTCCTGCAGAAGTTGGGTTGGCGTTTCTCCTTCTCCAACAATTCAGCCTTCAATGCCATGTTAATCGCCTCCTGCAAAGTCCATATATTCTGCATACCAATTTTTTCCTGGATGGAAATCTTCAGCCCATTGTTGTACCTCGCGACCTTTTGGTTGTCAGTCTCGGTCAAATGGTTTCGCTCTGCCAAACACATGAATTCTTCGGTATATTCAGAAACTGAACGGGTGCCTTGCGCACAACCTAGGTACATACGGTAGAGAATCTGCTCATAATCTGTGGGCAAGAATCGTTCCATCATAAGCGACTTCATCTTCCGCCATGTTCGAACCCGCTGCTTTCCTTGCCTCTGCCGTAAATTTTGCAATTGATCCCACCAAACAGCCGTTGTAGCTTTAAGACGGAAAGCTACCATCTTCACCATCTTATGCTCAGGAACCTCCATAATATCGAAAAACCTCTCCACTTCTACAAGCCAATCCAAGAAGTCTTCAATCTTCAGATTTCCCCAAAAGTTAGGAATTTCTGCTTTAATCCGATAGTCGCCAAAATTCTCGTAATTACGATTACGATTACGAGGATTATTTGCCGGTGGTGGTGGTTCTTCAAGTTCTTCTTCTGACTCTGACTCACTATCCGGAATAAGTTGCCTCCTATTATCTCTTCTCTCGCCATCTCTACCTTCTCTTCGATTATCATCCCTGCCTTCTCTTCTTTCGTCATCCCTGCCTCCTTGCCTATGGTTGCCACCAAGAGCTTGCAACAACAATTCTCGCATCTCTCCAAATTGGGTGGTTAGGTTGTCGATCCGTTGGTTTTGAGCGTCCAAATCCGCTTGAGTAATTGGGGCTGGGACATCAGCTTCACGATCACCCATGATAAGACAAGAATACCAAGACGGGAGAGACCCGCTCTAATACCACTTGACGCAGCACAAGCAAATAAGGTTTCAAACGAAAACCTTGAGTAACAAGGAAACTGGAATCCACCAGAAATTAAGAGAAACTCTCTTTGATTAATTTGATTAAAATCTGAACTGCCGAAAAACGTTAAACGAACCCGTCTAAATACACAACTCTCAACCCTTGTAACTGCTAGGGGAGTTATTACAATAAAACTGAAAAACAGAATTAATTCGAAGACTTAACTACGTAACTCCGAAACTGAAAAAAAAACAGAATTTATTTGGGAATTAACTATGTAACTCCGAAACGGAAAAACAGAATTTATTTGGAATTAACTTCGAACTTTGAATGCAGTTTTGAAAGGCCAAACGACTCCAGAATGCCAAAAATGGTATTCATCGTTCCCTTTCCGAAATGGTATTTTGCTCCCTAATCGGAGCTCGGACGACAATTCTGCAAATTCCCACCACGTCCCTTTTCTTGCTCAACCGTGATAAAATCTGTCATCTGTTCTACATCACTTTATAATATAAACAACTTGAAAAGTCTTTTAAGGTAAAGTAAAACTAAATAAACAAATAATAGGCAAATAAAAGTAAAATAAATTAAGATTATGAAAGCAAGCCTGGTAGGGTGAAGCACGTCAAATAAGTTGTCCTAAAGCCTTTGTAGCCTTCCTACGTGCAGGTACTGACGGTTTACAAGACTCCAAGATACAATCCCCAATACACAGGCTTAAGGTCCGCTATGAGCATGTTCACAGACAGATTTAGGCCTTTGTAATTAATTGTTACCACACCTCTTGGTAACAATTAATTACATTGTAGAGATTTGATTTCAAATTGGTAATAAATTAGCATCTCTCTCTCTATGTTTGAAAACCAGAATGAAATGATGAAGTGAAGACAAGTGGAGAGAAGGGCCAAAGAACTTTGGATGAAAGGTGAAGCATCTATGAAGTAATGAGTAGGAAGAGGGTATCTAAGGGGTAGCAACCAAGGCAAAAACAGATCATTCTCTACACTTTGTAATTTCAAATTTTTAGAAAGGAGGAGAGCAAGGAGCAACCAAGGAGAGGGGAGAATGACATAACAATTGTAGAGAACCTTGAGGAGCCTTTAGGCAAGGATCCAAGAGGTTGAAGATGCAATTCTCTTTCTCTTCCTTGTTCTTATTTTTATTCATTTTATTTATCTCTTGTATTATCTTAGTTTCAATGTAATTTCTTATTTTTCTAGGGCTTAGGTTGAAGCCCTAAACATGATTACACTTATGTTTTGATGCTTTGAGTTTATGGATTCTTGACAACAATTGATGAATTCCTCTTCACTATAATAATCTATCCTTGATGTATGTTTTTCTTTGATTGATCACCTATGAAAGCATGCTTCTTGAGATTGTTGGGATCATATGTACCTTCATATTTTTCTAAGCAAATATGGATGAAGTAAGAATCATCCATGTGAATTGGTGTGACACCCCAACCCTATTTTAATTGTCCATTTAATTTAATTAATTAAAATACGAAATTTCAATTTTTGCCTTGGGGGTAGTGGTATTTTGGTCACTTTTTAATCCGGAATGGTTTGGGGGAAATGAATGGTATTATTGCATAGATCGCGTCGATAAGAGTTCATAGACACGTAATGAGCTCAAATCGGAGTTGTAATGAAGAAGTTATGAGCTACGGAATCCCAGTGGCATAACCATCAATGATTCAAAGTCTTATTTATTTATTTTTTATTATTTAAAACCTGGTTCTCTCTCTCCTCTGTTGCATAGCCGCCACGACCCAGCCTGTTTCAAATGGGAGATATCTCCATCGTCCGACCACCAAAACTGGTGCCACAACTTGCAAACTCTTCGTCTCTCTATCCTCTTTCCATACATACCTATATCTAGTCATGATTCCATGCGATGAAATCAGAAATTAAACGGAAAAGGAGACTAAAAAAAATGAGTTGTTTCAAACCGTGGCTGTCGACGGCTTTTTTGGCTAACCCTGGCCACCACTAGCCACCAATTGACTCCCAAAACACTCACCTACCTTCCCTCTGTAATTTTCCTCGAAGACCCGATGTGATTTCATCCCAAAATCATTGAATCCAAACTTAGAAATTTACTATTCGTTTGATGGCTTTAGTGGCCAAATTAGTCTTCGACTTAGGTATCAAAGATGTGCATGATCTTTTGGCATAGGTCTTGATCGGCGGTTTGGAGATTTTTCGATCGCCCGAATTTGCTCGGGCCACCCACCGCTACTGGCCCTTGAGATGGCATGTGGGCCACATTATAGTCGGCCATTTGGTCCTAAAATGATTCCTGTGTTGTCCCGAGCACGACAGTGTGCTAGGATTTGAATTTGGTTATCATTTGACTGTTAATCGGATTACGCATATTCGGCATTATCCGAGTTCGATATGTTCAGACCGTTGGATCGACTCCATTTTCAAATATGTTGAACTAGGCATCTCAAGACATGTATAATAAACCTTGTTGAACTCGTAGAAACTTTCGGGTTGGAAGTCGGAGGTCATGGGCCCCACGGGCCCCGTTGACTAAGTTTGGGTTGTTTGACCCCCTCGGTTGACCGTGAGTCTTCTGAGGTAGTTTCACCCTTCGAGGAGTACTAGAATGACCTTATTAACAAATCTTGAATGTTATGTGAGTTATGTTGATTGTGTTGGGATTATGAGATTGTTTTATAGTATTGTATGAAATTCTTGAATATTAGTTTGATAATTGAAGTTATGGAATGGATGAGAATGGGATTCTTGATTGATGGGTTGTGAAAGTGAGTCTTGAGTCTTGGCTATGATTATTAGTAAATAAGTGACATTTGTTTTTAAGAGTACTTAGTTCTTCTAAAATGGAAATTATTGCATAATGAGTTTTAATTGAAAATTGATTTAATATGGGTTAATGAGGATATGGGATCTCTAAAGGTTATTATTTGTCATTAATTAATATTATTATGATTATTATTAAAGTATATGGATTAGGTGATATCGGGTTATTTACGAAAGTCTATTATTTTAATTGTGGAATATAGTATTTTATGGAAATTAAGTGTAAACAAGTTTTGATTACTATTTGAATTAGTTTTGGGTCTTTATGGAATATATGCTTGACAGTTTATTTTCTATACTATGAATAAATATTTGGGAAAATTGAATTAAAGAAGGGAATATTATTTTTATAATATTATATAAGGGTTATAAACCTCACCATCGTATGTACATTCCCTGGTAGTACCCACACGTGGCGTTGGATTTCCGGCATGTGGGCTTTCTTAGTTACTGATTCTGGAATTGATGGATACTTGGAAAAATGTGGATATGGTTTGGGTATGTCGAAACCCGGGCATCCTTGAAGGGGTATTATCGTAGACCCTTAGCGGGGTAATCTGCGTGCATAGGACTTGTCACAGGCGCATGAGTATTGAGGATTCTGTTGTGCGTGCTGGTGAGCCTAGTCCCCTGGTTGGATGGCTCGTCCCTAGCCACACGGTCTTTGAGGATTCCTCTGTGTGGTTCAGCCGAACGATTCCCACACATTGGATTTTTTTCCCCGATGCATGATGTGTACTATCATATGTATCTCCCCTTTAATACTAATACTTAGAAACAGTGGACATGGATACTTGGATGCATGGAAATGGATAGCTGAGTAGTCTGCGAGCATAGGACTTGTCACAGGAGCACGAGTATTGAGGATTCTGTTGTGCGTGCTGGTTAGCCTAGTCCCCCGGATGGACGGCTCACCCCTGGCCACATGGTTGTTGAGGATTCTTCCATGTGGTCTAGTCAAGCGATCCTCGAAATGGATTGTCTTCCCCTGGTACATGATGATGGTGTAAGGTGTGATATATAGATATATATATATATGTGGATTCGTTTTTGGAGATTCTTGAACTTGTACATCATGAGTACTCTGCACAGGCTTGAATGTTGAAATCATGGTTTTGAAAGTGTTGTTCGACAACGTACGCCTTGGATAGGGTATGGTTGGGAAAATGAACGAATAAAAGGAAAGGAACTATTAAAGTGTTCAGTGGTTGCCTTGCTGAATTTGATGTTGTAATTGAATCTAAATTTAATCGTTGGCATTACTTTAAATAATCTTATATTATCTGAATCATGATTGTTGATTTAAGAATTACGTGTGGCTTGATCCCTCATAAAGGGGTGAGTAGGTAGCGTGGAGTCTAACTTAGGTGCTACCGCAAAATAAACTGTTAAAGTTATGCACTATCTACATTATGTGTCTAGGTAGATGGACTATGATATTATGTCACACATTTCCATTCAATTGTCCAATCTATGATTCTATGAAGTTTAAATATTATGTGGTGGTATACTTAGAGCTAGATAACCTTTGTTGTTAATGCACCTATGTATGTTATCTGTGTTTTGATGTGAAGCTAGTTGTTTGGTTAGTGAGAAACTGAGGGAAAATAAAAGACTAGATGAACTGAGAGGAAAGGTTGCGGAACATATATTTCATTTTTGTTTGGTTCTTTGGAGGAGTTGGGTTTAGGAAATGAGAAGAGAGGTAGAGATTTGTGAATAAATGAAATAAATCATTACAAAACAGTTTGTTTGATTACGAAACAAAAGAAAAGAATCGTAAGAAAATGTCTGTGCACTAATATACTTGTAGGTTCAGAGATCTCATACCTTAAAGCATACATACTTTGATATATTGGACCCCAGTATAATGCGCGACTATTACTCTATTTATGAAATCACATAGTATAATGGTGAAATTTTTTGTAAATGTCTGTTTTTCAGGGAGACTGCCGAAATTTTGGGCAAAAAGTCTTGTCCCTCTTTTCCTTGATTTGGAAAATATCGTTAGTAAGTGGGCCCGGCATCAGCCTAATGTCGGAAATACCACAGGATTCGTCACGGATTCTATGGAATTTGGGGTGGGTCCTGTCAATTGGTTTCTTGAATGCCTATACTATTAGGGTTCTTGTGATGTTCATATTCTCTTCAAACTTAATAGGTTTTTCATATGATTAAATCGAAGTATTAAGGAAGCACGAGTACTGTAGCACTAGACCCACACTCTACTTATACTAAAGAGAATCAACGCGTCTTGAGCCACTAGACCCAATCTTGATTGCAAACATCTTCATTAATGTATCTAGAGTTTATTTGTTGACTTCCAAGTGTTCTAGTTTTAGTTGTTCTAGATTACATTGCGTCACTTTTATTTGTTAATATTCTAAGTTAGCATTTCTGACCTTTATAAACGAACACATTCAGCAAAGTCTTCTCGACTTCCCAAGACACTTGTAATTTCCGCTTGGGGAATTGCAGGGGCCTTTGTGTGTTGACACTTCTCTCATGATTTGTTTGTCCATGACTTCCTAAGGGACGAGGCATTAGGCCCTACATTTGATTTTCAAAAACCACATTCATCCAGTTGTGTTTGGGCCAAAAAAAGAAATTCGCAAGCACAAGCCCATCTAGGCAAAGAAAGGCCCACAAAATAGAAAGAACAGAGGACTGGGCTTTGATTCAAAAAGAGAGAGAGCCCAAAAACACATCAGAAGCCCACATCTTTTACAAAGTGGCAGAGTTGTAAAAAACACCAATTTAAATGGCAATTGACCACTAGAGCATATCAAAAAGGGGGATTGGTCCCAACCTCTAAATACTCACCATTGATCTCAAAACCCAGAGTAAAATATCCGCAGATTTTTTGGAAGGTCTATTCTCAGAACCCACGTGACTACCTGACTTCGAAAAGTCAATTATTTCAACTAGTCACAAGAGAATTTGACAGGGAATTAATGAAGGCAGTCCTGCAGGATGATTTCTCTAGTCTTTCACAGACAGAGAAGAGATCAAAGTCCCCTTTATATGTTCAGAGAAAATTCTGCTCCAAAGAAGGCACCATTTTCAAGAAATAAGCAGACTACGTTTTTGGAGATAAGTAGGAAGTAGGGAGTTGTTCATCTGGAAGATCAAAACTAACCATCATAGTTTGAGCTCTTACAAAGAGCAGTTAAATTGGAAGAAGGGTTAGGTTTTCTTTCAAGAAAAACAGGGAAGTGATTGCCTTAGGAACTAATTATTGAGGGCTTATCTGCTAGAATTGATAAAACCCTTTTTTTTCTTTGCATTTAAAAATGAAAGATCTATTGAGAATTTTTGCCGCCCATTATTAAAAGAATTAGAAAACCCCACTTCAAAACATTTCTTATAAATATAAGAGAGGGTGAGCAGAACAAACACAACCAAAAAAATCAATCAAAAACAAAAACTCAAAATGATCACTTCTCAAAGAATCTTCAAACAACCTGAAGCAAACCAAAAGCTCATTGAGCCATAAGAAAGAAGCCAACTACAAATCAAAACTGCCAGTTTCAGGCTTAGAGAAATAAGTCATTCAAAACGAGATTTCTTTCGTTATAAATTTGGTTCAGCAAAAGCCAAATCAAGCAGAGCTTGGGTTTTTTTTACAAACATGAAAACCTCAACAAATTTATGGAGGGCCCTGATCAAGCCGAATAGGTACCACAGTCCAGTTCTAGCTCAATAATCCTCAAGTCCAGCTATTTCTGCCCCTTTCAGACTGAAGATGCCGCAATTATGCTCGTTCAAAAAGCATTCCAGGGCTTGAAATAGATTACAGCTCTGCCAAACTTGAACGTTGCTATTGATTTATAGCTGAAGGTTAGCAGTTGAAGTTGTTGACAGTGCAGTCCAGGATAGGCACACCCAGTCTAGCCGGAATCGGAAGCTTCTGTCTAGGTAGAAATGGAAGTCTAGCCTTCTTTTTGTCTTTATAGAGTTGGTTTTTTCCTGTTGAGTTTTGTAAGAGGCAATTCCGCCTGAAAACAGTTTACTTTCTTACCATTTATTCTGGTCAGAACTACCAATCTTGTGCTATGAAAAATTGTGAAGTCCTCATTAGTCTGAGACAAGAAAAGAACTTACTTAGGAGGTATTCCTCACCCAAATTCATAATCGTTTGTTTAGAAATCAATAACTTGGGGTGCAGATATTCCTCACTCAAGTCTGCTAGGATTTTTAATTGCTAGCAGTGGCACGCTCGCACGCTAAAGAAAGTTGACTTGTTAACCAGTCAATGGTCTTCAAGGCAATGGAGAACTTTACCTTGGCATCACAGGAACAAACATAAAACGAGTGAACAATTTGGCATGCCCGGTGGGACTTTTCAGTATATATACTCCTAAAAAAATATTCTAAAGTATATGAATATTGGAAGTTCTAGCCAGAACCCACACTATGCCATGGAAAGAAATCAAGCAGTTCTCAGAGAAGGGTTGGAGTCAGAAGAAAGTGATGCTTGGCAATCAACCCGTGGCAGTACCGGAAGTAGACGTTCCAGGACTGGCTCCAGAAGGTTGAACCAAATACAGGAGGCTGTGTTCCGGCAAGAGGCCACAGTACAGCCATGATGCAATGGCAAGTTAACAGGCAGTTCAGGAAGGACTGTGAGGCTGCTATGGCCAGAATTCCAAATCCAGATGTTGTGGTCCAGTAGCTAGACCTCCCTTATGGACCTCCACCAGGACTGGCATGGCCATACCAGGAAAAACCTATCATCGCACAGATAGCTGGAATACCAAGACGTGGAGAAATCCAAGTTGGACAGAGGGGAGGAGCCCTTCCCATCCAAGAACATGAGGTTCCAGTCCGGCCAGAAGGCCCTGCACCAGTCCATGCCCCCCAGAATCAGCCAGAACCTCCACCTATTCCACAACATGTGGCCCCACAAGATCAACCCTTGGCATTTTTGCCTGAGGCACAAGTTGTTTTGCCCTACAGACCTAGAAGCATGGACCCCAATCCATTCCCTCCACCAACAAGGGGTAGAAGAGGCAGAGGGGGGATCAACCCCTTTACCAACAATGACAGGAATTGACTGGGGGCAAACTAGAGAAATCATCCAGATTTCGAAGAAGAGGAAGAACACATGGAGGAAGCTCTGCCTAGGCCATACAAAATAGAGTACAGGATTGACCACATCCAGCTAGAACAGGGGCGAAATCCGCACCCTATCAATGCTTTGAATGAAATGGGGGCACTACAGAGAATGATCAGGGAGATGATGGAGCCTGAAGCCAGGAGAGGAGAAAGGCCCACCTACAAAAAGCCATATCCGACTTACATTGATCAGATACCTTTATCCCTGGGTTTCAAGGTGCCAAACTTCACCTTGTTCAACGGAGAAGACCCCCATGCTTCATTAGTTGAGCATATAGGCAGATTCTCTATCCAATGCATTGCCATAGAAAATATCCCTCTGTTAAAATTGAGGCTTTTTAGGAATTCTCTCTGAACAAGCCTTCACCTAGTATACCAGCCTACCAGCCAACTCTGTTCAAACCTGGGAGCAGATGGAAAATGTTTTCCATGACTACTATTTCAGGATCCAGCCAGAAGTCACCATCAGTGATCTGGCTACCCTCAAACAGAGTGAAGATGAGCTTGCTCAGGACTTCATAACCAAATTCAAAAAGCTCAAGATGAAATGCCGAATCCCTACGGAAGAAAGGTACTTCATCCAGATGGCTCAAACCGCCCTTAAGATCTCTTTGATGGGATGCTGCTTGGAGACCTAGCAGAACTAGTAGACAAAGCATCTAAATATGGCTCAAGGAAGAACAACAGAAGGGGAACTCTTCCAAAGGCACATACTACAAAACCCCTTCTTCTTCAGTCCATCTGGTTGACGTAGAATCAGAAGAAGACATAGAAGGCTCAGAGGAAAGAGAAATTGCAGTAGCATAAATGGCAAAGTTGAAACATCCCATCAGTTGCAAAGCTCTTACAAAGCCACCAAAGGACCAAAAGCCACCACCATTCACAGGAGGGTTTGTTCCAAACAAACCAACCCAGAACAAGGTCTATTCCTTCAATCTAACCAAGGTTGATGCTTTGTTTGATGAGATGCTGCTACAAAAGGTAATAGAAACACCCCACAGGTTGCCCAAGCCTGAAGAACTCAAGGGTAGACAGTATTGCAGGTGGCATAACTCTTGGAACCATTCCACCAACAGTTGTGTTATTTTCAGAGACGTCATACAGGAAGGAATAACAACATGAAGATGAAAATTGGCGGAGAAACCTCCCTCAGTTACAACAGATCTTTTTCCCCTACCTCAAGTCAACATGGTCAACTTAAATTGGCTAGAACAAAAGAGAGACAAACCAGCAACAGAAGCTAGCTCCAGCAGAGGCAGAAGAGTCACAAGGGAGACTAGTCAAAGGCCAAAGGCAACCATCTCGGTTGAGATAGTGCTGTACAGCAAGTGCAAGTGTGAAAGTGAGTTAGAAGTGACTCTAGACAGGCAGAGTCAACCCAAACCTAGCGTTTTTGACAGGATTGGAACATCATACCAAGAAGGCCCAGTTCTGGCTCCATCTAAAGACAGAGCCAAACCAAAGGACTGTCTAAGGCCTGCTCGGAGCAGCAGAAGAATGACAGAGCAACCAAAGAAAGAGATACCAATTAAGATGCCTGGAAATGAAAAGCCCTTGGCAACTATCATAGAAGGCAAATGGTATTCTGTTGGAAAGAGTGGTAGACCAACTCTGGAGTTAACAGAACTCAAAAGAGGAAAGTTCAAAGGCAATATTACACCTTCCTCAGGAACAAGAATGACACACAGGTACTTCCAGAGACAATTTCTGCCAGTAGAGGGAAGAATCCAGAAGTCGCTCCTCAGGCAAAACAAATAACACATTAGCCACAAGGGTTGATGAAGACAGAATCGCCAGGCAAACCTTCCATCCATCTTGCCTCATCCTCAGTCAATCAACTTACACCTTCACAAACACAAGGTGAATCTGAACCTATTCCAGTAGAGGAACAAGTTGGACTATGAACCATCTGTAGATGACCGGATTGGACTCCTCAAAACAGGAGAACAGGAAGACTGGATAAAAGAATATGGGGAAGAACAGATGGAGTATGATGGAGAACTGGATGAAGAAACTGAGGCTTTCGGTGCATAATTAGAAAGCATGTTACAAGAAGATCTAGGCATTAATATGGTATTTATCTTGCCAGAAGAGTTCAGGGCAGTAGAAGGGCAAGGAAGCACTTTGGAAGGAGATGTGTTGTCCCAGGAAAGTTATGAGTGCAGATTGGCAGAAGTAGATGAGGTGCCAGAACAGCAGACACCTATTGCCAAGATAGGTGGAACTACAGAGAAGTTGGCTGCAGAACAGCTTTGTTTCTCCAAACCAAACAAGGAGATGGCCAATCACCTCAAACCTCTATTCATAACAGCAAACTTTGGCGTATTCATATTCCCAAAGTGATGGTAGATGGAGGTGCAACCATTAATCTTCTGCCTCATAAGTTGCTGATCAAGATGGGCAGAACAGAGAAGGATCTAATTCCAACACGTTTGATTGTCACCAACTTTGCTGGGGGCATCACTAAGACTCATGGAATCCTAGATGTGGACAACATAGTTGGAACCAAGGAGCTGAAGATTGCATTTTTTGTGGTAGACACCACTTCTATCACTTACAATGCATTGCTTAGCAAGGACTGGATCCACCAAAGCTAATGTGTTCCTTCCACTCTGCATCAGCAATTAGCCCTTTGGAATGAAGAAGGTTTCGTGGAGATAGTAGAGGTCGATCCACGACCATTTATGCCCTCTGCCTTGTGTTTTGAGGCAAGATATTATCATAATGACCCTGGTCCTTTCACATTCTTTGGAGTCAACCAGAACGGCCGCCCCCATGGTGTCACAGCCCAAAGACTCATTGAAGATGGTCTAGCAAGTTCTCTAGAGGACTAGAATAGACCTTTTGTTTTAAACCTCCAGAAATCTGATGTTTAGTCTTAATTAGCAAGAAAAGGATCGAGCTGCAACAATCAGATCCATTACACAATGATTGTTGATATATTGGGAAGAAAGGAAGCTCTTTATGCAGAATCCAGCCATCAACATGGCAGAATTCACCCATGAGAGCACTGAAGAACAGGAAGAGAGTTTGTAGGAGGAAGTACTAGATTTGGTCCAGCATCACTAGATGACTCTTTACTAGAAGTGGAAGATCCATTGCAAGAGATAAACTTAGGAACAGAAGAGGATCCAAGACCCACTTTCATTAGTGCACTGTTGAAAGAACCACTCAAAAGTGAAATCATTGCACTTTTGCATGATTTTAGAGACCGTTTTGCTTGGCATTATCATGAGATGCCTGGATTAGACAGAAAATTGGTAGAACACAAGCTGCCAACCAAAGAAGGCTACCTTCCAGTCAAACAGGCTAGAAGGATGTCTATGGAAACAGAACTGAAAGTCAAGGAAGAAATAGAAAGACTGGTCAACGCAGGATTCATCAGACCGGCCATTTATGCTGATTGGCTAGCCAATATTGTGCCAGTTCAGAAGAGAAAAACGGGGGCAGTTAGGATCTGTGTGGATTACAGGAATCTGAATGAAGCATCTCCCAAGGATGAATATCCTATGCCAATGACAAATATGCTAGTAGATAGAGTTGCTCATTACCAAATGCTATCTTTTATGGATGGCAATGCAAGATATAATTAGATTATGGTAGTAGAAGAAGACATCCATAAAACAGCCTTTATGTGCCCTGGACATATTGGTGCCTTTGAATACACTGTAATGCCTTTTGGCTTAAGAAATGCCGGAGCCACTTATCAAAGAGCAATGAATTCTGTTTTCCATGATATGATAGGACATTCTCTAGAAGTGTACATAGATGATGTGGTGATTAAATCCCCAGAAGAAGGAGATCATGTATCAAATCTGAAAAGGGCATTCCTAAGAATGAGACAGCATAAGTTGAAAATGAATCCCAAGAAATGTGTTTTTGGAGTTAAAGCAGGGAATTTCTTAGGTTTCTTGTTCCACCAAAGGGGGATAGAAATCGATAAAAATAAAGCAAAATCCATCATAAGAGCTCTACCACCTCGGAACAGGAAAAAGTTGCAGAGTCTCCTAGGAAAAACTAATTTCCTAAGGAGATTCATATTCAATTATGCAGGAAAAATCCAGCTTTTCTCCTCCTTGCTAAGACTGAAGCAAGAACAGACGTTCAAGTGAGAAGAATAGCACCAGCATGCTTTTGAAAAAATCAAGCACTACCTCTAAAATCCACCAGCTCTGCCCCCACCAAAAAGAGGCAGACTGCTCAAACTCTATGTTTTTGCATCAGAAGTGTCCATTGGGAGTCTGTTAGTTCAACATAACAAGGAAAGGAAGGAACAGGCAGTCTACTATTTGTGCAGAACTCTGACAGAAGTATAAAGGAAATATTCTGCAATTGAAAGACTTTGCCTAACCTTATACTTCACTGCTGTGAAACTCAGACACTACATGTTGCCATTCAGCATCTACATCATTGCCAAGACAGACCTAAACAAATACATGCTAACAAGGCCAATGTTGAGAGGCAGAATTGGCAAATGGACTCTAGCTTTGACAGAATTTGCATTCAGATATGTTCCTCAGAAAGCTGTCAAAGGACAAGCTATAGCAGATTTCCTAGCAGATCATCCAGGGAAAGAGGTTGAAAATATGGATTCTTTAGATATAGCAAATGCATATCTGTTGACTAGAGCTCATACTTGTCTCAACAATCCGATCTACTCAGTTCACCTCACACCTTGGAAACTGTACTTTGATGGATAAAAGACTGATGCAACCTCTAGGGCAGGGATTGTTTTAGAAGAGCCACTGGGGATCAGACACTGTTATTCTTTTCAACTAGACTTCCAATGCACCAACAACAGAGTTGAATATGAAGCTTTAATAATATGGATTCTTTAGATATAGCAAATGCATATCTGTTGACTAGAGCTCATACTTGTCTCAACAATCCGATCTACTCAGTTCACCTCACACCTTGGAAACTGTACTTTAATGGATAAAAGACTGATGCAACCTCTAGGGCAAGGATTGTTTTAGAAGAGCCACTGGGGATCAGACACTGTTATTCTTTTCAACTAGACTTCCAATGCACCAACAACAGAGTTGAATATGAAGCTTTAATAATTGGCCTTGAAATACTGGTAGAGTTGGGAATCTAGTCCGTGGAAATCTTGGGAGATTCTATGCTTATGTTGAAGCGGATTGCTGGAGAATACAAGTGTCTAAATCCTTCTCTAGCTATCTATCTAGTGGTAGCCAAGAATCTTTTGACAGAGTTCAGGGAAGCTACTTGGGAACATATCCCAAGAGAGGAGAACTTCGCAACCAACGAATTGGCTCATATAGCAACGGGGGTACAAATGCCTGAAGACTGTGTCCAAAGGATCATCAAGGTAGGAAAGAAAAGTCTACCGTCTGTTCTAACCAGAGGAATGGAGATAGATGTCAATTATGCCATAATCACTGAAGATAACTGGAGAACTCCCATCATAAATTACTTGAAGTATCCAACCCTGCCTTTTGAGAAAGAATAAGAATCATGGCTTTAAACGACCTCATGTGGAATGGAGATTTGGTCCAAAAAAGCAAAGATGAGGTACTTTTGAGGTGCATGGGAAAGAAAGAGTACATGAAGGTCATGGGAGAAACCCATGAAGGAATCTGTGGAGCTCATCAAGGAGGAAGAAAAATGTATTGGTTAATTAGAAGGTATGGCTACTTCTGGCCAACTATGATGAAGGATTGCATTGACTATTCCAAGGGATGTGAGGCTTGTCAAATGCATGGTTCAATCCAGCAAGCTCCTTCAGTTCCCATGAATCCAGTGGTCAAGCCAATAGGAAACAACATTGGCTAGATTTAGAGGATGGGCAATGGATCTCATTGGCTAGATTTATCCAGCCAATAGGAAACAACATTGCTTCATCATTGTAGCCACGAATTATTTCACCAAATGGGTGGAAGCTAAGCCTGTTAACTCCACTACATCTCAAGAAATCATCACCTTCATAGAAGAACAAATCATCCAAAGGTTTGGAATCTCATAATCAATCACAACTGACAGGGGATCTTCTTTCATATCTGGAGAAATGCTAGATATGGCAGAGGCATTCAAATTCAAGCTGCTTCAATCCACCCCTTATTATGCACAAGCAGAATCAAGTAATAAGGTGATCATCAACATTATCAGAAAAATTCTTGAGAAAAATCCAAAACAATGGCATGAGAAGTTATCAGAAACTCTATGGGCATATAGGACTTCAAAGAGAAAAGCAACTGGCATGACCCTATATGCTCTAACTTATGGTCATGATGTAATTCTGCCTATGGAAATAGCAGTTCGATCTCTCAGAATTAGTCAGCGACATAATCTGACTGGAGAAGACTACTCTCAAGCCATGCTGCTAGAATTGGAAGGACTATATACAAGTAGAATTGACACCCTCAACAAACTCTTAGCAAGGAAACATGCTATGTCAAGGGCTTACAACAAAAGATTTAAAAACAAGTGTTTTGAAGAAGGAGAAATAGTATGGAAAGCAGTTCTGCCCCTTGGAACACACATAGCTGGTTATGGGAAATGGTCACCTACATGGGAAGGTCCTTTCATAATTAAGCAAATCCTTGGACTGGGGATGTACAGGATCGAAGTGGAGATGTCAATGCTGCACCAATCAATGGCAAATGGTTGAAGAAATTCTATCCAACCATGTGGGATTCACAGGCTGTACAAACAGATCCTGGAATAGAGAGGGAACAGAATGAAACTGTTGTTTAAATGTCTGTTCATAGTTTTTTTTTGTAATTTGTTAAAGTTTATTTTCTTTTATTCTGCTTTCTTTTATTTTGACAAAAGAAATTGCAAATATAAAAGTTCCACCAAAAGATAGCTTTTATTAAATATAGTCATTTTTCATGACTAAGTTTATTACATTTTCAGAATTTGAATTCAAAGTCCTTGTTTCTTTAAAGTCTCTTGTAATCCTAGTCTCTTGTAATCCGGTCACCAAAAGATAGCTGTTTCTGAAGTTATTCAATCCGTTTCTCCAGCTTGTCAGCAACAGTCTTGGCTTCCATATAGCCTACGACTATCTAGTCCAATTATGTTTTCTGCTTTGCATAATCAGCCAAGTTGGCTTCATGAGTAGCCTTGCAGAACTCAGAGGCTTTAAAAGAGGGCTTGTGATCCTCATAGCGGTTCTGGAGATTGAGCACGTCCCTCGCCAGGCCCAAGCTGAGCTCAAGGATAGGCCTGGGAGCCATGTTCTCCTTATGCAACAGGTCCATATCTTTCATCAATTGGTCAAAAGCCTCACCACTATCATCCAAATTCAGCTCGGTAGATTGCCAGATTCTCACTCTATCCACAGCCTCATCTACTGCCTTAAATTTAGCTTTGCCAGGAGTAGAGCTGAGCTTCTCAAGCATGTCCAGTTGGGCATCCAGATCCATAGCCTCAAATTCTGACAGCTCTGGATCAGCAAAGGAAGCAGTGGCAGATGAACCTATAATGGAATGGATGGGCGTCTACAAGAAGAGCTCAAGTAAGTTCTATGCAAAATTTGGAATAAAGGGAAAACCCAAAATGAGTAAATACTTACAGCCACAATAGGAGGCTTAAGAGGATTGCTCTCCACAGCTAAAGTCCCAGCAGTTCTGTCCTCCTCCTCCTATAAAGAAAGGACCCTCAATTAGAAAGATAGAGGTAGACAGGATTGTGGAAACCGGACAAAATTAAGAAAGAAAAGGAACTACTTTAGGTGCTGGAATGGCAACAGAATGTTCTGTCTCTACATCATCAAAGAGAACCAATTTTGAACTAGTGGGCTTTGCTGTTTGGGCCTCTTGCTGTTTCTTTGCTAGCTCAATACTCTCTGCTATTACTTCAGCGGGAATTTCTTCCTGCAGAAGGATAGAACTCATGTCAAAAGGGATGCGATACAAAAGCCAGAATTGTGCCAAAGAGAGGGGATCTCTTGCTATAATCTCACCTCTTCTTCTCCATTTTTTGCCTTTTCTTTGTCTCATTTCAAGACCTCTTTCTCCTGCTCTACGGCTTCAAAAGCCTCTCCAGCTCTTCATCAGTCTCTGTGGTTTCAGTGGGAATTGCTACAGGCTGTTATGTCCCCTCAGACTCACTAACAGCCCTTTTTCTCAGTCTTTTTGCCTTGGAAGGAGGAGGAGAGCTTTCGACTGCACAAAGAAAGGAAGTCAGAAATGAGTGCAGAGCTGATCAAAAGGGATTGACAAAACTAGATACCAAAATTTTACCTAGGGGATCAGGCTGGACAGCACTGTCCTGAGCTTGAGTAACTTCTTTTCTTTTGTTCTTTCTGGCAGAAGGAGTTGCCTCAGCACTTGGTTTTGCCAAAGTCTCATAATCATCCTCCTCATCACCAAAAGGAAGCTCCAGATCTCCAGTAGTAATAATAGAGGTAACTATACTGAAGAAGAAAGGGTTAGCAGATAGTCCAGCAAGAAACAAGCCTAAGGGCAGAGTTCGGTAACTTACCAACCCCTTCCCCAGCTTGGGCGGTTTGTCTCCCAAGATTCCTTGTCATAGAAGGATCTAAAACAAACAGACACAATGGAGTTAAGATGCATCTCAGAGTACAGAAATCCCAAACAAAGGAGCAGAACTAGCAATTTTACCTTCAATCACTTGAGCATTTATGCCCTTGACCATCTGCACTATGAATTTTTTGGCTTCTGGTTCTGCCAGGACAGTCCCAGCATCCCAAGTTTCAAACAACATCTTCACAACAGTACTAGCATTTGGCAGACCAGCAAACCTTGCTTTCCACCAGGCATCAAACTCATAAGAATTGCAGGAATTAGGCTTCGAGGATGGATAGAGGGCGTCCACACTATTATTAATCTTGTCCACTGAGCACCTGCAGTCCTTATGCATGAGGTGGCACGATTACAGCTCCTGTAAGATTTGAGAGGAATGAGCTGAGGACAACCAAGTTGCCTAGCACAGAAGTTGAGATGACAGACTTCTGCTCCCAAATGGTAGTTAGGAGGCTTGCCCCCACTGAAAGGCATATCCCGGGGTAGCGTCACACTTAGAAACTTTTTTCTGAAATCAATTTTTGCTTCTTCTTCTTCTAGCTCCTTCTCAAAGAGTCTGTATCCAGGCTAGAACCAAGGGTATGTTCTTCTAAGTACCACTTGCCACTGAGCAACAGACCTCTTGGTGTAGTGTCTAAAAAACATAAGGTATTCTTCAATGGAGCGTTTAGGCACTTCTGCCGACATCAAGGGAACCGCTATAACCTGATCTTCAGGTAGAACAATATCTGGAAACGTCAGTTTTGGGAAATAAACTTGCAGCCAGATCTGGATCATCCAGAATGCGCTAGGAGCGGAGATATTCAGTGGATTTTCTAGAGTGGCGCTGTGAAGGTTCTTATACAGATGAGCCAGAACTATGGGGCCAGGCCCCACATCAACATGGTTATGTAGGGCTTTTGTTAAATGCTTGTATTCCAGCAGAACTGCTGAGGAGCAGTTGGGAAAAACGAACCTATTCAACTAGTATAGAAGGAACAACATGTGTTGCTGATCCCTATCCTTTTCGGTACTAAACTTCTTCAAAAAATTGGAGAAGGAACTGTCCTGGTTAATCGTGGCAACAGGAATGGTGAAAGGCTTGGCTAATCTCTCTCGATTCTTCCCTCTATGGTAGTCACCAACAGCATCAGCAGGCCTCCCATGGGGCCTGAACCCAAATATTTGAGCTAGATCTAGCAAGGTCGGAGTCATGGGACCCAGACGAAAGTCAAAAGTGTTGCTGGCAGAATTCCAAAAGCACAGAGCAGCAGCCAGCAGATTCTCATCTCTATTAACAGAAAACTTAGACAGAAGAATTGCATTGTAATTTCCAGCCTTCTTCCAATAAGCTCCACGCCTCGGGAGAAGCCTGTCAATCCAATCAGACCACCTCTCCGCGCTGTTCCTCACTTCACTCGAAGGATATGAACAACTCAAGTTTTTACTGACCCAAGAATGAGAAGCCAGAGGGATAGAACTTTGGAAACACAGAGGAGCCTCACTATCTTCCTTGAACAAATCGGCCATTTCTTCATAAGTACTCTGCACAGGCTAAGGTATGGTAATGTACACCTTGGATAAGGTATGGTTGGGAAAATGAACGGATAAAAGGAAAGGAACTATTAAAGTGTTCAGTGGTTGCCTTGTTGAATTTGATGTTGTAATTGAATCTAAATTTAATCGTTGGCATTACTTTAAATAATCTTATATTATCTGAATCATGATTGTTGATTTAAGAACTACGTGTGGCTTGATCCCTCATAAAGGGGTGAGTAGGTAGCCTAGAGTCTAACTTAGGTGCAGTCGCAAAATAAACTGTTAAAGTTATGCACTATCTACATTATGTGTCTATGTAGATGGACTATGATATTATGTCACACATTTCACAATTGTCCAATCTATGATTTTATGAAGTTTAAATATTATGTGAAGTTGTTGATAGTCCAGTCCAGCACAGGCACACCCAATCCAGCCCGGATCATAAGCTTCTTTCCAGGTAGAAATGGAAGTCCAGCCTTTTTTTTGTCTTTCTAGAGTTGGTTTTTTCCTGTTGAGTTTTGTAAGAGGCAATTCCGCCTGAAAACAGTTCACTTTCTTACCATTTATTCTGGCCAGAACTACCAATCTTGTACTGTGAAAAATTGTGAAATTCTCACCAGTCTAAGGCAAGAAAAGAACTTACTTGGGATATATTCCTCACCCAAATTCACAATCGTTTGTTTAGAAATCAATAACTTGGGGCACAAGTTATCTATTTTAAAGTATGCTAGGATTTTTAATTGCTAGCAGTGGCATGCTCGCACACTAAAGAAAGTTGACTTGTTCACCAGTCAATGGTCTTGAAGGCAGTGGGGAACTTCACCCCTGCCATCACAGGAACAAACATAAAACGGGTGAACAAGTTGCAAATAATAAATAAATAATTTTAAAAAAGGGGAACATGTGGGTGTCACCGTGGTTTGGGCTTCAAATGGGTTAACTTCATATTGGTGTGGGCTTCATAGTGGTTTGGGCTTTCAACTTGTGTAAGCCTGTGTGGTTGTTTTTGAGTGTTTTGTTGTTTCGTTTGAATTTTTGTCATTATATATATATTTTTAAACTGTCTAGTAATTTAATTCTTGTATGTTCTGATCTTTATTTGCTTTAGTCCCTTTCCTTTCTTGTTATAACATTGCCTATGCCTAATTTTCCAACATTGAGGACAATGTTAATTTCTAAGTTTGGGAAGGGATAGCACGTCATTTTTGTTTCACTTAATTTCTTGTTTTGTTTTGTTTTGTTTTTCTTGCATTGTTTTCTTTTGTGTTGTTTTCAATTTTGAGTCATTTTTTTCTTACGAGTCACTTTCCGAACACATATGATGAGATTGTGATGAATATTTGCATGGCCTGATTGAAAATTTGAAAAACAAAAAAAATTATTATTATTCACTTAATGGCATCGTTCTAACATGATATATATGAAACCTTCTATGCACTTGCCATGTGTTTCATAATTCTCCAATTGAAGGATTTGCACGATCCAACTAATTGTATCAAGCATGAATTAGACTTATGTAACCATATAATGTGAGCTTTTGAGCCTTGTGCTTCAATTAATGAGTGTTATTCGCATATTCTTATTTTATTCTCATCCAAGTTGTTGTTTGATCCCATTATTCATTGATTTGGTTGAGCGCAGAAAAGTCATTTATTCTTTTGCAATTTGATTATATGACATTTAAGAAATGATATTAAGGCGCTCTTTGGATCGTTTGTGCATTTCAAGCTAACCTTGTGCATGCTTAAGCATGATGTTCCATTTTTAACCACTTTGAGCCCACATATATGTCTTTTCTTTCATTTAGCCAACTATACTTCCTCCCCTTAGCCTGAAAAACAAGAATTTACCTTTCTAGGGAACTCTTGAGCTTTAATTTGGATGTGTTTTTCATGCTAAGTTTGGGAAGGGGGTGTTACATATTTCAAAAAAAACAAAAAAACAAAAAACAAAAACAATAGAAATTCACTCAATTGGTGAAAGAAAAGAGAAAAGTTGTGATTAAGTGGCAATGGATTGAAACTTCATTTCCAAGTTTCTTTATTGGCTCTAAAAAAATATTTGATGGTTGTTCAAATGGAAGAAAAAAGTGTGAATCAAAATAAATGGAGGTATAAGACTCTATGGTCTAATTGATCATGTAAAAAAATAAAAGAATATATATATATCTAAACATGATGATTTGAAGTCTTGTAATTAATTGTTCTATGTTCTTTCGTTGTGGGTTCCTTGGACTTTGTATTATCCATACCTTTCATTCTCCCCCCCCCCCCCCCCTTCATGCATGTTCTTCATATTTATTGTTCTATGTTCTCTTACGAGTTAAGTCCCTTATGGTTTAATCTCTATTCTCATGTTTATTATTGAGTGATGCATTGTAACCTTCTTCCGAGTGATTCATTTGTGAGAGGACAACTTTGGTGAGATTTGAAGTCACATTTGTGTTTGGTATGATTTTCGAAGTTGTGTGAAAACTAAAATTGGGGAATGAGTTGTATTTGGCTATCACACTACTACACTTTAAGCGTGTTGAGCTTTGAACATTGTTGTCTTGTGAATGATGTCTAAACTGAGCTTTTCTTGTGAAAACTTTTGAGTCATGTGGATTAATCGTTCTCTCTCCAGAAAATGTTCGGAAGGTTTGTTTCGAGTCCTATTTTAGTTTTAGTTTTTCTCAAGGACTAGCTGTTGAAACAAAAAAGAAAAAAAGAAAAAAAAAGGGCTAAATAAATCTTATCATTTATTTCAAATTAAATTAAATGATAAAGTCAAACCAACATGGGTTCCCAAAATTTTTGGGATATCTGTTATAAGGCTAAAGCTGATCGGTTGAAATTCAAAAAGTGTAGTGATTTCAGAGAAGTCTTATCTAGTTGGCCTATAAAAAGGTTACAACAGAAGAAGAAAAAGAAAAAGGAGAAAGCCGACGACAGATAAAAAAAAAGACTACAGGAGGAATTAGAGCTGTTCAAGGAAGAGAGAAAACAAATTTATACAAGTATTCTATCATCTTTATTTTCTTTTCGATGTTGGGCATAGCATGCCACAAATCTATGGGTGAGAAACCCTAAAATTATTTCGATGCAAATCCATGGGTGAGTAACCCCGAAATCATTTGGATGCAAATCCATGGGTGAATAACCCCGAAATTATTTGGATGTAAAAATCCATATGGGTAAGAAACCCAGAACCTTTGCAGATAAATTTTTTTTTTTTGTGGAAAATGGGTTCAAAGATCCATGATAATTAGCAAACGAAATGAGTTCACAAATGCAAATAAAAAAAGGAGTTACACCTCTACCGCTTGGACACTCTAACCAATTATCTCCGTTCTATTTGAGAAAGCTGTATCAATCGCCTTTTTTGTCTGAATACACTGCATCAAAAGGAAAAGAAGAAAGAAGTTAGTTGCCTTCCAAGAAAACAAGAAAGAAAGCAAACAAAAAAAGGGGAAAAAATATGTTAAGGCCGTATGGCTTTAGGAGAGACCCAATTTGGGTTGTACAGTAACAAGAAAAGATGGCAATAGGGTTTTGATTATTTGTTGCTGTGTGAGAACAATGAAAAGAATGAATTGGTGGGGACCATGTCGCATGGGCCATGGTTGTTATGTTTCAGTTCTCTTCGAAGACAATAAAAAGGGAAATAAAAAAGAAGTTGACAACCACGTTTTGGCAGCTTGGTATTGTTGCACATAGCAACAAAAAAACAAAAAACAATATATATGTACAGAGAGCTTCCATTGAGGGATCTCTCAAATAAGCTTATTTGAGGGATACCCCTTGTAGGCCCCACTCTGGATTGTATTTCACTAAAATCATTTATTTTTAGATACTCATTCAAAGATCATCTCTACAAAAAATCAATTGAATCCGATATCATTTTACCACTCAATTGAGTTATTGAAATTTTAGTAATTTCTTGAAGCACCGTGTTCATTGATTTTATAAGACACAATTGGATGTTGAAACGGTTTCCGATTTGTCTAATTTTTTGTAAGGATGATCTATAAATGAAGACCTAAAAATAGATGACTTGGATCATTGAGAAAAAAATTGTAGGGTACCCTAAAGAGTGTCCCTCAAATAAAATTATTTGAGGGATCCCTTAATAGAATGGGATTGTATATATGTATATTGTTGGAAAAAGAAGAAGAAGAAAAGTCACAAAAAAAAAAAGTAGCCAAAGAAAAGGGGAAGGGAAAAAGTGGCGTACACACTCGGTGTTGCAGAGGAAAAAAGAGGAAAAAGACAAAAAAAATCTGGGAACCTCTTGATAGTTACGACAGCTTTTTTGTTGGTTTTCTCCTTTTGTTTGCAAAAGCTCTGTATCAATTGTCACTTTTAAAGGCTGATGAGATACAATGTTTGCTCTCATTTTGGACTGATCTCACATATTCAACATACTGTTTGGATCAGGTGAGAACGCTTATGTGCGAGCCTTACATGAGAACACCCAAAACGGTTGAATACCGTTGCATACTGTATTCAACCGTTGCACACTGTTCTAATACAACACTTACACTTACATACTGTATTCAACCGTTGCATACTGTTCTCACCTGATCCAAAAGCAATTGTAAGTGTAAGTGTTGTATTAGAACAAGGCCTTCTTCTCTCCCCTCCCTCCAAAACGTCGAGTCAAAAACAGACGTCCCCTCCAATCCAGCAATTCGGTTTGTTCAATTAAGTGGCCAATTTTTTTATCAACTTTGATTGAGCAAGACGAATAACACTAAAGAGAGAGCGCCCTTGTTATTCTCTATTCGATTCCAGGAAGAACACATAAGTATAGCCCTCATTTTTCTGGGTTTCTCATTCAGGCGAAAGAAAGTGTTCGTGTATTTTATATTATCATCCTTGTGGTTCGGTCTTTCTGGTCGGAACATTCGTCAATCCTTGAGCAACGTCTTGAGATGGAAACTGGTGACTGCGACCGTTGTGCTATTCTCTTGGTTTTGAAATCATTGAGCACGGTTGAAACAGGGGTTGAGGAAGATGAAAAGTGTTTGGGGTTGACATCTAGATCTAAAAGGGCGACATTGTCATATTTGTAGAAAATTTGAAGTTGGAAATGACTCACGAGGTAAGTGATATACTGTATTTGTCAAGTTTATTATTGGGCATAAGCATAAGTTACATTAGTTTGTATGTAGGTCTTTAATATTTCACCAGAGAATCATTTTCATATCATATGTTAGTTAATGTATATATTTTAAAGCTCTTTATATTGTATTTCTCAAGTTTATTATTGGGCATAAGCATGAGTTACATTATTTTGTATATAGGTATTTAATATATCACCAGAGAATCATTTTCATATTCTATGTTAGTTAATATATATATATTTTGAAGCTCTTTATACTGTATTTGTCAAGTTTATTATTGGGCATAAGCATGAGTTACATTAATTTGTATGTAAGTCTTTACTATTTCACCAAAGAATCATTTTCATATCATATGTTAGTTAATATATATATATATATTTTAAAGCTCTTTGAAAGCATGTGCCAATGTTGGTATGATGGTGGTGAATTCAGGGTTATATTGCAAAAACTGTGAAATGGAATGTGAAGGATAGGTGACACCGGAAGTAAGGTCGGAGTTGAAACCAAAATTGGGACTTGAATTTGATTGCTGTGACGATGTGTTCAATTTCAATAATATGTATGCTGCAAAAGTCTGATTCGGCATCCGGTGTTCTACAACGAGAACATGCACACAGACGGGAGAGGTAACAAGGAAGGAATATGTATGTTGCAAACAAGGGTCTTCGTTGACAAGCACTGTTAGTCATAAGAGAAGACGGCGAGGCTGTACTTGAACTGGTTGCAAGGCTAAACTTGCGATATTGAAGGTGAAAGACAAGAATAAGTACATTGTTTTAGGATTCAATGAGGTACACAACCATGGCATGACCACAGTTGATAAAGTCCATCTATTGAGATCTCACTGTAACTTAACAAAGTCTACAAAGGTCTATAGTGCATATATGAGCAAAGTTAATATTCTGGTACATAAACAGTTAAGCCTTCTTGAGATGCAAGTAGGGGGATTGGAAACTGTTGGGTTTGTTAAGAGAGATGTCTATAATTATCTAAGAGATGTGCGTGGAGAGGTGATTGGCCATGATGCAGAGCTGCTTAAGGAGCATTTTTTGGCTGGGCAAGAAAAGAATGAATCCTTTTATTTCAAGATGGAGGTAGATTTGGAAGGAAGGATGGGTAATGTTTTCTGGTCAAATGCAAGGTCAAGACGAGCTTATGGGTTTTTTGGAGATGTGGTGATATTTGATACAACATACAACACGAACCGCTATGGGATGGTCTTTGGGCCTTTGTTAGGCGTTAATAACCATCAGCAGACAGTGTTGTTTGGTTGTGCATTCCTAACTAGTGAAACCACGGATTCATTTGTATGGTTGTTAGAGAAATTCAAGAAAGCCATGTCGGGTGAGCCACCCAAAATGATCATCACTAATCAAGATGCAGCCATGTCAAATGCAATTGCTGTAACTCTCCCGACAACATTCCATAGATCTTGCATGTGGCATATCTTGAATAAGATTACAGAGAAACCCGGCATTGGAGAATGTTTTTCGAAAATGTGCAAATGCATATGGGGTATGGACAGGAAAGAAGAATTTGATGCGAAATGGGAGGAAATCATCACAAACAATGGGCTGAAAGACCATGCGTGGCTGAGCTCAATTCATGCTATGCGGGAGAATTGGGTTCCATCATATGTAAAACATGTGTTTTCGACTGGGGTGTCAAGTAGTCAACGGGCTGAAAGCTGTCATTCATTTTTCAAATAACATATTAACCGGAAAAACACATTGATGAAATTCATTGTACGTTTTGAGAGAGCTCTTGCTTCACAGAGACACAAGGAGTTAATGGCTGATCATGTTGATAACAATGAAAAACCTCCACTACCATTTCAAACACCAATGCAACATCAAATGGGACGCATTTACACTCAGAAAATTATGGAAATGTTTGAGAGGGAAGACTTCAGAAGTCTTTTATGTTTGTTCGAACTTGTAGAGCAAGATGAGACGCACTGCATATACAAAGTAAGTGAGCGGGAAAATCTGGGGGTGACACGGATGAAGGAGCTTGTGCATGATAAAGTTGCCGATAAAGCTTATTACAGCTGCAAAGGATTTGAATTTTGGGGTATTCTGTGCCGACACATCCTAGCATTCTTAAGAATGAAGCAGGTTGAGCACTTGCCGGACAAGTACATATTGAAACGATGGCTTCAAAGTGCAAAAAGCGGTGTAATATATGATAAGAATCACAAAGAAGTTAACGATTGCGTTGATGGTTTGCTTTTGGTTAAAAGATCGAATGTTTGTAAACATGCAAGTGATTTGATTGATTCGGCTTTGTTGTGTGATGAAGGTTTTGAGTTGCTGGAAAAATCTTTTGACGACATTCGTGGGAAGCTTACAAGGTTGGTGTCATCAAGAGCTCATGTTGAAGAACCCAATGGAGATGTCGGAACTAGTTATCCCCAACAAAGAATCAAAGATCCACATCGAGTGAAAGTAAAAGGGCGTGCGAAAAGAGTTAAAGGAGAAAAAGAGAAGGCAGAGCAACGACATAAACGTCGATGCACTGAATGTAGGAAGACTAACCATGACAGACGAAGTTGTCCAAAACTTGCGAGCCCGTAAGTGAATATGTGTTATATTGTGCTTTGAATTTTATGTTGTTGATGTTTATTTTCTTTTTTTTTCAATGTGGCAGCTCTTCCTCTTCCAACACAGAACTTGGTGGTCCAGTTGCTAAGAATTTGCAGCCCACTTAGAGCACGCAGGACAGTGAACCTACTATGACAGAGTCATTTATGCAAGAGTTTGATTTTATTTATGGCCCCGGATTTTGAACACTTATTGATACTTATTTACATCTTTTTTGAAAGTATCTGGAAGTGTTAGTGAATCTTAGGTAAATGCCTCATGTCCATTGATACTGAACTATGGTTTATTAAACAGATAACTATCTGGAAGAGTTTGATTTCATTTATGGTCCCGGAGTTTTAACATTTATTGATACCTATTTACATCTTTTTTGGTCGGGAACGACACCAAGCTTTCAATAATTAGGCGTAACTCGAAGTTTCAAATCCATCTTTGGTTGAAGGTGGATGTCCCGGATGTCCTCTGGGGCTTTGGGGTTTTCAGAATCTGAAGCCCTTGTTTGAATCATGCAAGGGGTTTTATACACAAATTTTCAATGGTTGCAATGAATATAAAAATATCCAAGGGAATCTTGAAACCATGACTATGTGTCAGTAAGAGAATCTTGAAACAATCACTATGTCTCTGTAAAGTCTCAACCAAAGAATATCTTTGTCAGAGAATCTTGAAACAAATTGTCTCCCCACCGACAATGAATTAAACAAAAAACTGTGAGCACTATTATGAAATGAACGCTTCTAATCTGGAAGTTAGTGATCGAACTATGATTGAACTCTAGCTTTGATAGCAGTGTAAAATGAAATGAGCTGCACGTAAGCAAGATCGAGCATTAACATTAAAACAGTAACCCAGATCGGGCATTAACATTTAAACACTAACCCAAATCGGGCATTAACAAAAACAAACAACTGCTGAGGGATTGCCTACGGATTGATATGGCTATCACCAGTCATTATTGTTGCCTTTTGCTGGTTGGTGGCCTTCTCCTGTTGGGTGTGCACCGCTAGAGATGATTTCCTGTGCAGCAGACGGGGTTATGGGGTCCCAGTCAATATCTTTGTGGACATCTGTAGCCAATTGTCGGAATTTCTCAAAACCTTCGTTGAAAGCCACAGACATTGTTTGGCCTTGGTTGTCGCCTCCTTTGTGGATGCTCAAGGATTCGTATGTAGCATCCTCCTCTGTCATATGAAAATCCTCTACTGTGTGCTTTCTTCTTTGGTCACGAATTCTCTGCTTCCCTTTTCTGTAACGGACTTTGTTAACTTACCGAGTCAAATAAGGCAGCTTCTGCTCAGCTCCGACACACTTTTGAGTCCAATAATGGACCAAGGAAGAGTTGTGTTCCAGTTTGTTCTTCATTTCATTTATTTCCACAATGGGATCATCGGAGTCCCCCTCGCTTGCGGAGGAGGTTGGAAGAGGCAGCGGTGGTGGAGGGGACCTTGGATAATCGGGGGCATATTCCCATGACCCATCGGAGTCCCCCTGATTCGCTTTGGCACTTGAACTGGAGGACATGTTGAAAAAATCGTCAGATTGGGGGATTCGGCTGAAGGTTTGTATGCAAAAAAGACGACTCAAAAGAAGAAAAGAGAGATGTAAGGCATGAGTATCCCATAGGCATAAAACAACGTTTATATATTATGTCCGGAAGTTTTCCATTTTCTCTTTTCTCCTTTTGTCCCATCACTTTAATTTTTTTTTATATAAAGTAATCAGAGTATTTGATTTAGTTAATCACAGGAGCCTCGTATGATTAGTAAAAATGCTAGCACACACTTGAATTTTGATTTATCAAGTTTGAATGAGTTCGTAGCAATTTGCGAAATGTTTTCCCCATTTTTGTATATTTAGTTATAAATTTTCTAAGAAAATAGCAATATTCATTTAAATTCGGTTTCAAAGGAAGGATGTGGCAATGGTCACTAGTGTACACGTGTGCACCTACTGAAGGGGGTTGCAGTCAACTGTCGCCATGTGTGTTATTTCTTTATTTTTTAAATTTTTTAATACAAATTTATAAATAAACCCAATCCTAGACATGTATTTATAAAAAAACCCAAGCACTATTTAAACATAGAAACACACCCAAAATCAACCTCAAAATCAACAATTGTATATTTTTTGGGTGTGTTTATAAATGGGTTTTGAGTGTGTGTAATGATGGGTTTTGGGTGTGTTTATAAAGTGTTTTGGGTGTTGGGTTTTTTTATAATTTCAGCCCCTATTTTGGGTGTTTTAGTGAAACTCCCATTTTTAATGCAAAATGATTTAAAAAAATTGTAATAAATAGGAGAAAAATTGGAAAAATGCCCGGAAAATTGCTTCCAACTCCTTGTGCCGTTACAAAACTGGGGGAAGCTATAAATCATCCAAAGTGATTATGAAAACTCAATTTCGTACTTAATTTCATCTGATGTGACAATACAGAGTGAACACTATATCTTTGGAATATGGTGATAACTTGATTTCCTTTGAATTGTAACATTATATTTTGCAAAAATTAGAAGTATACTTCCTTAGTGTTCATTATCTAATTTATAAGAACACAAGTATCAGTTTCATTTGCTTCATATATAATTCTTCGGAAAAATATTTCTATATTTTCTCCTTTCAATTGACAGACACAATATGGTTCTTATTATTTCAATGCTAAAATTATATATTTGAAACCAATAAACAAACCTCTAAAATGTCAAGTTACGAACATAATTAGGTACCATATAAGTGATCAAATAAATGCTCAAACCTCAAAACTCACCCAATTACTTAAAAAAGGGGGAAACAAAAACAGACTTCCAAATAAATTTATTCAGCACTGTATTTACTAATATATTTTTCTGCATAGCTGCATTATTTTATTCAAGTGACCCAAAATGGAAACACACAAGAGCATTTACCTCATATATAAATATGCTATGAACATACAGAGTATCGACTAAGATTTATATTTTATATTAGTAGATTATGTTGTATACAAATCTTAAGCCATACTACTTATTTATTTAGTTAACTTCCAACATATATATAAACATTGTTATATTGTCTTCTAAGTATGTATTCTATATATTCATTATGTTGTCTTACTACTCTTTTTCTTTGCAACATAGTAGTTATATAATTGGTCCTTTCTTCCCTAATGGGGCGGGCCATGGAAATGGCATACCCACCCCCGATTCAACCAATTGCCAACACTAAAAGAACGAGATAAAGCCAACCATCCATTACTTGATTACTATGCGACATAAATACCTGGATTATCAACAAATCCACCTCTGTTGTTTCTATTCCATGCCTTTTAAGCAAACAAAGAAATATGTGATCATAAAATAATATAAACAAACTTCATAAAAGCACAACAATTTATGTAGACAAAAGTACGCTTAATAAACCCATAACAGTTTCCCCATTTGTTTACAGTTGTCCTTCACATCTTACAATTGGATACATTACCTACGAAGTATGTACACTTCAAACCAGAGTTTTTACACCTTTAGAAGCCCACACAAAATGCCAAAAAATGTACTCAAAATGAACCACACATTTGTTCCGAACAAAATATTGAAAACCCCCAAAATGAACTTTCTCCAGCAATGGTTTACTCCATGGCAATCCCGTCCCAGTTGTAGCTTGGGACAACACATCTTGCAAACTTGCGAAACTGGTCAAACCCTTTGCGTGCTTCTACTTCCCTCATCTGCACTGACTCATTCGAAGTACTAAACCTTCGAAAACCTTTTCCTTTCACAAGCCTAACCCTCACTTTCATTATTTGGACTGATCAAAGGTGGAATTTCGCTTTCTTTTTCTCCTTCCCCAATGTTTCTTGATACCATCATAGATGTATCATCTAGCGTTTGATTTCCATGATCAACGCATCATACCGCATCTTGCCGATCTGTTGTGGTCCTCAGATGAAAAGTTTATGGATTTCGCAGCTCCATCAGCAACATCTTCAGCTTTATTATTCCTCTGTGACAAAGGCTCTGCATTTTTGTACTTATTTGATCACTTATATGGTACCTAATTATGTTCGAAGTATTCACTTATATGGATCACTTATATGGTACCTAATTATTTGATCACTGAAAGTACTCAGCTTTATTTTTTGCTAGAGTTGTTATAAGTATGGGGGGGATTTTTGTAGGGGAACCCATTTTGAGTTTAGACTTGTTTGGAGCAAGTGGAGGTGCAATGGGAGGTAAAATACTCTTACATTGGTATTTTTGGCATGCAAGTTATTTGAAGAAATGTTGAATGATCCTGAGGTTTGGCGAACTGTGTCTGTAGAGAAGTATCAGTGGCATCCTGAATGGTACGAGTTTTATCAAGAGAAACTTGTTGAGTTCTTGCAAAAGTGCAAGGAACACAACAATCCAGAAATCATTTACAGAGAAGCTATAACTCAATTCTTCATATTCAAAGATGATGAGGTTATCAACAACTTCCGGGTGGCGGCTAAGGCAGGGGATATGGAATCCTCCTACATTGTTGGCTTGCTAGGCTTGGTGAACCATACAGAGGGCGAAGAGGATGCGATGGAATTGTTGTGCCATCTAAGCAAAACAAAGAAAATTGACATGCAAGCATGCAGGGAATCAATTATGAATCGACTAATGAGGTATACAATTTCGGGCTTGGTGACTCCTCCAACTCTTGCAAAGTTTACTACTGACATAAATTTTTTTCTTAACTGCGTTAATTGTGAGGGTAATCGGGAGTGGTATTTCTTACGGGACATGGGGGGCGAATACTCTTACACGATAGCTACCTGGAACTGCTATGAACCCTGCAAATGGAAGAGGGAGTTGTACTGCTTCCAGTGCGAACTCCGTAGGTAGACCTCGTGCATTTAATAAATTAAATATCCATGGTATGACATGGGTATTAAAGTGTGTTTTGGGTTTTGTTTGTTTTTACTTACAGGGGAAGTTTACCTTCTGTTTAATGTTTTTAATTCAAGGTATGTTTATGGTAATGTTGTAGACATTTGTGGTTTTAAGTCCAGTTTATGGTTTAAAGGTCTGTTTTTGCAATCAGTGCACTTTTAAGATCCAATTTAAGTACAAGTTGTAGACGTTTGTGTTCCATAGACCTTTGTAGCTTACGTGCATCTGTTTTGGATGGTTTTAGATCCTATGGTTTGACTATGTGTTGTGAAATGGGGAATTGCATGTTCCGATTCCCGAAGCAATCATTCGTTGAAGATGACAGACACCCAAATGTCAGGGAGGTTGCGTGTTGTCAAAGCATAAGGGATTATCCTTTCGGTCAGACCGGGTCTGAGCCATCCTTGATCTTCTAAGATACTCTGGTGATCCTTTAATAAAGTTTTCAATTTCCCCACATTTCCTGATTTGTCCTGCAATTGAAACTATATTTGCAAGATAAAAAATAGTTTAATAAAATAATCCGAAAATCTATTTTCACTAACATAATGATTTAAATATCGAATTTAAAGGGGGGAAATAAGTGTTAGGTTAATCGTCATATTGAATAGGACCCTGTACGAAATTTCCCCTTCACATTCGGAATTTGTCATGCAATGTTTACGATTGTTGCAACAACAAAAAAAATACAAAATTTCAATCCAATAATCCGGAAATCCCTTTTGACTAACAAAATGATTTAAATAGCGTACTTAACCAAAAACTCCTTCAAATGTATAAGTAAAAACTCCTGACGAAGTGTTCATCTCGATACATAGGAATTTTCCCCAAGTTTTTCTGAATTTTCCAGTAATTTTTAAGATTTTCTGAAGAAAAAAAAAGGAATAAAATACACACAAAATACCAAGTGGTGGAGCTGGAGTGGGGAGCTATAGACCTTAGCGACACGCAGCGCATTCCCATGCAGCCATCTGCCCCTTTTCAAATTTTTTATTAATTTCCAATTAAATATTCATTTAAAAATCAAATTGAAGGGGGAAAAATTCCAGAAAAAATCCTCCGGACTCGTGACGACATTTCCTTCCATGACATATCCAGAAAAAGGCTGCATCATATAAATATCCTTACAGAATGAATGTGATAGAACAAATAAGAGTCTAGGGTTTGAAAAGCTTACTAGTGTTTTCATTTGCATCATCCAACACTAGGGTTTGTTCCCTAATTTTATTTTTTCCTCACTCCTAAATCCATTATTGTACTTTCAGTACGAAGTATTCATCCCGATGTATACTTAGGAATTTTCTCCCATTTTTTCTGAATTTTCTTGTAATTTCTAAGATTTTTGAAAAAAAAAAAAAAAAAAAATAAAATACACACGAAATGCTAAGTGGCGAAGCTGGAGTGGGAATCTGCAGACCTCAGCAACACGGCATTCCCATGCCGCCACCCACCCCTTTTCAAATTTTTTATTCATTTCCAATTAAATATTCATTTAAAAATCGAATTGAAGGGGGAAAAATTCCAGAAAAAATCCTCTGCACTAGTGACGACATTTCCTTCCATGAAAAGTGTGATACTGTTTTCATTTGCATTATCCAACACTAGGGTTTGTTCCCTAATTTTATTTTTCCCTCACTCCGAAATCTGTTATTGTACTTTCAGTACGAAGTATTCATCCCGATACATACTTAGGAATTTTCCCCCATTTTTTGTGAATTTTCCTGTAATTTTTAAGATTTTCTGAAGAAAAAAAAAGGAATAAAATACACACAAAATGCCAAGTGGCGGCACTGGAGTGGGGAGCTGCAGGCCTTAGTGACACGCGGCGCATTCCCATGCCGCCACACACCACTGTGGAGTGTTTAGGGTAAAAAAATTATTCAAAATTCCCCACAGCAATGTTTTTATGTTCTCGCTCATGCATTAGGGTTAAAAAAATAAAATAAAATATTGAACTTTGGAATTTCCCGCTCACGGATTGTCAGCACCAAAAAAGGCGAATTCAAACTTCAAACTCCATATATGTTTCGACCAAATAATAAAATACAATTCCTTTTCAGAATTGAAGGAAAATAATTTGGGGGTTTTGACCAACTATTTGGAATGGTATAATTCTTCTGTTTTCTTCATTTTCAACTCTAGGCAAAGCGATGTCGATTTCTTCAATAAACACTGAAGCAAAGAGGTGTCGGCACTGCAATGTTGAGATGGTGAAGCTAATTTCCAAATCCGAAAGGAATCTGGGCTGACCGTATTGGAAGTGCTTCACAACATATGTAAGTATAATCTTCCCAAACCTCATATGTAAAACCGAATAAGCTGTATGCGAAGAAAGCTCTTCAAACTTCCCTTATATTATAGAAAGGTTTGTTTTGTAACTCCTAAATATAAGGTATGTTACCAACATAATTGCCCACCCAGTTAAATTAACTTTGTAAGTTCATATACTACACTACACCCACCCAATTAAAAACTTTGCAAGTTATAGTATCTCCTAATGAATCACAGCTACCAATATCCTTACAACAACTGTACAACGAGCTTCAACTGATAGAAGGGCATGGCGTCATGGGAAATCTTGGCTAGGTCTACATTTGAGGTCTGAAACTCGCAGTATTTGAGGATGTACATACCACAATCGCCCTTGAAACATAGCGAAGAAGTTGTGATTCATTGTAGAACAAATCCATTTCATAAGACAATGTGGTTAGGTGGAATATTACTCACTCGCCTACTTGTTGGGGTGCATCCATGATGCGGATAATTGGCCCCTCACTTTTCAAAAGTAGACCGTCGCCAATATATCTAGATTCCTTTAACAATCGAGGCAGCATTTTCGCCACCGGCTGCACGGTCTGTTGAATGGCCTAAGTTCTGTACATATCTACTTTTGAATCATATGCCCTTATCTCACACTCTTTTAAATTGACAACAAGTAAGATCCAGTAGATCCTTGATTCACAGACGACCATGATTTAGCCAACTTAGGCCCTTCGCCCTTAACCATTCCCAGTAGACCCTTGATGTGCTACCTGTCCTCCTTTCCCACATACGCCTTCATTTGCTTGTAATCCAAGGCATCACATTTTTGCATAGTGGCACACAAGTTATGCATCATAACGGATACCAAATTTGAAAATAAACAATGCTTATGAAATAATGCAGACCTGAAAAGTGGTGTCTAGTATCGTGCAGTCAGAACCCACCCAGTTCCCAGAGCTCTTGTGCCGCTTCCGTAGCAAAAGCAAGGCCATGTCTATGTTCTACATAAAAGGGTTGTTTCCATTATTAAATCAATAAATCACTACATAGCATGGGCATTTCGACAAAATCCCAAATCAATCAATGCTTACCGAGTCATCCAACCAACCATCCTTGGTCAGCAATCGAACAAAGAAGTTATGTGAACCTTTCATACCGTCTTCTCCACATAACGGCACATGTGAACTATATTTGTGAATCATTATTATTATCAATTCCGTTTCACCATTCACTCAATAACTAATCATAATAAACCATTTACATTTCACTAAGGACGGGCAATGGGAACTTACTTTTCTTCTTGTCCCCATTCCCAGCAGAATCTCGTCACCACCAAAATGGAATCACGAGGAACAGGCCTTAGGGGGTTAGCAATTGTGTCCTCTGAAATATTGGGAATCTCCCGACCTGTCCATGGAGTTTCCCTCACCACTGCCATTCGCCTCTTCATCATAGGGCCAAGAATCTCACTCTTTCGCAATTTATATCCGGGGGTGTATATTGCACCTCTTCTGTAGGATTTTGTACACACTACTCTCTCGATTCTGCTACTCCACCATCCTCAGTTTTATCACTCTCCTTTCCAGCATCCTCAGTCTTCTGACTCTCCTTTCCAGCATCCTCAGTCTTATTCCTCTCCTCTCTAGCATCCCCAGTCTTCCTCGCGTCTGCATGACTATTACAGTTTTCCAATCGTAAAACTCTCTCCTCTAGCTGACCTTTCTCATGGTGCAATACTGTAACCTCATTTCTCAACTGCTGCACAACAGAGTTTAACTCATCAAGGTCCTTACATATCCGCAGAGCTACACTAAGTGCATCACATTCAGGGACATCTGATCCCCAACTCCAATATGGTTGGCTCATCTCCAATTGACTTGGTCATAAGAGGCACAGTATAACAAGCTATCAAACACATAGAGTTAACGGGTCATATACAATACTAAACAGCTTTCCTCATGAAACGAACATAGTACTGAAACAAATTATTAACTACACGCATGTTTGCTTTGAAATATATAAGCGTTCAGCTTTCTAAACTCAGGCACTTTATCCGTGGATTCCCATTGGCAAATTTGAGGGACTAATGCATATTCCTCTATCTGCTTACAATATCTAAGGGGATGAATTCTCAATTCAGCAATTAATTCATACAACTGAATCTACAACAAATAAATTATCAAAGTCAGTACTTAATTACGAACTAAAATTTTACAAACACTAATTTTGAACTACATCATACTTGGATAGCATAGCTCAATCCCTTTATACTCCATCCAGGTCTGTTAATTCTTTTAGGCTTCTTATCTTCCACTTTTTTCTTCCCTTTTCTCATTGAACTCCGCACCGCCTTTTTCCCCTTTTTCTGTCCTTTTCCCTTCCCATCATTCTCTTCATCACTCTCTTTCTTCCCGAAAGCAAACAACAGAGAATCTTCCAGAAACTCAAACGATATAGATCCCCATAGATAATTGTTGAATTCGTCCATTTTATGAACCAAATGTAAGTACTCCTCGTTTATCTTCACATTTTGGGGTTTACCAATTATCACAAACTCCACAAAATATAGCAGTCCCAATTTGAATGAGTCCTTGCTTCCTCTTTCGGACTTTAGGAATGCATTTTCTAAGTCATTGCAAGTAATGTGACCCCTGTTGGTAAAATGCGCTTTCATAAATCGATTATGAGCATTCCCCCAGGACGTTATGTCAGGCTCTGTTCCACATTTTAGACCACTTATCAAACAAAAATCCTTTACATTATATTGAGCAACATTGGACCCCATTGCATAACTAAGCCCCAGCATGTCCTTAACACCGAGTCCTCTGACTCGCCGAAGTGCCAGAGCATGCACAATTTGACCACTAAATGCAATTTTATGGAGGCCCAACATGTGCCCAAAACAGCTCTCTCTAAATCTTTTAATAAGCGACTCACTGAAATGCGCCCCAAAATTACACATGACTGAATTCGCCGCACACAAATTACTCACCCGCGCAACATTGACCTATGACTCCGGGAAACAAAGTTCAAACTTAGATTCCATTTTATACTTGCAACAAACACCTTTTTCTTAAGAAACAGAAGTGATACCTGCTCACAAAATTATGAACACATTAACATACAGAAATGATACCTACTCACAATATTATCTACACATATTCATCACATTAAGATACATAATTAATACATACAAACACTATTTTCAACACATTCACATACATAATGGATACCTACTAACACTATTTTCAACATATTAAAATGCAAACTCATACATTATTTCCAACTCATTAACATACATAATTAATACCTACAAACACTATTTTCAACACATTCAGATACATAATGGATACCAACTAACACTATTTCCAGCTTATTAAGATGCAAAACTGATACACTATTTTCAACTCATTAAGATACATAATTTTCACCTACAAACACTATTTTCAACACATTCACATATAGAACTGATACTTACCAACACTATTTTCAACACATTAAGATACATAATTGATACCTACTACAAGATGCATTGATCCTTCTGCATCCCAAATCATCTCATATTCACAGTTAAGATTCAATTTTCTCTTCTGCGTTCTACTTCTAATGGTACTTATTCTTTGTTTTCCAAACCCCATTAAATCCCTAAAATGATGCCATACACTCACCCCACTAGATGGGCAAAGGAGGATTACAATGACCAACACATGAAGGTTCCTGGAATTTTAAGAAAAGACAACAAGCAAGCACAATGCAAAAAAAATATGAACAACCAACAGCTGTGAATCTACACTTCAACAAATTACCACAAAAAATTTCGATAAAAATTAGTTACTATGCTTCAACAAATTACTAGAAACTAGAAAAAGACGCAAAAAAACAACTACTACAGAGACAGACTACTCTTACCCAGAAAATCAAAGCCTAAAATCCTACACCAGAGACAGACTACTCTTACCCAGAAAATCAAAGCCTAAAATCCTACACCAAAGATAGACTACTCTTACCCATAAATCAATGCCCTAAAATCCTAAACATTATTTAAACATTAAGTTATTTAAACATTAACTGAATGCAATATAACATGCAAACTTTAATATGAATGAAAGAGAGGGAATTTGAGAGAAACGTACCTTCTTAGAAGTTCAAATGAGAAATATTAGATGAGGGAGGAAGTGAAAGAGACAGACTACACCAGGGAGTTTCTGCGACAAGAGAAATACACAAATTTATGTCTGGCAGGTATTTTGGGTGTTTAGGGTTGATTCATAAATTCATAAATTCATAAATTTATTAACAAGAAAGGCGTGACTGGTGAAGTACGGCGCCACGGTCAGGAAGAAGAAAGGCGCGTTTTTCGAAACAAGCATGACTTGACACTTGGGCTAAGGGGAACTGCAGCCTACCCGTTTTTACCGTAAGCTTGCTTTTTCTCTTTAGCCATTCAGATAATTTGGATGGCTGGATTTGATTATCATATAAGGTTCGCACATAAGCATTCTCACTAGGTAACCGCCCTTCAACATAAATATAGGAGTGCAAGGCCTGATTTTACTTGGAAACAAACTCTACAGAGTTGAATAGCTATCAAGTTGTTTCAATCGGCTTCTAGACCAAAGCTTTTCTGGGCTCCTTCCTTGTGGGCTAACTGACAACAAATATCAAAGGCCCAAAATAGAATAATGGGTTGTCCAAAATAATTGTCCATTAACTCTCAAAAGCCCATTGTAATTAATGGGTAATCCAAATAATTACGCATTAAATTTACAGAGGCCCAAATTTCCCATTATATGGTTAATGGATTAATTTTATACAAAATCCTCATAGCCATATTTGGGTCCAAATGCAAATGTCAAATTTAGAAAATTAGTGGGTCAATCAAAATTGCTTATTATTTTTCTTGGACATTGAAAAAAATAAAAATGGTACAAAACCATCCAATCTCATGGGTCATCTACTCATGCAAATTCCAATGAGATTAAATTCAAATCTCTCAAACACAAATTCTCAATTAGTGAGCCACACTTACCTATTAATTTCTAATTTTTCTCATAGGTCATCTACTTATGAAAATTTCCAAATTGTCTGAAAGACACAAATTCTGAATTATTGGGCCACACTTACCTATTAATTTTCCAAATTTTGGAACTATGTCGGTTTGATCCCATTAAGGGTACGTAGGCAGTCTGACATCTCAATAGATGCAACCGCAACCAAATTTGAATCACTGGTTACATCAACCAAATTCCCACAAATCAAATATCTATCTTCACACAAATCAATTCCGAACTACGTTGGTTTGATCCCTTCGAAAGGGTAGGCAATGTAGAGAATCAATCTAGATGCAACCACCCAAATCTTCAAACAGAATCCCTGATTTATTCTTAACCAAACTCGCCCCAAAACACATTTTGAAATCGAATCCCTAGTTTATTCAGCTAAATTCACTCAAACTCTTTTTTCCAATCAAATTCATACAAATCCTCCCTTTTGTAATGAGTGATCGATTCACAATTACATATCATTTTGTACCCTTCTAACTTATGATTTGGTTATGTTTTGAGTTAAACTTGTGCTTTTAATATATTTTGTATTTGTTTTAGTGTATCAAACTTTGGGGCTCATTTAAGGAGTCAACTATTGTGTCTACGGATCAGTCAACTTCACGGATTAGACTGTAATTGCTCAGGAAGAACCTGATAATGAGCCATACATCATTGGAAAGATTTAGGAAGTCTAGTTTCTAGAGCATTTTATGGTTTATGATTCTGAGTCTTTTAGAGGAAGTTATGCAAGTTTTGGCAGCTTAAGGTCAAATCCAGCAGCATCTGCGTTACTGGGCCAAAAATGACATTTGAAGGTCCTTCCGATTTTTCCTTGAGCTGGGCTGCATATGCTTGGAAAGATAAGAAAAAAGCTTCAAGATCCATATTTTTCCAGATTTTTCAGAATGGAGGAACAAGCCCAAAATGAGCCCAAAAGAAGACTGCAATACATTGTCAGGCATGAGATATGCATGAAGTGTTATTGATTGTGGGAAAGTTAGGTGAAGCAGATTCAATACTTATAATTGGAGTGGAGTTTTGCAGCAGCCAAAGGAAATAAAAGAAGATGAAGTGGGAGTTGCAACACTAAGCTTAAAGACAAGAAGAATTGTTTTCAAATGCAATTGTATGTTAGGTAAAATTGGTGAATTGAGTGTTGTAAGTTGGTGATGTGAGTGTTGTAGGTAGAAGCAATACTTAATTCAGAATTTTACTTCCATTAGGCCTATAAATAGTGAGGTTTCCCAAGCTTGTAAACACACCCCAAGGGGGGGAGCTCTCAAACACTTCTCTAGAGCTCCCCTCCCTTCTCTCTCTCAAATTCTCTTAGTTTTCCTTTCTAGTTCTCAATTGTTGTAACAAAATCCTTTTACTAAATTTTCCGTCAAGTTTTTGAGTTCTAATTTAATTTTCGTTGTAATGTAATTTCTTAGTTTTCAAGTTTGATTAGTTTCCAAGATTCAATTATGGTTCATGTTTTTATTCATTATACTTATAAGTTAATATGCTTGTTTGAATGATTGATCACCATTAAGGCTTGCATGTTAACTATCTTGGTTTGAATTAAGAGTAGACACCATGCTTTAATTCGAATTGAACTATGAATAGGAAGAGTGTGTATAGAATTCGACAATCGGGATTAGATACATACTTGGTTGTTTAAAATGTTCTTCTATGCTTAATGGATTCATAATGCTTAATTTAGGTTAGACAACAAATGATCAAATTAGGGAATTAGGAATACAAGGTTAGGGCCAGACACCATGACCTAATCATACTTTAGCTAGAATCAAACCGTTAATCTAAATTGAACTTGGGAAC